CCACATTCCCGAACCACGGTCCACCACGGTACCACCCCCCTTGTCACGACTCACATGGAAATTGGAATTGGAGACTCCCGCTCGCTACTCTACCCCGGGGGCCGGGGCTAGGAAAGTTGAAACAAGGCCACAACTCAGGTCTGACTAAGGGCTCTAGGATTTTGGAGTATATCCTATTCGGACTGCTTTTATTGCACGTCCTCGCTATCGTAGGCGACCCCCACATAGGCCTAAGACAATCTAATGAGCCTGCTGGCCCCTGGGCTGGCCAAGACAGGAGCAGTGGGATTATTGATCGGGGTGCGATAATTAGGGGCCTCATCACTGAATCACTGATCAGAGTACGCTGGCATGACATGTCCTTCTGGGACGAGCCAAAGGTATCTACCATCGTGCCGTGCGAGACGGAATGTCGAGTCGCAACGGGTCGGCGAGAATATGTGACTAGAGAAAGTTGGTAGACGGCAGATATTCTGAGTCGCTGCTGACAGTTCCTTGATGGGTAGGCAGAATTATAACTCGAGAGATTTCAGTGAAGTCGTTGTCGTGTCCTCCTGGCATCTTGCATATCTATTGCAAAAGACAGCCGTCGACAGGACCGACAAGGTCGGTTGCGCATTGACTTGTGCGAGGCTTCATTTTTCAAGGACGGAGATCTGAGATCCGTTTCTCGTTGACCAAGAGCAATGCATCGACACTGGCAGTAAATGCAACATGTGTTGGTCATGCAGGGAGCGGAACCTTTGCTTGTGGTTCGAAAGGTCTAGTCTTCGCACTGCCCCCGCCTCTCCTGCAGGTGCTGCGATGACCTTTCTGACAGTGTCGGTGCTCAGAACAGCAGGGGAAATTGGAATCTGCGTCAGCACCCACGGTAACACCTTTGCTATCCGCGTCAGCTAGAAGTTAGGAGGCTGGGGCGGGCACGGCATTGCTCGGCCATGGTGATGGGAGTAAGCGGATATTGGCGTCTCCGGCGAGGCCTTCGAGGCCGACTTCCTATCATTCTTGTTAGTGGCAGCATCGCAAGCTTTGTTGAAGCTCTGGCGGCCAGTGGCGGGCGGCGCACACCAGTGAAGACGTCTCTGAGCTCCGGTCCGAGCCCTGCTACCGTTTTTTTTTCTTAAGGCGACTTTATATACACTTCGGACGGCTCACTATTGTACCATCGAATCCATGAGAGACTTGACCTGCTTCCGTGAAGTTTCTGCTACGAATAGTAACCACCGCCCCATAGGTTCCAGGATCGAATGCTCTTCGGGCATAAGAGATGTATACAAATACAATGCCTTCAATTGGCGAAATATGGGTGTCTGTATGGTACGTCACCGTACAGCAGATTTGTGGCTTAATATGTCCCAAGCCAGTGCAAGCTAGAGGTCACGCGGCTGGTTGAGACTTGAGCGACCGATGCGAGGAGGTGCGGTAAGCTCTCTGAAAATCTCTCAGCCATCAAATCTCATGATTCACATGATATAACCCCTCGTACTGGGTAGGCGAGTGATCTGCTTAGAAGACATGGGTTTGAAGAGGCAGACATTTGAGGTGAGGAAGTTTTGATCCTCCGGACCAACGTGAATTGAAACCAGAGACTGCCAGATTTACCTTGTGTCGAGAAATGCTCATACAGTGTGACTACGTACGCGAGGGATATTCTAGAACAGACGAGGGAACCAATGTATATGTGAGACGTGATAACTTGAATAATGGACGACTGGGGAAAATAAGAAACAGAAAAGAAGGCGATGCTGCAGCGACGGGAGGTTATAAACCCCGCTGACACATATAAACAAGATTAAGAAGCGAACCCCTGCGATGGGAGGAATCCTGACGTCATGCAAGAAAGGCACAAGAGACACGGGAGCCACAAGAGCCAGGAGATAAGCAAAGCTAACTCTACCTACCTACCGCACCGTGCTTGTCTGGGACCTCAGACCTATCCCAGCCTTAGGCAAAGCATCGCTCCTTCATGTATGTGCGGAGACTGGCCAAGGACAAGATCAAAGAGGCAACTTCAGAATACAATTTTCTACCAATAAAGCTCAGGTAGACAAGATATTGTTGTCTCTTTCTAATTTGATATGGACATCATATGGTCGAGGGCCACAGGGCTTATACAAATAACGTTGACGCTAGTCTAGGGGTGATTAGCGCCCTTTTTGTTACTGGCCAATTACGTAGCTTCACCGGGTTCTTTTTAGCCCCACATCCGCGGATAGGTACCCACGCACACTTATCTTAAAGAGACTATGATCCACTTTGTTCACGCATGATTATACGCATCTGCAGGAAGTGGTGTTGATCAATGATTCCATGATGTGAGGGTGTCATTTATTGCAGAAAAATAACGCGTTGCCCTCCGATGATTGTAGGAGAAGATCTCATTGCGAAGTTCTCTGGGACTGCCGTTAGCTTGGCGACGATATGAAATTGTTAGAAAGCAAATAGATGGGATCGGGGCTGTAATTGACCTTCGCTTTGCCTCCAAGTCGATATCTTTGTGTAGCTTCGATGCTACATCATATAGTCCTTGGCCAAAGATATCATCACCCTCTTGTACTACAAGAACCAGATAGATCACACACTATTGGTGGAGCGAAAGGCCCACGCGCGAAACACCCCCAAACCAACCAACCACCGCGCTTCGCGGAAGCCTCATCAACAACAACTGTTCTCATAGATCAGTTCATCGATTTCATCGGCAAAGAGGGAACCAGATCTCAGCCGTAGACTGTAGACTGACACTCTCTTGATAGCCTCCCAACGAGGCGGCTTGTCGTCCGTCGGGCCTTGCGCATTAACATCCCCTTTCCGTTTTACAAAAGCGGTTTGACAATGCCTTGATGGTCACTCGACGATGCAGCATACAGCACTGCGGGATTTACCTCCTTGCGAATTAAGGTATGGGGGGATGCTAGGTGGTGAGATATTACTCTGGTCCCTACGACCAGGAGTAGGGAAGACGGTCATTTCAGTTTGGTTCATTTCTTTTGTATTAGTTTAGATTCTTCCATTCGGGGACAATGGTTGGAAATTTGCTTTTGCGAATTTCCGACAGTCCTCCAGTGGGCTGGCGCCCATTCTTTCCAGCTGTCGGCAGGCCTGACAGCAACCCCGCATAGCAGCTTATACTTAGAGCGAGCTACATCGGGCAAATGAATTTCTCTCTCTCTCCGGTCTGTCGGTATCTGGATGTAAGCCGGGGGAAGATGTTTCGGATGTTTTGTTATTCAATTTGTTGTCGTCAAGTTGATTGGCTAAGTGTACCTGTTTGCCAACACATGACGTTTATCATTTATGTGTAGTATCCTAGGCTTTTGAAATGTCACAGCCCAGCATCCCTGTCCACCATCCGCATCACGGCCTGTTCCTCCGGCCAAACCTCAAGGAATTGCTGGATACTTAAACTCCAGTCACTATCCCAGTACATGAATGCAATCGGGGAGGATGCAACAAAGAACTCCCAGTATTGAGGATACCACCCAGCTTGCGCCCACTGTATCAGCACAACATCAAACGACCGTCCCCCCTGCGCATTGCGACCGCTACTATTTTCTGTCACCATAATGTTTTTCTGCTGGACATCTCCGTGCGTCAGTGTCGGCCGATGCCCCTTGAGGAGACTCGGCAGATACTCTTCGTAGTAGCGGACCTTATAGTCCGGCCTCCGATTCCGTTCAACGTGCGCGCGGTAATTCCCAACCATGCCCGCGACGAAGTTTGCTTCCCCAATATAGGGTCCTAACCATTCCGGCGAGCCGCCCGGCCTCCGGTTACGAAACAGGTAGTGATGGAGACAGCCGCCATCCAGACCGCCATAGAAATCAGGCTTGGGACACGAAACCTGGCGGAGATTATCGAATATTTGCCCGAGTTTATCGCTAATATCGTCTTTCTCGTCCTCGGCCAATGATGGCCAAACTGCGTCTAGCCGCTCGCCGGGGATGCGCTGCATGACCAGGAACGTTTCAAGCGTCTCCGTGTCCTTATACATAGCGTACAGTCGAGGCGCTGGAATTGTGGGGACATGGCGCTCGAGGAATATCAGGACCTGGCCCTCGTATTCTTTAACGCGGTGGCCGAATTTCACCACGATCCCGTCATTTATTGCGACCACCTTGTATTCGCGCTCAAAGAGAATATTTGGGCAAGCACGAATTTCATCCTTGGTCGGTAAAGGGGATTCAGGAAGCGAGTTACTGGTAAAAGGCAGCGGCTCTGGTTGCCAGACCATTGCGAGGGGCTCGAGTGTGTGTGCGCTGGTGGGGTAAGGAGGTGGAAGAAGGTCGCGGGCGGCTACAAGTTACACCAATCTGTTACAACTCACGTGGTGGCCCCTCAACAGGAAGTTGAACAGGCCCTGTGGCTGTTATCACGTGACCAGTCCATGTGGCGGACATGCGCTTATTATTAAATGCTCACTGCGCAGGTAACCCGCTCAGGGGCGTACTCAACTCTACTCAGTGAGCAAAAAGCGGCGAGGGGTGAGCACTAAAACGGAAAATGAAAGCCAAGAGTTGCCGGACATTATTATCCTCTATATATGCAAGGTACCGAGTGGCGATCTACGCAGACGATCTCTACATATCTGAGAAGGCCGGGCTGGCAGGGCTGCAGGTTCATGAGTAGGCTGATATTATCTAACTATTCAATTCTTTCTCTAGGACCTAGGTAAGAATCGAGTTGAATAAGAGACACAAAAGATCTCAATAAATGCAGCCTCTAACTAAACCCGAGGCTCCAAAGGCCCTATCCAGCTTCATTTCATTAGCCCTAGCCAATCAATTGATTCAGTTATCTTCTGAGATGATGAACTTATATCGTCTATAACTTAGTCTATAAGTTATAGACGAAAATAAAAAAGATCAATCGATTTGACCTCCAATGACGCGCACACGTGGGGTGAAGTTCAAGCTCACCGGGAGCTCCAGTTTTTTCCCCCCGCCATCCTCCAATTTACGAACAACCTCAAATCACATTCTTATACATAGCATACAGCAATAATGCCCGATAAAGACTCATCCACCCCCCGAGTCTTCCTCTACCGACACGGTATATCCTCCAAACAAGATTCAATGAAATATCCATCTAATTCCAGCCAGGCCAAACGGAGTGGTCCAAGAATGGACGATACACCGGAATCACCGAGCTGGACCTCACACAGGATGGCGTGAACCAGGTCAATGCATCTGGAAAGATGATTGTCGGATCAGGCAGACTGATCGACCCGGCTAAACTGGCCCATGTCTACATCAGTCCTCGCAAGCGAGCCAAGCAGACCTTCGAGATTGCCTTCTCGGATGCCGATAAGCAGGCGCTCAGGGAGCATCAGAAGGTCTCTGAGACCGGTCGGTTGGCTGAGTGGGATTACGGTCTGTATGAGGGTATGTTGACTAAGGATATCCGGGCTTTGCGTAAGGAGCATGGTCTGGATACTGAGAGTGAGTGGGATATTTGGAGAGATGGGTGTGAGAATGGAGAGTGAGTTCTTTTCCTTTCTTTTTTCTTCTCTAGATTGTTTCAAGTCTTGAGTTTCTATCCGGTTGTCTGTGATATCTGACTAGGTCATAGATCTGCGCAACAAGTGACGGACCGTCTTGACGATCTCATTCAAGAGATACGTGCAATTCACAAAGACAAGATGCATGGAGAAAAGCCCGCAGATATCCTGCTCGTTGCACACGGCCATTTGCTTCGTGCCTTTACGAAACGCTGGTTGGGATATCCTATGGAGTTCCCCCTTTCTCTGATGCTGGATCCTGGAGCTGTTGGTGTCCTCAGGTATGTCTCCTTCACCTCGTCTTTCTTAGCATGGTAGTTGACCTTTTTTGTGCAGTTACCAGCACCACAGCATCGATGAGCCGGCTTTGTTGGTTGGCTATGGATACCCATTGCAGGACTGATTTGTATACTTGGATTGGACATTGAATCATAGAAGCCGACTGCAAATAGACTTGGTACACAGTATATACTATATACTATATGACTGATCACAGGTTCTGTAGCGCTCAAAGATTAAGAGATTCGATAGGTAGGTTTGTATCTGTGGCAAGTCATGCTGTAACTTCTATATAGGTATGTATGTTGGATGCCTTGGTGCCTGAGGAAGCACATGTATGATAGAACCGATAGTTCTCTCTCTCTCTCTCTCTCTCTCTCTCTCTCTACTTCTCCTCTTCGTGCATCCCATTTTTCCCATTGATTCTCCCTTTGTATTGCATTTCCATGAATATATATGCAGGATACTTACCAAGCACAATACTACCTATGGTCTTTACCCCAGACAAAAGTCGGAGAATTAAAAGCCACTGGCGGATGTTGATCACTTGTCCGTTTCGACTGAACAACGTGCAAGGACGACCTTGCAAGAACCCCACTCAGGAGTCAGCACATTGGACAGAATCTCCCTAACAATACACAGTATTTAATTGCATCATTATGCTTCAGATCAGACAGTTCAAGTCGTCGCTCAGCCCTACTGCGGCATACTGCCAAGCCCCCCCCGCAACGCTCAGTTCGCCTGACCTGGCCGAGTGATATGCCCCCCTGCCCCTGTCACCCGGGCATTTAGACCCCTGAAAGCCGTTGTATGACGGACTTCACTGCCACAACATGGACAGATCAACATGAGAGGCTACACAGGTAGAGGGGCAAGATCAGGTGGAAATGGACTCTCTTGGCTGGAGGGCACCGGATGGCACTAACACTAGGTCGTCAGCTAACGGGAGGCTATATGATCAGCGCTCTCCCCTGATGAGTTTCCGACAGTTTCCTTGCCCTGAAATGTGTCCTGTGAAACAGAAGCTTCCTCGGATACATTGGACGACTTTATCTTCCACATCTATACCTAACAAGAACCGATACATCCAGAAGAGTACTTGCTACTCAACCATGACGTCCCATAAACCCCACGGGACAGTCCCCAGTCCCATAAAGGAGATCCACAAAGAAGCCGGAGTCCACTCCAAATCCCCGATTTCCGCAATATCGACCGAAAGACGCGGCTCCTCATTCAGTCGTTTCATCGCATCCCTCTTCGGCTCGAAGAACCCTCTAGCGCAACCAGCTTCCCCACGCAATAACACCGTCTGGCTACTCGACAACACAGCCTACCAGCCAGTAAATGACAGCACAGACGAGAAGCCGACGCACTGGCACGCGGAAGTCGTCGCCTGCATCTTTGAATCAGAAAGCCGAGAAGACGTTGGAAAGCTAGTCGCCTCCATCGCCGACCACATCGGACTAGACGGGGAGGTCGGCGCCGACGCCGAAGCCCGCCATCGCATCGAACAGCGCGTCCAGCCATTCCTCAACCAGATCTCGCCGTCGCGCACGGTGACACTGCAAGTTCCCGTCTCCCGAACACAGTCACACGGTCTGGGTCCGTCCGACCGCCACGGCATCATCAGCCAGACAATCGACATGGGGGATGTGAGCGTTGACGGGATCCGGGATGGGACGGTGTTGCGGCCGCGACTGCGGGATTTCGGCGACGAGGCGGTTGTCATGAGTACGAGGTTTGCGGCGCCGGAGGGATGGCTCGTTATCTCTGATATCGACGATACGATCAAGCATACGATGACGCTGGAGCCGACTGGTGTGATGCGGACGACGTTTGCGGATGTGCCGAGACCCGTGGCTGGGATGCCTGAGTTGTATAAGTATGTCGATCGGGAGTTGAATCCGACGTGGTTCTATCTCTCGGCGTCGCCGTATAATCTTTATCCGTTTTTGCATGATTTCGTCGATGAGCATTACTGTCCTGGCACACTGGTGCTGAGGGATTACTCCTGGATGGATATCACGGGCTTGATCAAGTCTTTCACGGAAAAGACGCAGGAGTACAAGACTGAGCGTATGGAGAGGATTCATCGCTGGTTCCCAAGGAGGAAGGTGCTTTGTATTGGGGATTCGACGCAGAAGGATCCTGAGGCTTATGCCGAGATTTATGCTCGGTATCCTGGGTGGATTCATGCGATTGTCATTCGCAAGGTTACAGATGTGGCGCATATGGAAGAGAAGAATCTGCCTGAGAGGTTTGAGGAGGCGTTTAAGGATGTGCCGTCGCATCTTTGGACGGTGGCTGAGGATCCGAAGGAGTTTTACGATTTTGTTGATGGGCTGGGGATGGAGGAACAGGCTTTGTAGATAGTACACAGCACAGTATAATGATCTGTACATAGTTCGGGCTATTTGGCAGTCGAGTAATACATCTATTATTAATCTGGTTTATTTCGCTGACTGTTCTGCAGTGTATGTATAAGCCAGCCCACAGCCCATGTTCCGAAACCAGTCCCTACAACCAGGTCAAATCATGTCAAATACACAGTACCTACCACCCCGATAGAATAGCCACAACATCTAGCCATCTTCCATCTTTTGCGGAATTGACCGGAATTCGTGGCGAGCTAACCCTAACATACGTCAAGGTTAGGGAATGAGCTCCGATCTATAGACCAGGGGCAAAAGAGAACATAGCCTCCACCTCCAACAGAATATCTTTGTACAGAAACCCATTGAACATATTCAGCATTGAACATATTCAGCATTGAACATATTCAGACCAAAACAAAATGCATTACCAAGAACCAAGTTTCATGAACATGCAATCAGACATACCCCCAACGCAACCCATCGTGGAGCCCGACAAGAAGCGTCGCTCAGAGGTCTCACCACGCGACTCAAACGACATACAAGAGCCAACAGAGCCAACCGAACCAACACAGTCCACAAATCCCCCCTCGGCGCCTAGAAAAAGCATCCCCAAGCCCAGCTCAGGCCTAAACGACTCCCCCTTCACCCCACTCTCAATGCGAGCCCTCTACTACGCCCCCTCAGGAACCGACATATCCGACAGTATCCCCGAAGGCGAGATAACCGACTGCCTGACCCCGGACTCAACCACAAGCGTAATCCGCAAAAAAGGAACAAACCTCGTCTTCGACACGGGCTTCCCAACACCACAGCCCACACCGCAGCAATACCTGCTGAAAGTCTGCACAGCAGCATTCTGCCACGACGAGATCCGGCTCGCGGGACTGCTCAATCCACCAAAGAAAGAACCGCAGATCCCGCTGCACAGCATCTGCGGCACGGTCGTTATCACGCCCAGTGAAGACGATGATAAAGACGAAGGCCCGAAGTTCAAGATCGGCGACATCGTCTTCGGTGTCGTGAGCTATACGCGCGATGGCGGAGCTGCAGACTATGTCGTCGCGACGGAGGGTGAGCTGGCGCTGAAGCCGGGGAACATTACCGTTTCCGAGGCGGCGGCGCTGGCACTTCCGGCGTTGACGGCTTGGCAGGCGCTTTTTCGGTATGCGGGTCTTGATCCTGATCTCCCTGGTGGGTTAAATCCGGATGATGCGGCGTTTGGGAGTGGTGGATTAGGGTCTGGACGGTGGGTTTGGCAGCGAAAGGGGAAGGAAGCCGTGCTGGGAAACAGGGATTATGGGTACGGGGCACGCAGGAGTATGGCTAATGGCGGCATAAGCGGGAGAAGTAGTGGACTGCCTGCTGGTAAGGCGAGCGGAGCTACAAGCGGAATGGGTAGCGGTCGCTGGGTTTGGGAGTGGAATCGTGGCGGGGATGCTCCAAAGGATGTTACTATCGGTGGCAAGCCCACCGGCGTTGATATCGATAACATTCCTCCTGCAGCTAGTGCGACGGATACCAATCTGCCTAAGCAGAGTGTGCGTCGCGAGAACCTCAAGAGTCTCGTGACTGGCAACCCGAGTGGAAAAAAGGCTGCTCCGCGGACTGCCAGTACGCTCGATCCCAATCCCAAGAAGACGGTCCGTCGCAATAGTTTGATCAACCTGGTCAAGGGTGGCAACAATGGGGCTGGGGCCCGTCCTGTCGAACCGCTCAATCCTGCTGCTAGCATCAATGCTGCCGCCGCCGCAGGCAGCAGCAGTCGACGTGATACTTTAGCCAAGATCGTCACTCCTGCCGTTGAACGGGCTGGCAATAAGATCGAGAAGGTAATGGGTGTGAATGGCAACGGAAACGGCAAAAACAAATTCCCCAAGATCCGGGTGCTGGTCACCAACGCTCGAGACAACGATATCGGTCGTATCGTGGTGCAGATTCTGCGCGCAGAGTCCCTCTTCCCTCAACCTGTGCGTCCGTGGGTGTGTGTGACCTGCACGCAGGTCGAAGCCGAGATCCTTGAGAAAGACTGGCAGGTTGATGAGATCATTATCATCCCGCATCTTCCAACGCCCGAGGAGTGTGACATTGGGAAGGTCTTCCGTGCGCGTCGCTGGCCGCCTGTTGATATCGTGCTTGATTGTGCTGGGGATGAGGTGTTCCAGGCGGCTCATGCGGCGGGGGTTGTTAAGGATTACGGGGCTGTGTTGACTGTTGTGGATGGGAAGGTTGCGCAGCAGTCGCCTTTGGTTCCTGAGAAGGATGTTTTGGGAGAGAAGAAGCGTGGTATTAAGAGCCGGTTTGTGCCCGTCAATCCTGATGGGCTGGCTTTGGAGAGAGTTGCGGAGTTGGTTGAGGAGAATCTGGTCCGGGGGAGGGAGCTGAGGATTGTTGATCTTGCGCGTGCGACGGATCTTTTGGCGGCTGGTGCGGCTGGGACGGCGGGGAGTCGGCGTGGTGGGATGGTCGTTGTTAAGGTCAATGGATAAGTGTATAGTAGTTAGTTAGGGCTTGTAGTTAAGATATATGTTTGTGCATTCTAATATAGAGATATCAAAAGTAAGCAGACAAAAAGCAGTGGGTGTATCAATTTGAGACATCAGGCCGGTAAAAGCCATAGAGAGCGACTTACACAATGCCCTAGTCAATAAGCAGGTTCAAGAAAAGAGAAAATAAAAGAATAAGACACAGGGTGAAGTAGATCAAAGCTGACGACCCCATAGAAAACAGGGCTAACCTGACAATTCCGTAGAAGCAAACCGAAGATGCTCTGCCCGAGTCCTAACTTAAGGATCTTAATGAACAGATAACCCTGAAGTTTTGTGGCCAGGCAAGAGAAGAGAAAGAAGTCATGGAAAAAAAAGACAGTGTATTACGCGGTACATCCGTTAAAGTAAAGAATCAAGTCTGGTAAAAACGCTCAAGCATGCCGCCACAATCTGTTTGTGAATTAGCGAAAGGACTTTCATCCGAGTTCGAGCGCAGCTTACCTCCATCTGAAGCTCCCTGTCCTTGTTCCGATTGACCTCCTCGTTCACAACCTGAGCCAAATTGGCTCCAATCGCCTGCGAGCCGCCGGCCCTACGAGCAAATGGCCATTGGGAATACTCCGCCAACAATTCATCCACCTGTGCGAAAGCTCTCTCGCGAGCCTCATGGCTCATGGTGACTAAGGCGTTCTCGAGCACATTAGCGGCGTAGGCAGCGCAGACCATGGTGATCGAACGCAGGTATCGGTATTCTGAATCTTCAGGGAGCCACGGACTGGGAGGGATAATCACAGTACGGCTGGTGCAGATGTTGCGCACCCGTCGGTGAAGGTCTTCTTTCGCGCCGCCGTCGGCCACAGGATGCGTCGCCATATCGAAGAGAAGGAAGTTACGCTTTTCCGTCCGGAGAATACCCTTGTCCACCAGGCCCTTGGCCAGTCGTTCCCGGACTTGCTTCAATTGATATCCGATCTTCATCAGGTTCCAGGTTTCGCCTACAAAGCAATCGGGGGTCAGCAGGCAAGTCAAAGTTATCACCCCACTAGTCTCCTTTGGGCTTATCTCACCACTCAGCAAATCAATCCATGAGTTGACACTCATCTTCTCACTTGATTTCATCATCTTCAGCGTCTCGTCCAGCAAGACCTCCCCAGTCAATGTATCGTCGACGACCTCGATGATGCGGTCGGCCAGGGGGAACCGTCGCCGCGACGAATCCTTCTGCATGCTTATCCGACCGCGGAGCGCGAGCTCAATGACGATACACCCTCGCAGGGCGTAGGAGATGTTTTCATTCCAGAAAGACAGATAGCCCTGTTGCGGCGCGGGCGCGGAGTCAGCGATCGGAGCCGAGCAACAAACACAAAGGACAGATATCCTCCGTCAAAGGCTCACCTGTTTATCCTTCAAGCCCAGCAATAAAATATCCTCCATCAGGGTCAATTTGGGCTGCTTGCCCCGTTCCTCGTTTTCGCTGATGTCGCGGGGGTCAAACGCGATCTTGTGGCCATTCTCTGCATTGGTGAACGAAGTCTCGGGTCCGCGGTTGTCCATCGCAGAGCCATTCCGTGAGATTGGAGATGACACTCGGCTGTCATCTTGTTCGTCTGCGCCAGCGACTCGACCGGCGCCTCTGCGGCGAGTCAAGCCCCCGGCTGGTGAGGCCATGAGATCGGGTCGGGGTGAGCGACGGGGGACGAAAAGGGGTGAAGAGGGAATATGGTCAGATATGACCAAGACCTCGCCGATCTATAGAGGTTGGAGGGGGTGGAGGATTGTGGTTGAGAGATGTCAGAGGGACCGTGTAGACCGAAAGTCTGCGGGTTGAAGTGGGACTCTCGGTGTCAGGGGAAACCAGGGACCGAGTGGACTAGCTCAAATGATTTTAATCCTTTTTATATCAAATTAGACCCGCCTTAAAAACATAGGGGGCAAAAGGTGTGGGAATTGAGAACAAGTGAGGGAGAAAAAGGGTTGAGGGTCAAAGTCAGTTAGTTCGCCAATGTGGCTCTTCCAATGCTTAAACGCCCGACAACGTGCTTGTAACGTTCTTGCGGTCTCTTTGTATGGCCTCATTTTTCCCCCAATCTGGACTTTAGGTCAGCATATATTAACTAACATTTTGCCCTAACTAATTAGGATCTATGTACTGCTATTCTTTAAATATTCGCTAAAAGATCAAAGAGCGTACAACAATGGCGACATCAGACTAACAGGCACTGAGCGAGGTCATCGATCCAGTCGCACAATGAATCGACAATGGGATATTCCGTGGATATGAAGCTACGTAACTAGTAACTAGTACACATTACATACTTGCCTCGATCTCTATATGTAACTCAATGGGCAGAACAATATACCGATGACCGGACAACCATCTGGTACCAAGTGGTAGCTGATAGCGTGGATAATAATGCCTCAAAATTGCATGAATTGCATTCAAATGATGTACACAATATAGGAAAGAAAAGCACTGGCATGTATTCAGACAACGAGGCAGATCAGTGAAGGGTTACTATATAGCAACCCTCGCTGAATACCAACATCCCGATCTTTTTCTATCCGATTCTCCAACCGATCCCAAGTGATCAAATTAAGTATTTAGTGGGCTGTAGAGTCGTTAGCATGCAAACTGGACCAAGTGCATTGAAAGCCACATACCATCGGGCTGGGCCAGGATGTACTCAACAGCCTTCTCAACTGTGCACGATATTTGAGTCAGCTTTGTTTAGCAAACACATCCTCCAAAAGCCATAACTTACCGCTGTGGATCTGATCGGCCTCCTTATCGGGGATCTCAATGCTGAACTCCTGTTGTAATGGTTAGATATCACCTGATACACATTGGATGTTTCCCGCGGGAAAAAGGGCGCCTACCTCCTCAATGGCCATCACAACCTCAACGGTATCCAAGCTGTCCAAACCGAGGTCGTTGGAGAAGTGAGAAGCGCCGTTGATCTGTAGGTCAATGTTTAGTTGATGAATGCTTTCGGTTGTCTCTTCCGTCGCTGATGCTATGTGAAGCTCATGACCGTGCATCCGAGATGTTCACTGACCTTGCTAGCATCGGAAACCTGACCATCAAACAATTCCTGTCAGCGTTCTTGTCTTTTCCATTTCTAGCTGATGAAACGGCCAGATAACCGGAAGAATAATATGACGCACCTTGTCGAAGTTCTTGAGCAGGTTGACTATGCGGCCCTCGGCCTCAGTCTTGCTGAGACCGGCAGGGGCGGAGTAGAGGCGGACACCCTGAGCGAAGCAGGGAGTGAATTGAGGAACCTGAGCAGCAATGGGGGAGCTGCGGATGTGGAAGGGAGCCGGGGTCTTGATGACACGGGGGGCGGAAGCCTTCAAGGAACGGGCGATGGCGGAGCGGAACATGATGGAATAGATTGATCGGAGTAGCGCAAAGGCTGAAAAGATCTAAGAAAATTGGTATCACAAGGAAAAAAAGGTGGAGAGCAAAAGGGTAGAGATGGGGAAGACGGCTAAGAGGAAAGATGTGAGGTCGCGCCCAGCAAAATCCTGCGGGCCAATCAAACCCGCCCGAAATGAATGACCTAAGCCCGAAACCTGCAAACCACCACAATCTGCGACTTGCTCCCCTTCCACCTCCGATTGATCCTCGATCCTCCACTCGCTCCCACACACCCCCAATTCTCACTCTTCTCTAACCATGGCCACCACCCGCTCGGTCGCCAGGCTAGTCGCCTTCCGTCGACCAACCCCCTTCGGCTTACTGGGCTCGACCGCAAACTTCTCTACCTCGACTTACCGCGCAGCAACTCCAGCGGGACCCCCTCAGGCTGGCTTCCGCCTGGCCCCGCCCAAGCGCTGGGATCAGGACTCCGAGTCTGCCTTGGACAAGGCCAGCAAATACTTCCTCATGTCAGAGATCTTCCGCGGCATGTACGTGGTGCTCGAGCAGTTCTTCCGACCACCGTAAGTCCTTGTCCCACACAACCTTGCCGGCGATGCGGACCGCAGTCCACGAATATCAAAATCGCCTCAAAACATACTAGTTGACTAATTGCCTCGCCTCGCTTTAGTTACACCATCTTCTACCCCTTCGAGAAGGGTCCCATCTCTCCCCGTTTCCGTGGTGAACACGCCCTCCGTCGCTATCCCACCGGTGAGGAGCGCTGCATTGCTTGCAAGCTCTGCGAGGCCATTTGCCCGGCCCAGGCTATCACCATTGAGGCCGAAGAGCGTGAGGACGGAAGCCGCCGGACGACCCGTTACGATATCGATATGACCAAGTGCATCTACTGTGGCTACTGCCAGGAGAGTTGCCCTGTGGATGCCATTGTGGAGAGTGAGTTCCAATACCTTCATTTCACTTCAGTGGGCATTCGATCCAGGTTACTAATCTATCTTTTTCAGCTTCGAACGCCGAGTACGCCACTGAGACTCGCGAGGAGCTTCTTTACAACAAGGAGAAGCTCCTTTCCAACGGTGACAAGTGGGAGCCTGAGATTGCTGCTGCTGCCCGTGCGGATGCTCCCTACCGATAAACCATTTATTACCAATCTGATTGGCATCGTCGGCACAATAAACATGCTGACAGCAATACCCACTCAAGAGACACCCATTGTGTCTTGAAAAACAAGAATGATTTTTAGCCCATCACACCACTGTACATAACTCGCCCCCGACTTCGTTATCATCTTGTACTAGGCGATTCCAAAGGGAATGTCCTCCCCTGGGATTTTGCCTCCCTTGTCCTTTTTATCTCCTATGTCATGGAATACAGCAGTTCTATTCCACAGGTTGACTGTCCAATCTTAACATAAATATGATTAATCCCGTCTTACGTCTGCACGTACTACGTAGTACTTCTCTGCCCACCTATGAGGTGTCATACATGTACATCAGCTTCAGCATTATCAGGTTACAAGCTAAGATAAGAGACACGTGGAACACAAATACAGCTCGATAAGAAAATGATATTGTATTCACAGATAAATCAAATCGCTACCGATGCTGTCATGCATAGACATAAATTGACGGACTAAGCTGTCAAAGACACAAAACGCAAACACCAGGCACCTTGATCTCCGGACGGATATTTCCCAGTTCAAAGTCTCAAATCACTTTTTTTGTTGGTTCGGGGGCTTCTGTATGCAACCTTGCCTCCAAATTCATATGGAAACAAAGACCAGTTCAAATGGTATGCAGGGAGAAACGAAGAATTGAGAAGATGGGTTTATGTAAAAGCAAGCGAGAAATGAAAGATTAAGCCGGATAGAAGCTCATTTATTTCTTCTTGCCACCTCCCTTGAAGCTGCCCTCAAATCCAGGACGAGACTTCTTCTTTCCACTGGAGCTGGACTTCTTCTTGCCACCCTTGGTGCCCTTCTCATCCCGGCGCTTGCGGAGATTCTCATCACGCTTGGTCTGGCGCTTTTCCTTGGCGCTGGCAACTGTGTCGATGCGGTCCCTCCACTCGCGCTCGGACTTTCTCTTCGCAGTCTCCTTGCGCTTGAGGGCCTTCTTCAGCAGAGAGGTATCGTCGCGAACACGCTCACCGTGAGCACGCTTCTTGGCGTTCAGCCACAAGTCCTTATCCTCGAGTTCGGCACGCTTCTCAGGGTCCATCTCTGCAAGGCGGGCCTTTTTGGCTTCAACGGCCTTGAGCTGGGAAGCCGGGTCACGGGCACCGTGGGCCTTTGGCTTGTCGCGCACGGTGGTTGCACTGGCATCTGTCTGCTGGCCATCTGAGAACATGACGCGGCCGAAAGCGAAGTTGTTGCTGGCGGAGCCAACTGACTCGGCTGGGGAGCGGGGGATGCTAGCAGAGATCCGGACCCACCGGGCGAGAAGCGGCGGGCCATGGCCTCATCGTTTTTCTTCTCTTGCTCAATCTTGGCCTTTTCACGCAGCTCCTTTTTGTGTGCTTTTCTTTGCTCGGCCTTTTGTCGGCGGGCTTCAATGAGCTCTTGGCGGTTGCGTGCAGGCTTGCCGTTGAGTCCATCTGCATGGCGCTTGGCCCTGAGCTCATCCAGACGCTTTTGTAAGCGCTGCTTCAGCTCTTCGGGTGTGTGCTTGAGAGGTTTGGGCTCAGAGGATTTGGCTTCGGTGGAGGTGGAGGGAGGAACAATGGAGGAAATGGAGGAACTGCCGGATTCGGGATTTGAGGCATCGAAATTGGGGGAGTCTGTGGTAGATGAGGCAGAAGAAGGCTCTTCCGGTCCAGCGTTGAACTCGATAGAGAAGCCCTCTTCGACAACACCGTCATCTTCGTCGTCATTCTCTTCATCCTCGGACTCTTCTGTGTCTTTGGCCGCATTGCCGTCAGGCTTGGGTGCAGATTTTTCAGAAGTTTCAGATGAAGCCGTAGAAGCCTTCTTGTCCTGGGATTTATCCTTCCGAGCAGCATCCTTAGCCTTCTTCTTCTCCTTTTGAGCGGCCTTCTTCTGGGCCTTCTTTTCTTCCTTGAGCTTTTTCCGTGCCTCAGCCTCTGCCGCCTTCGCAGGGTCTGATTTATCAGCCTTTTCAACCTGCTTCTGCTTCTTGAGGTTGGCGTTCCCGCGGTTCAATCCTTCCCTGGGGGCCTCGGTGCCCAACTCTCCGTCTGATGAGTCGGACTCGAGGGTGCCGTCCTCCCGCTTTCGTTTGCGTGCATTCTCATCCATCACGTCCTTGGCGGTTTTAGCGTTTGCTTCGGGGTTCAGCTTTGCTCGCTTCGCTTCGCGGGCTTGTTCTTTGGTTTGTTTCTTGCGTTGCCATTGATCCTGTAAATTCGGGTGATGGTTAGAAAGATTTCTTTGGGATGAACGACACAGGAAGAAAACAAGATTGCCCCCAATCAGAAAGCGGTCAGATTGACAAGTGCAACAAGGGCCTACTTACACTTGTATCTTCCTCGCCATAATAGTATTTGGCGGGGATCAAAGACAGCAGGCCGTCAAATGCCTGCGCATGGCTGCGCAGCCGTTCCTGGGGGGCAGTCAGCTCGCAATCCCTGCGGGGCATTTTCCGAGTGCACAAACCTCGATATCATCCATGATCTTTTCCCGTAGACTGAAATTGCAATCTGGAGGGGGAAAGCTCGATAGTCAAGCGCAACGAAAAATTTGGGGGGATGAAATCTTGGCGCTACAATTGTCTCCGCTTCGGCTGGTTCACCGCCCTCACACATAAATTTTGCTGGTGGGTCCGTGCGTCAATAGCGAGGGTCATTACTCCGTACTCCGTACTTGATGGATTGTCGTTTGCTTCTATTGTTCCCTTTACCCATTGTATTTCGCTTTTTATTGATCCCATGTCATCTTCTCTGTCTTGCCACAACGCGTCAACGCCAAACTCATGAGCCCACGAATACCACAAATATACACTCAACAATGACAAACAAGGTCACAGTATTTCCATGTCTTCATCTTGATCATACTTGATCCACGAGGCCAGGCCGGACATCTAGTCCAGGGCATTCCTCGCTTTTGACATTCGTCACATTGCCATATGGCCAAGGATCGGTCCAGATGAGGTCGTACCTAGAACAGTTAGCGCAGGAACCAATGCATGGTGGATGTCTAGCCCCTGCTCAAGAGAGTTGCGAGCCGAATGGTCCAACCGTCCAAGTAGCTTCATCTGGCACACCTGTACAAGGCGAACCTCATGCTAACGTATCAGAACGCAAACAAACATCAATTACTCACCTATCTTCCGGATACTCAATTGGCTCCAGAGCGCCGAGCTCTTCCTCGATCTTATCCATCTTCCCATGCCGCCATGAAATCAAAATGTTCCCTGGGCCATCATACGATCTCACTGTCCCCGCCACGCATATAACATCGTTCCGCTTGCAGTGTGTGTCAATCGTGAGGCCGAGATCATCAGCGAGGGGCAGAACAGTCTGAAATGCTCGGCGATGTTCGCCATCTACAAACAGAAAACATTCAGTCAGCCATGTGTATGGAACGCAATCTGCACTGTGCCTAGCCTCGACACAGCGGTATGATGTCAAGCACAGTGCGATATCCGAGGCTCGTTGCTAACCTACCTGGTGTTACGTGCGGTGCCATAATATATCCGATGTCATATCCAGAGCCTGCCCCAAAAACGTGTCGCAGACACTGTGCTCGTTTGATCCCATCCGGGGTTAGACCATGGTCCCGTGGATCTGCAGGCTTCTCGGCGTGTCGTATCAAATAGACCGTCGGATGCAATTCAGCTGATGCAACGCCGAGACAGAAGGATAGAGCTGACAGGATCGACTGCGATAGCATTTTGCCAGTATGTCTATATAGCACGAGCCTGGATCGCTAACAGCCAGGAAATGAAGCAATGGGAACAAGATGACGGCTAAGTGAAACTCGATAGAAGTGCGGAAAACAAACAGCTGCAGAGAGATTTCTAATTCTCTGTCGATCGGGTGGATACTCGTGGCTCTAGATACACAAATCCAGGGCAGCCATGATTATTGTCCCCCAAGCTCACCAAAACAAGAAAACAGGGCTGAAGCTTAGAAAAGCAAAGAGTGGATCAGCAGAGCAACGTTCCAATGATCATCCAGCAGCAAGGGCGCCAAAGCTGAAAGGGGCATAAAGTGCTGGAGCTGCTGGTGTTACCAGTTACCACTGCATGTTCAGACCACACTGGTTGGCTGGATCATGCTCATCAGTTAACTACAGGTGGGCGGTTGACGAACTACACGCAAGTGTTCGTTCAACGAGTTCCATTTCGGCGATTTGATTGGTCTATCAAATTATGCATGTCCACTGTACTCCGTTGATCAGCTTACGAGGGCAACATCTGGTAAATCTTAGTGGTCTGTGCTATGTAGCAGAATAACACCGCCTGCCGGAACAATGTTAGTTTGGTGGAGACCTCTCAGGCAGTCCAAGGCTGCACCTTGTTCCCGGCGCCCGCGTCATGATGCGAACTTCTGAATCTCGTCACGAAGCCCAACATGTCAAACACCCCCGAATCTATCGATGGCGACAACCCCGAGCTCTCGATCACTATTCACTACTGCTTCTGCCAGTCAATTCAACAGTTGTTGGATGCCCCTGTGCCTGAGGCATCCCATTTAGATAGAACCCAGCTAGTTCGCCTGCTGTCTCTCTCTCTTTCTTCCTTCTCTTCAGCCATATGAATACATACAGATTTTCTCCATAGGACCATCATTTTCCCATCTGCATTGCATTCATATGAAGAGTCAACCCCAGTTCAAAAAGCACGTTTTCGGAGCCATACAGAATGCCTTAGATCCACAAGTCTTGACAACACTACGACCAGACCAATACTTCGGTATATATGTCTGTTCGGCGCTCTAGGTACCTACGTAGCATCGCTCCTCAATACTCTCAGAAGGGCTTAGCCGTATAAAGGCCTGTTAGCTAACAGTACGGTTGAGAGAGTCCTTTGTGTATCATTGAAAGTTTCATTCCGTGCAGCCCTCGAGTCGAGACTTTTCGTTAGGGATACACCTAACTACCTATCTCACCTCTCGTTAGATAAGTCCGACAAAACGTGGATTAGGGACCTATAGCCCGACGGCTACAAGCAACGGCCATCAGATTCCGTTCCATGCGCACATCATACCTTACCGGAGATTTGGTGTTTTTTACAACCATTTGAAAAACCATTAGTACAGAATAATTGTTTTTTAAGAGTGTTATCATAGTCAAAATTTAAAACATGGTCTTCAAATGGTTAACAGAAATACGGTGTCGTTTCACCCAAAGGCAGATGTCATGAACGAACCGCCGGGTGGCACCTAAATTCACGCCGTGCTTACTGTAACGAAGAAACGTGGGTCTTGATCCTCATAAATCTGCATGAGGTCGAGACAACTTATATGCACCTGTACGTTGCGGATTTTCTCTGCCAGGTGGGGCTTGCCTATCTGGGTGGCCACCTCTGCTCTAAATACACAATGATGCAGATAAAGACGGAATTTGTCTGCATGTTTAAATGGATGGAAGTTGCCTGCATGTCAGACCTTGACAGTAATCTTCGATTTTTTTTTTAATTTCTGGTAGCAATACACTACAGTCTTCCCTCGTGCGAGGCTTAGAGGGTGACAACTTCACCGTCCATGTTCAGGTACTCATCCGCCATAATATCACCCCAAAACTCTTCCGAGATTTCTTCACCCTTTGGCCTCTAGGATGCGCCGAGGAATCATTCGCAGGTTAAGTCTGTCAATGCATGAGGATTGCCCGAACAGGACCCCTATCTGCTTGTTCGGCATTTGCGACGTGGGTACGATAAACGCCGCAGCTTGACTAAGAACCGGGTGGTCCGAAAGAGCAATTCTGGTCTCAACCATGACAACCAAACCACCTGTCGATCGATACGGATCATGGACTGGTTCCTTCAGGTACTGTCGGAACTCTTCCGAGAGGAGGTCTTCCGCGATAATGGTTCGATGGGCCCCCGTATCAAATACCATATCTGTCTCGACGGTGTATTTGGGGTCATCCGGTTGGCCGTCAAGACCCTGTAAGACAAGTTCCACGGACAGTAGGAATATATCTGTCGAGTAATCCCGCCTCAAGTGAGATGTACGGCTGTCGGAAGTCCTCTTGAGCGGCCTCACGAGCCATCTCGCGTAGACGTTTACGAGCTGATTCCGTCGGGGGCGGATGAGGTTGAAGCGTTTGGATGTCAACATTCGATCGGATCGGTAGCCCAAGGCCACGTTCCAATGGAAAATCCGACGGCGTTGACTGTAGGGCCATTTCTCGAAGTTGTCGACGGCTTCCAGTTCCTGGAGGCATGGCTATGAGCGGTTCGTCGATGTCCCCCAGAGCGGCTTCGGCGGCTTGGATAGCCGCCCGCCACGTAGTGCGAATAGGAATAGTGACTGAAAGATCATTGTGATGTCTATTCATCGAGAGGGCGACTTCTCGGAGGAGGTCTCGTGGATGCATCGTGACGCTCACTTGCGAATCCATGATTGGTCTGCGAGATGAAATTCCGGTGGGATTCCGTAGGGATTCCGGGAGTTTTTCATGAAGTTGTAAAGGAATGGCGGCTACCTACTGCCTAGTACCTCCGTGCTGCGACTCTCCATGAGTTGGCGTCGGCTTAAAATCGTCTTCAACAGGGCTGGCAGGAGTGAGAAGACGAAGGCGCTTCTTTTCGACCGCGGTAGCCGCAGCGCCGTGTAGAGATCGGCGTCTTTTAGCACCGGCCATGATGAGATAGAGTCAGAAATCTGGCAGTCAAGAAAATAGGGTCAAAGAATGCATACCTTCCGGTGTCTTGCTCGAAAGGCACCTTCCGCGATAACTAGTTTCATAAAGGGGAAGTCGCAGTCATCCGTAGATGGAGAGCCCTGCCTACCTGGTAACCTGATATAGGAGGAGATGGAGTCTATGACGGATGAGTGACGAAGATAACACAACCTTCTTTATGCCTCCAGGGTCGTCTAGTAGGTGGAAATGGGAGATAGTAAGATCACATGACACGTGAGGAGCCTATTACAATATTATTACAATTACAGAGAAGGCCGTCTACAGGTTCGCACCTACTGTTCGTACCTACCTGGCATGCTCGTACCTCATCCATCATTCACCAAGCCCAACCTGTTTCACCTGGGATCTGGGACTTCCATCTCACTACCAAGCTCCCGCTCCGACTACACTGTACCTCGCACTTCCTTCTCCTGCCACTCAATCTACAACCATGTCAGAGATGGCAGGAACTACTATCAAGCCGGACAACTCTGACGACTTTTATGCCGTTGGCTGCCGGACTGGCACCGAGCAGGATCTATCCAGCCGACAATTCCTTACGCATTGCCCTCCCGACGTTCCGCCTCGCCACCGTATCCTTGCTCTTCTGGGAGTTACGGACATCGACAATATGGCGAAACCCCAGGAAGATGGGTGGTTCGTGTCCGATTTTTACCTATTTCACTACCTGTTCTCGCGGCCACTCCCATCTCAGCCCCAAATCTGGATGACATGCGAGAAGCCCGAGGACCTTGTCGCAAAGTACCAGGAGTATCTTCATGGTAGCTCACGTCATACCCGACGGGTGGTGCTGGATCGCGCCAGACTCCCGGATATTTCAGCAGCCGGGAATATACGACATGTGCAACGGAAGGATCTCGTGGAGCGATATCTTAGCACGCTTCGTGCTGAAGCTGCCGAAGCCACCCGGAACCAGGAGCATCTTATGCTACTGATCTTTGCTCACGGTACGGAGGCCCATGGGCTTGAGGTTGGGGGTTCAATTCTCGAAATGAAAGACCTTCTTCGGACGCTCCAAGGAAAGTCCAATGTCACCCTATTTAGTACCTCTTGCTACTCCGGCGGCTGGCTTGTCCGTCCTGACTTGAACAACGTGCAGCTTCAACCTGCACCCCCGAGGCTTGACACAACGGCACTCCTATCAGCTGGTCCAAAGACGGTGTCGTTGTCATGGCCCGCAAGTGCTAGCGCCGGAAGAGTCAGCGGTAGCTTAGCCGCGACCGCACTGTTGAACTCTTTTCTGGATGCTGAAGATGAGGTCGCTCAAAACGGATATCATCCGACCTATATTCAGCTTGCCAAGTCGGTCTATGACCATATGAAGACGATGGGCTTGACTGGACAGAAGCAGGAGATCTACTTCTCCGCGGAGAACGACGAGTGGGAGATGAGCTATCAGGCTCGTCTCGGTCTGCCTCTTGCCGCATACAGGGATAAATGGTCATCCCTACGACAGGTCCCGCCATCCTCAGAACCATCAAGCAGCTCGGAGGTGGCGAAGACTGGTGGGAGACGCCATAAACGACTCCAGTTCCTTGCCCGAGAATACTTTGCAGCTAAGCCTGGTGTGGATTCAGCCTCCCCTAACGTTAGTCTACATTATTGCCTCAGAAGCATCCTCAAGGGCGAGACATACACAAAGGAGAAGATGGATGGCCTGATCGAGACTACCGCTTATAGGCTGGGATCCATGCACGAGGCCAACTATCTTAAAGATCAACTGGGACTCGACTTTCCCTCTATCTTCGAAATCGACACTTTTCCTGGGTTCATTGCAGAGACTTGGGACCCAGAAATCCACTCAAAGACTTGGCATCTACTCTTGCAGCGGAACATTATCACCAAGCCGATTGGAATCCGTTTCTATTCCAAGCCAGTGCAGTATCTCACTATTGTGCTTGTTAAGTCCTCTACGTCCTGGGAACAAATCCAAGAGCTAGTAGAGGTCATGGCCGCCAAGAAGAAAGGCTGGTATCGGTTCATCTACAAGGCGTGGCTGGGAAACCGTGTTGCTAGTGATGAAGGGCTGATGAAGAATGCACGTGCCTTCAAGGAGGCCATGTCAGACACCAGTCACAGCAGCTGAGTGACTAGGTGGTTAACAATCCTGATTGTTTATCAGGGTGCTTATGTCCCACCAAGCTCAATTGAGTGGATTTCTGGGTCCCAAGTCTTTGCAATGAACCCAGGAAAAGTGTCGATTTCGAAGATAGAGGGAAAGTCGAGTCCCAGTTGATCTTTAAGATAGTTGGCCTCGTGCATGGATCCCAGCCTATAAGCGGTAGTCTCGATCAGGTCATCCATCTTCTCCTTTGTGTATGTCTCGCCCTTGAGGATGCTTCTGAGGCAATAATGTAGACCCAGATTGCTTGTGATGGATATTTTTAGTACGCAGCATAGTTAGCGTCAAGAATCAACAAGGTACGGACATTTCGTGAGCGTATAGTCTAATCAACTTGGAAGATCTTAGATCGCGTCTTGTCTTTAGGGTGGATGGATAGTGAATAAATTGAATCTCCTGAATCTCTATTTGTGGCGTCTCACGCGGGAGCATTTCATTACCCTTTCCCCTGTTCTTTTCTTGTTACTCCTTCCGACGCTAGTCTTCCCCAGCCCATAATGCCTTCCATGCCTTATCTTATAGGTGCCTTCATTCGCTTGCGCCCCAATAATGGCCTGTCCTCTGAATCCCTGTTAGTCCTTGGACTTAAACGGAATGCCGCAATGAAGATTCAATGAAAAGACGCAATCGTCCTACCTTACGGCGATTGCCAGATTTTCCAAAGCAAAACAAAAAAAAAGCGAAAAGACATCTCTCCCTCGGGGAATCGAACCCCGGTCTCCCGCGCTTATCGGTGTTAATGACAAGCGGAAATCATCACCACTAGACCAAGGAAGATAAGATGGCTGAGTTACTGCTCGGCCACTTGGTTGGTTGATGGAATAACCTGTCATTTTATATTCTACCAGGGGGCTTTGGCGCCCCCCGGACCCCCAGCCTCAGTTGCTGAGCGTTGGCTTTATCTCAATCCGTAGGTAATTTGATTATCTCAATCCGTAGGTTATTTGATTATTTGATTACATATATGATTAAATACATTAGATAAAGACTCTATCGCATACGGAAAACGCGCGAGGGTGACTCCTCCGGAGATGATGGGCCTGAGGACGGCGAAGGGGTGCGAGAGGGTGGCGGCCTCTCGTGGAGTGGCTGAACTCGATGGGGTGTTGCTGGGAGGTGGAGGGCAGGACGACGCCTCGAAGGCCGGAAGGGTAACGTCTGAGATATTTGGCTGCCAGACGGTGGTGTGACCGGAGTACTCTGCATGTCGAGCTGAAAGAAATGCCCACGCAGTCTTCAATTTCGAGACACGCAAGCGAGAGGGAAAGGTTAGGTGAGGGCAAAATAACGTGACATTAGAATCTGTGATTTCAGGACCGGTATGCATAATGCGAGACTCCGCATTCACTAATCCACGTGACTCGGATTCCATTCACAATCTTTGCTAGGGCATTAAGCACTCTTATCTCCCATAATCACAAACGCTTCACCTTCTCCCATGATCGCCAAATCATCTATGAACAGGTGTGAGACTAGAACGGCTTTACCGCACAGAGAGTTGGCTTCTCTCCAATACTACCTTGCATGGCAACGTTTTCTACCTGATTCAGAGTGCATTTCATCTCCGTTTGCAAAAGCAAAAGACGGGAGTAGAGGCCATGCTGCTCGGATATTTGTGCTGGGTCATAGATTGTTGATGAGCCGCCTATATGTTAACGCCATTACATCTGGAGCCTAAAGTCCACGTTCCCGTTGGGGAAATTTCCGGGGTTTGTACTCGACCGGAGGGATGCATATTGAGATTATATTGACCACACCGGACTTTGGACAACTCCCTCGAAGATAGAACCGGGAGATTAGATTGCATGTCATGGTTTTGGATAATACGCATGACATCGCAACATCCCCCCAGTACACCAAGGTCATATCAGCAGTTGGGGTAAGGAGATAGGTAACGACTTCATTGACAGCAGTCACCATATGACGAAAGCTATTCCAGGCTTGGCCTCTTACTCCAACTGCCAGCGCCAAGATACACTTAACTCTAGTGAACTTCCATTTCCAGGTAAAGTCTGGAGAAGGCTGATATGGGCGCATCGCCATTGTCCCCGGCGGGCCGGCAAAAAAGCTCAACATATCTGGCATGACTGCTGTTGATTCCAAAAGCTGTCTGCGATCCACCGCTGGTTCCGATCTGGCCAATGGCTCTTGGAGAAGGGATATGGAGATGGAGGTTGATCGGGTTGGGGGACGATGCTGGTGACCTGCAGCATGGCAATAATCGCAGCTTACGTATGAAGTCTCTCTGCCGTATTGCGGACATACTCGTTAGTTCTGTATACAAATCCAACACATCGCTATTACTTTGATCATGATTTTGGCCTAATGGTATAGGTAGCGTCTTGCACACTGAGAAGTGGTGGTGCCGCGGTGCGTGGTGTCGAGTACCGTAATGGCTCGCAGCTCGCAGTGTCAATTTGTGTACGCTCTAGGTAAAGATAAGCGGCTGCTGTTGCAAATTATAATATGGGCTCGTTGCTGTGAGTTTGTCCACTGTGCACACAGACTCAACACATGAGCGTTATAGGTGGACATAAGGTGGTTGGAATACTACTGTGTATACTAGGACCATGACCATCCAAGCCGATTCAAGTAAAAAGAACCATAATTGAGTAGAAGTTGTTAATACATATGTCAACACCAAGACCTGGAATCATCTATACAGTACAGAGACCCGTCGTTTCAATGCAATCGACCGGATACCAAAATAACGAAAATGCAATCTGACAAAGAAAGAAGGCACCTATTTCTTCTGTCCCTCACCACCAGGAGGCTGACCCGTAAACGGATCAAGATGCAGCACCTCAGCCTTGATAGGCTGGTAGGTAGTGCGACCCTCCTGCGCCATCTTCAACCGACGCGCCTGACCCGCCTCACCAGCACGACCCAAAATCCCCGCAATAAGACAGGTAGCCCGCAGACTGTCATCGTTCGCAGGAATCGGGTAGGTAACGCGCGTAGGATCCGCATCAGTATCAATAATACCGATAGTGGGCACATTGTTCAATCCACACTCATGCAGCAGGACAACGTTCTCAAGAGGGTTAAGACAAATCACCAAATCAGGCTTGAGAGACGGCCGATCCGCAAGATCAGCCTTGAAATCAGGCAACTCCTCATCCAACGCATTGACAACCTTCGTCTCGCAGTGGCCGAGAATCTGCTCGCCGTTCGTCAGAGAACCGGGGATCCACCGCTCGAAAATGTGGTAACCCTTCGCCAGCTCGGCGGCTTTGACCACAGCCCGCTTCTGGCCCTTCCGCGTGCCGGCGAAGAGAATCAGTCCGCCGCGCGCGGCAACTTCCTCCACCACCTTCGCGGCGCGGCGCAGATACGCGGCCGTCACATCCAGCGAAATGATGTGCACACCCTCGCGGATACCGAAGATGTAGCGCGAGTTCTGCGGGTTCCAGCGTGAGGTCGAGTGGCCCAGGTGGGTTTGGGCTGCGAGTAGCATTTCCAGCGAGATCTGGGATGGCTTGGGAGGGTTGCGGATGACATTTTCGGGGTCGTAGAAGGTTCTCACGGTTGTGCCGAGCTTGCTAAAGTTCTTTCCTGAAAGGGGGAAAAGATACCATGTTAGTTGGTGCATTTCAGGAGTTTCCGATAAGGATTTTGCGGCTCACTATGCGATTCTTCCGCTGCGATTTCTTGCTGTGCGGATGTGTTGGCCCCTGCTTGCGCCTGCACCATCTCGAGGAGGGGATTTTCCGGGCGAGTAATCTCATCCTTGGGACTTGTTTGTACCGCCTGGACCGGTGTGACTGGTGTTTCTGGCAATGTCGATTGGAAGCGACTCGAGACCGGGGCTCGTTGGCTGAGAGCAAGGAGCTGGCGGCCTGTGGATTTATGCTGTTAGCAGGAGCGTTGAATGCAGAATATCAGCAATTGAATCACACTCACTCTGCCACATACAAGTCCTCCGTATAATCATTTTGGGAATGCTAATTGCAGATGTGTTTGGCAGGAGGTTACTTGGGGATATGTCCGCTCGAACTTTTGTCGGGCTTGGCGTTTTATGCCTGAGGCCTACCGCTATTCCGCTTGGGGGATGTTTTGGCCTCGCCGGCTGCTACAATTGAACTTTTCATGATTCATCGTCCTTTACATTTTACTGTTTACTGTTCTTAGCAAAATTGTCTTCGAGGTTGTCATATTGCAATTCTGAATATTATGCTCAGATAACCCAAGGGTATCCCGATATCAATACAATTCTGTCATGGCACCAAGGCCCTTCCTCTAGGGCGAAGAAACCGCTTCCATGAAATAATGAGAAAAGCAATAGCGATCTGACGGGTCAAAAAACAAGCGCGCCAACCCGTTGTGGAAATGGAAACAGAAAAGGGAATTCATGAAGCACGTGTCATCAGGCAGGAAACAAAAGAGGGGATTCCACTAGACGTCCTCTATTTTTTGAAGAAACCACCGAGCGAGTCCATCATCGAGCCGCTGTTGCTGCCGCCGTGGGAAGGAGGGCCACCGTATTGACCGCCACCATACTGCGCAGGAGAGTTGCTGTTGCTCTTCCGGTGCTTCTTGACGGCGTCTTCGGCGATGCTACCGATGATGGCTCCACCAATTGTTCCGAGGAAGCCGTGGTTGGCCTTGTGGCCAGCGAAACCACCTGCGGCACCGCCGGCGAGGGCACCAGCAAGACCACGCTCGCCTTCTTGGGCCTCACCGGGGGCACCCTGCTGTTGCTGGTCGTAGCCACTGTTGTTCGTTAGTCTGTGATGCGCTAGGTTGAAGCTGACATGAAGGCAGAACATACCCTTGACGGTACTGGTCATGCTGACCGTACTGCTGCTGCTCGTGAGACTGCTGGCCACCGTAGTAGTCGGAGGCACCACCCTGCTGTTGGCCGTAACCCTGCTGGTGTTGCTGATATTGCTGGTGTTGCTGGCCTTGGCCACCGTAGTAGTCAGAGGATCCACCCTGCTGGGGATATCCCTGTTGGCCATAGCCTTGCTGGGGCTGACCGTAACCTTGCTGTTGGCCGTAACCTTGCTGACCACCGTAGCCTTGCTGTTGGCCATAGCCTTGGCCCTGGTTGTACTGATCGTAGCCGGACATGATGAAATTGATATTGGTCTTGATGAAAGGGTGAATGGAAGTGGAAAAGGAACAGTAGATGATGGGTGTGAGAAAAGTAAAGTGAGGGGAGGCAACCTTTTATAAGATGTGACTTCAAGTAACCACAGGGCTGACGCTAGTACCCCACACGCAAGCGAAACATTACGGAACGAGGAGGGGCGCAGCGTCCAAAGCGTCAGCCTTGTGAAGCCCGCATATTACTGTCTTTTACGATAATACTGAATTCGAACACCGTTTAAACAATCCAATTGGTCTGCTCGAGTATTTCACAGGCACCGCCACACTATTGGACGCATCATTCAGCTGTATTCAACATGTGGCTATGCGGCATAGCCTATGCCAGGCTGAGCCCCTCCGATCGACACCAAACAGATACAGATAGATTACACGGATCGCTCGGCTTCCACGGTTCTTCCAGAATGTTTGGAAAAAAATCTAGGAAATCGGTTGGGACTCGCGGCCTGAAGCGATGCCGAGCCTTTTGTACGGAGTACTGTATTTTCGCTAGACGCACAGCGTCTCTCGGCATTCTGGATGGGTCATTTTATTTGGCTGCCTAGCACGCTAAGCCCCTAATATTAATATCATCATTCGGTCTACGCATGATTCATAGTTGTATAATCATTTATTCCGAGAGTTCTTGCAGTAATCCATACTCGAATACATCGTAACTGTATCATTAGTGGCAACTTGATCACCCGATCTACTCCGTACACAGTAAGAGTGACTCTTCTGACAACCTACAAAATGACGTCACGGGCACATGGACACTTGTCTATGTACAACACTCTGGCTGTGTACTGTGTAATGTACACAGTAGAGTAGTTAACTAAGAATTATACTGTGCTAACTTTAGAATTAGGCACTTGAGGGTTCCATGGATCCATCAATAACACATTAATGTATTGGGGTATTAGATCCATCTAAAGGCTGCATAGCATCACCTGTACACAGTAGAAGTCCAGTTATCCTCCACACTTCAGCGTATATGAGGACTGGGTTCGGGTCGTTTGACAAGCCAGATGTTGGAATCACAATGATGGCATGTACTCGTGACCTTCACATGATGCGAAAGGAGAGGAAGGCTGTTGTAAAATGCGGATCATCTGAGGTAGGTATGATTTTGACTCTGGGGTTGCAGCCCTACGCCGCGGGACACCTGATACCTATTTATGCCCGGGCGAGCCTGTCGTATCCCGACATTCAACCGTTCTCCTACCATCTATTATACAACTCAGACTGATGTGTAGGAGCATACGGTCTAACTCTACACAGTATGATTCCGATACAATAAACTGGTCATTCGCATCTGGAGAGTGGAAATCATCATGCGATCACGCTCAGGCAATGTTTCCACTTATATGTGATTTGCCGGCTTAGGTAGGTATTGATCATGCCCGGTAGGCCCACGATTTCGATTTAGTTGTAGAACTACATGATATATCCATTCTTACCGACATATATTGCATACACATCGGGCAAATGAATTTCTCTCTCTCTCTCACTCACTATGTCGAGACGGTATTGTAGAATGCGAGACTCGGCGAGTTGAATAGTAGCATAGCCGCAGAATAGTAAAACCAATAAATGTAGCCCCCCGGCCCCCACTATCAATTTGCCTCTCAGCTGGAGGCGAAATAACCAGGATCGACCGCCAATTGATGACGCCAGCCTTTTGAGACTTTGAGTTTTGTTGAGGGGACAACGGTCAAGAGTCCTTGTGAACAACTGCATTTGGATGGGGCTAGCGTGGTGCATTTTATTGAGGTGAGCTTCTGACTTAGCTGCTCCTTGCGCTTCGCACCGGTGAGCAAAGTCTTGAGCTTATGTAATAATCAGGTCGTGCTCAGTGAGCTAGTCAGAGCGCTCAGGTCAAGCTCAGTGAGTAAGATCAGGCTACTCAGTGAGTGTCAAGTCTGGATGGAAGAAGATGATACCTTTCCTATACTATCTAGCTATCGATAAGTCCCTCTGCGGGGCACTAGGTCAGGTGATGACATGTCACCTGACAATCCCCCGATAAAAGAAAAATGACCGCGCCCACGCGGTCGGGGGAGCGAACAGCAAGGGGAGCAAAACAACAAGAAGGGAAAACTAGGTAAAAATATGTAAAACCGGCCTCATCCTTGCGCCTCTTCAGTCGAGCTCCGATTCGTTGGTGAAAGTAATTCGTAACGCTCGCGCACCTTGTCCAAGGCGCGCCTGACCGGATCCTCTGCAGAACGACGCTGCTGCTTTCCATACACTGTTTCATGATTCTCAAGATGGTAGAGATTCGCGAGTACGCTTGCTAGGGGACAACGATCCCAAGCGAATGCGAAACCTTCTAGCAGTTTCAAAGAACCTATCGCGATGTCTAACCACATTGTCATTTTTCATTATCGCCTCGGCAAGTGGCATTGTGGCGAGAAAACGTTGCGCTCCATCCTTGAGTTTAACTAAACCATCTATTTTATCACGGATCTCGTCAATGCTTAGTGACGACGACTCGACAAGTGCGATGGCAAGATACTCCCAGGGTTTGGTGTAGGAAAATCCTTGTGAAGCCATAGGTCTGTCAAACAGCTTTGTGTCCATGATATATCCTCGGACCTCGTGAAATTTCTCTAGCTTCGATTTTGCACCTTTCGAGTCACCATCCTTTGCCACATTCAAGGCTAGATTATTACGCCAAGCCTCTGTGTCGAACGTCAGGCCGTCAGGGAACTGTATGTCTAGGAATGAGACATATTGCGAGGCTAATGTCATGGCTGATAGGCGGTAGTCAAGAGTGTCATTTAGATAGACGAGCACTTCCTCAGGATACTTCTTTCCCTGAAGCAATCGTTTGAGCTTCCAATGAGCTTGATTAGTCGCAACGTTATCTGGACCTGGGAAGGAGTCCATGTATGCTCTGGCCTTGGCTTTCACAATGTTGTGATAACCTCGACTGATACTGCCGGTAAATCCCGAGGCAGCTGTTGGGTCACAGCTTTCGCCCAATGGCTGTATAGACTTCACTTCGCGCAACTCTTCCCACTTCTTTTTATAATCAAGGAGCGGAAAGCCGGAGCCTGTCCTCCCTTCAAAATGCCATTTGTCATCTTGGGCAGAAAACGAAATCCTGTGTGTATCGTAGAAAGGGTCATGTTCTTTGTACGCTTCGTAGACTGCGCTGCACAGGTTTATATAGGTTGGTGATGAGTTTAACTCTTCGTCTTCACCAAGGATCGCATCAGAAGAATCATGGCTGCTCATTTTTGACATGTTTACCAAGGCATTGAGGACGGCAGTGACATAAATCGAAATGACCTGCTCGATAAGGTCCACAACAGTATGGCCCACTTCCTAGCCATCAGGCTTGATCATACACCGTGTTTCCCCGATCATGGTTTTGAAGGTCAAAGTCCAGAGCGTCATGTACCCAATATCTGGCCCAGTGACTGGTGCAACGGAGATAGTATCGAACCTCAAGGGAAAGAGCAATCCGCCATTCGCTTTACCTGAGGATAGGGAACGTCGAAAGTAGATGAAGATGAATCAGCCTGGAAACCGGGAAGACGTCTTGGTCAATGGTAGGTGAAAGTCGTCCACGGAGATGGGGTTTAAGTAGTTTGAGTGAACCACAGGGGCGACAGTTGGCAGCCTGAGGAGTCTCTATGGCTTGTACCCGGGCTCTTACCTTTCCTGGAAACTTATCCGTTTATCTTCTATATCGTGCTATTAGCCAGTGTTATCATGTTTTGGTGGAAAGTTCTGACTTGCTTACTTTGTTGGAAAGTATGTGATGTTTGATGGGAAAAGCAGTTTCGGGGAAGATGATAGCCCTGCCGGGTCTGTGACCTTTGTTCACCAGAACGAAGCGTCAACGGACGCCCTGGATTAGCCCCGGCGTTGGTCGCGGCATTGGCCGCGGCATTGGCCTCGGTGTTGAGATCGGCTCCCATCAAAAAGACCACCAAAAAATCTGCCAAAATCTGCCAGATGTCCGCTCCATGCACTTTGATGTGCACAGGAAGTTCCCAATCTATGGAACAACATGTTGCATGGAGCAACTGGATGGGCCGCGGTAACCCAGCGATTCGGAGGATGAGTCAGTAGAGGAGGGCAAGAGAACTACTCGATGTCGTATCTGTCAGTATATCATCGATAACAGGATAGCAGGCCTGCTTACTCTTTCAGAGCTCCATTCCCACCTGCAGGTTGGGTTGACCCTTTCATGCCGAAGACGTGGGACATCTCCGTCTGAATGACCTCGGTGAAGTAGTTGTCAGGAAGATGTAGTGGACAGAAGGTTGGTGTTGCAGATATAGTCAACTTGGAAGAAAGTCATATGACCAAGGCATCTTAGACATTGGAAGGATGAAAGCATCCGGAGCACCTGGATCTCAGAATCAGCTGAGCTGTTTGTCAGTTTCTCTGCTCGGGCCCTTACTTTCTTTCACTTTGGGCTCAGAACTGAACTTGAAGTGAGAGTGCTCACATGTTTGTGGTACACGTAAACAATCAGCAGGAATCTTTTGGGACTTCTCGTTGGCAATGCAGCAATCTTTGGATTTGAAACTCCTGTATGTATCTAATCTCACATTGCTCGTCACATATGGACACAAATCTCTATTAGCTTCGAAATGCCATTCACTTTCAGAGTGGGCCTCCATCCAACGTCTGGATATTGAGTGAGCCCTGGATATCAAAGAATAAAGCGAAACCGAACAAAACCCAAACGCGTCAAATCTCATCATAGTCAAAGCACCTTCATCGGCATCTCAACCGAGGGCTTGCATGGCCAATTCGACACTAAAGAGATATTAGCAGCAATCCAAAAGGTGCAATTTCAGGAAATGTGGAGGAAACACATACGTCAGGAATGTGCCGGCAGACACAGGCATAGCTCTCAGCAGAGTCGGGCCAATACCCTTCCAGAAACCACCGAGACCCTCGAGAGCATATGTCTTCTTGAAGCAATCACGCATAGTGCTGAACTTCTGTTGCGCGCCGAATCCATCGGTCTGCATCTTACTCTTGATGACATCGAAGGGGTAGCTGGAAAGCCAAAGAACCTCACCAGCCAGACCACCGTACATGGCAATCTTGCCCTTAGAAATGTCCTCACGCTTGATACTGTTACGCTTGGCATCTTGGTTCATCATGAACTCAAAGGCTGCGAACCAAGCACCGTATGCCTGGGCCTCACGGATAACGGTGACAGCCTGGCCGCGGTAAAGACCGCGGAGGGCACCGCCCTGCGCGGCCAGTTTGCTCACGCAGTCGAGAGGACCCGAGTACAGACGGCCGGCACCGTGCGGCTGTGCCTGCAGACGGATACGGACGTGCTCAATCGGACCTGACAGCACGGAGTTGGTGACACCGGCGAATGAACCGGCCAAGTAGTACTGGCTGTAAGAAAGAGCTGGGTTGGCATATTTCTTTTTGTTCAGCTCTTCCAGACGACGGCGCGCTTCATGGTAGGCACCGAATTGGACAGACACCTGTATTGGTGGGTTAGAGGGGTGTCCATGGATCTCGGCTGGGGTAACTCACGCAAGCACCGATACCGATAAGCGGGGTCAGTGTGCCCTTGTAGAAGGCCGAGGGACCTTCTTTCTTGAAAATCTGGGTTGCGCACTCCAGCGCACTCTTGTACTGAGTGGTGGTCTGCAAGCGCACCTTGACAATATCTACAGGCCGTTAATCAATGCCTCTTAGGCTTGTGGGTGGAGGGGCATCAAATACCAAAGGGTTGGCCTAGTCATTCGTTAGCAATTGATCTTATTCTACATGTATGATCGAAGAAGAGATCATGGCTCATGGTAAGGATATCATCCCATGCTCTTCATGGAATTTTACTCCATCAGTTCGTCGGAGTTAGGGTGCACACATACCGAGCAGAACTTGAGCAATTCCACCAGCTGCGCCCGCAGTCAAATCCTTGACGGTGCGGAGGGCACCATCGCCACCCTGGTCCATCTTGTCAATCACCTCAGTCTCCATTTTTTCAAGAATTCAACTGCAAAAGAGTCCAGTATACAAGACAAAATCACAATCCGGAGACTCCAGACTTTATATTGAGCCCGCTTATCTCTATGTCGCCATCTGCCCGCTGATTCGACGCAGGGGCCGAGCCACGTGACTTTACCGGCGGACAATGTGCGTGAGTTGGTCGTTCTCCTGTGCTAACCGAGTATGGCTAGCGCCAACTTAAACCATGACATAAGCGGTTCCGGCCGATATTCTGGAACTGCTGGACAAGGGAAAAAAGTGTTGACGGATTGACAGATCCAGATGAGGAAAGATTAACTCGCAATGCATCGCCGGCCAGTCTGCAGGGTAAGCACGGAGTCGCTTCTAGGTGTTGAGAAGAGTATCTAAACAGAATCATAGCTATCACGTCGGGCTGAGTGGTCAAATTCAGCCTGCCGAACACCTTCATTAACGGCATACACAATTCGACGGACTTTACAGTCATCTGCGACGCGTTGCGATTCAGCAGATCCACCGGACGGAAACAACGATGGCACCGCCGCACCTTCAGAAACACCGAAGCCCAAGTTCGGTAGCCGATGGGCCCCTAAGCAAACTACAAAACCTGCTGGCCTGAGTGCCGCAGAACTAGCGATTCGCCAAAACCTCATCACGAAGAGCCAACCTCCGCCCCCACCTCCACCACAACAGCAACGCAGCTGGGAACAGCCAAGGCACCAACGGAACTTAGGGTACTCAGATCGGCACACGAGGCCATTCGCGAGGCGCGATGCGGGCTCCCGGGACCGCTCAGGTGGCCACATGAAGTGGTCGGCAGATACACCTCGGAAACACGCGCGGGACCAACCTTTTGAAGAAGAAAACCCTTTCACCAAAAAGGAGAGCGATGCGGGCTCTTCGGACACCCGAGGAAGCGATATGAACTGGTCGAGAGAAACATATCGGAGGCAGCCACGGAACCAAGAGAGGAGCCCTTTTAATGAAGAAAGGAACCCTTTTGCTGAGGGGAGGGACTATGCTGGCTCTCGGGATGAGCAAATCGCCAACTTCAGGCGGGCAAGACAAGCCCCGCGGTATCAGGAGAGGAACCCGTTCTATGAAGAGAAGAACCCATTCGCATCCGAAAGCACACAGAATAACCTCGAGGGCCCATCTCAGAGCAGAAGAAGGAATGCGCCGTATGGAAAGACTTATGAAGACTGGACTTGCCCAAATTGCTCCAGGGCTGTTTTTGCCTATAGACGCGCGTGTCCATTCTGCCAAACCCCTCGACAGACCGATGCTCCGCAAAAACCACGAATAACTAGAGATTATGCCGAGAACCCCCGTTCGTCGCAGCCCCGTCAGTCTCGGCCCGCTTCTGAGGATAGTCAAAAATTCCAGCAGTTGGGAGATTCATTATTAAATGAGATGGAAGGCGACGGCCAGGACGCAGCAAGAACCACAGAGCGCGATATTAAGGAGGGTAAGCCTCAAACGGATCAGGAGAAGGAAGACTTCAAGAAGAACCAGTGGACCTGGGATATGTCTGCCTTAGAGCAATTAAAGGAATTAGAGGCTCAAGAGCAGCAGCCACAAAAGCCTGTGAAGCGACGCGAAGTGCGCGAAGTGCGCAAAGGACGTCAGGATTCTGACGAAGCCGACTTTGACTCGGAAAATCGCGAGCGCCTTCGCATAGAGCGGAGACGCCTGCAAAAGAAAAGAACGAACAGAGAGCCGCGAAGAAGGCTGCAGCCGAGGCAGCACCTGCGCCTCTTTACCTCCCCGAATTCATCAGCGTCAGCAATCTGGCTGATGTCATTGGTGTGCGGCCGGCGCAGTTTGTGCAGCGAATGGAAGAAATGGGATTCGATGAGATCACGTACCGGGATATCCTCGATGCAGAAACCGCCGGACTGGTAGCCGCTGAATTCAACTTTGAGGCCATCTTCGACAGTGGCCGGGAAGACTTACAGGCCGCACCTCCGCCAGAGGACACATCGAATCTGCCAACTCGGCCGCCCGTGGTCACGATCATGGGTCATGTCGATCACGGCAAAACCACCATTTTGGATTGGCTGCGAAACTCATCTGTGGCAGCGTCTGAGCATGGCGGTATCACACAGCATATCGGTGCCTTCTCTGTGACGATGCCTTCTGGAAAGGCTATCACTTTCCTTGATACCCCTGGTCATTCTGCATTCTTGGAAATGCGCCGCCGAGGTGCCGACGTGACAGATATCGTGGTCCTTGTGGTTGCTGCAGACGACAGTGTCAAGCCGCAAACCATTGAGGCCATCAAGCACGCTACGCAAGCCAGAGTTCCCGTCATTGTTGCCATCAGCAAGATTGACAAGGAGGACGGCAACCCTGATCGAGTCAAGACTGACCTTTCTGTTCATGGTATTCACGTGGAAGACTTCGGAGGTGACGTTCAAGCCATCGGTGTCAGTGGTAAAACTGGGCAAGGAATGGTCGAATTGGAAGAAGCCATCGTGGCGCTTTCAGAAATGCTCGACCACCGCGCAGATACAACCTGCAACGTCGAAGGATGGATCATTGAGGCCTCCACAAAGAGCTATGGCCGTGTAGCATCCGCTTTGATCCGACGTGGAACTCTCCGGCCAGGTGATGTGATCGTTGCCGGTACCGCGTGGGCTCGCGTTCGCACCCTCCGCAACCAAGCCGGTGTGACCATCAGCGAAGCGACACCTGGAATGCCCGTCGAGATCGATGGCTGGAGGGAGCAGCCAGGTGCCGGCACCGAGCTCCTGCAAGCCCCAACCGAGCAAAAGGCCAAGGATGTTGTGGACTACCGCTTAGAGAAGTCCGATACTCAGAAGATGGGTGTCGATATGGCTGCCATCAACGAGGCTCGTCGTGAACTTCTCGAAAAGCGCAGGCGCAAGGAGCAGGATGAAGAGGAAGCAGCGAAAGAGGTCGAATCCACCGGTCCCAAGCCGGTCAACTTCATTCTGAAGGCCGATGTGGACGGCTCGGCGGAGGCAGTCTTGAACTCCGTTGCGGCTGTCGGCAACAATGAAGTCTTTGCCAATATTATCCGCTCCGGCGTTGGCCCTGTCAGCGAATTCGACATCGAACACGCTGGTAGTGCCAAGGGCAAGATCATCTCCTTCAATCAACCCATTGACCCCAATATCATGCGCATGGCTGAGACCGAGGGTGTTGAGATCATGGATCATAATATCATCTATAAGCTCATCGATGATGTCAAGGCTATTCTGAGCGAACAACTACCTCCATCCGTCACCACACGTGTGACCGGAGAAGCTGAGATCCAGCAGGTATTCGAGATCACCGTTAAGGGCCGCGAAAAGACCTCCATTGCAGGAAGTCGCGTGCGCAACGGTATGATCAACAAAACCCGTAAGGTCAGGGTGCTTCGTGGGGATGAAGTCGTCTACGATGGTAAGCACATCACCAAGGAATATGATACCGACCACACTCGGACTACAGCTAACTTTCCCATAATAGGCACGATGGTTTCGCTCAAGAACGTGAAGAAAGACGTCACTGAAATGCGCAAAGACACAGAATGTGGTATCAGTTTCGAGAATTGGACGGCTTTCGAAGTCGGCGACCACATTCAGTGCTATGAAGAAATCTTTGAGAAGCGATATCTGTGAGATACTCGCTCCTTTCTCTCTCAACTTCTGTGTGGTCGTCATGACCCGCTTGTATTATCTGTCTGGGTTATCTGGCACTCTCCATTCCCCCCTCATGATCTCCTGATTCAGATTCTTTGTATTATATTTTCCCCTATCTCTCTGCATGGTTGGTTGCATTCAGTTGTCGGGCGTTGTTGCACCCCTAATGCAATCGATGCTAGGGAGGATGCTGCTGAAGCAGCGTTGTAAATTCTCAAATACTACGATAGATACATTCCCACGTTTCTTTCATTTACTCTTTTATCTCTACATGTAGAATAGAATCACGGTACCTAGTTCAAAATCAGCTGGCAAGGCCTTGAATGGTAATTATTTGGTCGTTCTGTAGATACACAGCATATCAACGAAAGAATAGCATGATCCCCATTTTGATCCAGTACACCAAAACCCCTGCCTTCCCATCCCAAAACAATGTATCCAACGCCGAGTCGAAGAAGCGAAAAAGAAAGAAACGCTACAACTGATGGAAAATCCCACCAGCCTCAGCAAACTTCTGCTGATACTCCTTCAAACTAGCCCATTGGCTTAGTTCTTCTTGATCCCGATCATAATCACTCAAATAGCTCATCGCGCGGCCGTTCGTCTGCGGGCTCACGCCTTCAACGTTACTGGGTGGATCAATTATTGGGGGATGGCATTCCAACCGGACAAGAGTCTCAATGAATGCATGGAGGTAGGATTCCGCCTCTGCGGCTGTGAGGACGTGAATACCCGGTGGTGCTGCAGTTGGTAATTGTGGCTCTGTCAGGTCTAGGCTTTCGGTGGTTTGTTGTTTGGGGCGGTTGGAGAGACCGAGGAGGGTGGATGCTACTTGGCGGATTTTCATAGTCTAGAAGTAGGTTAGATGAGGCCTGATGCATGATTAAGAGGGAGATAGATATTCTCCGGGTAAGGGTTGCTTACAATACTTGCACCGTTGGGCTCCATGTTCACTTCGTTTACTGTCCGTAGAAGGACGAAGAGATCTTTGATGACAAGCTTGCGCTCTTCGGCCATGATTTGGCCGATATAGTCTGCTTCTGCATGGGGATGCGCTTGGCTCTCGGCCTCAAAGGGAGTAGAGCCAGTCGGAGCCGTAGTCGGAAACGCATCGGATCTGCCTTCCATCCTGACGTGGGGTGTGGTGCTGCCCAGACCAGTCGAAGCCGACGACTTTCCATACTTTGAGAATGCCTCGGACAGGCTCCAATACTTCTCGACCAGATATGACCTGGTACACAGCTGACTGGCGTAGATGTTGGCTTTCTGGATCTCATATTGGATAGCACGTCGTTCTTGGTGGATGTGATCATCGGAGTAGCTGAATGCTGCGCTATCTCCAAAGCCGGACGTACCAGCCGCGAACTTGTGTTGCGGATGGTGGAGAGACAGCTCGGAAGGAACATCAAGGAGCGCAGATTTCGCTTTCTTGAGACAACCCCAAATGCTATTGCGTTGGTGTTCCCAGTCGAAGATGTGGCCGCTGCCAAAGGCGATTTCCCAGGACAGCAAGGCGTTATATGAACTATAGACGCGCACATTTGCATTGAATCCGACTAGTTGCGAAACACGGTCTGGTGGCTGTGGCTCGCAATGTGTAGGAAAGAGAAATTCATCGTCGATTTCCAGTGGAAGCGGTGGATAACGGTCACTTGGTGTTTCTGGAGGAACATGGATTTTGAGATCCGAGGAACCCATCTGATGTAATGTCTGGTAGCCCACAAAAGTGACATAGAAAAGACGCCGACCGAGCTCTTGCGTGATAAGATCAACGTGTGGGCTTTCTGTGAAACTATGTGCCGATGGTAATGGATGAGGCCCCCCTAGTGTCGAGATCGAAAGATTGGTGGCAGGGCGACAGAGGTCATATACCTGGAGCATGGAACGGCATTCGGACAAGTAAATTCGGCATCGACGCATGTTGTAGATATATCCCGCACAAACTGCGAGAAAATAACTGATTGCTGCGTCGTAGACTGTAGCATTGCGATCAAGATACCCGATGCCGCGGGCCTGAATAGCAATGTCAAGGCAGCGTTTTACCAGAGCTATAGAGTGCGGAAAGGCAGCACGTTCGGCTTCGGTGTTGAGGCGAAGCTTAGGCCTTCGAGGGAAAGAGGCCACGAGAAGTCCGATCATTGATGCCAAAAGCGCCAAAAATGTGTGATTAGTTGCATCTTCTCGGCGCTCAAAGGCTGCTCGGAAAGTTGGCTCATGTGGGACTGGCACCAATGGATGAATGTAAGTAAAAAAATCATCGAGTAGTAGCTGCACTGTGTGCAAGGAACATATTGATTCCGCCGAAAGAGGAAGTGGCGCAGATTGGTTGATGAGCGGCGTCGCGTGCGGAGTCGTCGGATAATCCGTTGGGCTCAGCGAAGCTGCATCATCGGGCTCTCGCTTTTGTTTCTTGATCGCCTCTGCATGGCGGTTGGGAGGACCACGGCGTCTGCTTGGTCTTTCATAGGTGCAGGGAATATCCAAGCTAGCGCATGACCGACATGGAGGCCCACCGGCATCACACTTGCATGCAACTCAGCAATTTTCCCTGAATAGCGAGAAAAATAGACCATACCTTCACTTTTCGAATACTGCAGGCATCGCAGGCCTTGCGAAGCCTTGTTTTTAGGTCCATCGATGAGCAATTGCGCACCTAGGTTGACCACGCCTCGGCTTGACAGGTCATGTTGACTCCGAGAGACAGTCGGAACATGTACCAGGCTGATAGGCCGTGATACCGAATACCAGAGCGCAAAAGTCGGAACAAGTTTAAAACTGCAGCTCTAATCGACTGGAGGGCCGGAAAAGTCCGATCTCTCAATGCCGGGGGTTCGCACTTCCCGATTGTTAAGCGGGCCGGTCGAACCTGGAAAAATGTGGGGAGTCTAACTTTGGGCTGCTGGGCAGCTTATGAAAGGATTTAAATTGTTCTGCACTTAATGGATGAATATAAAAGGTTGCAATGTTATTGGAGAAATCGCAAAACGATCGCATAAAGGAGCTCGTCTCGGCCAGCCGCAGTCACGTGTCATATACACATAATCGAACCCACAAATTCCAGGGGGTTTGGGCCAGTGAGAAGGAGGAACTGGAACGGACGACAAGAGGTGGTCGAGGTCAACAAGAAAAACCTAACGACGAGAAGCCCAGCCCCAGCAAGCGAGCTGAGGGTCAAGATTGAATGCAAGGCGTTCATGAGAGTCATTTGAAAAGCAGTCGAAAAATCCACTCCATGGGCAATTCCTTCCCAATGGGCCAATCGTGCCTTTACTCCGGAATGTCAAGACGCAGTGAAAGATGTTCGACGCCTGCGGAGACGACACGAGAGAACAGGAGACCCTCACGATAAAGAAATGTACAAAGCAGCAAGGAACAGCAAGACGAGGCTTATCAAAAAGACTCTCCGCCTCAACCACCGACGCAAGGTACAAGAGATCATGGAAGAAGGACCGGCGGGCTGTAGAAAATGGGCAAATGGGCGCGCAATCGACAGGAAGCATACGACCGGGGGATAACACCATCGATAAACAACAATGGTATCCTCTTGTGCTGTGATCTCTGGGAAGTGGATAGGTTCTGGGTATTGACTTCATCATCATCATAGGTAGAGGGATAAATAGAAGGAATTACACTTGAATTGGAAGTTCATTGAATCATGATTAGCTTTACTCCAGTGGCACAGACTAAGGGTATCAGGCAACACAGATGTAAAGATGTAAAGATGTAGAAAATGACATTTGCGCCTTGCAGAAATTGGTCAAAGAGATGACCGATGGTATCGTTCAAAGATCATGGCATAATTTCATCACGGTACTGCTCACCTAACAGACTGGACTCATGATTGGCAGCTCGTCGCTTACGTTCGAGGTCTGTCACCCAAAGCGCCGAGCCGGCAGCCGTGGTCATCAAGAACAGCATGGAGAAAGGAGGGACCAATTGGAGTAACAGAGCCACCGTTCCAAAGCTGAGAGACATTAGCGCTGAAACGCTAAAACCAAAGAGATAATGTGACAAGACTTACGTAGTGTATTGCAATTGGCGCCGACTGATACTTTCCTTTCTCTGCTTCTTGGTCATGTCAAGTAAGTGGAAGTAACGCCAATGATGGAACGGACCGGCACGATATCCAGTCAGAATCAAGAACATTGGAGTGCCAGCCACAGGAATGAAGATGAGCGGAAGTAGAATAATAAATTCGGCGATCTGTCGGAACGAGAGGGGGGAATAGACGGCACTAGTGGTCGGCGTGCCGAGACGCTTAGCTGGATCGCCCGGCTCGGGATAGATAACTCGAGAGGTGGTAACGAGCTCCTCCTGGCCCTCGTTGACCAACACCGCATCAAAAATATCCACCAGTGTCTCGTCAACAAAGAAGGCTTCGAATAGTGCGGCGACAATCGCTGCACCTTCACCGAGCACCAGAAATGCGCCACTGACCCATGCTGAGCTACCCTGGAAGATAGCAAGAAAGGCCACCTGCGGCAGGTAGGCGAAGAAGAAGAGAATGAAGTATATGAAAGTTGAAAGGAGGACAATGGGGAGAAGGCGGGCCTTAAAGAGAGGCCATAGGAACCGATTCGATGCAAAGTATAAGATACCCTAATGAAGTCAGGTCTGAAATGTGACACAGGTCAGAATAACATACCCGGAGAGGATACAGCCAAGCTGCTCGGCTGGGGTCCCAAGGTCGCGACATAATTTGCAGTATTCACAGGTTCAAAAGGATCCCTGCGTACGATGGACAACCTTGTACGAACGCAGGCAGCAGCTTATCGATAATTATCTCCACGTGATGAGCGAGCTATCGGGATGACTAAGCGTCTACTATTTGTTCGAGAAATTTTTCGCCGAGCGCCCTTTTTCCTTTTCTTCTTCACATAAAACTATCTCCTTCCTATTCACTCTGAACTTTCGTTTCAATCACTGTTCTGGAGGGGAAATGGAAGGAAAGACCAATTCTGCTGGCTTACCCCAGACTCTTCTACTCAAGCGTGGAGCGTTTGGAATATAATCAGCTGTACATTCCTTTTCAAGCCTCATCTGGGGATTGAAGCCTGTTTGGGCATTCATAGAAGACTTAAGGCCTTAAATTAAGACTGATGAGCTTGGATCTTGTCCACAATGTACTCCAGACTCTGTACAATGGCAGTTGGCTGTAGACCCGGAGCTGCAGCATCCTTCCAGCCTGCCCCAGCACGATCAACCCAAATAGCCTGCATGCCTGCATGGCGCGCCCCGACGATGTCGAACGGGTTGCTGCTGACTAGCCAAAGCTTGCCCATCTGTGATGGGTCCTTGCGTGTCTGCCTTGCGAGGTGCTCGTAGCTCGCCTTTGACGGCTTGTATTGCCGGATCTCGTCCACAGTGACTATGTCTTGGAAGACACCCGCCTGCAGCGAAAGATCCTTGGACCGCAACACCGAGTTGGATATCATAGTTCTGGTCCCGTTGGAGAATACCATCGCTTGGATGCTTGGGTCTGCGGCTATGTGAGCCAACCCTGGTTTCACATCGGGGAATGTAGAGAGACCGTCATAAGCTTGCATCAAGTGTTTGATATCGGCATCGCTTAGCTGCTCGCCGTTGTCGGCTAGGGCGTGCACTAGGGAGTTACGTGTGATGGTTGAGAAGTCTTCATAGCGGCCTGTTGACCGTCAGGTTGATTTCAAGAACATTGCGCCATGGTTGCTTACCCATGCTATTCAACCGCCATGTGTACTCCAGCTGATACCGCCTCCAGAGTGCGGAGATCGACTGAGCCTTAGCATGGTCATAATGTTCCTCTAGTTGCTTGGAGATCGACTCAGTAGAAAGCAAGGTCCCATATAGATCAAAAGCAACAACTATTTTGTCAGCCATGATGTTTATGCAGTGATTGAAGTGAGAAGGGGTTGCTGATGATGTCAATTCCCCGCGGGGCAGAATAGACCGCCTGACTTGGCCTCATAACACCAACAGAGCATATAGCCTTTGTCCCTGCTGCCCTGCATATATCCAAGTCTCAATGACTTCCGACGAAAATTATGCTATCTTCCGCGAATGCCTATCCAATGCGATTGTTGCCCGCTCTGAGGAGAAACCAAAGCCAACCAAACGAAAGCCCAAGAGCAAACGAGTAACCACAACAACAGCCTCAACAGGGAGATCAAACCCAGAAGAGCTCGCCGAATTTGTTGATGTACATCTACCCAGCTAGCCCGATGCAAAGAAGACAATCACCCCATGAATAAAAGGGGCACAAAACAACCAAAACCGCCAAGAACCCAACTAACAAGACCAAATGCTAACAAACGGTACAAACGCAGTACCTCGCCTCAGAAACCTTCACTTCCTTCCCAAAACCCCTCCAAACCCTAAACTACGCCGCAACCCAACACGACCCAACCCTATTAAAAATATACGCACCAGACGCCGACACGCCCCTCCCACGCAGCACGCTCGAACTCCTCACCACCCCAATCCCCGTCAGCGTGACAGACTCGCTGCTCGCATACGGCATAATCCCCGATGCAGCAGATCTACCCGATTTCCTCGCCCCTGTGCTGGCAGAGTACACGTCGAGCGTGACCGCTGCTCCGCCGGTCTGGGCGAGCACGCGCGCGGATGCGTGTGAGATCTGTGAGAGGGACTGGATTCCGCTTTCGTATCACCATTTGATTCCGCGCGGGGTTCATGCGAAGGTTGTTAAGAAGGGGTGGCATGATGAGTGGATGCTGAATAGTGTTGCGTGGCTGTGTCGAGCTTGTCATAGCTTTGTGCATCGTATGGCGAGTAATGAGGAACTGGCTAGGGAGTGGTTTACTGTTGAGCGGATTTGTGAGAGGGAGGATGTGCAGGATTGGGCTAGGTGGGTTGGGAGGGTTAGGTGGAAGGCGAGGTAGTTGGTGTGTGTTATTGCGAGCTTCAAATGCTGATTTGAAAGGGTATTTATGCATGGGTAAACATGAGCAAGTCGAGATGAAGATAGGATATGAGCTTAGAAGTTACAATACGAGATGAATAATCTGCAATTAGGACCAAATCGAATAACTATAGAAGCTCCTATTAGTCTTACATGGAGCTGTAATTAGAGATAAAAATGACCTGCTCACAATCCTACAGCTAACCTCGAGTGACTGTCGCAGTGACAGTCTCGACAACCCGGTCCGTCACCGTCTTGGTCTCAGTCTCAGTCGTTGTCTTTATAATTGTAATAAACCCAGATGGCGTGATCGGGTGGACTTCATTGCCATAATCATGTGGGGATGTCGGGCCAGCGACATTTGCATCCACGGCAGAAGTAAGATCTGGTGCCGGTGTAGGTTGTGCTGTCTCAGAAGGGACGGCACTTTCACTTGGCCGAGGGGTCTGGAGAACAACCTTCGTGGAAGTGACATACACCGTCTCTACAGGAACATTTTCACTTGCAGAAGCAGACGTGGTTGATTGAACGGTCTGGAAAACAACCTTGGTGGAAGTGACATACATCGTCTCTGCAGGAGCATTCTCGCTTGGAGCTACCTCACTTGGAGATAACGACGGCGAAGACGGAGAAGCCGGTGATGTTGTCGGGTAAACAGTCACACGCACGACGGTCGTTGCAACATCATGAACAGTGACAAACGACGTTGACGTTGATTCGGGTTCAAGAGATGGGCTTGCCGTTGGCACCTCTGTTGACATAGACGGATCAATGACACTGGTCACTGGAGAGTGGACGATGCTTGTCGAGAAGGGAGTTGGGAATCCTTCGCTCATATATACAATCACAGGCTGGGTTACCGTCGTCACTATTGACTGAGGTGTGAAGGCGGAAGGCTGTCCTGATGCAGACGGTGTTTGCTGGGAAGTCTCTGGCTGGACCGGTGGTGTCGGTATAAGTGGTGTGGATGTAGGAGCTCCACTGCTGCTTCCACTAAGCAGAGGTGCAATGATGCCGACTGTAGCGACCGAACTACTACTCGTGGGAACTGCTGCCAACGGTGTCGTGGACTGGGGTGTCTCGGGGGGTGTAATGAGTGGCGTGGAGATAGCGAAACTGCTACTGGGGCCACCGAGACTTGCAGCAGCAGCAGCAACCGTGCTGCTTGCAATGGGTGTTGTCGATACCGGTGCTGTTGACCCGAATGGCTCAGAAGTTGCAATGAGTGGCGTCGGTATAACTGGCGTGGATGTAAGAGTTCCACCGCTGCTTCCACTACCCAGAGGTGCAATGATGCCGATTCCAACGACCGAGCTACTACTTGTGGGAATTGCTGCCAACGGTGTCGTGGACTGGGGTGCCTCAGAAGGTGTAATGAGTGGTGTAGAGATAACAGCGGAGCTACTACTTACACCACCGAGATTTCCAGCTGCAGCAACAACCGTGCTGCTTGCTATGGTCGTGGTCAATGTGGGTGTTGCTGACTGAACAGGACCAGGGGTTACAACCACCGGAATAGGGCTCGCAGCTCCGCTGCTGCTCGAGACCGGGCCCGGAGCCACATTATGGCTGCTTTGGCTATCTGCCTTCGCCAGCCAGGCTAGAAAAGCCAATGAAGCCACATTTGAGTCATGTGCAGACGGCGTTTTCTCGGGTAGAGGAGATGAGCCCGCAGCAGCTGAATGGGGTTGGTCTGGTTTTGGCAATACACTCGAACCTCCGACTGCGGTTGTTGAGCTTGGACTGGAAATGGGATCTGCTTTTACTGGCAAGGAAGTAGTCGCTGCTGGCTGTGAAGATGACCCCAGAGCAGCCGTTGTGCTTGTGGCATATTTTGGGTCCACATGGACAGGCAACGAACTAGCCGTTGTTCGGCGCAAGAACGTTTCAGCAGGGGCTGAGCTGAGGATGACGCTGCTTGGAGTTTGCGTTGATGCAGGAATTTCTGTGGTCTCCGAAGAGACCATTTCAGTAGGACACTCTGAGGGAGTAGATATGGTTGTCGATGTGGTTGTCTCCGTAAGAACTCCACTCCCCGAACTGACCGAGCTGGAAATGTGTGTTGTAATCGGCTTCGGAGATGTGGTAGACTCTTGGGATGTAGTTGGTTCTTGAGTGGTAGTTGGTGCAGCAGTCTCCGTAATGGGAAGATAGCTAGAATCAGGAGAGGTGACCGTCTGGTCACGCCGTCTCATCTCCGCCATCGCGAAGGAGGCAATAGGTGCAGGTGCCTCATCTGGAGACCGAAATTGCCAGCGAGAGATCGGTCCCGCTGATGCAATCCATGGCAGGAAAAAGAAGAAAAAGAATAGAGAACGAAACATCCTGGTATAGAATCGACAAGAACGAACGATTGTTGAATGTAGCCAGGACACGACGGCAAAATTGTGATAGATCAAGAAGCCTGGATGCTCGGGTAGAGATATAAGGAAGCGTTGGGATCAAGTAGAAGAATTGCCGATGTGGAAGAGCATGGTAAACGAAGTATCACCGTGAAATTGATGGAAAGACACACCAGGCGTCTTGATGGCTTGTGATGAAAGAATGGCTGGATCACTAGGGGTCCACATAAAACGAATGGAAACAATAGCAAAGAGGCAAGATGAAGCCAACACCAACAAAAAGGAAGTGTTTTCTTTCAGGTCCCTCGCGAGCGAAGGTCCTAGCCAGTATATGAACATCTGTTTCATCAGAGCCTGGCTGGGGGCTCGGGGGTTAGGGCTTCCTGTCAGCCGCCCATTGTTCCACCCTTTACCCATAATCAAGGGCCTGAACTGCGACATTCCGATTCTTCCAACCAGAAAAAAATATCCCAAGGAGTTTCTTTGGTGGGGATAGATGTTTCGTCAGAAATAGATCAGCGCGCGACAAACAGACGTTGCAGTAGGCGCCCAGCCCCGGTCGATGGCGCGTCGTGATTGGTCGGCTGGAGGCGCAGGAACACCCTTTTTTATCTTGTTTGAAGAATCAACGTTGGTATATGAACTGCATAGATTTGCTCAAGACTTAAGATGCTGCTTGGTTAGCCCGTTTGCTACGTTGTGACTCGTACGGGCGCGTAAGTTGAGATATAACCATTAGACCGTGGTCTGGCCACACTGTTCTCTTCAATAAAATTGTTTGAGATAACCTTCTATACAGATTAGCAGTCATCGTCGACTTGTCATAAATTATACCGTAAACATATGAGTCAGAGCATTAAGTCTTGACTGTAAATGTCCCGCCGATGCCCTCGAATGACTTGAACTGGCCTAGGCCGGTCTTTGATTCTCCATAATAATGCATCCTGTAGGTCCCATCCTGCACAGGGTTGGAATTTCCGACATTATAGTAGTCATCCTCAATCTCCCATGCAATGGTCACCTCACTGAATCCTAGGATGAGATCTGTCCGCTTCCAACTAAAGACCAAGTTCCAGTCATGGTCATTGCGCACGACCTTCCATGTGCCGTCATCCGCTTTCCGTTCAACTGCAGCATAGGTTGATTCCAGATGCAGGTTGTTGCGGGGATTGGCGCCAACAAAACTCGTCTTCACAATGTCGCCAGGGCCATAGGGTCCGTTTCCAGGGTTTTTGGTCACAATTCCAAAGTGCTTGCCCAAGGGAGCACCGTCATATATAACTCCGGGGACGAAGCTCAATGAGATATCGGTGTTGATTGGTGGGCTGGGGCCCGGTGGGATGGGAGGGAGCTGCGCAACATCCGAGTCACTCCCTAAATATGGCAGATATTTGAGCGTCACATTGATGTACGCTGCCAGGGTGTTCGGCCCGTAAAGCGTGGATGCGCCCTCGTAGCGCTGAACGCGGTACTCCTCTTCGGTTGTCACATAGTGTGCATACGTGTTGGATGGGGCTCCAAGGACAACGTGAGGGTCGGAAACACCAAGGTGTTCCTTGGCCCCCTTCGCAATAGCCTCCTTCCAGCGTCGCCCAGACATCGTAGTTGCCTCGCTGGGAGATATAATGATGAAGAGCTGACCCACTCGGAGAACCTGCATATCGACAATGTTGGCGCCCCAGGGATACGGCTCAGTGAGGTGGCCAATATCCAAGAGAACTTTCTTGGGCGCTTGGCAAACTCGCTGCTCCTGGTCGGGATGGTGGATGAGTGCACTCGCAATCTTCCACAGAGGGTTTTTGGAAGCTGGACCTGTAGAGTTCTGGGTGAAGTCAAATGCACCCGGTCCATCTGTGGTTCCGGCGGCGAAGTTGTACCCCAGACCCGCAGCGCAAGTCTGTAGTGTACTGGAGTTGAAGGGCGAGGTGAACGTGTAGCCATCCATGTTTTGGTATACGTGGAAAGACTTGACACCTCCAGTGATCTTGATAGGGGTGGTGTTCATCTCTTCGTAGAGCTTTTTGGCCGCTGAATACTGGCGGCGTCCAATCTCGAAGCAGCTCTTCGCTCCATTGTCCTTCTCGCGGAAGAAGGGACCCCGACCATGACATTTCTCGTTGCGGCCACCGCAAGTGCTGTCTGTGTATCGACACATCTCTCCGGAGCCGTCTTCACACCAAGCACCCCCGATGTTAGGGGTTGTATCGCCAACATTTGCCTGGGAGAAACCAATGACAGCATCGTCGGTGAATCTGTCATCGCCCTTGACGCTACGCTCGAAGAGGTAGGCGGCGACACCTTTGTTGTCGCCAGTGACCAGGGAATTGTTGTTGTACATGGATGTGCCATGGACAGGGAACCATGTGAGGACTGCGGCAGTCTTGTTATCCGATTGGCGATCAAATCGGACGAGAGACAGGGTCTTGTCAACATTTGCCGAATACCGGGCCTTTTCTTCCTCGGGGTTATGGTCATAAGAATAGGGACTGCGGTTGATATTGGTATCTTGCAATTCAATGGAACCAAAGGAGAGCCGACCCGGCGCAAGGTTCTCATGGGCGCGGATGATTGAGAGGATGGTGCCATCCACAATAGCTTGGTAGCTTTGCTTGTCAAAGCCCAGTGCTGGGATCTGAGGAAGCAGGTAGTTCGTCCACGCGCCAGGCCCGGAGTGAGAATGCGTTCCAGTCACTGCGACGTTGTGTTCGCCATATCGCGCATATTTCCCGCCGAGGGCCTTGAGACCCTGCAGGACGCCATGCCGCACAGCCGTGTCACCCGTGAGGATATCGAGAACAATGTATACAAAAGCGTCATCAGGCTTGTTTGGATCCGCGAAGATGAAAGTACGGGAATTCAATCTCTGCTTGACACCAGTGCCTATTTGGTCCAACGTGGCATAGCCAGCAAATGAAAGCTCCACGACCGGACTAGAACATTAATTTAGCTGACTTGATACATTGGATATTGAATGTGAACTAGGTGATAGTATGAACATACCCTGTGACATCTGCTTTACCCGCTCCGACCAAAAAGATGTCATCGGCCGATGCCTTAGTCGCTCTGCTTTTCCATTGGTTGAAGTTCGCACTGAGATGAGGCAGAGGAGAGTCGGATTGACCATCGAGCTTGAACACTGCGATCAACTGCAGAAACACGAGCGCAGCAAGAGTCATCCCAGCAAAGGCGACGCCAATGCGAAGGTTAGCCATGCTGGAACCGTAGGATTGCCAAGATATCACGAAAAATATAGCTATGGCATCCGCAGAGGAGTCGGGCGTAGTAGCTGTAGCCTCTGAAAAGCCCGACAGGATTGCCCTCCCTCCGCAGGGAGCCACAGCTCTTATAAGAAGAAACCAGCGGGGGTATGTGGTGGGAATACAACAAGACCTGCTAGTTTAGAAGATCATTGCCCGAGTATCTCAACCTTGGGCAAGAGATTAAGCCTTGGCGCATGTCCATCACACATGAGTAGGTGACATTCCTCTAAGCGATAGGCAGCGGTTGGGATCTCCGATCGTCATCGATGCATACGACAAGGGTTTAGACTTTGGCTAGATTCCCCGCATGGAGTATGCGATGTGACATGCCTACTAACAGCCCTGAAGAGTGTACATGTGAAGACTCGCCTGTCTTAGTTTTCGGCCAGTCAGTAAGCTGGGACTGCATTTGGGATCAGGTACCTCGGGAGGAACTGTTCAATCTGGATAGGATCATCGGTGCAGTCGGTAGCGCGGGCAGGACTGGCCCTGGTATTTCCCCGAGTCTTCGTTAATAATAATAAACCCCATGACTTGCATGCAATTCTGGCGCTGTGCGCGCTTTCACATGACCCTAAGACATTATTATTAGTTAGTTATCCTACAGTCACTTACTTAGACAATGCCATTGAACCATCCTCAAATTGATAGTCCGAGGGCACGTGACTATTCTTGCTGAGTCACCTGATGTGCTCACCTCACCGCCTTTGGTATCGCAGACCCAATCTACAGGCCTTCCAACCGTTGATCTTGATCCCATACAACAAGATCACTTCAAGATGCCTCTCATCAACGAATCCCACGACTCACTACCATGTATGCACCTACTGCAGATCCCCACGTATACTATGAACTCAATCACTCACACTTTTCTCAGACATTGACGCAGCGCCGACTGCCGCGGCGCACGCGCGCGCACAGCAGCTCATCAACGCAGAGCTATCCCCCGAGCACGCTGCCACACTACACCCCTTGATCCCAGAAGCATCAGAACCCAAGTTCTCACCTTTAATACAACAAGAACTTGAGCGCAAAGCTCAAGGAACACCCCTTACCGGCGGTATCGACCTATCCCGATACGAAGCACCAGAGGGCCCGACCCGTACATCAGACACCGATGCGCCCGATCTAGATGAATGGCGTCGCACCCTGCAAAAGGCTTATGTATCAAGTTTGCATTTGTCCAAGCGCCACGAGAATTTGGCGTTGCTGGAGCAGTACGGCAAGAACGCGTGGTTGGTCGGCAATTCACAGCTTGAGGAGATTCTGAGCTCTCTCGAGAAAGAGCTGGCTGAGGCAAAGGCGGCTGCTGAGGAGGTCAACAAGCAGAGGAAAATTGCACAGGAGGCTAGCCAAGGCGAGCTGGTTAATCTGGAGGAGACGTGGAAGCGTGGTGTTGGGGCCATTCTTGATGTTGAGCTCGCATCGGAGGGGTTGCGCATGCAGATTCTTGAGCATAGGCGACAGGCAGCTCAGCAGCAGGCTCGCTAGAGGGATCAATTTCGTCCTGTCTGTGTACTTTCCAGACAGGAAAGCTTATCATTCCAGCTAGCATGGCTGGGCTGGCTCCCTGTTGGCACAAGGATCTGATCAGTTCTTGATAGGGAAGTCTGGCTTGGTGAACCACATGGATGGTAAAGTTTCATGCGTGTCATCCAGGGGGGTCACACTGCGCTGTGTTCCTGCGTCCAAAAAGCTTTACTTTGGTCAATAGACCTATGTGGGTTGGCCTTGCTTTCCCATCGAGGAATTCTGCTCACACACCCGGGACATGAATACTGATTCATTCGTGTACCGCGGCAAGATGCCTTGTCTTTCTACCAACAACGATCTTGAACAACCACGAATATCCGTGGGGGCTCTATCAGTCCTGACACCAGCTCCGGCAAAGACTTGTGCCCGTACGAAGAATGGGGATGTATGAGTTATCATCAAGCCCCGTACTGCGGGTCGGCTCCGGCCATTGCAGGACATCAATGAATCATAGCTCCTATCAGAGCCACCATTCCCATAAAGATTTCCTTTCCGTGTTCCATGTCCCATCTGGTATGCGCTCCTGTAAAGTAGACCCTCAAGCTCAATAGTTAACTATGGACTAGTCATGCTAGAATGAATCATGTGCCTTCAAGCTTGAGAGGAATTAGAGCTGCCAAACACAATCCTCATCCTCACAACGCCTTCGGCACAACAACATCAACATCAAATCCATCTCCCGCAACCTTCACAGGACCAAGCCTCACCTTCTTACCATTAACATCCACACCCTCACTCTCAGCCATCGCATTCCAATCCACAAGTCGCCGACACATCCCGTCAAGAGTATTGATAGGCGGGTTATACCCCAACCCACCCAACTCCGGTGCCAACTTCGCCCGTGAATCATCCGCAAAAACATGAACATTAAGAATCGAAAACAGCGACGGCTGAATCTGCGCCAGATCATGCGGCAGTCTCGGTAACCAGGTAAGATACTTGAACTGCAAAAACGCATAAACCTCCACAACATACGCCATCACCAAAAATGGCACAGGCTGCACCTTCGGAAAACGCACCGGCGTCTTCGACAACGTCTCAAGCAAGGTATACATATCGCCGAACGAAATCGCCGCATTCGGGTCACTAACGACGTACGCCTGTCCACCCGTATTCGGCAGCGTCGACTCGGGCTCACTCTGCTGGATCAGACGCTGTTCGTACAGGAGATGCGCGAGCGAGACGTTCTCCGCGTGCACGAAGCTTTGCACGACCGGCGCCGCCCAGGTCGGACTGCCGCCTGTGCGGAGGTAGATGTCCGTGATGGCGGAGTTGGTTTCTGTGCCAGTGCCGTAGATGCCGTTTGTGGGGCGGATACAGCCCGTGCGGAAGTTAGTTGCTGGGTCGTCGGCTGCGCGGACGAGTCGCTCGGCGTCGGATTTGGTCACGGCGTAGTTGCTGAAGAAATCTTCGTGGCGGGTGGGGAGTTTGGTTGTGTCGCTGATTATTTGCACTGCGTGCGTTGGTTCCCGTGCCCATGGCCAGATCCAGAAGCTGGCTTGGTGTAGGGTGATGGAGCCGGAGGAGGTCCAGATGAAGGCTGTTGCGCCGGCGGTGCGGGCGGCGGAGAGGACGTTCTGGGTGCCTGTTGTATTGACTTTGCTGCTTAGGGGTAGGAAGCTCTTTAGGCGGTCTTGTGGCCGGATTACGGCTGCCGTGTGGTAGACTGTTAGGGGCAGCTTGGTGGCTTCTGTGGGCCATGGCTGATTGAATGCGCTCGTTACAGCGGACTTGTCGGTGATGTCTGTTTTGATCCAGCTCACGCCTTGGCTGAGGAGCTTTTGGTTGGGGGAGACTAGGTCCAGGATGCGAATGGCTTTAGGGTCTTCGCCTCGGGCTAGGAGGTGTTTGACTATCCATGCGCCGACCAGACCTGAGGGCTAGAGTCAGTGGGCTGATGTTGGAGAGTGGATTTTGCCACTTTGGGGACTAGACGTACCAGTTCCACCTACGATCACATATCGACGGGATTGCTTTGGCGGTAGGCTCTTGGTTACGTCGATGGGACATTCTTGGTTCTTCTTGTAGGCGGCTTTTATTTCTTCGACGGTCCAGCGACGGGGTGACAATTTGTGGGCCTCTCTGGGGACTATCTTCATAGCCGAGTTCACCCGCCAGAGGTAGAGAGCACCTAGTGCTAAGATGACTGCTATGGTCCACATGGTGAGGAACTGAGGATGTGGAATGGGTCACTTCTACAGGTGTATGTTCCACAGAGGGATTTATGGAAGGCACAAAATGGAGCGTGGCTGCGTGGGGGTACAAGATTAGTTTATAGGGCTTTCTGAAGGTCTGGCCTAGTCTGGCCTTTGTGAAGCAGTAATTTTACAAACGAACCGTAGAAATTCTGAAACTCAATTGGGTACTTTAGACTCTAGTTTGGTGGCCATTCGATCTTCATCCTGATTCAGTCCATTTTGGCAGGTTGCTGATATCTCAGTCGGACCGCAGTCGCTTCCGTTTCATTTAAATGAGCAACCTCAGAGGCTCAGACGGTCAGACCCTCGGACCTCTGGAAGCCGTGTGGAGAACGGCTTTATCCGAGATGCGACGGAGCTGCAAACTCATTCAAGATCAGATCGCCGTTTGCTCGGAGCGGATGTTTCGGGAAGTTGAAGCTTGAGAAATGCCCTATTCCTGATGATTTTGATAAGGCCACGGTTGTCCTGTGAAAATGGGTAAGTCGATCAAGGCACTCACATAAGTGTACACAGTTCATGCTGTGAGGGTGAGTATCAAAGTTCCAAAGGGGACATTGATTTCTTTAGGCTAATACCTGTAGGCAAGTTGAAGAGTGTTCCTTCCCTGAACATGAGTGAACAGGTACCATCAGTATATGAACCAGCCCATGCCACGATGTCTAGCCCTAAGCTAAGATGGGTAAGCGCCACCCCATGCTGACCGAGGTATCGGCGTTGATCATCGGCACTTTCAACTCTCGCTTGAATATGCTTATTATGGCCCCCGCTCTTTGACTGATAAGCCTCTACCATTTCACTCTGTCTATAAGTTCCGAGGCTTCAAAGGTTGTATACCCGGTCGAGGACTTATTTGTCCCCTATATCGTTAATCCTGTCTAAGGAATCTCACAGCTGGATCCACAGCATAGGGGCTCATTTTACATACTGTGTACGTCCTTCATGGCACCAACACTTTGATCATCACTTAAGTAACTTGCTTGCCGTGAGGTCTCATATACCACCTAAATAAGCTTCTCAGCCGGTTCTCTGATCTCTCACTACTTATTGGTCCTTCAACGCCATAATTCAAGCTTCAGGGGATGACATCCCAACACTCCAGCTTGGAGCGCCAAGAGGAACGGCCTGAACATACTGGATGTGTGTCCCGGGATACTGACTCTGTTGTGTCGATTTCTACGGTAGACTCGGTGGCCGATCACAATGCATTAGGAACAACTTTAACGGCTCGCGTCTCGTCACTGGCAGAGCGAGTAACGACAGTCGCGACAAATGCCACCGCCGACCCCGACTATGAGGTCGACTGGGATGGCGAGGATGACCCCGAGAACCCCATGAATTGGAAGTTCAATTACAAAGTCATGTGTCTTGTGTTTCTGTCATGGAATACTCTCACCGTGTAAGCATCCATCTCCATACTCAGCCTTGTAGGAGGATATATGAGGCTGACATCTCGGAAGCGTGCTGTATTCAACTTCTTATACATCGGGTACTGCACTGATCGCCGAAGAATTCGGTCAGTCTAAGCCAATCGTCACCCTCGGCTTGACTTTCTACTTGTTCGGTCTTGCCATCGGTTCCATGCTTATGGCCCCATTGAGCGAGGTCTACGGACGGAAACCGGTCTGTGTAATCTGTCTAGCGCTATTCACGATCCTCATCATTCCCTGCGCACTCGCTAAATCTGTTACGGAGTTGATCGTTATCCGCTTCATCGGTGCTTTCTTTGGGAGTGTCATGATCTCCACGGCGCCTGGTATGGTGGCTGATCTGGTTGATGATGAGCATCGCGCATTGGCAATTTCTATTTGGAGTCTTGGGCCGCTGAATGGACCAGGTGTGTTCATTTTTGTCTTCTTCTTTTACATAATAGGATTCAATCCTAACAAGAGTATAGTCATTGGCCCTGTGATAGGCGGCTTCATCACTCAATATCTTGGCTGGCGTTGGATGTGCTGGATTGTACTCATGCTGTCCGCTATTGCATTGGCATTTGCCATTTCCATCAAGGAAACATATGCACCGACCTTGCTTCGAAATAAGGCAGCCAAGCTTCGCAAAGAAAGCGGCGATTCCCGCTGGTGGTGTCGCTACGATGAAAAGGCGAGCCTTTACGAGATTCTCAAGTTGAATCTCAGCCGGCCCTTTGTGATGGCCGTCTCGGAACCAATCTGGTGAGTTCAGCTAACCCTTAAACATACCACTGCGCCCCAGAAAATACAAAGCTAACATCCCCAGCATCTTCTGGAACATCTATATCGCAATCATCTACGGCATTCTCTACCTCTGCTTTGTCGCCTACCCAATCGTCTTCCAAGGAATCCGCGGCTGGGACCTAGGTCTTTCGGGCCTGGCCTTCCTCGGCATAGGTCTCGGCGTCCTCGTCACAATCTCCTGCGAGCCCTTTATCCGCCGACTAATTGACAGCCACCCCAAAGATCCAGAAACCGGGAAAGTATATCCAGAAGCAATGGTCTCCTTCGTGTGCATTTGTGCAGCTATCATTCCCATCGGAGAGCTCTGGTTTGCATGGACCTGCTCCCCGGTCTCTATTCACTGGATTGCGCCCATTCTAGCAGGCATTCCCTTCGGCGCTGGTAATACCGGTGTCTTCATCTACTCCTCCAACTATCTGACCGGTAGCTACGGGATGTACGCTGCTTCTGCTTTGGCCGGTAACTCGGTCATTCGGAGTGTTCTCGGTGGTGTGTTGCCTCTCGCTGGCTCTTACATGTATGACAGTCTGGGGCCGAATTGGTCAGGCACATTGCTGGGTTTGTTGGAGGTTGCCATTGTGCCGATCCCGATTGTGTTCTACAAGTATGGACATAAGATTCGTATGAAGAGTCCCCTGATTACGCGCATGCAGGAGGAGAAGATGAAGCTGGAGGGAAAGAGGGCTAGGAGACAGCCTTTGCCTCAACAGGCGGATCAGTCTAGTGAGGAGAAGGTTGACGAAGCGGTTTAGGGTGTGGAGTTATGCCTAGCACGTATGTTGGTCAACATCTTGAACCCCGTTGCTTTGAAAATAAGGCTTTGAAAAGTGTTTATTTACCTGATACCCAATGCATGAGCGTCCCAGTACATAACGCGTGGATTCCTTCGATTTCTACCACAGATGTTTCTCAATGTGTAGACCGTATCAGTTGCTCGACATCTCGGTTATTGCAAAGAATCCGCTCATATTCTCCGATTTCAATAGCTCCAGCTGGGAAGACCAGGATTGCCTCGATGTACACTGGGCGAGGGGGCACCGTAGAAGGCCTCTGACTCGGCTGACTTGCATCGTCAGGAGTTGATGAGAACGAGGATGGGGGCGGCGCTGGCTCCAAATCTCTCACATAGCCTAGGACATTGAGCCATGTCCCCACGTGCAGCGCTTCAGCAGTCACGTCCTCAAGGATGCCATTGATATCGACAGATACAGAGCTTGGTGTGGTCTTGCTGCGTGGATAGTTGTGTTCCAGGATCAGATGGCCAGTGCTGATCTTATAATGTGTCACGCTGTGCGAGCGCAAACGCAGAAACCATCGTTAGTATCGCCAGATCTTATCTACACTCGTATGTTCTCTGGCCCGACGCACCAGCCAAGAAAGCGGATCTTCGAGTCTTCCTGTAGAGACGAGAGATCAGAAAGGAACGCGCGAGTCGAGGGACGCGGCCCATTCATCGCTGCGCTAGTAGGATAAGACACTCGACATTGTCAAGTTGTAAAGTGCGCCGATTGAAAGAGAAAGAACGAAGCCCGAATAGCTCCCAAAGTCAACGTTGTCGCACGTGACCGTGTATGTCATAGGCTCAGCGAGGGGAAACTCGGGCTCCCCTCCAACTTCGCTATCATCCAGAACTGTCCGCCTGGAATAGCGCTTCCAACCCAGTCGTGTGCTCCCAAACATTCCGGTCATTCGGAGCTTATTATTCGAACGCCACTATCTGTCTTCGCCTGTCAGCCCGCTGGGTTTGCCTGGAGCCTATCGCTCCACCTGACTTGCGGCAACCAAAGAAAACAACCTATTCTCCGCTCCTCCCTCACTCCGGATTTCGGTGACTACTAGGTCTCCTCTGGGCATCTTATCTGACGTCCGGGGCTTAATTTATTTCAGTCTACAACTCCCGGTTTCCAGTTATACAGACACCGATATCGCCATGTGGTCTTGGTTCGGCGGGGCTGCCGCTCAGAAACGCAAGGATGCGCCTAAGAACGCTATCCTCCAGCTGCGCGAGCAGCTCGAAAGGTTGCAGAAGCGCGAAAGACATGTCGAGACTCAAATTGCGGAACAGGACGCTTTGGCGCGGAAGCATATCAACACCGATAAGAATGGTATGGGTTGTCGAACTTGCAGATCATCACTTGAAATTTACTTGAATTGGACAAGTTGGCTAACTATTCTCTTTTTCTATGTTGAACAGCTGCCAAAAACGCTCTCCGACGGAAAAAGGTCCACGAGAAGAATCTCGAGCAGACCTCGGCACAGATCATGCAACTCGAGCAGCAGATATACTCCATCGAAGCCGCGAATATCAACCACGAGACTTTGGCCGCGATGAAGCAGGCCGGTGCCGCTATGAAGCAGATTCATGGTGGAATGAAGCTCGAGGATGTGGACAAGACAATGTATGTTGCTGCCGGGCTCTTATTTCCCCTGTTCAATAATGCCATCTTGCGGCTTGTGTTATTCATGTTACGGCTTTACTAACAAGCTGCAGGGAGGAGCTCCAAGACCAGCACGCGCTCAGCGCCGAGATCGGAAGTGTCATTACCAGCTTCCCTATCGGCGAACAGCCGGACGAGGAAGACCTCGAGGCCGAACTCGAGAATCTGGAGCAGGAGGCCATGGACGCAAAGATGCTCAACACAGGAGCCGTACCAGTGGGCACCCAACTGGACCGGTTACCTGCTGCGGGGAATACAGATCGTGAGTCCGCGCCTAACCCTAGACTACATCTTCACATACCTTCATTTTCTAACTGGATTTCGTCCATATAGTCAAACACCCTACCAAGGCACAAGAGGAGGAGGACGAAGAAGCAGAGCTGGCCAAGTTGCGCGCGGAAATGGCCATGTGACAGCCTCTTACTTCCAGCCACGCGACCTCCGCCCTCATTTCCTCCGTTCTCCCTCTCCTCCGTTCCTCGTCTTACTTTCGCATGCATGACCCGGCCGTTTCATCAAGCAAGCCCTTTGCGCCTTTTGTTTCCGGCGCTGACGCCCGGATTTCTGACAGTTTTATTTTACCTACCTAACTTCCTTGTCCATCTTGCCCTCCATACGATCAACACTGCCTGGTTATTTTCCAGGTATCACGCTGATTTGTCTTGTCTGTGCTTCACTTTACCTGGCTGTTTCACTCGGCACGCTTTCCTCCGACTAACTCGGTCGAATCTTTGGCTTTCACTTCCTGTTCTATTTTGCGCTGTTATGGAGTTTCTAGAATCGGCTTATCCTTTTTTTGCCCTTCTCTATTTGTAGGCTATGATCTTAATTCCAACGTTTCAGCATTCATAATTATTCGAGGTCGTAGGTAGTCGTAGGAAGTTGATGTACAACAACGGAAAAGAACACTTAGGCTGCTCATAGGCTCATATCAGAGCAATGTCTACGACGAAGATCCTACCTAACTAAGAACAGAAAATAAAATAAAAATGTCCGTTTCAAGGACTGTTCATTATTATCTAGGGTTCCCCAGCCAGGACTCAAAGTCGTCATAGACCAAGTCCCAGCAAGAACCGAAGAAAAAGAAACCAGTCACTAGATCATGAAGATAGAAATAAATCTACCTACCCATCTGCCATATGAGAATGCAAAAACAAACCCAAGCAGGAAAACCATCTGCCATACGAGAATGCAAAAGCAAACTCGAGCAGGTAAAAAGAAAAGATAAACGCCAGCGGCATTCGCCCGCCATTTCCAGCCCACCCAGCCCATGCTAATCCATAAAATTGCGCCTAAAAGAATTTTCCAGAAAGAAGAAAACAGAAAACCCAGTCCGATTAGCTTAAGGGTACCAAGCGTAGCTTATGGGTACCAAGCGTAGCTCTTGGTTGGCTGAGTACGCTCGCCGTCTTGAGTCTCAGTGGACCAACGGTTCTTCCATTCAATCTCGTGGGCAGCAGCATCAATGAGAGCCTCCTTGCACTCGGGCGGAAGCAGTGCGATGATCTCGGGGGTCATGAACTCGGGGTGGGTGGGGGGCGCGAGGCTGATCAGGCCGTTGGGACCGACGTCGAGCACGTCGCCATCAGGACCGGGGATGCCCATGTTGGAATACGGGGGGATTCGTAGATGATGTCCTGGACGAGATAGCGGTTGTGCATATGGGCAGGCACAGGTTTGAAGGTATTAGTAGAGCTCGCAGCGGAGGCTTCGGCGGTTGCGGTCTCGGGCGACTCTTGAGTTTCGTCGGGATTCTTGTTTTCGGTACCAGATTGGGAACCTCGGTTGTCAAAGTTCAGTGAGTTCAGGTCCGTAGCCAACTCGCCTGCGGTGGCCGCTGGAGCGGGTGGGACGCGCTCCCAGCGGGCGTGGGTTGGCTGCATGATCTTGGGGTACTGCATGGTGTTGGTGTGAACATCGTACACGCCATTCAGATTCGCACGGCGCGCTTCGGCAAGCTTCGAGTTGTAAGCGCTAGAGAAGGTGTTAGTCACAAAGTCCCTATGAATCGCTCGCTATCAAAGATAGACCTACCTTGCAGAGCGGGCATGCTCAAGCTGCCAGTTGTCATCGGTAACTGGCACACGGCGTCTCTTGGTGTCAACTGGCTTTCCGCCCACAAGCGGGACAGAGGGCGCGTTTGTGTGATAGACACTGCTAGCACCGTGCCAGGCAACGTACTGATTCCTGTTGTATTCCTCTCCTGGTCCAGGAAGTCTGTCCTCTGGAACAGCCAATTCACCCTCGACATCGCCGCGCTCACGAGCAGCCGCTTCGTCATAGTCATCGGTGATCTTTTTGCCGCCGACGATGATCTTTGCGCCGAACTCACGGAACACGGATCGCGCGGTGACAACGCCAATGGCTCGTCCTTTGTACGAGTGAGGAATGAGATCGCGTTCGATCAGATCGCGCTTGGCCTCGTCATCTATTATGATTTTGTAAAGCATCTTGTGCTTCTGGAAAAACAGGTATGAATCACGGAACCCAATGCAACGAGCTGGTTCGGTCGACAACATGTAGAGGCGATCACCGCGGCCGAGGATCTTGAAGGTGCGAACTCGATACTCTCGACCACCTTGAAGGTGGCCGTTCTCGTCGACCTTGGTGGCACCGATTGGGTCCGGCGGGATCGAGACCTCGTCGTTGATAACATCCATCATGTTTCCTTCCTTATCGACAGGCACCTGTGTGAGATGGGAAGGTCCACGATTGCGCGCCCAGCGTCCACCGCTAGCAGCAGGGCGACCGCGACGTCTCTTGACTGGGGTTGTCACTCGAGGTGGTTCCTCGCCGTTCGCGGGATCCCACTCCGGCCTGGGGTTCTTGGGTGGGCGACCAAGACGACGCTTTCCGCGGGGTGGTAAGGATGGGCGACCAGGGCCGTAGGATGGTGTGTTATCGGTATCGGGCAGAATAGAGTCTTCTGCGGGGGTAGAAACACCTAGTTCCTCCTCTGGTTTGGGTGTGGCTGGTGTTTCGCCAGTCTGAGCTTCTGTGCTCTCCGCTTCAGGTTCGGGCTCAGGCTGATCGTCGTGATCTTTTTCCGGCGAAGCTTCAGGTTCAGGCGCGGGTTCAGGCTCGGGCGAGGAGGGGTGTGAGGAAGGCGCGTCGAGCATTTCCTCATCAGACCCGTCTGGAAGTGTCGGTACATTTTCTATAGCTGGTTAATCGCAACGCGTCTAGAATCAGGGCGCTCGTGATACCACGTGCGCCCACGTGCGCATGGGGGGTTGGGATTCTCTCACTCATTGACTTCGCAGCCGCTTGGGCGGCGGCCCTGAGTTTGCGAGGCATTTTGATTATGCCTTGATTGATACCGCCTTGATTGATACCGGAGCGCAAATGGGAGAGGAAGCTGTGTTGCGACGGTCCGCTAATTATCCGAGTTTTGGACCCACTTGGTGATTGCAGTGCAAACAAAACAAAGCACCTGCCCGAGTCTCCACCTCATTTCCAAATGCAAACAAGGCAAACAAGGCAAACCTAAATCCCACCTTCTTGTCATATGATGTCACCCCCGTTCTTTCCTCCAGCGGAGCATTTCGGGCTCTGCGCACCTGCCTGGCCGTTGATCGGCAGACACCCTGGTCCTGCTTCTCGATATCACGTTCTTTCCAATTCTAGGCCTTCTACCGCTATTGCCGTGTGAAATTTGTCAAGTTAACATAATAGGTTGCCCGCATAGCACAGTCACAGCGTCTCAGGCTTTGTTTTACCCTATCCTTGGCTAGTATGTTCGATGAGAGTGCGGGGATTCAATGCTCATGATCGAGTCATGAACGAGTCAAATACTTCAATGTTTGTACAAGATCTACTTCGTACAGCAGCACCGTTCTCTCTCGAGTGCCATTCAGCGCTATCATTGGTTCACAGGTGTTAATTATACCAATCCAACAAAGAGATAATTGCATCAAAGGCTCCTTCAAACATACAGCCCCATATGGGAGTTCCTCTGAAACAAATATAGATCGTTTCAACCGTGGTAGCAAGTCACCTAGGCCTGATTTGCTTATGGGCTCTTCCGGGTTGATACAGGATACAATGTAATCTTCTGTGGAGTTTCATATTCTAATAGAAGGTCTCGAATTTCGGTCCACCCACTGAAGAAAGAAACGATTGTTCCAAGTCCAGTTCAAATTGTGCAGAAACCGTAGGGCCTGACAGAGTTTATCGGATGAGAACTTTCATACAGGCAGATCATGACACAGCTTTTTAGCGCAGATGACCTGCAAATCAGATGTAGGCTCGGACTTGGTCCTGTGCAGTGTGCAGAGCGGAACATGCACATTGAGGTCATGCAGAATTAAAGGTTGTATGCCTGAGAAGTTGTCATGGAACCCCGAAATTGGAGTATCATCCGCACGAACCCATGATAAATGGAATGAGATACCCAATAATGTCCGTCAATTCTATGCAAGCCCCGGGTGCAAGGAATTGAGATTTAATCCTTGGGAATCGTGGATCTTTACTTCCCTACGACACCATTCGTCATAATTTGAGGAGGGGTTGGGGGAGCTTGCCGATCGTCCTCTCTCCCCCGCGTACTCGGAGGCGTGGATACTACGATGTACAAGACGGAGATCGACACCAGCTCTCTCTTGCTACTGCAATCGGGGTTTTATACAGTCACAGCGAGTGCACATCTGTAGCACCCATATTTGACCGTACATCATTCCCGGGCCTGAGATCCGCCGAACCGCATGTTAGCGTTGCAGAGGGACCTGAGGTCACGCCCGATGACGCATCTGGAAGTGTCAACACTTCAGCATCTCGTGCCACGGCATATTTCACGATTCACCTATGCAGATGCAAGGGGAGCTGAGAGCTAGGCCCGGTCCGTATTGAAAGTTGAAGTGCCACGATCGCGATCTGTCAACAATGTACATCGATGTAGATCGGAACTGGATCTATGGGTTTCACAGTGCAGTCAATTCCAAGTATCTAATGGAACGGGCATCCGAGGCATTCACAATATTTTGTACTTACATATAGATGGACTTGATTTGAGACCATGGAATCCACTCTGGCCATATGTAAAGGAAACATTGCTCCGAATCCAAGTGATGCTAGAGCCGACGTTGTCACGATAAGAAAGTGAGTACACAGTACACAGTATTATCCCCGCGAGAGCGGTGATGTCCCGATGGAGATTCAGAATGTGATAAGAGGAAAATAAGAAGAAAATAGATCAAATTAGGATCAAAGAGTCACGAAAAAAGGAAAAGATGACAAGGCGCATGCTGAGAGGCAAACGTCTCAGCCTCGAAAGGTACAGAGTTTAATGTCGGAGTAGTGGCCGTGAAGTCAAAAAGAATCTTGTTTTCTTGCATAAAAGAAAAAGAATGTACTGTAAGTACTGTACTTTATCTGCGGGCAATGCTAGGCGTAGGCTATGGCCTCGATATTCTCAGCTTCTGTTGCATTTTCCCCCACATGACGTCTGGGTTCTTTCATTCCAATTGAATATGCGCCATTAGCGAAGGAGATTTAGACGGAATCAGATGTAATCAGATACCTTTCAGGTACATAATGCATCAACTGCCTTTTCTTTTCTAGTCTCCGAACCTTGTATCTCACCTGCTTATGGTCAGAGCGCTTTCAGCTGCTTTTGCCTAATCTTAGATCATTATCACGATCCTATATAACTGCGTCTCGCCTAAGACCATATCTAATACGCACCGGAAACATGGACTATCAGTGATCACTCGCCCTTTTTTATCTTGTGGGGTCCATTACCGAAAAGAAATTCCCACTCTCTACACAATACTACTCCGTACAAGAAAACCAAGAATCAGAAAAATATCGGAACTACTTTTTAAACATTAAACAAACTTCTCCTCCTCTCTTTCACATCGAAATCTTCATTCTCGTTGGGAAAACGCCGAAGCCGAGATCCATCGGGTTCGACATCCCGCAAATTCCCTTAGCTCATCAAAAAACCTCAAACTTTCTTTTTCCACTTCTTCCATTTTCACCCAACTCCACCCCCCGCCCCTTCCTTCCTCCTTATTTTCGACTCAGTTCTCCTCAGGAGAACGTTGAATGGAAACACAATGGCTGCGCAGAGTGGACCCGTGTTGCACGGCGACGACATGAAACCAATGAAGTGAGTCACTTCTATATTTGCCTTGCCTCCCACGATCGTTTGAAAGGCGGGGTTGGAGGAAAAAGAGGGTCCATGATCCCCTCACACCGCATTGCATAACTGTCTGCTGCTCTTGTTTCCGGTTGCCCTGCATGAAACACCCCTCGAGGATGCGGATGGCCTGTTCCCACAACCTCTCCATCTATTGCCTTCCCTCTCCGGACCTTGTCGGAATTCACCTACGAGTCGAGAATTGAAGATTCTCAGTCCGGCCCAGATGCAGTTCTTATTCAGACCATCTTTGTCGCTCTATCGCTGACTACTTCCCTTCTCAATAGCTCTGGAATTGACGACGACAACCCAGACCAGATCAGGTCAGACGAATCTACCCCGACACCGACTGGAATCGCAACCCCGGAACCCGATCCAGCGGACAAGCGTCTCCCGTCCATTATGCACAACTACTTCCAGGTTGGTTCTTTCTCCGGTGATAAAGCGAGTCTGCCGCGGTTATGGTCATGCTTGTCGAAGTCCTCTGCGAACACTCAATCAAATGCGCCTTCAGCCCACTCCTCCGATTCCTCCGAGTCTTTTGTCATGATGGAGCAGGAAGACGGGATAGAAAAGATGGAGGATGAACACTCCGGTCTGCCCTCGCCTCCGCACTCCCTGTTGCAGCAGGAGTCGGATGAGGCGGAACTCGGGACGAGTCCAGGCGTGTCCTCCATCTTTACCACTCTGAAGAAATACCTCAGCCCGCCCACACACACTTATCCAGATGACTCCCCTTCCCGCCGTCAAACCTCTCTCCCAGTGTCCAGCGTTTCTGACGACCCCGTGCTTGCCACTGATTTTTCCAACCCTTCCCTCCCTCCTCCCTCAGATGCCTTTCTCCTGTCTGAAGTTCCCCTCCTCGACCATGAGAAACCGCCAGTCTCTTTATCTTCTGAGAACCTTGCCAAGCTAACTGAGAACGCGCCCGATGGGTCGCGAGTAAAGAACACCCCACCTCTTACTCCTCCTCGGGCCATGTCCAACGAGGTCCCTGCCACCCAAGAACAGGCCGCCACCACGGCCTCACCGGAGACCTCGCAAGAGGCTACAGAATCCCAGTCGAAGTCTGACGACATTGCAAGCTCTACGGACGAGATCACTATGAAACTCGACGAGGCATTCCCCTCGAAGTCGCCATCGGAGTCTACGTCATCCATGGGCAGCGGTGCCCCCACCGGCCCGATCAACGGTAAATTGATCGTGAAGATTACCGATGGGCGGGGACTGCGGCCGAGTTTCGATCCGTATGTGGTGTGCGTGTTTGAATGGAACGAATACATCTCCAAAGGTGCTCGCGATGGCGAAGAGGAAAAGAAAAGGCGTCAGCTGGAGTCAGATGCCGAGGAGGCCGCTGGTCGGCCCATGGCTATTCCTTTGAAGAGCCGATCAAGCAGTCACAACAGTGCAGTCGAAGGTGATCACAAGGGACGGACGCCTGTGACAGACCCGCATTGGGATCACGAGGCCACCTTGTATGATAACCCCCCACTCCACACCCAGCATCGACCATTACAACAATCACTAACAGTCTCGCAGCGACGTAATGGGCGATCGGTCGGAACTTAATGTCACGGTCTACGACCGCAACAACCAGGAAGCTTTCTTGGGTCACGTCCGCCTGCGTATCAATCTCAAGGAAGACCATAGTCGACTCGAAGGGTGGTTTCCCTTGGTCGCTCGTGGTGCCGGCGACAATCAAGTGTCAGGAGAAATCCATCTCGAGATGAAGTTCGAAAAGACAGATCGCAAGCAGGTCGGGCCTAACGACTTCCTCATCCTCAAACTCATCGGCAAAGGAACCTTCGGACAGGTCTACCAGGTCAAGAAGAAGGATACGCAGCGCATTTATGCGATGAAGGTGCTCTCGAAGAAGGTCATTATCCAGAAGAAGGAAGTCGTGCACACCCTCGGAGAACGCAATATCTTGGTGCGCACTGCGATGACAGCCTCTCCGTTCATCGTTGGGCTGAAGTTCTCTTTCCAAACACCAACAGATCTGTACCTCGTGACTGATTACATGTCGGGCGGTGAATTGTTCTGGCACTTGCAGCGCGAGGGCCGGTTCCAAGAGGCTCGGGCGAAGTTCTACATTGCCGAGCTGATTTTGGCCCTACAACATCTGCACGATCACGACATCGTATACCGTGATCTCAAACCCGAGAACATTCTGTTAGATGCCAACGGTCACATTGCGCTCTGCGATTTCGGTCTATCCAAGGCAAATCTATCACAGAACGACACCACCAACACCTTCTGCGGTACCACTGAATATCTGGCCCCGGAAGTCTTGCTCGATGAGCAGGGATACACCAAAATGGTCGACTTCTGGTCCCTAGGAGTGTTGGTGTTTGAGATGTGCTGTGGTTGGAGTCCGTTCTACGCCGAAGACACCCAGCAGATGTACAAGAATATCGCATTTGGCAAAGTTCGGTTCCCTCGTGACGCACTCAGCACCGAGGGAAGGAATTTCGTCAAGGGTCTTCTGAACCGTAACCCCAAGCACCGTCTTGGCGCCAACGGTGATGCCAAGGAGCTCATGGCACACCCATTCTTCCACGATATTGACTGGGATACTCTCTGCCGCAAGGAAGTGATTCCTCCGTTCAAGCCGCAGCTGCAATCTGAGACCGACACCTCCAACTTCGATCCCGAATTCACGAATGCGATGGAGCTGAACAACTCGCTCAATCTCCGGGCAGCAAATCTGGCGAATGGCCTCATGCCAGCATCCACCCCTTTGTCCCCGGGGATGCAAGCTAATTTCAAGGGCTTCACTTTCGTGAACGAGAGCTCTATTGACCATCACCTCCTGGACGACAGTGACCACATGGAAGACGACGGCTTGCACGACGACCAGTGGCAACGCGGCCACCGGTCGGACAACTCAGTCGACCAACCCATGACGGGCGTTCAGAAGACGCACGACGGTACCGAATCTGGGATTTTCAACGTTGACGATACTTTTGACATGTGATTACGTTTTCTTCTACTTCTCCTACTGCATGATCATGGAGTCTTGATCTGGCCTACATTCTTATTTCTCGTCCTGTCTTGTACATGCCCTCGGGATGCATCATTTCCAACCCGTCAAATATGGGCTTCCGATTCCCATTTGCTTTCACGTTGTTTCCGATTCCCGTTCCATCCAGGTGGCGTTTCTACGAATTCTTGCCACCCACTCTCTTTCGTGCTGTCGGGCGCCGGATTGAGACCGGGCCATCTTGTATCGTTCCTGATGCCATTTATGATCTTCGATTCTCGAGGTGGACCGGTCCTCCCATTCGTTCCAACCAGTCCAAAGCTCCAAAGCCACATACCCCTTGCCCTGGGTTTCCTGACAGTTCCTCCCCTTCTCGTTGTTCACAGAATCCCCGGGGGAATCTTGCGTGTTTGGTGGAGTTGGGTTCTGGGTAATGTCACTGCGTCTCCATCGTCATCATGTTCTAGGGATCTGCGAATGTAGCCGAAGCGAGCTTGCCTGTTCTTGTCTTCTGACTGCTATCCTAGTCTCCAGCACAGTGTTGATAACTTTATTCTCTATCTCGTGGTGTCTGAAATCTTGATACCTACTTTTCTCTTTGGGTGTTTTCCTCGGGTCTCTTTTCTCTTCTCCTACTTGTACTTTCGCGTCTTTCCCTCTTCCATTGCGGTACAGTCGTAATTCGGGAGGTATCTTTTCTCACAGCGGTTCTTTTCTTTCTTCATTTCCTGCATATCCATATCTGGGCGGCTAGGCCGGAGTTATCTAGATTTGACGACAAAGGAAGGGGGGGCAGAGGGTTTGTTTTACTGGAGTTCCATTTTCATGGCGTTGAAGAATGGCATGGGTATCGGCACGGCTTCATGGGGCTCGGTCTACATCGGCATGTGTGATGGGGGGAGGACGGACATGCTGTTTCGGTCGAACTCATCCTTGCAACAATGCAATCTATCTATCCGTTGCGGTGGAATATGTTGCTGATTCGTTCTGAGCCTCTGGCGCTGTTTTTCTGCGTAGCAATTCTTCCGGGCTTGACGTGTTCCTCTGATGTGTCGCACATCGGCCCGTTAGGAAATCTTCAGGTAAGTAGATGTATGTACATGTAGGTGTGAACGAAATCAATAACTACAACATCTAACAAACGTTGATTTTACCTCCCCATACCTGCATCATCTAAACTCCCTTTAGTTTCAGGACTGGCTCCTTCCAAGACTCTACTGTGGACTCATTATCAGCCATGTGGAAGCCACCCGAACGAGTTACCCATCGCGTGGTCCATGGGGTACTCGAAGTGGATTCAATCAACGCCCTCGGCCTCGTGGCTGCACACACCCATTCACCTTTATTGCCTGCATTTATCCACTCAAATACCCACTCGGCTCGATCGACCATGTACAACATACGCAGTGTATGTATAAGATAGCTCAGCTCCATTCTGCAATATATGTTATACTGTTTATGTTAATTTCCCACGCCAGTAAGCAAATACGAGATTCGAGACACACTCCGTATAAATAGAACTCACCAACCCCATCCCGGACAACGCTCCGCTTATGCATGTAAAGCCACGAGTCCGCATTGGACGACATACGAAGTACGGAGTAACTACCGAGACATGTAGGTACGATGCAGGTAGCGCGAACGAGTGGACCAGCCACGTTTTCAGAGAATTTCAAATCACAGTGATTGCCCAGATTGGGATCTGTTTGGAAATGGGTGTGGATTTATGTTGTCTTGCTCACTATTGTGGATGGCTGGTGTTTTTTTCCGTAGGTTGAGCCATTGGCCGAGAGGTTAGGCTATTTCTGCCGATCTGGGAGTCGATCTCGGGAGATGGTTGCTAGCCTATGCTAGGGAGTAGGGGTATTTAGGGAGGACTTAGTGTTCCAGTGAGTGCAATAGATCATTGGCAGCTTAGGTAGTAAAGATGAACGTGGTTTCAGGTTCCTTAGAGATGCCAATGTAGTTTGTGAACCCTGGAGTATGGAGACAGAGTCAGAAAGGAAATAAGAAAGGAGCTTCTGCCGTCTGATTGCCTATTTGATTGGCCTGCAGGATGATATGCGCTTGGGCCGTTTGGTTTGTTACTTCGAGGACTAATGGAATATTCTAGTTCCTCAGGATGCTGCTGCTACTATTGCTACCTATTACTATGTACTACAACAGTACTATCAGTAACTACTATCAGTACTATAAACTACTGCTAATCTGATGCATGTGCATGTACGTGTTTGTATGAAGAAAGAAGAAAAGGGGCAAAGTTTGGCCCTAACTAAAAAATACCCACTCAGCTAAAACAAAGTGGGAATAGTGCCATAAAAAACCATCTGGCATCGTTCTCGTTTAAAGAAATTTTGATCTTTTGATAGTTGACGATGTTTGGGATATTTGAGATGAACACATCTCAGTACACAAGAATACTCTCTCCAAGTCAATACTCCGTAGGCAACATTCCCATATCTCCCCAGCCTTTGATCCGAAGATCCCTGCGATAGGGCACAATGAACTAGTTCAACCCCTGAACCGCCCCTGTCACCCGAGCGTCTCCGCTCTCCAACATGCATATTTCCTTCAACTCATTCCTTATGTGGGGAGTGATCGACTTGCTCATTGACTTTCGCTTTTCGCGTTGCTCGAACCTACCTCCAACCCCTCTTCGTTCTCATATGTGATTTCTTTTCTTGACTCTTTCTGTCTTCACTCAATTTTGACCACATTCCTCAATACAGGTTGTATGTGTGTGTTCCTTGACTACATTGTATGGAACACTGAACTGCGCCGATCCCCATATATTACGCCATTTGTCGAACGCCCTACATTCCTGAACCCCTCCACCTCCCTATTAGGAATTGGCCTTGCTTTTTTTACTTTTTTTACTTTTCACCCCTCCTCGTGTCTGTCTCTTGCACCAATGCCAGAGCAAATTCACAATGAGCGTTGTCGCCACTAGAACAGAGAGCCCTGTGCTATACACGTCCATTCCAGAGGATCATGTCGACTACTCCAACTATTCAATTACCTCCCGAACCTCCTCGATATCTTCCTACAAGACCAACTACACTGCCTCAACCGCGCCCACCACATATTCTCCTTCCTCGGCATCGTCATCCTTTCGTCAAGGCGATTCCGTCAACTCTCTTCCCAAATTCACCGAACCAATTCAACGGCGCGTGCCCCAGGAGGTCTATGAAGTGATAATCCACCACTTGGAAGAGTTACACAAAGGTCAGCATCAAGCAGGATGTACCACGTGCTTTCAGCGCGATTTACATGCCTTAGCCTTGACTTGTCGGTCTTGGGAAAAGGCTGTTAGAGGTCCTCTGTGAGTACATCTCGTTCCATTTCTTCTGATGGATTCAAGATTAGCAAGAAAGCTAGGATAGTTAGCTAATTGAGCATCCCACACTAGTTATCACAGTATCCATATTGTCGGAAATGACTCCCCGGCCCAATTGAAGAAATATCGTCTGAAGAGAGGGAGTCGCCTAAAGCTCCTGAGACGAACCCTTCGGGAACGCAAACTACTGGCCAACCTTGTCTATGAACTCCGGGTGCCTCAATTAGATTTGCTCTTTACTACGACGAAACAAAGCTCACCATGGCAGGAGTATCGCGATCTGGTCGCGTCCGTGGTCATGGTGTGCCCCAACTTGGAGCGTCTTCTAGGCTTGTCAATCCCGTACCATCACGAATTCGATCGTCTGACCCATGCACTATCGACCCGGAAGAAGCTGAAAGAGCACACATGGATCTTGGGCGAGGCTGCAGAAGTGTCCGAAATGTCAACCCGCGATGACTCCTGCCCTGGAAGCCTCGGTCCCTCCCAAATGTTCGAGTTTCTGAACTACCATACCTCTTGGTCCAATTTGGAGACTTTGATGCTCTATGGATTGAACGGAAATGGTGCATTGGAACCTAGCATCTCCCTGCGCATGTTCAATCTTCTCCCCTCATTGCGAAATCTCTGCATTTCCTCCTTCAACGAAGACTCCTTTGATAATAACGCATTGCTGTGCCTGCCTCCATTGGAGTCACTGCGATTGGAAAACTTGCCCGGAATTACAGATGCCGGTCTCTCGCAGTACACATCACGCCCTGAATCGCTCTCCCTCAAAACATTGGTCTTGGTGGAGCAAAATGTCGAGTCATTGCTAGTCATTTCGAAGATTCTCGCCTCACTACGTCAACTCGAACGGTTCAAGATCGTGCAGACCGGCAAGTGCCTAAAGCTGCCGAATGAGCATATGATCTTCCAGCCTATCCTCGCCTCATCAACACTAAAATACCTTCACTGGGATGTGGCTTGCCCAGACCCAGGCACCGCCCTTACCCAACTTGATACCCTCCCCTTCCAGAAACCTACCAAACCCTCCGACACCGCCAACTATCACCTCGCCCAAAGCATTATATCCGCCGGCTTCCCCCAACTGGAATCCCTTCGCGCACCCTCCGACGTGGAGCCCCCAGGAGTGCTCCAGGCTGCCTGTCGACCCATCCCGAAAGGCCAAGCCTTACTGCGACCAGACCGGTACAGCCTGCCTCGCAGCTCCCACGGGTCCGTGAATACTCGCCCGCTCGCTCTTCCTGCGGGGAACAACCTTACATCGGCGCGAATTCGCGCTCAGACATTCATTGACATGGCCGCCAAGGATACCGAGGAGGGCATGCCGGTACTGATTCAAGATTACTCAGATGCATACATGCCGGACAACGTGCAGGCTTCTCAATTCGAGGATGAGGATCAAGACATGGACGACTACGGTATCTGGGCTGCCTGCCAGCGATTCAAACACGAGGATAATGACCACAGCGGCCCGAAGACAGTTTACGAGTTCCGTATGCCAACCTTCATGGGCCGAAGCGGTATTCGGGATCCGGCAACTGGTGCCTCGATCCCTCACTTTATCCTCCGTCCTGACATCGCTGGTCAGGAATTAGATGGCGGCTTGATTGGATGGAAGCAGCTGCTAGCCTCGAATCAGTCACTCTCATATGCTGCCGGGGTCGGTGTCAATTGCTTCGGCAGCCGAAGCCCAATTATTTCAACTCCCGAGGAGCCTACCTCGCCTATGTCCAGTACGTCCCGGTTCAACTGGGGCAGTTTGAGTGGCCGAGCTACATCTCCGCCGACACCCTCGACCCCAATCACGCCAATGAGCAGTGCAATGGGCTCGGCCTTGCCTTGGGACAAGGATACCTGTACTGGATCCTGGAACCACAAAACGGGCCGGGACTGGTGGTTCCATATGGAGCGTGATCGTCCAGGCAATACAGAGCTTATCGACGTGAAACAGTTCTTCTGAACCGTCCCTATACCCACCGTCCTTTGTTATACCCCTCCCCTTTATTGTCTATATACTCTACGCCATATACCCCACACTTGTTTCTTCTCTCTTTCCATTCTTTCCCAGGTTCTCGTTTCATTGTACAAGGTTCATGATATACGCGCTGCCATGTCAGGCGTACGGAGATGGCGTTGCATATAATCGTCTAATGCGCACACAAAGCTCTGGCTTTTGGTCCCATGGACTTTCCTGTATCATTCATTGGCGCGTTGGTGGAATGTTCATGGGCGACACTCATTGTCTTCCCTGTTATCATTTGAGTCTACATACTCTCTGTATCATAGCTGTACAGCCTTGGCTGCATAATACACAGTAATTGAGCATATGAATTGACTTACTATTATTTAATCTCTCGTCTTATTCAAAACTCGTATCCTGTCACTACTCACTTCAGGGGCCATCTGCAGGGCTAAGATGAGTCATCCCGGGCTGAATCGGACCGATAAGCGAATGCCAGCTGATAAGCATCCCATACAAAGACCCCCTCGTTGAGAAAAAAAAATACTCCCCCACCTTCGCTTTCACAATCGTTACCGTCGCAATGGACCCCGCAAAGCCCGTTGACCTGCCCGAGAGGCCCAAGGAGGCCGCTGGACCTACGGAACCCCCCAAAAAGTCCAAGAGTCAGGAGAAGAAAGAGGCCGCAGCGGCTAAGAAAGCGGCGGCCAAGCTGCTAGCCAAACAGAATCAGCCTAAAAAGGAAGAGTCCAACGCAGGCAAAGCAGCACCCAAGCCCAAGGAGGCTGCTGCTCCTCGGGACCCCAATACCATGTTCAAGGTCGGCTTCTTGCACGACGTGTACCAGGAAAAGCCTCTTTCCGAGACCGTCCCCAAGATCCGCACACGATTCCCTCCTGAGCCCAATGGATTCCTCCACATCGGACACAGCAAGGCCATCGCAATCAACTTCGGGTTTGCAAAGTACCACGGCGGCGAGTGCATTCTGCGCTTCGACGACACCAACCCCGAAGGTGAGGAGGAGCGGTACTACAACGCCATCCGCGAGATCGTGACATGGCTCGGTTTCACTCCAGTGCGTGAGACCAACGCCAGCGACAACTTCGACCGTCTCTACGAGCTTGCAGAGGACCTCATCCAGCGCGATGGCGCCTACGTCTGCCATTGCACCAAGTCCGAAATCAAGGCCCAGCGCGGTGAGGTCGAGGGCGGCCAGCGCGGCGGAGAACGTTTCGCCTGCAGCCACCGCACACGACCCATCGAGGAGTCCCTGGCCGAGTTCCGCGCCATGCGCGACGGCAAATACAAGGCCGGCGAGGCGGCACTGCGCATGAAGCAGGATATCACAGACCCCAACCCGCAGATGTGGGATCTGTTCGCCTGGCGCATCATGGGCTCCGAGGACAAGCAGCACCACCTCACCGGCGGAAAGTGGAAGATCTACCCGACCTACGACTTCGCGCACTGTCTGTGCGATAGCATCGAGGAAATCTCCCACTCCCTCTGCACCACTGAATTCGAGCTCTCCCGCGTCTCGTACGAATGGCTCTGCGACAAGCTAGAAGTCTACCGTCCCAACCAGCGCGAATACGGCCGTCTCAACATCACCGGCACCGTCCTATCCAAGCGCAAGATCATCCAGCTCGTCAAAGAAGGCCACGTCCGCGACTGGGACGACCCACGTCTCTACACCCTCATCGCCCTCCGCCGCCGCGGCGTCCCCCCCGGCGCAATCCTCGCCTTCGTCAACGACCTCGGCGTAACAAAGAACGTAACCAACGTCCAAGTCACCAAATTCGAGCAGATCGTCCGCCAGTACCTGGAAACCACCGTCCCGCGTCTAATGGTCGTCCTCGAGCCTCTCAAGGTCATCATCGACGACCTCCCCGCCGACCACCTCGAGCTCCTCGACTGCCCCTTCTCCAAGGACCCCTCCTTCGGCACCCACAACATCCCCTTCACCCGCACAGTCTACATCGAGCGCTCCGATTTCCGCCCCGTCGACTCGCCCGATTACTTCCGTCTCGCCCCCGGCAAAACAGTCGGCCTCCTCAAAGTCCCCTACCCCATCACCGCCACCTCCTTCGAAACAGACCCGGCCACCGGCGAAGTCACCTGCGTCCACGCCAAATACGAAAAACCCGCCGATGGCGAACAGCCCAAGAAACCAAAGTCCTTCATCCACTGGATCGCCGAGTCGCCCGCGCACAATAGTCCCATCCGCGCCGAGGTCCGCGCTTTCTCTTCCCTCTTCAAGTCTGAGGATCCCTCTGCGCATCCTGATGGCTTCCTCGCTGATATCAATCCCGATTCTGAGGAGATTTATAAGGATGCTATGGTTGAGGTCGGGTTCAGGGATATTGAGAAGTCGGCCCCCTGGCCTAAGGAGCAGGGTGCTACTGAGCCGGGCGTTAATAAGCATGCTGTGAGATTCCAGGGTATGCGTGTTGCGTACTTTGCTGTTGATCGCGAGTCGACGGATGAGAAGTTGGTGCTTAATCGTATTGTTACGCTTAAGGATACTCAGGGGAAGAACTGAATGGATTTTAGCTGGTTTTTTTCCTGCGATGGAGCAAATCTCATGTGTGATGAGCCATGGTGTTGGCATGGATTTTATGACCATTGCATCTTTGCGTCTTATTTTGTTTTATCTATTTTCTGTTTACTTTTCTTTTCATCGGATACCAGTTGGTACTGATATACGCTACAATACACATGCTCAGAAAGGAGCTTCCATGGGATCTGGAATATTTGACTAGCTACGAGTACGTATCGGGCTGCGTTATTGGCGTGGTATGGAAGTGCCTAGTTAATTCCAATAAACTAACTAGTTACTTGGAAATAGTTATTGGATAACTAGAAAGTATAAGACTCATTCATGAATGTGAATTACCGGCATCATGGATTCAAGCCCTAGCATACATGACTCGAGACAGAATAGCATTGAACGTGTATTGAATCAGGACATAAAAGCATGAACCCTCTACTCTAAACATAGATGCCCATGTTGGTATCCCTCTTCTTAGCCTGAACCTCAGCGATAGCATCAACGAAGTTCTCATGACCAATCTTGTTCAGACCCTTCCGCAGCGCAATCATACCAGCCTCAACGCAGACAGCCTTGAGCTGGGCACCACCGAACTCATCCGTGCTGCGAGCCAACTCAGCCCAGTTGACACTGTCCTCGACGGACATCTTGCGCGAGTGAATCTGCAAGATGTTGGCGCGCGCTTCCTCGTTCGGCAACGGGAACTCGATTTTGCGGTCCAGACGACCGGAACGGAGGAGGGCGGGATCCAACACGTCCACGCGGTTGGTTGCCGCTAGGACCTTGATGCGGTCGTCCGAGGCGAAGCCGTCCAGTTGGTTCAGGAGCTCCAGCATGGTTCGCTGCACTTCGCGGTCACCGGACTTCTCTGAATCGAATCGCTTGGTACCGACGGCGTCCAGCTCGTCGATGAAGATGATGGAGGGCGCCTTCTCTTTGGCTAGGGCGAAGCAGTCGCGCACAAGTTTGGCTCCGTCTCCGATGAACATTTGCACCAGTTGGGGTCCGGCGAGCTTGAGGAATGTGGCGTTCGTCTCGGCGGCACAGGCACGGGCTAGAAGTGTCTTACCGGTTCCTGGTGGTCCGTACATCAAAGCACCTGCGAAGTGAAAAAGATACTGGTTAGATTTGTAGTCAATACGGAAGGGAAGGTAGCTCACCTTTGGGAGCCTTGATGCCGATCTTCTTAAAGCGCTCTGCCTCCTTCATCGGCATTACGATAGCTTCCACGATCTCTTCGATTTGCTTATCGAGACCACCGATATCTGAGTACTTCTCCGTAGGCTTCTCATCAACCTCCATGGCCTTGACACGGTTGTCATACTCGGCCGGTAGTGTGTCCAGAATCAGGTATGAGTCCTTGTTGACACCGATCAGGTCACCGGGCTTAAGCTTTTCGTGATCAACGAGACCAATAAGCGGAAGGAAGATTGTCTGACGGGTGGAGGTCTTGATGACAGCGGATTTGCCTACGCGGGTGGCATCCAGGTCGATATTGGCCCCTTCCTCTGCTGCCTCTGCCTCCACATCAAGATCCAGTAGCTCAACGACGTTTCCAACGAGGTATGGTAGTTGTCTAGGTAATCGCAGATGAAGATGTTAGTCACTGTCAAGGGTGCCATGTCTTCTCACCGGACCGCAAGCCGGTCACTAAGCTCCGCAAGCTTGCAGGACGGCGAATATAGGGATTAGTCAAAGCGCACCTGTTGTTCTCGATCTTCTCTAGATTATCTTTCACCTTCTCCCGCATTGTGCTCTGCTCGTGCGTCAAACGCTGGAACTCGCTTTTCATGATTCGCATCTCGTTCTCCAGCATCCGCCTTCGCGTAATGATGTCTGTCGTGCTTGAGTTCAGGATATCCTCGTCCAACAACTCCTCTTCCTCGTCTTTCTTGTCGGCATCTTCCATTTCGGCATCGCCGTCGCCTTCGGGCTTCTTGCCATTGCCATCGTTCTGGTCTTGCTTCTTCTCTCTCTGCTCCTGCTCAAGGTCCTCGAGGTCCTCAAGGGTGGACATGGCGGAATCGAAATTGGGGATTATAGAAATAAAAAGGTGGAGGCCTCAGTAATGCAGAGATAGCAAGCCGATCGGTTTTGGGGGGATGGGGTGGGATGAGAAAAAGGTTGCTAGGAGGAAGAGCTGTCGGTGGCCGAGCTCCAACAACGTCAGCCATAAAGGGTCACGTGATCTGATATGCGTTTCTAATCAGGTGCAATTCGACTCATTCTCCTTGAAATGTCTTTCATTCCGTCTTTAAAATGTGCATGATTGCTAGTATATACTGTTTAGAGTCAAAGTCTAGAAATAATGATACGGGTTTTGGTCATCATCTCGGATGTTGCCCAAGTTGTTCAACACATTCTCTCGGCCACACTTGAGTAGACGAAGTCGAGAGATGTAGTCATCGTTGTTGACTGGTGCATCATTAGCATAGAGAAAATCAAGAAATAAAAACCCAGTACATACCGTAGCCGCCGCACATTCGCCTCTTCCCAGTGAATTGAGAGCGACCATGCAACATTCTCCAATTATCAAAGACTAGAATGGACATGTGAGCCGTGGCCATCGCAATGGCACAAGAAAGACTTACTGAGCGCCGATCCGGGTTCAAGCTTCGTCCATATCTCCTTACTCTGTAGGATCTCGTTGTAATGGCGCGCAGCGTCATACCACGAGGACTGTTCCTCTGCCGACCAATTGACCTTCGGTGCGCGGTCATAGTTATTCCAGCGGATTTGGTACATCGAGTTCATGTCTGGATGCATAGAAAAGACTGGTGCCATGGCTGACGGCTGTATGCAGGTGTCATCATTCCCACTTGCGTGCCACGGGTGCCTATGCTTCACCAGCTCAGCATAATGCTGCGGGTTTTCGTGACGGAGTTGAGTTGCTGCTGCAAACCCATCGACCATGAGGTTATCACCCCCAGTCCCTTCGGTATGGGATAGCAGATGGAATAATTGCAGTCTCGCGGGATCTGTGAAATAAGTATTGTCTGTATGTGCTCCCAGGAATTCATTGGTGTATGCAGTGTCTTTGAAGGTCAAATCGGCTGTGAAGTCCCAAAATCCACCTGAAGCCATATTAGCCAGATGAACTAGTTACTCAAAGAGCTCCAGCACATACCATAGTGAGTGTGTCTGATGAATGCGATGCGCTCAATGAGAAGCTGGGTTGCCTGTGGGTTGACAGGGACACCGTCCACGAAACAAAATCCATGGGTCCACTTCATAGATATTAGCAAATTTGATCATAGATGTGGGAACCAAGAGACTTACAATGAGGTTCAGCCAGTTACCGAGTGACTTATCGTCGGACATCACGTCCTCGTATTGTACTCTGGGACTCTCCGCTGGATTGGTGACTGGTGTATATTGCCTTCCCATGCTGTCAGTACCACCCTGTTGATATGCAGTAGAGGAACTTACCGAGGACCCTCCAAAGCTGTGTGAGTAGACGGCACCGAATTAATTGCTTCGGTAGTAGCCGCATACTTGTTTTGCGCATGCGGACCAAGCCACTCGAATGGATAATGTCCCAGGTGATTATCAGACCCTGTGACAGTGTCAGTTCTGGGCATGGAAGCCAATTTGATGCATATCGTTTCTCACACTGGATTTCGACGGCAGTTTCTGTCTCCTTGATTGATTCTATCTTGACTTCCTGTGGGATCTGTAGTAGTAGCGTCAGAGACAGTACAGTAATATGGAATTGAGAGGTTGCCTACAGAGAAAGTGTCACTTATTCTCTGTTTTGTATCTGGGTGAATACATCTAGGACACTGGCAATTCTCTCTGATCCAAACGTCAGTTGTCGACAGGAGATTAACCATCTATGATTGCATTGGATCACCAACCTGAGGAAGAATCGGCCGCTGTGAAATACATGTCAGCTGCTACTCAACTTTCTTGGGGGTTGGAAGTAGCCCACTATTTCAACGTCTTATTTTGATTCTGCTGGACTCTACCTGGGAGAGATACCATGTCGGAGCTTAGCCGAGTCAATGGAGGACCATTGTGGCCCACCGCAGTGTTGAGCGGTCTCGCGGAGGCAGGTGTTACATGTCGGCAGCTAGCTGCCTATAATCAATGTTAATTTCAGTCGGAACAAGTGTGATCCCAGGGCTGGGTATCATGTATGGAACGGTACGGAATGCTTGGTGCCCTCGAACCGTTCGTAGAGCTTCTCTTGGGATCACACAAGTTTGAGTATAAATTCACTGTAATATATACGTACCAGAGCAGTGAGAGCACTAGTGGGAGAATAGCGAAGACCTAATCCCTTAGGCCTACTCACATATGAATTTAGCATTGAACGTGAGATGATAAAGGCGGGACACCATCTTACCCTGCACGACTCCATAGCCCACTCGACTTGAGCGCTGTACGCCAGCCAAGACTCATGGCCAAAACGTAAAAAAAATGGCTTAAAATGAGGAGAATATACACAATGCAGCAAAGGTCGTTCGAATCCGGGGTAGCATTTAGGTTCATGTTCGGGTCCTGGCGGCCGGGATAGCCGAGGCTATGGTCACGTGCAAGTATAAGAGGCCCGATAGAGCTGAATCTGTGAATCTAGAGTATCTCAGACTTCGAGTAGGTCTCAAGAGATAAAGCGAGGTATTTGCAGGATCTGGATAGGATGTACCATGCCGGCCGACCAACGACATGATAGCAAAGGGTTGACGTCCTTGATGTATCGGTGCCCCTTGTGAAGGTTTCGTTGTTCATAAGGAACTTTAGTTGACGGAGGCTCAGTCATCTTGCGGGTAATTATTTTATCGAAACGTATTGAGCATGGGGTCTAGGCAGGTATCTTATAGTAGGCAAACTATATCCGATTCAGCTGAGCTCTGCTGTATACATAGACAACCTATCAAAGCTTGCTCTTCACGCCGGTGATCTTCAACAGACAACGGCCATTGCTCAACACAACCCGACCCTTATCATTCTTAGTGACAAAGCGAACCTCCTCATAGCCATCTACAACATTGCCCATTCTCCAAATCTCAGTGGTAAGCTTGTCACCGGGACGGACAGGCGAGGCAAAGCGAGCCTCGAACTCCTTCATATTGGCAGGGTTGCTACCACCCAATTCGCGCAGGATGCCGTGTGCGGCAGAGTTCCAGCTGAACAAACCGTGGATAATGGTACCACCAAAGCCCATCTTTTGGCCGGGCTCCGGTGTGGCGTGAAGAGGGTTGTAGTCACCGTTGAGACTGAGAGGGAATTAGCGCCGGACTCTTGATTCATCCACCATCTTTGGGTAGAATGATCGAGGTGCTTATTGTATGCACAAGGTACTTACCGGTACAGGTGAGCGGTCTCTTGGGTGGTCTGAACGACATGTGTGGCGTCGGGAGCCTTGCCTTCGGGCGGAGCGTAGTTGACAGTGCTGGGTCCTGTTGAGATAGGTCAGCATATTCTCAAGCCTCGCATGCCGAAGTATCCTCTTACCCTTAGGGCCACCCCAGCCACCCTGTCCGACCAGGAAACCACTGCTCCGGACCTTGGTGAACACCTCGCCGCTTTCCTTGTCCACAATGGACTGTTCAGTCTCGACCACAGTACCGGGCTTGCCCTTGTCGTAGACGCCAATGACCTTATTACGCAGCTCGAACTTGCGTCCTTCGCTAGTGGGGGAAGGGGCTTCAGAATTGTGATCTTGCGCTGGCCATCGACGCCACGACGATGATCAAGGTCGGGCACACCCGGAATTTTGACTGCACTCTGGCGGGCATAGAAATCAGTCACCTCCTGATCGGTGAGCTTGAATGCTAAAAGGTACGTATGTTAATGCAATGGTCTGAAACTTCCGAGTGACTTCCAACGTACGGAGGATGAGAGAATAAGTTGGGAAGACCGAGAAGTTCGGGTGAAGTTCCTGAATATCCATTAGATTGTGGCGTACGGTCTGGTGCACATGAGCTCGGGGCCTACATAGAGGAAGTGCAGCTCGTCAACCTTGACGCCAATGCTATTGGCGAATAGTAGCACATCGCGCTTCTGCCAAGAGACGTCTTTGGGGGGAATTCGTGACCGGCTCCAGGGGACGACATTGTGATGATTATATGAAGAAGATAATTGGTAGAAATGCTGACACAAAAACGAACAGAAACGAGAGAAATAAAGGAAATGAGGAGAGTTGGCGAGTTAAAGTAGCTCCAACAATTGCGGGGGCACTAGACTAATCACTAGTGAGCCGAGGATCTGATAAATCTGGGGATTTGTCGCCATTGCTTTGCCGACGGGCAATGCATTCTTGGCACAATTTCCCAGCAGACCTTCTGAATCTCTTCTACATACAACATGCCATACATACTGGTTTACACTGAAGTTAGGATGTTGGAAATATGTCCAGAAGAAGAGCTTCGGAGTTTGCTAGACTAAGCATCGACTCGGGTATCGACCTGGAAATTCGAGGAGCTCTAGAATGATGTACCTCCGTTCGCGCCGCAAAATGCCTTTTCCCTGCCTCCCAATAATCAAACGCCGAAATAAACAAAGGCAAAATCAGATGTCCGATTCACCTTGGGCAATCTCATATGTGCCCATGCCAGAATGCATTGCATTGACTGAAATATCTCCCCTAGATCGTGCAAACAGGCAGTTATACACCTCTATGACATAAATGGAATTGCGGAAGAAAATTAACACCTAATGTGCATCAGTATAATGGCCCAGAACTAAGGAAATGCCAGGAAGACTCACATGCGGTAGAAGCAACCACCCTCAGCAGCGCGGGTGGGATCAGCAGTTTCAAACTTGTACGAGATGCTGATATCCAAGTCACGCTTGTTCTTATCGTTGGGACGGTTTTCGATCCAGCCGGTAACCTTCTCGTCCTCCTCAACTGTGAGGACATCGCGCAAGTAGAATACGGTCTGCTTCCAGTGGGTGTACTTGGCGTGAGGGCCGGTGGAGAAGTGGATGGGCTTGTGGCAAGCGCTGAACTCAATATCGAACCAAGCAATCATGGCGTGGATGAAATCGGGACGCTTGGCGGTGAGGGAGTAAGGCACCTTGAAGGCGAGGTCGGCTGTGGTCACGGTGTTGAGGTCAAAGGTGATGATCGGGCAGGGATCAGTCACAAGAGCCTTCATCTCGACGGTATCGACGAGGGGCTCGTTGAGAGCAATCTCCTTCATGGGGCTGTAATCAAATCCGTAGACGTTGTCCCAGACTGGCTTTGTCAGAATGGAAAAGAGAAAGGCAAAGGAACGATGGTGACTTACATCCAATCTTGTCATCCTTGTAATCGCCATCTTCAATACCAGCAACGTACATGGTAGCCTTATCAGGGAAGATCAGACCACCGGGGTTGAGGTAGGTGTCACGGGCGTAGAGAACGGTATCCAGCATGGACTCGTAGAGAAGGAAGTAACCCATCCACTCGGAGATGATGATATCAACCTTGGGGAAGGGGAGGTTAACCTCCTCCATCTTTCCCTGGAGAAGAGTGATCTTATCGGACAGTCCGTTGACGTGCACGATCTGACGGGCCTTCTCGATGATCGAGGACATATCGACACCAATGACGTGCTTGGCACCAGCACGGGCAGCGAACCTGTTATCAAAAGCGGTCAATGACAGATTCAGCTCATGAGATCATCCAATGCATACATGCTCAGAATACCAGTTCCACAGCCGACATCGAGGACAACCTTGTCCTTGAAGATGTGGCGGTTCTGGTAGATCGAATCACGGTAAGAGCGTGTGCGCACATCATCTTTCTAGAAGGAAAGGAATCGATGTTAGAGACTATAGATCGTAGAATATCCAGGCAAACTGTACTTACGAGCATCTCCTCGTGGATACCTGTGGCGGGCCAAGAAAAGGATCGTCAGTCAAAAGCATTCCAGGAATTTGCCATCAGGCACAGAATTATTTACCGTGGTGGTCGTAGCTATGTGACTCATTAGCATCCAAGTCCCATAAGCTCAATCAATGAGTGATGAACATACCTAGTGAAGTAGCGGACTTCAGAGTGCTCCATGCCAACCATGCGATCGGCACTGCTGGTCATCCCCTGGGGGGTATCGGATGTGGTATCCATATTGACGTAGAGAAAACCCGGTGAAATGAGACGAGGGAGAATGTAAAGAATTTATGAAAACTAGAATTGGAAGGATGAGAAAGGTAAAAGCGCAACAGAGATCGACTTCTCTTAGACTTTTTTTTCCTAATTATTTGCCCACCCGCCAAGCTTAACTCCAATCCCCGCCAGCACTAGCCACTTCTGGAAATCACGTGTGCAAACCACGTGAGTGATCATGCCCTTGTTTAAATAGGGCTATCTGCATGGTAGAGATGTAAAACCTGGAAGATCCGGAGTACAATAAGGATGTACCTGCAGCTTATCAGGGCAGCTTCAAGCTTGTGCGTGATAGTGATACTGAAGGACTGACAAGTGTACTATAACGAAAGGACAACAAGTCCCAATCAAAGGATGTCAAACGGATCCCATATGAACTCCGTCAACTTCAAGCTGGCCATGCGACTTCCATTAGAGAGGACAACGGAACAACCGACATTTCCATCGGAGAATTACATGCGACTGAGGACAGTGGTGAGCAGCTTCACCAACAAGATTCAATCCTGAAGTTGTAAGATCAACGGCGCTGTGGGGTACAGCAACGACTGTTTTGATCCTGCCAAGACCTCCAAGGGAGGCTCTCCGACGCCGCCGGGAGCTCCGCCAAACGTGTCATTCTTCCCCAAAGCTTACGCGTTGAACGCCTGAGACCAGTCTTTGGGCAAAATGAATCTGGGAATTGGAAGATTGAACATCTACACTCTCTTCGCTTTCGTTTTTCTAGCCTCGCTCATTGGCAGGTCCAACGCGTCATTAGGAGACCATCTCCCCGATTTCAAAGAATGTGTCCAGGTACGACTCCAAACTCAACGAATACTTTCAGGCAGCTAATGATTGCAGGTCTGTAAAGCTGAGAATTGTCAGAATGGCAACTCAGTGATACGTAGGTTCAACTCTTTTCAACCTGATGCCGCGCTTGCCCCTTTCTGACCTCGATTGCCCTCGATAGCTCTACACCACCGCTTGCTACTATGGACCTGCCCTGCGGAGTGTGACTATACCTGCCAACATGTCATTACCGATCGTCGCGTCGCGCGTGATCCTCCGATGCTCAGCCCAATTGTCCAATTCCACGGCAAATGGCCGTTCCGTCGGATCTTGGGGATGCAGGAGCCCTTCTCAGTGTTATTCTCCTTCTTCAACTTCGCCGCGCATTGGAACGGCATGTCTCGTGTCCAAGAGTCGATCCCGGCCTGGCATTCGCTTCGCCCATACTACATGATGTTTGGATATATCGGCCTTGCAAGCTGGAGTTTCAGCATGATCTTCCACATGCGCGACTTTCCCGTGACCGAAAAGCTGGACTACTGGGCGGCTGGTGCCAACGTACTGTACGGCCTCTACCTCTCCGTCGTGCGAATCTTCCGCCTGGACCTCGAGAATACCCCTTACCGACCTACCCTACGTCGATTGTGGACCGCTATCTGCGTTCTGCTTTACACAATGCACGTGTGCTATCTCAGCTTCTGGTCCTGGGATTACACCTACAACATGATTGCGAACGTGGTGGTTGGTATCATTCAAAACCTCCTGTGGACAGGTTTCAGTATCCTCCGATACAACAAGTACATGAAATCTTGGACTGCCTGGCCTGGTATGATTGTGGCTTGGATTATCCTGGCCATGAGTCTGGAATTGCTCGATTTCCCACCCTGGAATGGGCTGATCGACGCGCACAGCCTCTGGCATTTGGGTACAGTTGTCCCCGCCATTTGGTGGTATTCGTGAGTATTCCCTGTTCGACTAAATTTGGTTCCATGACTAATGTCTCAATTCTTCCCGACAGGTTCCTGATTAGGGACACACAGGACGACATTGCGGCGCATAGACTGAAAGCGTAAAATAGGGTCACAATTAGATCTCGTGATTTTATACAGATACGTACATACTCAGGATGGGCACTGCCAAGTCAAGATCGCCTGGTTTGACCTTAGCTCAGACGCGGAGGAAGCAAGAATGAAGATTGGGGTACCCCCCACCAAGATATTTACTCTACAATTAATTTCCACGGCAACGAATGTGGGTAAATGCGTTATTGCCACGTCCTCTGTCGCGCTTTGAGCCTAAATTCCCCGCCATTTGCTCACCGCTGGGGCCGTCGCAATAAGACGTGTCTCACCCCAAACCCCTCAGCCGCTTTTTTTTTGTTTCAAATACTTTTCTCCTCTTTCGACTTCGACTTCACTTGAAGCTTCTTGAGCATTCCTTTAACCCCTTACGGTGTCCTATACCTAACCACATATCTGCATCATGGCCTCCCCGGCTGTGAAGAAAGCGATCACTGAGGCCGCATCGCAGTACGCGAAGCCCGAGGACAAGATATTCGAGTATGGCACTGCAGGAGTAGGTCGCATTGCTAAAGCACTTTGCTCTGGAGACTTGACCGGCTGACAATGTTTTCAATTCCCACAGTTCCGCATGAAGTCGTAAGTCTCTTCAACTAGGCTGATCCACCCCGCCTCCACATCCATTATAACCCCGCGATCGTCCTTTTGTTGACGCCGACTTGTTCTGACCAACATGACTGCGCAGGGACCTTCTCAACACTGTCGTTTTTGCAGTAGGCTTGCTTGCAGGCCTGCGGTCAAAGAAGCTTAGTGGACAATGGATTGGTGTTATGGTTACTGCTAGCCACAACCCCGCGGAGGACAATGGTGTCAAATTGGTTGACCCCATGGTGAGTTCAAGCCATTGATTTCTGCCCTGTCATCGATCCATTGAGGCATATCTAACCATGTCTATTTACTTAGGGTGAGATGCTCGAAGTAAGATATACCCCTGTCGAACGTTCGGATCCAGAATAATGTGCTCATTGTACAACCAGGCCGAGTGGGAAGCATACGCGACGAGACTGGCAAATGCTCCATTGGATAAGATCGCCGATGTCTACGATGAGCTCGTCAAGGAAATCGACGTTCAGATGACCAACCCCGCCCGTGTTGTCTTCGCTCGTGACACCCGTGCTTCAGGCTCCCGTCTGGTGGGCGTTTTGAACGCGGCGCTTTCCGCGACTGAGGTCGAATTTGTCGACTTCAAGTACATGACCACCCCCCAGCTTCACTATATTGTTCGCTGCAAGAACACTCTTGGAACGCAATATGAGTATGGCGAGCCCACTGAGCAGGGATACTATGAGAAGCTTGCAAACTCCTTCAAAAAGGTCATGCGGGGAGTCAAGGTGCAGGGTTCCTTGACTGTTGATTGCGCCAACGGTGTCGGTGGGCCAAAATTGAGAGAATTGATGAAGTATCTCTCTGGTATTGATATCAAGGTCGTCAACGACGACGTGATTAACCCTGATGCCCTGAACTTTGAGGTAAGTTTGCATTTACCTAATATACACATCTCGACCAGTCTAACCGGTCATGCAGTGCGGTGCCGATTACGTTAAGACTAAGCAACGTGCTCCTCCTTCTTCCAAGGCTGCCTTGCTTGATCGTTGCGCTTCGCTTGATGGCGATGCCGATCGCCTGGTCTACTACTTCCAGGATGAGAGCAGCGTGTTCCGTCTCTTGGATGGTGACCGCATCGCCACTCTTGCGGCTTCGTTCATTGGCGACCTTGCCCGCAACGCCGGGATCGCCTCGAAGCTGAAGATTGGTGTTGTCCAGACAGCCTATGCTAACGGCGCAAGCACGGACTACATTGAGAAGGTCCTCAAGCTCCCCATCATCTGCACCAACACCGGCGTAAAGCACCTCCACCACGCGGCACTTCGTTTCGACGTCGGTGTCTACTTTGAGGCGAACGGACACGGTACCGTTACCTTCTCCGAGAACGCCTTGAAGGTCATCAAAAACACCGAGCCTCAATCACCTGCGCAGCAGCACGCTCTGGAGAGTCTCCAGGCCCTGACAGACTTGATCAACCAGGCTGTTGGTGACGCCCTGTCCGATGCACTGCTCGTGGAGGCGATCCTCGCACACAAGGGCTGGTCCCCCAAGGAGTGGCTCGGAACTTACACTGACCTTCCCTCGCGCCTAGTGCGCGTCGAGGTCAATGACCGTTCCATTTTCAAAGCCTACGATGCTGAGCGTAAGCTCGAATCTCCTCCTGGCCTCCAGAGCACCATTGAGTCTCTGCAGTCTCGCTACAACAAGGGCCGTAGCTTTGCCCGTGCCAGCGGCACCGAAGATGCCGTCCGTGTGTACGCCGAGGCCGCCAGCCGCTCTGAAGCGGATGACCTCGCCACTCGCGTTGCCAACGCTGTCAGCGAGGCAGGCAGCGCCTAATGAACCCGCAGTCCTGGTTGCTTCTGTCTTGACGAATTCTGCTATGGATCATTTTATCTCTAGCCTGTATTGCAATCGCCGACACTGGCACTCGTATCCTTGGACAGTGGGTATTCTTCAACTAGGTCTTAGGGCCTCCACAAATATGGTCCTGGAATATATCCAATATCATTTTGACGCAGTAATGAAATTTATGGGTTCTTTTCATATTATTCAAACGCTCTATATTCGTAAAATAAATCACTTCCTCTTCATGTACAAATAACACTTAATCCAGAATATAAGACTAGCCCTCTTCCTGGTCCATGGCATCCCGACTTCGCTTGCCCTTGAAGGAAAACTTGCCCTTGCCTTTGCTTCCCTTCTTCTCATCGTAATGCTTCATGGCCTGGATTGCGTCTCGCTGTGAGGCACTCGTTCTTTCAGCAAAGACCATGACTTCATCTTTAGGTGCAGGGTACTCAGGCAACTCTTTGCCCAATGCCGCCTCTATACGCTGCCAAACCTCGACATCGTATTGACTGCAGAAGCTGATGGATTTACCCGCGCGACCAGCGCGAGCTGTACGTCCAACACGATGAATATAGGTCTTGCTGTCTGACGGAAGATCGTAATTGAGAACCACGTCGACACTGGGAATATCCAAACCACGAGCAGCGACATCGGTGGCAACCAGAATTTCCCTGCTCTTCGACCGGAATTTTCCTAGCGCACCGAGACGAGCAGATTGCGACATCTGTCCGTGAATAGGGATTGCACCGAAGCCCAAACCGCGCAGCAAGAAGGCAACGCGCTGCGTCTCATGAACAGTGCGCATGAAAATGATGACTGATTGGCCGATGAACTCATGGAGAAGGTAGACGAGGTAGACGTCCTTGTGTTTGTAAGGGCGCAGCAGATAATATTGCTGAAGAGTCTGCACAGTAGCGTATTTGTTGGAAGAGATCGAGACACGGGCTGGATTTGACAAGGATGCTCGCTGCAGCGACTCGACTTTTGAGCTGAGGGTTGCAGAGAAGAGGAAGGTTCGGCGTTCACGTGGTAGCACCTTGAGAATCTTATCGAGGATGGGGCCGAAGTCCATGTCAAGAAGTCTGTCTGCTTCGTCCATGACGAGGTATTTCAGGTTGCGGAGAGAAAAGCCTTTTGTGTTCTCGAGGTGGTCGAGAAGTCTGCCGGGAGTGGCAACGACGATGTGAGGTTTCTTTCCTAGTGCAATTGCTTGCGGGACCATGTCCATGCCACCGACCAAGCATGTGGATCTCACGTTGATTGTCGAGCCAAGCGATTCGAATGCTTGTGAGATCTGGTATGCCAGTTCACGGGTTGGGGCCATCACGAGTCCGAAGAATGGTTGAGGCCTTTCCATAAGGGCCATGAGAATGGGGAGGGCGAATGCAGCGGTCTTTCCACTACCGGTCTCAGCGAGTCCGATAATATCACGACCTTGCAGCGCCAGCGGAATCGACTCGGACTGGATGGGCGTAGGGAGTTTGTATCCCATTTTTTCACAGGCTTCGCATAGTGAGTCAATGAGACCGAGTTCTTTAAATGTTTTGGCAGCAGAAGGGGCGCTAGTCACGGTTTCGGAGGAGGCATCTTCGTCACTGGCGCCTTTGGAGACAGCTTGAGGGCTTGAAGAGGTTGCATTGGACGCTGCATCGTCGGAGTCTTCGGCGGAGGGTTCTGGGCTGCCAGAGCTGGCATTTGATGCAACGTCGCCGTCCTCAATGGGAGCAGCGGGTGCTGCGTGGGCGACCTTACGCTTCTTGGTGATGGGCATTTTTGCTTGCTTGTGATTTAACAAAAAGAAATCTTGTAGACATTCACTTATCTCAACTTCTCAAGAGAAATAATTTGATGTGGGGCCGCAACATTGTTGATCCGGCGCTGTTGAAGTTAATTTTTGGAGAAAAAAAAACCTCGAAGCTGCTGGATTCGGTATTTTATTGGTCTTCCCTGCCATTTTTCTTTATTTCTCCTCTATCTCATATCAAAATGGCCAAAGCACGTGTCAAGAAGCGCACTCACCAGAAGCCGCAAAATGCTTCCGCTGTAAAAGGCACCGCTGCCTCAATGTCCAAGACTCCGAAGTCTATGGTCATTCGAGTCGGCGCTTCTCAAGTTGGTAGCAGTGTGACCCAGTTGGTGAAGGATGTCCGTCGTATGATGGAGCCCGATACAGCCGTGCGATTGAAGGTATTATTCACCCCTATTATTCTGCATACTTGATCTAACAGACGATATAGGAACGCAAATCCAACAGACTGCGAGATTATACTGTTATGACCGGCCCTCTCGGTGTCACCCATCTTATGTTGTTTTCAAAGTCCGCAACCGGAAACACCAATATGCGACTCGCCGTTACGCCCCGTGGACCAACCCTTCACTTCAAGGTCGAGAACTATTCGCTGTGCAAAGATGTCGAGAGATCCATGAAGCGCCCAAGAAGTGGCGGACAGGATCACAAGACACCGCCGTTGTTGGTCATGAACAACTTCACTACGCCAGACGCGACCGAAGATTCTAAGGTGCCCAAGCGTCTGGAGACCCTCACAACTACTATCTTCCAATCTCTCTTTCCTCCCATCAACCCCCAAAGTCAGCCTTTGTCTTCCATCCGCCGTGTCATGCTGCTCAACCGAGAGCCCGCCGAAAAAGATAACGATTCATATATCCTGACTCTACGCCATTATGCTATCGCTACGAAGAAGACCGGTGTGTCGAAACGAATCCGTCGCCTGGACCCCAAAGAGATCCGCAACCGAGACAAGAAGAAGACTGCCGTTCCCAACCTCGGAAAGCTAGAGGATGCGGCCGATTACCTCCTCGACCCGTCTGCTGGAGGCTACACATCAGCAAGCGAGACCGAGCTAGACACCGATGCCGAGGTGGAAGTTGCTGAGAGCACGACCCGCCGAGTTCTCAACAAGCGGGAAATGCAGCGCCAAAAGGCTGCAGAGAAGGGTCAGGACAAGCCGGCTCATATCACCGGCGTCGAGAAGCGAGCTGTGAAACTAGTGGAGTTGGGCCCCCGCATGCGACTCCGCTTGATGAAGGTTGAGGATGGAGTCTGCGATGGCAAGATCATGTGGCACGACTTCATCACGAAATCCGAGAAGGAGGTGCGGAAATTGGACCAGAGCTGGGACGTTCGCAGAAAGGAGAAGGAGGCGCGGAAGAAGCTGCAGAAGGAGAACATCGAGCGGAAGAGGCAGGAGAAGGCCAAGGCCAAGGCCAGTGGACAAAAAGTCGCTGATGACGATGAGGATGAGGAGATGGATGATGACGAGGATTGGCTCAGCGATGATGACTTTGACAAAGAGGCTGATGGTGAGGGTGAAGCTGAGGACGATTCTGAAGCCGATTCCGATGATTCTATGTCGGAGTAAGTGGGCTTCTTGAATCACCTCTATGAAATTGGTGGACTGTATCAACAATGCCGCCGCCTTCACGTCTGATATCCATGTCATACATGTGGATCAAAATTTCTGTCACTGTCACATACCCGATAGGCATCTAGGCGTTATTACAGGTTTTGTCTTCATATACTGCAGTCTTGCAAATTCATCCTTTATCCTTCGTCTCAAAATCTCGAAAACATAGACAGTCCCTGTATCGTTAGATGTGATACTCCGTTTTCTTTTTGCTTGATCATCTTCGATTTCCGCTATTTACAAATGTTGCGCGGTGATGTTCGTGCCTGCCTTATGTCTGTAGGAGGTAGCTTCCTCGATGTATTCCACTTGTTACATAAAAAGGAAAGGCGCAAGGTATGTTGCCCTGAATTGCACTTCCGAGGACATAAAAGCGCTAGGATGATCCATGCAGGGCTCGTAATTCATGACTCGGGTCTATTTCTTGAGTCTTCCATCGACAATTCGGTTCACCATCTTCTCCAAGATAGCAAAGTCTCCACCGGAGGTACCGGCAAAGTATCCCTGCACGCTCTTCTCGACGTACTTGCCCACGATATCAATCTCGACATTAACGAGATCGCCGGGCTTCTTCGCCGCTGTGACCACCTTCTCTTGTGTGTAGGCAATCAGCATGACCTCCCAATATCCATCCTGCCCATCGACGACCTTGGTGACAGTCAAGCTAGCACCGTCGAGGGTCACATATCCCTTCTCCACGACATAGCGCAAGATTTCCCTGTCGCGCGGCTGCAGGCGGAACACCAACGAGTTTCCATCGGGGGTGACAGACAGAATCTCCGCAACGGTATCGACATGACCCTGAACAAAGTGTCCTCCCATCCGGGTATCCGCTGAGACGGCACGCTCGAGGTTCACGGGGGAGCCTGTCTGTAAGGAGCCCAAGTTTGTGCGCCGCAGCGTCTCCGGCGCACAACCAACCTTGAACCAGGTCTTATCAAATTCGGTGACGGTAAGACATGTTCCTTAAGCTCAATTTTAGACGGTATTCCTCGAGTCCTAGGTAGAGAGCGTGTTACCATTCACTGCAATACTATCGCCCAGGTGCGCATCCGTGAGGATCTCCTCGCAGTCGGAAATGGTGAGGGACGTTCCCCCGCCCCCGCTCGACGAGGTATCGAGGGGCTCCAAGGCCGTGACAGCTGAGACTGCATCAGATATCGAATCGCTTTGCACAAAGCAGATGGAACTCACTCCCAATCGTCTCAATAAGACCTGTGAACATAGCTGCGGTTGATGATTAAGGAAATGATCTGTGGTGGTGGGAGTCCACCTCGGCATCGGCCGCCCCTCCGAGCGGTGTCGGCGTCGGCGTTTTGACGGAGATTCTCCGGTTTCCCCAGATCTTTTTAATAGCCCCAGGTCTTCGTGCGATTGAGCTGTTTCTGTGTGTGTTAGTCTTTCTTTGGTTATACTACACTCTAACTATCTATAATAATGGCAGTTGCGCTCAGATTCCAGGCTGTTGCCCGTCGATCGGGCTTGTCCTGGGGTAACAATGCCCTGCGGCGTACAGTGCCAGGACGGAGCTATTCTACCCCAGCTTCAGCTGATGGCTCACTGCCTTTGGCGGGTATTCGCGTTCTTGATATGACCCGCGTTTTGGCTGGTGTGAGTAAATCTCTCAAGCTGTGCTTGTAATCCAAACTAACATGTCATAGCCTTATTGTACCCAAATTCTGGGTGATCTAGGGTAAGTACTAAGCTTTGGAGCTATGGACAGACCCAATTGGTGATCTTTCGTGTATCATCTGCTAAAATGACTAATTACAGAGCGGATGTCATCAAGGTCGAACATCCTACACGCGGTGATGATACCCGAGCATGGGGTCCTCCGTATGCGGAGTACGAAGACGCTTCCAAGAAGGGGCCTGGCGAGAGTGCCTACTACCTATCTGTACGAACCATTCCCGAGAGAATGAAAACAGTGATCAGGTACTAATCCTCAATATAGGTCAACCGAAACAAAAAGTCCATTGGTCTATCTTTCCAACACAAGTCAGGCGTTGAGATTCTACACAAGCTCGCAAAGGAATGTGATGTCCTCGTTGAGAACTACCTCCCTGGAGGTCTCAAGAAATATGGCATGGACTACGACACATTGAAAGAAATCAACCCCAAGTTGATCTACGCTAGTATCACTGGATATGGCCAGACAGGTCCATACAGCAACCGCGCAGGCTACGACGTCATGGTGGAAGCCGAGATGGGATTGATGCACATCACAGGTGCTCGGGATGGTCCTCCAGTGAAGGTCGGTGTTGCCGTCACTGATCTGACCACCGGATTGTACACATCAAATGCCATTATGGCAGCCCTGATTTCTCGAGGTCGCACTGGCAGAGGCCAGCATATCGACGCTTGCTTGAGTGATTGCCAGGTCGCTACACTATCCAACTTGGCTAGCTCAGCGCTTATCAGTGGAAAGAAGGATTCCGGCCGTTGGGGCACAGCACACCGTAAGCATCACAGAGTGTCTGGTGGTCCCACACCTAACTGAACTGACTTTACTAGCATCCATTGTCCCCTACCGAAGCTACAAGACCCAAGACGGAGATATTCTTTTCGGTGGCGGTAATGATAGACTCTTCGGCGTCTTGTGTGACCGACTCGGCTTCCCTGAGTGGCAGACCGACCCGCGATTCATCACCAACAGTGACCGAGTGCAGCACCGCACAGAAATCGATGGCATGATTGAGAGCACTACTGTTCAGAAGACCACACAGGAATGGCTCGAGATCTTCGAGGGTAGCGGTATGCCCTATGCAGCTGTCAATGACATTCAGGGCACGCTGAACCACAAGCATGGTAAGTCTGCCTGCCTACTAGCACGGTGTGAGACCTTTTACTGACCATGACAACAGTACTGGCACGAAACATGGTGACGGAGGTTGACCACCCTGCATGCGGTCCTATCAAGCTGGTCAACACGCCGATCAAGTACTCCGAAGCCAAGCCCGGTGTGCGCATGCCTCCTCCTACTCTCGGTCAGCACACAGATGAGATCTTGGGCAGTGTCCTCGACTATGGGGATGCAGATATTGCCCGTCTGAAGGCTGAGGGGGTCATCTCCTGAACTTGTAATTATTGATGAGAAACATGAACGATCTTTCGGGATCTGTATATAAAATAACCCTGGAACAAATTTATCATATAGGTATCATCTTTTTCAAGTGGTTAGCCCTAAGGTTTTTGAATATCTCGTACCTACCAGGCTACCTAAGGTAGGTAGATATCTATGGAAGGCTCCTACCTACCAAGTGTCAAGAATATGTTGCTACTGGATCCATTCCGTCTTAAGTTTAACCTAGTACACCTAAACGGACACAGCCTTGTGAAAGTACCAAAACCTGAAAAGAACAGATAATACATGGATTGACCACCGGACCACCAGGCACCAACTCGACAATGAATATAACAGAATATTAAGAACACTTCCAGAAACAGAAAGAGTACCAATAAACCCTTCATGAAGTGCCTGAAAATACCCATTTTGAGGTTGCATTGGCACCGTCACGTGACCTATATAGAAAGCGCCCTCATTCGACGACCTCACTCCAACCCTATTTCCGATTAAAAGAGATCAGAAGAGTCGACTATGCTAGCCTGTCCGCTCAGAAATCCTTCTAGTGCGAATTGTGATTTCTGCTGTACTGGAAGATACGCATTGCCCTAGGAAATTATCACCATCCTTGTGAAAAACCTCAACAAAAATCAGCGAAGCGCCGAAGCCTCTTCTTGACAGGCAGATACGCACGAAAACTGAGCATGGGGGTTGCCGCAACGCTCATGGACCTTTCAGGCTCAGAAATAAACACTGGGAATCCTCACAACGTTCCCGGAGGCAGTATGTTTGATCATGAGGGCGTTTCTGAGCTCTCAGCCCAGTCAGAGCTTCTAAGCGACAGTATTCCCTGGCAAAATTGGGGATTACCCCTGCCACCTGGGTACGAGACAGCTTGGGCAGCCAACCAAGGTACTGGGACGAGCGAACAAAATGTCGGCGACACGCTGTCTTCAAACCGAACTCGATCTGGTCGTCGTATCAATCAGCCCGCCGCTCGAGACGCCGAGGTTGCGCCAATTAATAGGCCGCCTGCACCTGTCAAGGCCGGAGCACAGAAGCGGAAGCGTCAGAACCGCCAAATAAATATAGTTTGCACTGGCTGCTATCGAGGGAACAGTCCCTCGAACAATCTCATCGTTCTATGTGACAGCTGTGATGCCCCGTGGCATCAGAAGTGTCATAATCCGAATATTGATAATGAGGCTGTTGAGGTCCCGGATATGGATTGGTTTTGCATTAGGTGTAGACCGGACCAAGGCCAAAGGACCCAAACCAAGTCTGGAAAGAAGGTTGCAGCCAAAGGAAACAAGCCCGGACGCCCAAAAATTCCAGTTGTGTCTGAAAAACAAGTCGGTGGATATCGTTATTCTGAAGAGAAACGACGGGCATATCTTTCATCTCTTTCGCATGAAACGTTGGTGCAACTTGTTGTGAACGTCTCAAACGAGTGGCCCTCAGTTCCGATGTTTCCCCCAACTTGCAATCCGTGACTGCCTTTACCCCGTCCACTCCAGCAGCATCACACATCAATCAGACTTCCAACCCCACATCTAAAGCAGCTGCCAGTTTTCCATTCCTTGACGGAATAAACATGTCTGTGAATCCACAAAGCATGGCCACGAGACACCAGAGCGGGGTGGCTCCTTCCTCTGCTGTTTCTGGCCCGACTTCCATGACTGCCGACGGACTATCCACCTCAATGGCCCCCGAAACTGCCATCAACCCTTCTCTTCTTCAGTCGGCTGGTGAGACTATAACCGATCAACATTTTGCTGGTATCTCTCACGCACATCCTGCGCCGACTGTCCCTGCGCCAACCGTCACCGCGCCTTCCGCGACAACAAATCCACGACACCCTTCTACAACTGTGCTCAAATACACTGCTCGACCCTCGAAGGCGAATATTCCTGCTCGAAAGACGTCTATCTCTTCCTGGAATTCTAATTTGCTCACTGACGACGAGTCATCCCTCTCTCAATCACGACCGCAATCTCCAGCTCCATTTGCGTCTCGAGCGTCACAAGTCGGTTCACACAATGAGTCGGATTATGACTCTGAAGATTACCGTGCCTACCCGCCAGCTGGTCAAGGATTCCAGCTCTCGTCGGACCAGAATGATCTTGCCATCTTGGCTGAGGATAGAAATTGCTCTACCTTCAGTCACTCTGTTAGGGGTGTAGCCCAGAAGGCTGCGAAGAAGAATGCTGTCTAGCCACTGCGTCACCGCAAGCAATGTTGATTGATACTGTGATACAGTTGTCGTTCTCGTTCAGTGGTGGGGAGGGAATTACCCTGTCTTATTGATGAAAATCCGGTCGTGTGGACATTGTTTCAACAATGCGAGGGAGTGCGAGTACTGTATCTGGTTTGGTGAATGGAACTCATCAATCTGCCCTTTACCTTAATACTCATTCTGGTCATGTCTTCCTTCTTTTCTCATATTCTAGCTACGACAACCGCGCCCTTAATAGCGTGGAGTTCTCGATTCTCCGTGATTTCTTACTCCTTTTTCGTCCCGTAGCTAAACGCGATAGATATATTCCTAATGTTTGTTGGCCTGACTGACTAGAGCTTTCGATGAACTCAAACGACACTATCACATAACCTCTCAATCAGGCGAGAGAATGGGATTCGCGTGGCCCCCAACGTTGCTGTGACAGTACAATTCCATTTGGTTGAAGATAAACAATACTGTGTAGCCCGGATTATTTCCCACCGATCGTCTTATCTTATCGCCCCGCAAAGTGGACGCGTCTCGAATCCCATGTCTGCTCACTTCGCATCTCCATTGTCCAATCTCTAGGCCCCAAACCCAAGGGCAGACGATTCAATGTCATCCCCAACCCCTCAGATCCTAAAAACAACATCCAAAAGACCCCGTCCAAACCCCGCCCGATCCAGACCACACAGCAACCTGTTTACAATCGACACCATAAGCACCGTCCTCTCCAAATCCCTCTTGAACCCATTCATAGCCTGGATCCTCGTCCTCTGCCTACGCGCACAGGTAACTCCGGTAACAGACCTAGCCTGGATTTTGACTGTGGGCTATGCAATTGTATTGACGGTGTTCTTCATCGGGAGGACGGTCAATCTGCGCGTCGCGGACGGTGTCCCGCGCACAGTGGATTTCGATAATGAGGTTGTGGTTATTACGGGCGGGGCGAGTGGGCTGGGTTTGTTGATTGCGCAGATGTACGGTATGCGGGGGGCGAGTGTTGCTGTGTTGGATATCAAGGATGTTCCGGAGGATACTCGGGATGAGGTGTTTGGGGAGGGGGTCTTGTATATCTCGTGTGATGTTGGGGATAGGGGGGCATTAGAATCTGCGAGGGAGTTGATTTTACAGAAGGTATGTTTGGTCCTACTTGTACTACGGTACGAGGAATTAGAATGGTTGACGGGACTGTTTTAGAACGCTCTATGACTTGGATTTGATTCGCTAATATGATGCAGCTGGGAACACCGACCATCATTATCAATTGTGCCGCTGCCAGTATCCACGGCCTCTCGCTGCTTGATTTGCCGGCGGATGCATTCGAGAAAACCATCCGCACGAACCTCATGGCAGCGTTCCATCTGTATCAAGTCTTTCTGCCTGGAATCATCGCGACAGAGACTGGAGGAACGCTTGTCACGGTCAGCTCGGTGCTGGGTCAACTGGCTGCTGCAGGCCTATCAGACTACGCAGCAAGCAAAGCTGGACTGAGCGCGCTGCACCGGACGATAGAAGCCGAGACCCGGGTTTACCCGTCGATCAAGACATTATTGGTGGAAGTAGGGCAGATGTCAACGCCGCTGTTCGACTGGGTACGCGCGCCAAATCAGTTCTTTGCGCCGGTTTTGGAACCTGTGGATGTTGCCCGTGGGATGGTGGCAGCGATTGATAACGGTCGAGGTGGCGTAATTCGATTACCACTCTATGCAACGTTCGTGAATTGGTACGCCGTGCTACCCGCTGCAGTGCAGCGGATTGCGAGGTATCTGAGTGGAATAGATGGCGCTGTGACTCAAAGTCAACAGGCATCTCGGAAGGCAGATTGATTGATGAGTTGCTCGAGTGGAGCTGAGCGGTGTATATTGACGTTAAATCATGAAATGCCCTTTATGAGCCAGGCGACATGTACATATGAGCAGAAAAATCTGCTTCATTGAACATATTTTTCGACCGTGTTCTCAATTCCGAGTCTTGGTCGGAGATTCGGCGACGGAATTTGACATATAGCTGGACTGCTTTATTTCTCGCTGGCCAGAATCATCTTTTCACGCTCATGGGTCCTTGGCGCCAGGTTGCTCTTCTTAGTGTGCTTGCGCACATTCTCCTCGCGCCTCTTAATAGCATTGAGTTCCTCGCGTTTGATTTCGCCAGCCTTCTTGATAGGCTTGGGCACATGACGCTGGCGCTTGATGCGGCGAATCTGGGGCATGTGCGAGTACCGCTGGATCAAAGCTTGGTCGTATTCGAGCTTGGAACGTTGACGGGCGGTCTTGACTCCACTGCGATCCGATGCCTTGGCACGCCAGAGACGAACATTGCCATCGTCAGATCCTGACAGGACGTACTTGCTGTCAGGTGTGAATGTAGCAGAGAATACACGCTGCATACGCTTCGTGTGATAGATGTCACGGGAGTGACCAGTCGATCTGTTCCACAGGCGGATTGTCCTGTCGTATGAGGCAGTGACCAGCTCTTCACCAGTAGGGCTGAAGTCCACGTCCATAACAGCAGCCACATGATCCTTCAGAACATTCAGGGCACGGTCCATCTTTCGCATATCGAAGATATAGGCATTGTGATCTTCGTTTGCGACGGCAAAGTTGAACGCTTCCATAGGGTTCCATGAAATGGCGTTGGATGCCAGTCTCAATATCGTCTTGTGGACCGGCTGAGAAGTACGCAGGTCATACATGATAACTGACCGGTCCATGGCAGTCGATGCCAGGATAGAAGTCTCAGTCTGGTTGAATGCAACGGATGTGATGGTGTCAACGCTGGTCGGCCAGTGCAGAGTTTGCGATGGCGCGGAAGAAGGCCGGGACAGATCATAGATAGAAATAACACCAGAGGCGGCGGCAAAAGAAGGGAGAGTCCGGTGGTGTGATACACTGGTAAAGGCAGTGTTTCCGAGGTATGTTGCCATCGGCGGGGCCTCAGATGACGAATTGTAAGGGTCCCACAGCTTGACAGTCTTGTCGCTTGCGCATGAGAGAAGTTTTCGCTCCGGTGTCCAGCAGAGGCCCTTGACCATGTTCTCATGGCCTTGAGTATTCCAGACCTCGCCCTGTGTGGTCAAATCCCACACCTTTACCACGCCGTCACCACTGCCGCTTGCAAACCGCTCAAGCGAACCGGGATCCTTCGCCATAGAGTAAACGCCGTCAACGTGACCATTGCCCATCTGCGCTAGGAAAGGAGCAGCAAACATGCGCTCCATCTTGATTGCATTCAAAGCCCGAGTATATTCACGAGCCCGCTCAAAAGGATGCTGTGTCGGGTCGAGATTTCGCGACTGGCGAACGACAGCGGACCCGGGGGCCTGCTGCGACGCAGTAGAACGGGAAAGTGCTTTGATTTTCTATATTTCATTAGCATGGCTATCCAATAGACAAAATTTGAAAAGAAAATACTCACCATGGTGCTGTTGTGAAAACGATGTAAAGCAGAAAAGAAATTCGTTGATGGAACTTTTTTCTGTTCGATTTGCCAAGCGGGCGGTGAGAGGGCGATGAGCTGCCAGCTTCGAGCTCCCCGTTCGACCTGGTCATCAACCTCTCTCCAAACTACCATCTTGTCTTCTTTCTCTTTCCTTTAATTCCTCATCTTGCTCGCTCGCCATTTGCAACCATCTACCATGTCATCCAAGGTCTCGCCGCGGATCCAAGAAGTCCGAGATCTGCAGAAACAGGATCCCTCGAAAGCAGCGGCTAGTTACCAGAACATCCTCTCCGAGGGCCCCGGATCTACAGAAGCCTCTTCGCGAGACTATGAACATGCCTTGGTAGGGCTCGGTCAGTTGCATCGGGATGCGAAGAAGCCACAGGAGATCGCAGATCTCATCAAGACGAGCCGTGACACCTTCTCGTCATTCGCCAAAGCGAAGACGGCCAAGCTGGGTAAGTTGCGCACTGCTTTGTGTCTGTAGGAACTAGCTAATGGTAATTTCTTAGTTCGCCAACTCTTGGACCTGATTAGCGAAATCCCCAACACACTCGAACTTCAAGGCAGCGTCATCCAATCATGCATAGAATGGGCTATCACCGAGCGGCGGTCATTCCTTCGCCAGGCTCTCCAAGCCCGACTCGTTGCCATCTACATGCAGAAGCAATCCTATTATGACGCTCTTACTTTGATCAATTCTCTCCTCCGTGAGCTGAAGCGCCTGGATGATAAGCTTATGCTGGTGGAGGTACAACTGCTTGAGTCGCGTGTTTATCATGCACTGGGCAACCAAGCTAAAGCACGCGCTGCTTTGACGGCAGCTCGGACGTCTGCTGCTTCCGTTTACACACCACCAAACCTGCAGGCCGGTCTGGATATGCAAAGTGGTATGCTGCACGCTGAAGACAAGGACTTCACCACCGCATACTCTTATTTCATCGAGGCACTTGAGGGTTACAACTCGCTCGACGAAGGTGATCTGGCCACGGCGACCCTGCAGTATATGCTTCTTTGCAAGATCATGCTGAACTTGGTGAATGATGTCACACAGCTACTGGGTTCGAAACAAGCGCAAAAGTACGCCAGTCCCCGTCTAGAGGCGATGAAGGCCGTGGCACGGGCGCACGCCAATCGGTCTCTCGAAGAATACGAGAGAGCGCTCTCGGATTACCGTTACGAACTGGGCAGCGATGTATTCATCCGAAACCACCTCCGCCGTCTTTACGATGCCATGCTGGAACAGAACTTGGTCAAGGTCATTGAGCCCTTCAGCCGGGTCGAACTGGACCACATTGCCAAGATGGTGGGTTTGGACACACAACAGGTGGAGAGGAAATTGTCCCAGATGATCTTGGACAAGGTCATTATCGGCGTATTGGACCAAGGCTCGGGATGTCTGATTGTGTATGAGGAGACACAAAGGGACCAGGCTTACGATGCAGCACTGGAGACCATTGAAAAGCTAGGCAATGTGGTGGAAGGTCTGTATACTAACCAGGCGTCTCTTTTGGAGTAGAACGATGGAATTTGTCCAATGCTTGTTAGACGATGACTTGATAGGAATTAATCAAGACAATGCACGATCACTCTCGACACCGTAATAGTCTCGACCCTCCTTCTTTGACGTAGGCCCTATCTTGATGCTTAACCCTAGTAATTTTCTTACTTGGACGCACTCAACGCGAGTAAAAGTACTTTTGGTCCCGTGAATGGTGTTGTTCGTGATCTTCCGAAAAGGGTAAAGCGCGACGGGCAAAAGAATCGCGACCTCGCATCTCCAACATCTCGCCTCTTTCCCCCCTCCCATCCGTCATTCTCCCACCGCAGCTTCGGTGCTCAGTATTTCTACAATGCAAGCTCCAATGCAACAACATTATGCTCGGGGCATGCCCCCGAATGCCCAACGGTCTCCAGCCACGGCCCGTCGCCCCCCAGGGCCAGGTATGTCTCCTTTCATCAGTCTCCACCCACTCGTCTAGGCTTCAACTTACATCTCTGTAGCCGGCGCAATGCCTGTTCCGATGCCACAACACGCTGTTCCACCACAGTACATGGCGCGTCCCATGCCCCACCCCAATGATGCTACCATCCGGCGCAGTCGCAAGCCGACCGACAAGAACCTTCCCGACGGCATTGAAGATGTGATCATCGGCGAAGGTGTGCAGCAATATAAGAAGCTTCGCGACATTGAAAAGCGATTGGACGCCGCCGTTGTACGGAAGAGACTGGATATTCAAGATTCCATCAATAAGACTGTCAAGAAATATCGGACTATGCGTATCTGGATCTCCAACACAGTTGAAAACCAGCCGTGGCAAGGGCCGGGTAATAACCCGGGCTCTGGTCGCTACAAAGTGCGCATCGAAGGGCGGCTACTGGACGATGAAACCGATCCTACTGCTCCCGACGAGGACGAGAAGGATGAGGATGCCATGGACCACGACGGAGCAGAGGATAAGACGAAGAAGTCTGAAGCTAAGAAACAGCGTTTCTCACACTTCTTCAAGGCCATCACCGTTGACTTTGACCAGCCCGCCGCGGCTGTTCCTGACGAGGTGAAGCCGGTCAATTGGGTCAAGCCGAACACACAGCCCAACACGCCAGCGGCGCCGGCGGCCGAATTTGATAGCTTGCAGTTCTCTCGGGCTTCGCAAGAAAACCTGAATGTCACTGTCAGCCTTGTCCGGGATGAGGTTCCAGAGCGATACAAGCTCAGCAAGGAGCTGGCTGAGGTTCTGGATGTTGAAGAGGAGACTCGGAGTGGAATTGTCCTGGGAATTTGGGATTACATTCGCGCCATGGAACTGCAGGGTGATGAAGAGAAACGACAAGTGCGCTGCGACCACCGCCTATTCTCGGTATGTGCTTTTAAATATCTAATAATATTACCAACGCCGCTAACAAATACTGTAGATCTTCGGTCGGGAACAAATGTTCTTCCCTCAAATCCCCGAAAGCGTTGGTCCTCACACCAGCCCAATGGAGCCAATTAAGCTCCCATACACCATTCGCGTCGACGAGGAGTTCCACGCCGACGCCAAGCCCACCGTCTACGATATCCAGGTCGCAGTGGAAGACCCGCTACGCACCAAAATGATGGCTCTCACCCAGAACCCAGCGTACACAGCCAGCTTGCGTCAGATATCCTCGCTTGACGAGCAAGTTGCCCTGATTGTTCAGGCTCTTACACACTCTCGCGCGCGACACTCGTTCTACACTGCTCTGAGCAAGGATCCGGCTAACTTTGTTCGCCGATGGATCAACTCTCAGCGTCGTGATCTCGAGACTATCCTGGGCGAAGCTACTCGCGGTGGCGGCGAGGATGGAAGCGGACCTGAGTTCCAATACGGCGGTCTTGATGGGCCATGGGACTCGGATGTTGCCAAGGAAGCTGTGCGTTACATGTTGGCCAAACCCGAAGCTGCAGCTGCTCGATAGGTTATTTTTTACCCTGTTTCTCTTTTTAGGTCTCATCTCCGCATTGCCGACTACGATGTAATGGAGATGGGTGTGTATTCTTGTTTCTTTTGATAAAGGGCGCTCGTGTGGTGTTTGGACTGGTGCAGCTGGGGTATGCCGGGTTCTGCGAAATTACTGTCTCAAGATCCTGTTTCGATAATCTGATACGATGCAATATGATTCCGTATTCATTCATCCAGTTCTCTGCTGAAAGTAAAAGCATCCTAGAGGAGAATGAATCTGGAAGTCTCTTCTGTCGACATAGGCAATGGCTTCTGGTCAACTAATGCGAAACTGAGGAAGGCCTGCGAATATCATAAGTCCGAGAGCCAACCACATCCTCAGGTCTCATTTTCCCCTTCCAACTTATAGGAGAGGGGAGATCCAGGAGGGCAACGAACCCAAGAGGCATATCTAAAGCAATCCAATAACTCACAGGGAAAGCAACATAGACAAAAACTCACAATCATTCTACTATAACCTATAGAGCAAAAAATGCTCTAAAGAGGGGAGAAATCCACAGCCTCCCCCAAAGCTGGATTCTACCTCAAACCCGTCGATCCAGACCTCTCATGCGCCAGGCAAAGGAACCTTGGCAACCAGCTCCTCCCTGCGCTTGCGCACCTCCTCGCCAAGCCCCGTGTCCACAGCCGACGAGACCTTCTCCCTCAACGAGGAAAGATCACTCTGCATAATAGCGCTCTCCTCCTGTTCCAACTTCGACGCCGCCTCGAGGACAACATCCTCTGCAGCACCGGGCTGTTTCTTCCCCTTCTTCGCATCGGCAGCAGCAGCCTCATCCGGAGTGCGGAAGCGTTTGAGGACCGTCTCCACCATCTTGGAGAACCAGAAGAAGTTCAAGAAATTCAGGATCAGATTCGAGCCCACATAGGTCACGACGAGCCAAGTCGGCACGCCTCCGGCGGTGAAGTCCTTGAACTTGGTGATCTCGGCATTTGCGCGGGCACAGGCTTCGTTGATGCACAGACTGCCGTCACGAGCTGGGTAGAAGACGTTTGCGTTGATGTTGACGGGGGCGGAGAGCGGGGATGCGGACGCGGCCCAGGTTTGTTGCAGTGCGTTCCACATGTCCCCGTACACAACGACGCTCTGCCAGGTGCCCCAGACGAGGCGACAGGCGAAGAAACTGGAGAGAAGAGCCATGCCGTTGTACCACTGGGCGCGGCTGCCGGTCATGTCGAGTTTGTCGAGGAACCAGTGGATATTGAGGAATGGGCTGGAGAGTTCATAGAGGATGAATGTCGGGGCGAAGTAGTTTAGGAAGGGTCTCTGTGGATTGTATCATATTAGGTGTTGACCTGGAAATATAGTGCCCGAAAAGCATATGAAAGGTTGAATGATTGTCTTGGACGAGGGTACAAACTTACAAAGCCGAGACTAAACACCCATAAGGCGCTGACGGCATGGAAAAGCAAGCCGATGCCAAACATGCGCACATGTATAATGCTGACAATAAGGTCATAGACAAAGTATCCCACGGCTAGAGCCTGGATGAGTCCACAGGATCCTGTATACCCGAAGACCCGCTCGCCGGAGGTCATGGAGCTGCGCTCCTTGTCATAAAACATGACCCACAAAGCGGCAACATTGATGACGACGCTTTGAACAAGAGATACAACGTGGATATCCCAGTTCAGCTTCGTCCGGGGAGTGAGCTTATTGTAAGATTGAGGGAAGAGAATCGGCGAAAGCCAAGGTGAGAGAACTGCATGAATGGTCCAGTAGAAGATGAATGCTCCAATCACTTCATGGATGTGGTCAACGAGCGTCGGACTACTCAGACGGAGAAGATACGGCTCTGCGAAGCTCCGCAGCCATTCTGGGGGCGGCGGGAAGGGGTCCAACATTATCGGAGATCCCCTCAGCTAGCTGTGATCACCCGATGAGGGGAAAGCTGAGGTTCGAGGGTTGGGGAAATGTAGATCTATGTGCAGTTTGAAAGAGCACCGACGGTATACGGTCTAACGTAAACAAAGGGAAAAGGAAAGATGGCAAGGAAACAAAGAGAACCCAGACCACCAGGAATAGGAGAGAAAGAGCTCCATGGGGAATGGAGTCGTGATAAGATGACCAGGTGAAGCCGCGGCAAAACCTGAGGCAGCCACCATTTGTTGGGAGTCCACGTGACCAGTTGCCTTATGAGGGTATGCTTCAGTCTTCACGGTCAGAACTGTGCCAGAAGGAATGGGAGAATACTCCTAGGACTATCCTGCTGATCAGCTATTTAGTATTCAGCTGATGGAAACAAGACACAAACAACTAACAAGTATGTGGCCTATCGAGTCAGGTCCAGACCTGCTATGAACATGACCTATCTCATAAAAACCTGGTGACCTTGGAAAGAGTCTACGCAATATGACTACATCACATGGAGGTGTCCTGGTAAGGTAAACCGAGAATTCATCATTAAGCAATACACACAATACACATTCATAGTCAACGAAAGTCATCCATGTCATCCAAGCAAACAAAAACACAACATAAGTGGTATATGGTAAGGAAAGAAAACTTCAAGGGTGTTTCAAAGCAACCAACTCCGAACGAAACAAAATTCAAGCAAACCCCAAAACTTCAATCAAGTCGCAATATCCGTGCCAAGTCCACTATCACTGGGGGGCGCTAGTAACTTCAGGACTTCGGCTTCTGCAGCCGCGTTGGCCTCCCTGATCTGGTGGGACATCTCGTGGTCCTCCTCATTCTCATCTTCATGTCCAGAATGCTCGTGTGCGGTCTGCGCATCATCTTCTGACTCGGAATCATCAATGGAAAGAACATCGTCACGATTCTCGTGATCGTGCTCCGAAATTGAGCTTTCGGCCATGCTGTAGTCATTCGCCGAGCTTACTCCGCTGACACGACGCTGATCTGTGACATCTGTAGCCGCACTGTTCGCGATGCTACCGGCGTAGCTTGTCTTTCGCTCAGTGCCAGCGTTGCTTGCTGCGTAGCTTGTGCGTCGATCGGTGCCGGCATTACTCGCGGAATAGTTGCGCTCTGTGCCAAAATCGGACTCTGCATAGCTGGTCTTGCGATCGGTAGGTGCATTACTTTCTGCGTAGCTGGGCTGCCGGTTGGGACAAGCATCCTCCACCTCGCTGGCAAGCTCATCTTCCTCGTGAAAGACCTCATTCTCTTTGTCGGCGACGGAAGTTGGACCAGCCCAAGAAGCCTTGCGAAGAGTGTTCGATTTCACAGAGTGGCTACGCTTCAAGCTGGTAATACCAGATTTAGCGCTGACTTGTCGGTCGACGCCACGATTTCCTGTGACGTGACTCAAGCTAAGAATGCGACGCTCCTTTCCGATGTTGGGCTGCACGGCGACTGTTCCCGCCTGGAGCGAGGTTGGCATTCTGCGTTTCAAAGCCATGCCAACACCATTGCCGAGAAGACTACGAGTGTCTTTGGCCTCTTTGGCAGTGCTGGCAGTGCTTGTTACGCTGGGGCTTCGGGCGCCTGCTCTTGATGAACGAGTACTGCGAGTGCTGCGCTGTCTTTTGAGATTCATGGCCTGCGAGTTGTTGGATCGGCCGAGAAGGACGGTGCGAGCATGGTCGAGCACACCTTCCAGAATGCGTTTTTCGAGGCCGTCCGCGCGGTCTTCCATCTGTCGCATCTCTTCGTGGCGTATCTCAAGGGCGGTTTCAAGTCCAGAAATATCTTTGCTGAGTTTGTTGTTTTGCTTGATCAGGTCCTCCTTCTCTGTTCTCAGACGCTGGAGCATGTGCAGCAAAGAATCCTTCTCTTCATGCAAGCCAACAAGCTCCATTTCCACTTGCTCACGCTGCGCAACTCTGCGTTCAAGTGCGACAGCTGCCTCTTCGGCTTCTTTTCGCTTGCGCTCGGTATCTTCAGCGACCAGCACTGATTGAGCTGCAAACATTTCGCTCATCTTGCGTGAGTTCTCCATGATGTCCCTGTGCATCTCATCCAATTTCATCATATGGGTAACGGAATGATCAGATTCAGGCGGGTTCAGGGGACGACTGAGAAGTTCGTCCAGTTTCTCGTTGACAGAGCCATTACCGCTGGTGGCATGATCAAGGAGTTCATTGAGCTTTTCGTAAATCTGATCGTTCGATCCTGACCTTTGCTCTAGAGCACGGTCAAGTTTCTCGTGAAGCTTGTCGTTCTTGGAGTGATCAAGTAGAGTGTTCAAAACCTCATGGATCTTGTTGTTCTTGGCAAGCTCCAGAAGATCATCCAACTTTGTGTGTACAGGTGTATCCTCTATGGCAAGTGAACGCTCTGCTTCCGGTGGGGGCAGCGCGGGGAGCATTGTGGGCAGATTTGAAGGCAGTGCCGATAACTCTGACTTGAAGTCCTCAGCCGATTTCTGGGAGTGATCGTAGTGTTGACTGACGATTGACAGGATTTCCTGTACTGATTCCAAAATCTGGGGATGGAACTCAAGGAGCTTACTTTCCACTCTGTCGGTCGCAGCGGCGACTCTTTCGCTTTCCGCTTGAGATTGCTCCTGACGAGATTTCACATCATTGTGCATCTCTTCAATTTGCTGGCGAGACTGGTCGACGTGCTCGATGAGGGCCTTGGTGTCCACACTGAGCCGCTCGCAGGTCTCATTGACGCTGTCGCCCATAGCACCAATGACGAGCCTGATATCTTCGGCGAGACTCTTCGTGCTCGCCAAGGATTCCGTGTGTGCCAGATCTCTCTCCTCTGTCTCGGAAAGTTTGGAGTGAAGGGAGGTATGTGCGTCTTCATACTTGGCCAAGACTTCTGAGATTTTCTCGTCAATCTTTGTCCCGAGCTCCACGATGATGGCGGCCCGGGTCTCATCATGTTTGACCATAGTAGCAGCATCCCGCTCCTCCTTTTCAAGCTTGCCAGCCTCTTCCTCGCCGCGGGAACGCTCAAATTCCCGGTTGATGAGGTCAGTGAGTTCCTTGATGTTGTCCACGGTGCTGAAGTTCTCTGCGGTGATTGCTAGCCCTTCCAGGAGCTGTTTCAGCTCAGTCAGACCTTCTGTGCTGCCGTCAAGCTTGCTCTTCAGTTCATCACCGAGCTCTCCGACGACAAATTTGGCCTCCTCAATCTTCTCGGCAAGGCCACCATGTTCCACTTTGCGAGCATCAAACCCCTGAGCGGTCAATTCGTTGTTAGCTTCCATCTTCTCTCGGAAGTCACTGACGAGGGTTGAAAGATCCTGGATGTCCGTCTTAGTGGGGAGAGTCTCCACATCAGGAAGCTTAAGCTCGTCGACTTGAGTCTTGACTTCGAAGATCATGGCTTCCACCGTTTGGAGATCTGATTTGAGGAGTTTGTCCGAATCCCCTTCTTCATCCCCGTCGTTGGTCTTGCCCTTGAGATCATCCAGCACGACCCAGACATCTTTGATGAGACCCTCCAAAGTGCCAATCTCCGACTTTGTGGGAGCTTCGGCTTCGACACGACTAGAGAACTCGGCAATGGAATCTTTAGCCTCTCGAATCATGTTCTCCAGGACTGCTATGTGTTCGGGAGTGGCAACCTGATCGGGTGAAGGGAAGGCCAGCTCGTCGATCTGGGTCTTCGTACTCAAGAGCAATTGCTCCAGAGCCTCGGTGTCTTGCTTCCGAGCACTGTCATTGTTCTCTGGGCTTAGTTGGGCTCCCATCTCGCCCATGGCAAGCTGCACTTCTTGAAGGGCAAGAAGAACTTCATCGAGGTGTGAGCGCTTGAGCGCGTCCTCCGCAGGCTCTGCGGCACGAGGAGGAGTTTCAATGGCCTCGACCTTGTCTTGAAGCTGAGTGATGAGCGCTTTCAGGCCATCAATATCAGGTCCAATGCTGGGCTCGGTTGCTAGCATAAGCTCACCACCGCGGACGGTACTGGCCTCATCCATGTCTTTGCTGCTTTCGCGGAGAGTGTCCATTTCTGATTTCAAATCCGCGAGGCCATCTTTGATGGTGTCGAGAATCTCAGAACTGTCGAATTCGGAAGGCTTCTCCAATAACTTTTTCAGGTCGTCACGGATCGACTCCACCCCATCCGTCAAGGCATCGAGCAGCTCACTTGTTGTGAAAGATGTGCTTTCGTCGCTGTCTCGGCGAGCCGTCTCTTCGCGCAGGTTGTCGAAATGCTCACGAAGTGCCGAGATAATCTCCTCTTTCTCGGCACCGGGCTCCGAACGAACCACACTCATGTCCATACGCTCTCGAAGGCTTTCGTCTCGACGTGAGGTCTCTTCTCGTAGGTTATCAAAAAGCTCGCGAAGTGCCGAGATAATCTCGTCCTTGTCGGCACCCGGCTGTGCACGATCCACATCCGTGTCCATGCGCTCGCGGAGGCTCTGGAATTCTTCTCTGATTGTGTTGACCACGTCCTCGCCGTCAGGACCGCTCTTCTGCCGATCGGAGGCCTCACGAATAGCATCCAAGATCTCGTCCTTGTCTTCAGTAGCGTTGTTGCGCAAGAGAAGGGTGGTGATGGTTCCCCGTAGATGCTCAAACTCCTTTTCCATAGCATCCAGAAGTTCGGGCGTATCGGGGGTGGCGCGGACTGCGTTTGCAAGAGATGTATCTGTAATGGTTTTCTCCATATCAGCTTGTAACAGGCGGAAGCCTTCTTTGACCGTCAGAATAACTTCGTCCTTGCCGGAAAGATCGGCAGTTGTAACGACGTAAGCTTCGATCTCCTTTCGGACAACATCAAGACCATCCTTGATCGCCTCAAGGACTTGCTCAGTGTCTCTTCCACCTGCGGAGGCGTACTGCTTGAATTCCTCTTTCATACCCTCGAACAGGGTATGAAGGCGTTCCGTCATATCATCGCCAACATTCGTATTCGCGGATGCGATAGCCTCGTTGAGACCAGCGGTGATAGCCTCCATGAGGTCGTCCTGGTTCAGCTCTATCTCCCGCGTGATGGAGTTGCCGTTCTGAATGCCTTCTGCAATGGCGGACAATATCTCTTCACGTGAGATAGAAGGCTCTTGGACATTGGTGCTGAGCGCTGATTGCTGACTGCTGGTCGAAGCCTCAATGCCTTCTGCGATAGCATTCATGACCTCTTCCTTTGAGATACTGGGCTGAGATTTGGACCCAAGAGAAGCATGAGAATGATCAATCCCGTCAACGATTGCATTGAAGATCTCCTCCCGGGAGAGCGGGGCTTGCCCGTTATACTGTTCGTGCTCAGTTGACGTGAGAGCCCGCGAAGAGGAGATATTGGCGCTTTCGATCCCGTCCACGATAGCGTTCATGATCTCCTCTCTGGTGATGCCCGGTTCTTGGCGGTTCGGCGAATGCTCCATACCCTCCAAGATAGCACCCAAGATGTCATCTCGAGAAAGGGTGGCCTCGCCACCAGTGCCGACAGAAGACCTCGAGTGCTCAATGGCATCCACAATGGCGCTGAAGATTTCCTCGCGAGAGACGGTTTGTTGAACGTTGGTACTGAGTGCTGTTTGCTGGGAATTCATTGTATTCTCAATGCCTTCGGAAATAGCATTTAGGATTTCGTCACGCGAGATGGTGGTCTGAGGAATGCTAACAGCAGCGGAGCGTTGGGCGTCAAACGCTTCATTAATGGCGTTCACAACATCAAGTCGAGAAATGCGTGGCTCGTCCATCTCTTTGGCAGCCGTGAAATGGGCCTCAAGACCGTCAGAAACCGCACTTACAATCTCGTCGCGGCCAAGTCCTGAGTCGTACGATTCCTTGCTGAGTGTACTTTGTGCCATGGATCCAGTCAGTGCACCGAGGATTTCGTCCCGAATTGAATTCATGTGGACGACGTTATCATCGTCCAGAGATCTGGAGGTGCTGTGATTCGCCATTGCTCCGGTGACTGCTTGAAGGATTTCGTCTCGGAGAGAAGTCAAATAGTCAATATGCTCTTGGTCCACGGGTTTAGAACCTGTGGCGTGGGTTGTTACTACTCCAGTAACAGCTTCGATGATTTCATCGCGGACGGAGTAGAGGTGATTGATATGGTCCTCGTCCAAAGACTTAGGGGCTGTGTTGTTGGCAGTCACAGCATCGAGAATCTCATCACGGACAGAGTAAAGATGGTTGACATGTTCCTCATCCAGTGACCTGAAGCCTTCGTTGTGGCTGGCCATAGCATTGGTCACTGCACCGAGGATCTCATCACGCATTGAATTGAGATGCCCGACGTGCTCTTCGTCAAGGGATCTAGTCACAGGCTCGGGCTGCTTCTCCAGACATTCGCGAATGGTCAAGATAATCTCATCTCGAGAGATACTTGGCGGGTGTTCAATCTGTGGAGGAATGAACTTCTGCATACCGTCCTCGACAGCCGCAAGGACCTGATCGTATGTGACTGCCTGTTCATGCTGCGGTTGGTAAGATTTGAGTCCTTCTTCAAGGCATGTGAGAATTTCGTCTCGTTCCAGGCCGAAGTTGTTGAACTCGATCTCGGGCTTGTACGTTTCCCAAGCCTCCCGGACTGTCTCCAGAATATCTTCCCTATCCATTTCAGCGCCCCGCGGGTGATCTTGTGGCTCAGGGAGTTCCAGCTCATCGAGAGCTTTTTTCACAACAGAGTAGATTGCAGCGCTATTCATGGTAGATCGGAACTCGGCCAAGTCGGACGATTGCTGCCGGCTCTCATTTATGGTAGCAGCCAGCTGCTCTTTGAGATCATCCAAGCTGCGGTTGACGATTGCTGAGATTTCTTCGGGGCCGGCAGCTCGGGCTTGATCTCCGGATTGATCATTGGCATGGAAAGCCTCGATCTCGTCCAGTCGACGACCTAGTTCTCGACCCATTCCCAGGACCTCACCCCGTAACTCGCGCACCAGGGACTTTACGCCGTTCGTCATTCCACCTCCCTCGACGACGCTATTTTTAACACTCTTGAGAATTGCCATTACTTCGTCGGAATTCCGTCCAGAAGCATCTCCCTTGTCAGATTTGGAAATATCCAGGGCGCGTACAGCATCAGGACCCAAAGACCCTGTCGACTCAGATCGGACGACGCCGGGCGAAACATCCTCAGGTCCCGTGTTACTGGTATTGGCAGCCATGCCATATGATCGTACAAGCGCTTTGCTCGAGGGATCTTCTTTGACGAGGTTGAGAATCTCTTCGAGCATGACAGTGACTTTGGTGTCGGCATCTTTGTCTGAAGGGGTCGCTGCGGGTCGATTTTTGATTTCTTCGACCAGCTCTAAGAGCCTTTCCTCGCCTTCTTTGGTGGCCATTTCGCGCAAAACCTTTTCGAGCAAAGCGAGGGCCGCGGAACCATCCGAGATCGGTGCGGGTGAGACGCAAGATTCCCGGTCGAAGGCAAATGGATTAGGGCTGGACATGCGAGGTACCGAGTAGCTTCTCTTTGAGACGGGACTGTCATGATCCTTGGGGTTAGGCCCATCGCCATCTTTAAAAAGATTACTGAAATCAAACCTTGCAGCATCAGTGTCCAGATATTTGCCAGTGAGATGAGAAGACAGGTCTTTGAGGCTTTTTCGTATGTCCTCATCGCGTGCATTGGTCGCTGCCTTGAGACTGACCAGATCGGTAGCATTGTCTTTGCTCCGCCGGCTCAGGTTCATCATTTCACGCTGTAAATTGCTTGCAATGTCCGTGAGGCTGTGAATTTGGACGGAGAGAGTGTCTATGCTCGTGTGCTTGGCAGGCTGGGGTTGAGGTTCATACGGCGCAGCGATCAACTTGGGTGGTTTCGAAGGTGATGGAGGATCGGGTTCTGAAGGCAACTGCATGTTCTGCAACGCCAGCATTGTCGCTGACGGCGGAGTACTCTCTCCCAAGATTGGCTTGGACAAGTACCGACTGGATAGCGAGTAATTGACCTCTCGGTTTGTATCTTCACGAAGGGATGGCGAACTGATGGACTTGGTGGGATCGCGTGTTTTGGAACCTTCAATGATCGTCGCGCGAAGAGGTCGCTCTGGCGATCTATTCTCGAGATAATTTAAAAAGTCACTGCGAGCATCCTTTTTACTATCGTCGGGCTGTAGCAATTGCAGACGTTTATGATGCTGGCCTTTGACCAATGCCCTCTCTGGAGATGAAGTCTTAGGTGGCATAGGGTTTGTTGTGTAAGAACTGGGCGCATGGTCGCTGGGTCTCTCTGAGAATTTTGCGGCCACAGCTTGAATGTTGGGAGAAACGTTGGATCTCGGTGCAGAACTCGTTGGGCTCATTGAACGTGGATTCAACGGTAGTGGCGGAGGTGCACGCTCGGGATCCGAACTGTCCCACCTGCGGAGACCGCGTTTTAGCATTTGTTTGAGCTCACCCATAGATTCTGGTGAGACAAGGGTCGGGAAGGGTGTGCGCGACTTACATTGGGACTTTCAAGTCGGAGTATGTCATTGAGTGCCGGACCAATTCCCGGTCACGAGGGGTTTCCTTGTCTGGAGACGGCATGATTCTTCGTGAATGGATTGACAAGTTGTCTCAGCCAGATATTGACAGTATGGATGGATGGAATGTACTTGGGGTATGTGTAGAATGCGTTCAAAGTAAAAACAAAAGCAAGGTCATCAAGGCATATCAACACAAGGGAGGAAACGCTGGAAGAACAGAGCAAAGCTGACAATTGAAAAACTCGGTGGAGAGATGAAATCACCGCGAGATCAGCTTGATAAAAAAAACGCAAGTGGAGATGAGTGAAGTTCTAGAGAGAGGAGCTGCGCGGACTTGTACACATCACACCTGCCCATAGCAACCGGGGCAACTATGATCGCCGATGTAAACAACACTTTAGTCAGCGAAATAAGGCGGTGAGTTGCCAAGGTTGGGCACCCGCGCCCCGCCGCGACTGCCGATTCTGTCATTCCGAATTTGATCCGAACCGAATGGGGAAATTATCCTAAATAGGTTAGTCACCATTTGTCGGTAATCTGGCCAATCAATCCACAGCACACAAATCGCTACTGTGCCCTGAAACCCTCTACCTCACACCCGAAAAAACGAACACTTCGATCTTGACCGTTCCGTATCTCGACAACCACCCATCCTCGCCGCCCCCGGGACCTTCAAAATGAAGTGTACGTTCTCGCCATTCGACTCCCCTTGCGATTCAATATGCTGATGGATATATTACAGTCATGAAAGTGGGCCGTGTGGCCATCATCACCCGTGGCCGCTACGCCGGTAAGAAGGTACGACAAAGATTCTGATCATCCCCGAATATGAGCACGAGCATGGAAAGAGCGCACGATTCGCAAGCGATGTCTGGATGTTACAAGAGCACGATCATTGTGGTGGAAAATGCGCGGAAGAAAAAGAAGAGAATAAAAGTTCGAAATGCTAATCAGGCATTTTTGTTCGGATTTACAGGTCGTCATTGTCCAGCCTAACGATGCTGGCTCCAAGTCGCACCCCTTCTCCTACGCCATTGTCGCCGGTATTGAGCGTTACCCCCTCAAGGTGACCCGTGGTATGGGCAAGAAGCTCGTCGACCGCCGCAGCCGCATCAAGCCTTTCATCAAGGTCGTCAACTACAACCACTTGATGCCCACCCGTTACACTCTCGAGCTCGAGGGTCTTAAGGGTACCGTCACCAACGACACCTTCAAGGAGGTCTCCCAGCGCGAGGACGCCAAGAAGACCATCAAGAAGGCCCTTGAGGACCGCTACACCAGCGGTAAGAACCGTTGGTTCTTCACTGCCCTGCGTACGTTCATCCCGGGAGCCTCATACATAATACACTTGGAACTGCACACTAACCCTCTGGAACAGGTTTCTAAACGGTTTACTTGGGCGTTTTGTCGTTTTGAGCGCACGGGTCTAGGTGAAGGCGAGGTCGAAAAACCATCGAGCACATTCAGTCCCTGCGAACATGGGATGGGAAAACATATACCATGGCTGGAAACAGATTCGGGATGTATCGATGAATTCCAGTTTTAACGGGGGCGCCACTTCAATACCTGGTGTCCGTCTGAATGAAATGGAAAATGAACAATTACTTCAAAATCAATGTTGTCTCTTACCTGAAAACCGGTCAACATTTTCCTCTTCATAGGTCGTTCTCGATTTTCGATATGACACTTCGATGCAGAATATGCCCATGCCGCCGAATGACCTTGTAGCTATCTGGTTGGCTCATACTCTCGACGTCTTTGTTTCCTGTTCGCAACTGTATCCATGTCAGACTATTTGACAGTATTGTAGTCTCAAAAGCAACTATGTCTTGTCATTTTCATTCCCCTCGGTCAATCTCAGGCACATATGGAGGCTCTTTGGGCTCGAAGAAGCGAAGTCAACAAAGGCCTCGAAGGTCTAGATCTTCCATGTCGATGCTCAAGGATGCAACTTCTATCAATGATCTCCAGTTTCTCCGCTGCCCATGCCAACCCCCACCGGGGACCCCCGCCAAGATACATATCACATAACTCTAGAGAAATGATCGAGGAAAGATCTAGCTTATGCTACGACTGGTGCCGTTATCCCCCTTGGCATTGTACGGTATGTTTAGCAACACTTCATCAGCAAGACCTATAAACGACACAAAGACCGCTTTGAGACCCGCCGAAACAGACATACCCCAGTGTGGTCATCGATGATAAATAAAGGAGACAATGGCGATTGAATGACAAGCTCTATTTCCGTGAGAGATAACAAAGAAAGCCTTTGCTTCCATTAACTGTCTCTATCCCGATCTCGAATCCCGGGCACCTTTGCGGAAATCTACATATAAAACCACCCTCCTTCGCCGGGAAACAGAGACTACCTATCCAGCTGCGTCTCATACTATTCGATCACCACTTAGAGCCATTCCCCTTAGAGTCCAAACACTCTATTCTAAAAGACACTTGTACCAAGCCACAAGCTAACGAATCACCAGTAGCCCCATCCATTCCGCCATCATGCCTCCCTCCACGATCACCTCCAGGATCCCAGAAGACACCAACGAGCAATGGGAGGACGACGAGATCCACAAGCAGTACAACGTCCCCATGGTAGCCGTGAAAGCCCACCCCCGAGTCCTCATGCACTGCGAGGTGAGTCGCGACACCGCATCAGCTCTCAAGATCGGAGTGAGTATCGACAAGTGGATCAGCACAGAGTATTTCATCTGGGAGATGGCCGCCGGCCTAGCTGACAGCAGGATCAACCCACACTGGACCCAGTTCTTCGACGAACACTACAAGGGAAAATGGGAGCACATCCAGCACCTGTACGACGGCGTCGTCGATCTGCCAGAGAGATTCATTCACCCTGTGCCGGCCCCGCCCTTCCACGTTGCAGAGGTGAGGATCCAGACCGAGCCTGTCCCGCGGTATTGGCGACTCCGTGCGAACACCGGTAGGCCCATGATTGAGACTGGTTTCTGGGACCTCTGGAAGTATATCCTCAGGTGTGATGCTTCTGTGGTTGGTCCTGTCGAGGTTATTCTTAGGGCACCGTCGCGCACTCCTGATGGGGAGGATGCTGTTGATCCTTGGAATATGGCTTCATTTACTGATCAGCTAGAGGGTGGTACCCGTTTGAATGTCGCTGAGCTTGGCTGGGCGCACGATTTTGCCGAGCCTGCTCCTTTGGAGCCCTTGCGCAATCCGGGCCACGAGGAGAGCTCTTCGTCTAGCGGTAGTCCATCAAGCTCTCTTGCCGCGCTTCGGACAGTGCCGCATCGTGTGCGACGGCGTCTGTCCCGTTCCAACAGCAAGGATAAATTTGTCCGGTAGATTCTCTGTGCATGTTTGTATTGAATATGTCTCCGTTCTAGGTATAGATCCACATTGAATAGAAGATTGTGTTGCGCTCATGTTTCCCATAGGTGTGATAAGTACTATGTAGAGACTATAACCTTCGATGAACCAAGAAGCCCGCAGGAAGACTGATAGTTAGCCTGTCCATAGCCTTCGATCATTAGACTTCATCCACTGTGCCACCGACTAGTCCATAACCACATACCGAGGATAAGTAATCTGAAATGCAACATCTACATTCATATAGGTCATGATGTACATAATATACACTCCCATTCGCTTCGACATGACCATTGACCCATATGACAGCACCACGAAACATGCAGGTATACGAAAACCAAACCACTGAGTATACCTACTAAGAAGCGTAAGTTACAGTAGGAAACAAAGTGCCAATAGGGACGGCACCTAAGAATGCATGGCGCCACATTTAACAGATGATTCACTCGGCAACCCGGTTCTGGCGTACCTTGTTTAGGGCTTTTGTGCAAAGATATTGCCAAGCCAACCTCACGAGGGCAACGCTCTTCGAGAATACCATTGAACCCCTGTAGAGGTACATCGAGTACTAAATCTGCTTTATGCAACTGATCATGAAAGCCCCTGAATACCCATTTCCATGTGATGACCAGTTGAGTCCACCAATTGATCCCGAAGGCAACACGACTGAACCCTTGATATCGACAGCGTCCATAGTGGCCCCCAATTTGGCATGTGATTGTTATATCTCGCAACTCAACCAATTGATTACGGGCTTTCGCAACACTACTGCGTATATGGCTCATAAGGCTGCAGCCGAGATACCACATTCACGGTTTCGCCTGCGTAGAAAGGTCTCCGAGATCCGCCACCCGGAGTGGGCGAATAGCTAAAACGTAACGTGCGACTGCCCGATCGTGTCCGAGGCTATAAATTGCAGCTGCGTTTATGCGATCGCATAACTGAGGTCCTCATGGCAAGCGGAAAGCCCAAAAGCCGAAAGGCAGTGGCGTGGTTGCCACAGCCTATATCGAGAAGGGATTTCCTACTCCAACGACCTCATACTGCATATCACGAAGGTCAATGATAGGTTCAGCCCATGAGGATACAGCATGAACTCTGTACAATTCCAAGGAAGTGTCCGCGCAGAAAGGTTAGAACCCAGAAGGAAAACTTAGTACAGAAGTATTCTGACCGTTGCATAAGAACCATACACTGATCTGCATAGTAGCGGTTAATCGGTGGGTTGCCACTCCGGCATCCCGTTCGCCTCAGGCTTAGGGGGCAAAGAAAAAATTAGTACTGTGTGAAAACTGAAAGTAAGTCCGCCGCCCTCGGCTTCAAATCTCAAGGTTACAATGTATCAATATCTTCCTAGTCGACATCTTCAAATTTTCATGTGCTCCCTACTATCTCCGGCCTACCCTGATAGTCGCACCGAGCATCCCTGTCGCAATGCCTGGCTTTCATTTCATAGGAACGTAAGACCTAGGTATGTGTCAAGGTATCTTTAGTCCATAAGCCAGCTAGAATAATACACATAGTACGCTATCAAACGCGACCGTGCCATGATCCTGTCAAGACTCAAGCGCCGAAACTCGGCTAAATCTGCAACGAATCATCTCTCCAGTCGCCCGCGGACGGGAACATGGAGAATGATCTCCAATCCGGCGAGGAATTGGCGCAAGGGCTGAGCCCCTCAAGACGAGACAATTGGACCGGAAGCAGCTACACCGGAAAGTAGAGAGAGGTTCGGGGGGCCGACGCTCAGACCAATAGGTGGATACATGAACTAGTATGGATAGAGATGTCAATGGGCTAGACTCTGCATGTCATGTTATTCTGGGATCAGCAGTGTCTGGACAGGTTCATTATAGGGTGCAGATAAGAAAGGCTGTCCGTCTACGTGCAACCAGTGGAATGATGAATCAAGGGATATCTTGCGACCTTCCCCTCATCTAGACCAGATTGATATGTTAGAAACCGGAAATTGTTAGACCGCTGGAAGGATCTTGAATAGAAGGAATCACGCCTTAGAATAAATAGCATTACGACAACACAACTTAACTGCGTACAGAGTCGATCGTGATACAGAGTGGAACTGAACCAATGGACCCACAATCACATGTGAGAGCAGCTTATCAAAAATCCATTTGCGATTGCTCAAGTGGGTATTCTTGGAAGTCGCGACGATGTGGTATTTATATCGATAGATTCTCTGACAGGTGTATATAGTCATAACAGCCATAGTTCAATTGGCACAGGTCCAAGTGCCAAAGTCAATGGCACATTGGCAGGGGGGCATCAGACATGGGACCTGAGGCTGTTCAGCCTTTCTACAAGAAACGGCAAAAGGAAGAAAGGGAAAAAATCAGAGCTAAAGCTGCATGGAATAGCCAGACTAATCAAGCGAACCAGCCAGTAAGACGATGTATTGAGTGCACAGATGATTCGATTGCGGTAGGACCCATTGCATAATGACAGCGCAATCACATGTGAAAATCCTATTTTTCTATACAACCCATTTTATTCTTCTTCTTCTGCTCTTTTTTTCATCTATCTTTGTGATTAGTTACCACTATTCTATCATCCTACACACACCTGTCTTCATGCCCCACGCAGAATCCGAAATGGGTGAACCGATCGTCAACGGCGAGAAGCACTACTCGCAATTCCTGGATGTATGAATCACCCCCACCACAGCTATGACCAGAACCAGATCACTAACTCGGGCCCAAATACAGCATCTCACCTCCTACCCCATTGTCTCGGACTCGATCTCCTACTACAAGGGGAACCCCTACGGAGCCAAGTCCCTCGAATTCGCTGACCAGGGCTACAACCGTTTTGCCAAACCCGTGCTGCCCTACTTCACCACGCCCTACAGCTATGTTGCGCCCTATCTGGCCCGAGCCGACTCTCTCGGTGACAAGGGTCTGACTGAGATTGATACCCGCTTCCCTATCATCAAAGAGGACACCGAGAAACTGCGTAGCTCCATCTATAACAGAGCCTCGTTGCCCGCTCGCGTCGCCGGCGACGTGAAGCACCACCTCTTTGATGTCTATGGTACTGAGTACAAGAAGTGCGGGGGTGATGGTGTCCTTGCTTCTGGCAAGGCTGTTGTTACTACCAGCTTGGTTCTGTCGCAGGAGTCGTTGGCTTGGGTTAGCGCTTTCCTCCAGAGCAAGAAGGAAGAGACGAAGGAAATTGTCGAGAAGAACAGCCATTGAATTTAGATCTCTGTGGGCCTTTGATCGTTTGGAGCGTTCCTTTTCTGTCCTTGATTATTTCTAGAGAAAACAATACCTCATCGCTGTGTGCATTCCTATTGTTAGTTTTCCAGGCCTAGCAATACCTTTTGTGAAGGTATTGTACTAGACTCGATCATTGTAAAGCTATATTCTGCTTATCACCCATCGTCTGTTCCTTTATGAATGAGAATCACAGAAGATATTATCATAGTTATTTCATATTTCTCGACTCAGACCTAGAATCGAGACCTCGAAACATACTCTCGACTCAATTCTCGAGTCCATCTCATCCACTAAGAACAGGGTCGCGCACAGACCAATCCCGAACGGGTAAAATCATCTATCGCGTCGCGTCTTCCCCAAACCCATCCCACTACAACTCCCAACCAACAATGCCGCGAATACAGAAAAGACGTGTACGCACCCTCAAACACGAAAAAGCTTTCTCATCAACTAACCTCTCACTTCAGGCCACCGGCACCGACCTCGAGACCCCAAACGCGACTCGACGTAGAAGACAAAGCGAAGAATCAGAATCACCAGCAGCAGCAGACAGCGACGACGATGGACTAAGCGCACCGACTAGCACAGATGCAATGGTCAAGAAGCTGGTGCGCCTAGCCATGGCAAGCGAGTATTCACGCCTCCCGATCCGCCGCGCCGACATCAGCGCCAAAGTGCTGGGCGAGCAGGGCTCACGACAGTTCAAGCTTGTCTTTGAGCAAGCACAGCGTGAACTCAGACACCGATTTGGGATGGAGATGAACGAGTTACCGGCGCGCGAGAAAATCACCATCTCGCAACGACGAGGCGAGTTTTTTGCCCCGTCTTGTTTATTTCTTGGTTGAAAAGGAGCATCTGAGTCTCGACGCTATCGCCTATTGCCTACGTACATCAGCTAACCATCAACTATAATAGCGGCGCAAAAAACTGAGAAACCCTCGACGGCCAATAAATCCTGGATCCTAACCAGCACTCTCCCACTCGCATACCGCTCCCCGGACATCCTCATCCCAACCAAAGCCCCGTCTCTCTACACAGAGAGCACGTACATCGGCCTGTACAGCTTCATTATCGCAGTGATCCTGCTGAACGGCGGTTCGCTGGCAGAGCAGAAACTCGACCGGTATCTGGCGCGCACAAACGCAGAGATCGGCACGCCGATCGACCGCACAGACAGATTGCTGCAGCGGCTATGCAAGGAGGGCTACATTATCAAGACGCGGGAGATGGATGGCGGCGAGGAAATCATTGAGTACGTTGTTGGTCCGCGGGGGAAAGTCGAGGTTGACACTGGTTCTGTCGCGGGTCTTGTGCGGACGGTCTACGGGAAGGAGCAGGGGGATCGGAGCGATATGTCGCAGCTTCAGAGGGATGACCTTGAGGACTTTGAGGGGAGGCTTGGGAGGAGTCTTGGTATCAAGCCTGCTGTTGTGCAGAACGGTGAGGGAGATGGTGATGGCGATGAACAGGAGGCTCCGCCGAGTACGGCTAGACGGTCGTCCAGGCGTGGTCCTGCTCGTGGGGATTCTTCTGATGAGGAATAGGATTAAGGACTTGCTGTTGTTCTTGTTTGTTAATTCCAAGGTTGACACATCGTGGTAACATAACATACATATTTCGAGCAGGTACGCAGATATGTATCTGCTGCTTGATACCCAGAATAGGATAGGTCTTAACATGTACACTCGAGCCATCCACCTTGACATTTACTGTGTACTTTGCAACCTGTATATCTGTACGCCCGCGGAGTAGTCCAGTATGAGAATCTTCCAAGCCAATACCTACACCCGGCGAAAGCGTCCAAGTCTTGCCCTCAATGTTCGCTAATGAATGTATGGATGTAATCATACATCACGAAGTGCTCACCGCAACATAGACATCGACAGCACATCAAAGACAGATATATCTTGTAGTGTTTCCGACATAATTCAAAGAAAAGCAAGCCTCACAAAGAGAATTCCATACCCCTAACGTCCTAGGTATCTATTGGAAGAACGGCCAACCGCCGGACGACAACGCTGGGGCTTGCCCACAGCACCCACTCATCCGGAGTCATACTCTCCATCACCTTCCACGCCAGCATGAACATCACGATCATAGCCTCGCGCCTCACTCGGCATGTCAAGGACACCCAGTGTTCCAGCCTCGCACTTGGAATAATATTTTGTGCTGTGGGACGTCGGTAGGTAGTGACTTCCCTACCTCCAGGCCAGACACCTGCTCCGGTAGACCTCGAGTGATGGAAAGCATCTTGCGTTGCAAATAGGACTTGCAGCGTGGACATAGGTAGAGATTGGGAAAGTGCCCTGGAAATATAGACCAGGTGTCTACAGGCTACATGTAGATAAGGGTGATAAATACGGTGTGTCTAGGGCTCCTGAACAGCCCTGGGGGTGGAGGTAGGATCACACATGTCAAAAAGACTTGATCAAGCGAAATTTTACACCTCATGGAGGGAGAATATTAATACGACGTATCTACGGAGTATAGTCTACTACATCCTAGTCGAGTTATTGCTTGCGAGGAGAAACATTTGATTCGAGTCATAATAAAAATGTATGTAGCCATTGAAGCAACTACATAACCAAATCTACCTCGATCCGTAAAAGTGTTTTTGAAAAGAGAAAAATCATCACGGCATAATGAGTATCATCCGAGAATCATTTATTTCTTAGCAGCCTTGGCAGCGGCCTTGGTGACCTTACCGGCACCGCCAGCGTTCTTCTCAACGGACTTGATGACACCGACAGCGACGGTCTGGCGCATATCACGGACGGCGAAACGACCGAGAGGGGGGTAGTCGGTGAAGGCCTCAACACACATGGGCTTGGAGGGAACCATCTTGACGATAGCGGCATCACCAGACTTGATGAACTTGGGGTTAGCCTCAGTGGCCTTACCGGTACGGCGATCGATCTTCTCGATAAGCTCAGCGAACTTGCAAGCAATGTGGGCAGTGTGGCAATCGAGGACGGGAGCGTAACCAGCGCCGACCTGACCGGGGTGGTTCAGGACAATGACCTGGGCGTTGAAGGAGTCGGCACCGGCGGCGGGGTCGTTCTTGGAGTCGGAAGCGACGTTACCGCGGCGAACCTCCTTGACGGAAACGTTCTTGACGTTGAAGCCGACGTTGTCACCGGGGTTACCGGCCTTGAGCTGCTGGTGGTGCATCTCGACGGACTTGACTTCAGTGGTCACCATAGCGGGAGCGAAGGTGACGATCTGGCCAGGAGTGATGATACCGGTCTCAACACGACCGACGGGAACTGTGCCAATACCGGAAATCTTGTAGACATCCTGGAGGGGAAGACGCAGGGGCTTGTTGGAGGGACGGACAGGGGGCTCGATGGCATCGATGGCCTCGAGGAGAGTCTTTCCGGTGGACTTGCCAGCCTTGGTCTCCTTCTCCCAACCCTTGTACCAGGGGCAGTTGGGAGAGACCTCGAGCATGTTGTCGCCGTTGAAGCCGGAGATGGGGACGAAGGGAACGGACTTGGGGTTGTATCCGACCTTCTTGATGAAGGAGGAGGTCTCCTTGACAATCTCGTTGTAACGCTCCTCGGCCCACTTGCAAGTGTCCATCTTGTTAAGGGCAACAATGAGCTGCTTAACACCGAGGGTGAAGGCAAGCAGAGCGTGCTCACGGGTCTGGCCATCCTTGGAGATACCAGCCTCGAACTCACCAGTGCCGGAGGCGATGATGAGAATAGCGCAATCGGCCTGGGAGGTACCAGTGATCATGTTCTTGATGAAATCACGGTGACCGGGGGCATCTGTAGTGGGGTAAGTTAGTATAGGTTCATCACGAATAGAGATTAAACGAAGACTTACCGATAACGGTGACCTCATACTTCTGGGTCTGGAACTTCCAGAGGGCGATATCGATGGTGATACCACGCTCACGCTCAGCCTTGAGCTTGTCAAGAACCCAAGCGTACTTGAAGGAACCCTTGCCAAGCTCGGCGGCCTCCTTCTCGAACTTCTCAATGGTACGCTGGTCAATACCACCGCACTTGTAGATCAAGTGACCGGTAGTGGTAGACTTGCCGGAATCGACGTGGCCGATAACGACGATGTTGATGTGGGAACGCTCTTCCTTACTGTTTGGTCAAGTCAGTTCGAATTCCATCAGTTGAGGTCTTTGGTAGATGGATTAATACGTACCCCATGATGACGGTTGAAAACTTTTTGTAGTTCTTTGTAAGATACTAGAAAAGTCTGTGGAAAAGATTGCTCAGAGACTACGGCTTAACGCGTAGAGGTACTGAGCAACGATGATTAGTGACTGTGGATGAAAGAGGAAGAATTGAAAAGCAGTAGGGGGGCAGGAGACACTCACTGTAGCAGACGAAGAGGGAAAGAAAAAGTCTGTGGGAGGGGAGGAGGGGAAATCCTTATATGGAGGGGCAAGCGAGAGAGGCGAGTCAGCAGGTGGGGCCCAGCCCTCTTCGGTTACCGCTCCTGATTGGCTTGAGCCCTTACCCGTGCACGCAGATTTTGCAAAGTGGGTTGACGGGACAATGTACAGGTACTTACTCCAACATGGTTTCTCTCATACTCAATGAAGTATCACATACTTATTTCTACTATAACTCACTTCGTTTCCCTGGTTTCGCTTTGCCCACGGTGCTCCACTCAGTTTGAATTTTTTTTTCATGGGCTCCTCTCTAGCCCACTCTGTGGCTCTAAAACATTGCAACTGGGCAGCAACGCAGACTAGTTGGGTGAGAAACTTCTGGTTTGCATTGTTTACTTTGCGCCTTTTTTTCAGCCGTTTGTTGGCCACATTGTGAATTGTATGTGACATTGGCTCTCGATGTCTCCCGCTTGGGTCTAAAAAAAGTTTTTTCTCTCTTTGTTCTCGATAACCCCGCGGCTTGAGGGGCACATATGCTCACCGCCAACTCATCCCACCAACAATGTCATGCATCGTTTTTATTGCTTTTCCTTTTTTTTTGGTGTCCCTAGAAGGGCGTTCGCCCCCGATGATGAATTATACATTCCAATGTAGGCAGGTGTATCGTAGTGATTTAGGAACAAATAGTTATGTTGATTGATGAGCTAAATTATTAACTTGGAGTACTTCTCTAGTCCTAAAGGCATGTGAAAGTCCGTGAAAAATGTCTGCCTCCTATTCTATGTAGCCAGATCCACGATATCAGGTCTCGCACAAGAAAGTTTTCACTGCTTGTACAATACATGTGACTTGTGTGCTAAACTGTCCATGGGTGAGATCGATACATAAGTGTGTGTACTTTGTTGTACAATGATTTAGACTACCCCCAATGCAGTGTCCTTGTTGCCCTCAGTAAAAAAAACTCCATTCCATGCGCCATTTGCGCCTCGCTCGAAATCCAGGAACGATCTTGTAGAAATGGGTGCGCCAAAGAGAAAATGCATCTGAAATTCCGCCTGGTCGTCCGCCTCTAATTCTCTCTCCACCGAGCACCACAGGAAGTACACTAGGGCTGTCAGTCACGGGTACCTCGCGTTGGATGTAAGGACACCATACTTTCAAGAATGTAGTCATAGGCTCATCTGCACTGCGAATCTGCAGCTGGAAGAAGTACGCACGTTCCCCATTGCAGCTTTCGGCGGGGCATTGAGCTGCAAGAAAGAGATACCATGTCAGATCTGTGGATCTTGACGGACAAGACCCTCGGCCAGATATAATAGAACTTACTTGCGACACTATCGGCGTTCGCAAACTCCTCTTTGCCTCCGAAGACATCATCCACTTCCTTCTGTTTCATTTCCTTCTTCTCGAAATATTCCCGATCCAGCGGTGCTTCGTATGGGCAGACACGGCACTCAAAGCGGTTCACGCCCATGGGGAACCTTGTATTCGAGTCCGCTTTGGAAATGGTGAGCGCATTGCTGCAGTTAGGGCAGACTGAAAAAAAGTCGTCAGTTTCCGCTATGCGACATTCCGGAGCAGGGTCAACTGGAGTATAGCACATACAGACAAGCATCGCGACGATATTGTTGAATAATGCAGCGTAAGGGAGCCAAAAGATTGTCAGGAGTCAAGCTAGGAAAGATGTCCTTCACAGCACTTTCAAAGTACGTGGACCCCGCGCGGAACACTACCGTTGACGATAAGAGATCTAGTCGCGCGGCTAAATTGATAAGTGTTCTGGAACATAGTATATCCGCCCCGGCCACGCGTGGCTGTCAGGGAGAGCTCCAATGGCCATGTTTGGACTCTCACTTTTGAGTTGTACATACACTTCTTTCTCATTCAGCCCTCAGAGTTAGGTTGGCTACAGTAGAACTGCTCTCCTATATCCTTTATCATCGCGATAACTACCTCTTTGCTCCAACTACAGCACAATCTCCTTTCCCGGACTACGAACTTACCAGTTACCCCGGATCCTCACATTGAATTATAAAGAGACATGGCCGATGAGGTGAGCACTGCACCTGCTAGTCACTATTGCTGGTACACGATGCTGATGTTGCTGCGAATTAGGGCGCGTCACCCCGCGAGTTGATCGTGGAAGCCTGCCGGCGGGACCAACCCCACCTTATTGAACAAGTCCTGGATGATATGGAAGAACAAAGCAATGAGCAAGTGGCACAATTCTTCAACGACGTGACAGACTCCATGGGAAACCACGCACTACATATCTGCGCTCAGTATGGCAGCTGTATGCGTCCCCCTTACTTTCCCCTGCTGCCTATCTTGGACCTAATCAGTTTATCTTTCAGATGACACCATGGATGCATTGTTTGACATCCAGTTTTTCGAATGCGATCCGCTGACCCGCCTGGACAAGGACACGCCACTGCATGTTGCAGTGCGGTTCGCCAACGAGAAAGACGCGGAGCTGGGTGAGGCCATGATCAAAATGATGTGTGAGGCCGGCTGTGACCCCCGTGTGCGCAACCAGCATGGCCAGAAGCCTGTGGAGTTGGTATTCAACAACAATGGTATTGTGAAAGAACTCCAGCAGGCGGAGTACATCATGGCCGAGGGGATGCGCGAGGACTTGGAAGAACTCGACTCGGACGGTGGTGACGCCAGTGATAGCGGATAATGACAAGATATTGAGTACTACAGCATTGGCTTTGTTGGTGTATTGCAGGCATCTCCCATTTTTGGTTGGTCCCTGATGCTCAATTTCAGGCTAAGCAGAGCTTGCTAAGCAGAGCTTTATCACAATTAATGATCGCTATGAATTAAGTCCAGGCTCTAAAAACTATTACTTTAATTTCGCCGAAACTTGAGTAAAGATACGAAGTGTCATTTAGACAGTCTATCTATCTCCGTATGTTCTCACCAAACTAAACCTTTGACATCCGGACAAGCTTCTGCACTTGTTCCAACCATTTGCGGGAGAACTCCTCTTCAGTAAACCGTTGAGCCGAGCGACGCGCCCGCTGCCGCATGGCGACCTTCTCCGCCTCCGGGAGAGCAAGAGCAGCCTCGAAGGAAGCAGCAAATTGCTCCTCTGTTTCAGCCCGGAATCCCGTTGCACCATCGCCTAGGTCAACAACGATGTCTTCGCGTGGACCACCCGAGTCGTGTGTCACGCAGATGAGACCAGCAGCTTGGTACTCGACGACGCAAATACCAAAGTGCTCATTCCACATGGCGTTCACGCCAACGGATGCGGTGCTTAGATGTGATAGAACAGCGGGCCAGCTAGCATCGCACAAGAAAGTAGTCTGGTCGCGGATGCGCAGCTCATGTGCCAAGAGCCGTAGGTTGTAGATGTGGGTCTCATCGGGGCTGGAGTGGCGTACAGATCCGACGAGCACTAGGCGTGGAGATGGTCGGCCAGTGTAGGCTGTGTTGCTGGCTCGTTCTTGCAGAAATCGCGCAAAGAGCGCAGAACCAGCGGGTGGTTCTTCTCTGGTCGGAATTGGGCAATGTAAAGGATGACTGGCTGGCGAGTCTTCTCGCTTTCCGCATCAACGGCAATGCTTGATTGCAGTTCGGTGACTGCTGTTGGGGGGAACACCACAGCCGGCGATGATGGAGAGCCATCACCGCTACTACTGCTGCTTTTGTTGATGGCGCCCCAGAGAGTTCGAATGTGCGCTGCCGTCCAGGACGAATTGCACATAACTACATCCACTTGTCGGCCAACCCAGCCATAGAGTTTGGCAAACAGCTGCCAGTACCGGCGCTTAAGTTTCCCTTTCCAACCTTTACCTGCGCCAGAGTTAATCCCTTGTACGCCGCTCTTGTCATCTAGAGAGGCGAGCATATCGGTTGATATGGTCGGATAATGAACATAAGCACCAACAGGCACAGTCGGGAAAAGCCACTTGCAAAGAGCAAGGGTGAAGGCATAGCCCATAGTGTCAACGAAGACATCCGGTACGAGAAGTGTAAAGGCATCATAGGCAACAACCAATGACCCCAACGACTGTCCCAGTAGCGTCATGTAGGGGTATGAGCTGCTCAAAACATACTTGCGGGTCGTCAAGTAAAGAAGCACCACATTCGGCGCATGCAGATGAATATTGAACCGATGCTCCACCCGCTCCAGCATCGTAGCTTTGTTGACTTCATGGTCACCCGTGTATATAGCGCAAATTGCTTTCGGCCAGCGCGTTTGCGTCGCTCGTACTGCTTCCCACAGAACTCGCTCGCCACCTCCTCCAGCATTGCTGTAGAATCCAGTCAGTGAACAGTGCGCCATCTATCATAGAAAACTGACACACCAGAATGGGTGGAAGAACCCAATAATACCATCCCAGTCGTCTGCATCTCTACCACTTTCCCCAGAAGGACTGCCATTGTTTTCACTGCTATTGACATTCTGTATCCTGCCCGGGCCTGAGCTTTCGACCTTCTCCCAATCCTCATCCTCGGCACCATTCCGCGATAGTGAAGCTGTTGAAGCCTTTCGCTGTGTGGCACGTAGCTCTTCCTCTTCGGACCGCGCCCGCGCGATCACATATCCGTGGCGAGAGCGCGTTCGTTGCCAGATGATCCAGCCGACTCCTCGAAAGACAAGCCCGAGGAGAATGCCAATTAGCTTCGGAAGCAGGATAGCTGTGGCGGTGAGGCCCAGAACAACCAAAATGGCTATAGATATGAGGGCCATGGTGGAAAGGCAATAATCAAAAGTATCTCATCAGAGAAGACACATAGTAAGAAAATTCGAAGCAAAAGTAGAAAAGCCGGTGGTCAGAAAATGCCCCCCCTCTCTTGCTGTCAACAAGTTGATCACTCGGGCCAATGACGGGAATAACTTACATACGCGTCACATGATGATCTCCGACTTCCGCTCCGCAATTTCTAAAGCTTCACTTTTTTACAACATACCTCTCGGTGTTTGCCTTGCCTTTCGACAAGGCACGCAGCAATGTATTCCAATCGCTCCACGCAAGCTTTGAATTCAACGCGACGAGCTTTGCAGTTGACTCGCCCGCATGTTCGGCACTTCCACCCTACACGACCAGCCTCATTCTCTACGATCAATCTTGTACTAGACGGTTCGAGTGCGTTTATTCATGGAGTCCACAGCATTTCATGTCTACCATGGGCCGCTTCAATTCCTCTAACGGCTGTACTTGTTCGTACGTTTGTCGGACTGCCCCTTCAAATATACACACGACTCCAGGCGCGCCGAGAAACCCAATTACAGTTGCTTTTATCCACATGGGCAAAGGCGAATTCCAAAAGATATGAGAATCACCCAAATAGAGCGTACGCCCAGAAGCAAACTATGCGTGACCAGCGAAAGCGAACTGCCGAGCTATACAACCGTTGGGGTGTATCCCGCAGCTACCGCCCTATCATGTTTCTACAAGTACCTGTCTTCATTGCACTCATGGAGAGTCTGCGCGGGATGAGTGGAAACAACAGCGGCATCTTCGCGTGGTTATTTTCTCTCATCGAACCGGCTCAAGATCCTGCTTCCGCGACCCAGTCTCTGCATCTGACCGTCGAGCCCACCTTTGCGACTGAAGGCGCCCTCTGGTTCCCGGATTTATTGGCTGGGGACCCTACAGGCGTGCTGCCAGCTCTTCTGACTGTGTCTATATTGTCAAATGTCATGCTTGGGTGGAAAACAAAGCCTCTGAAAGAGCTGTCTGAACTCCCGAAGCTACAAATGTATAAGGAAGCAACCTTCCGCGGTCTACGAGTCTTCGTCCAGGCTTTGGCATGCTACGTTGGCTTAGCGGGCTTTGCTTCTGAGATGCCAACTTCGCTCTTACTCTACTGGATCACCAGTACCAATGTTGCTACGCTGCAGACTTGGATACTGGAGAACAAAGTGTTTAAACCGCCGACGCTTTACAAATTCGAGAGAAAATACGTCACTTTCAACAAGCCGGGAGTCGATGATCCCTTCCAGCTGAAGAACATGCGCTGATTTACATCGGTGGGCAATTCCGCTTGCGGAGGCATTGGGTTGGGCCACGCCGTTCGGACGCCCTCCAGAGCCTGGGCAGTAGGTCATGCTTCTAAATATGGGTTGCATCATATGCGCCGGGTACATACGTATCTCCGGTATATCTCAAGGTGGAGTCTACCTGCATATCGTAACTCATCTGAAGGTAATGCCCAGGTGTACTCTGGTCGGCTGCCACAGACCTTTGGAAATGGGACGGTCGTCACTTGATGGCGATTTGATATGTCATCCAGGGGCTTTCCTTTGAAAGGTTGGCAATTGATAAGCCTCAATTCTGCACGGCAATGCAGGGACAAATAGTTCATCGACTGGTTTCGAAGTGCCTTGTACACATCATTTTTCTTGGCCTAATCGGCGTTCATGTACAAAATATCATCTATCAATGGAGGCATACACTGCAGATGCGCATACACCAGACGATCAATTAGTATTTGTCAAATTAGAAATATGGATCTTGCCAAAATATTTCATCTTGGCCATGCTATCCATGGAATCAGCAAGAATTACAGCCTCCCCACCTGTAGGGATGGTTGATTGCGGAACATAGCAGCAGACCGCCCTCCTTGTAAATGCTTTAGAAATGCCACGATACAAATGATGTTAAATACGATAAACGCCTAGAGCTTCGACTTGAGCGGCTGTTCTGCGGCACTCGCTTCCTGGTTAACTTCGACAGTGCGCGAGTCCGGACCTTGGCCAAAGAAGATAACCTCGACAGTAACGTCGTCACTAAACAAGGTTAGTAAGGTCACAGAAGAGCAAGTGTTGATGCACGTACCGGTATCTACGGGAATAAGGGCTGGGCAGCGTCAACAAAGCGCACACCATGTCCTTGTCCTTTCCGCCCATTGCATTGCGCACAAGGTGCGTTGCTGCGTTCTTGTCTTCGACAACGAAGCGACTAGCCGCACCAGAGATGTCATACTGTTGCTGACGAATCGGACGACGTTGACCCTCGTTTGATCCATCACTTGCGGTTTCCACGGGCAGCTGCTTCTGACTATCAAATCCGAACCAGCTTTGCAGCCAAGCCTTGCTACCAGTGCTTACAGAAGCGGAGTTCTGCTGCTCGACCCACTGGCCCACAAGGCCAACAACTTCCTCATTGCTCAGCATCTCCCATAGACCATCAGTGGCCATAACGACGAAGTCGCCCTTGGAGGGATCGATCTTGGTGGTGGTAATGACGGGCTCAGCGGTGACATAAGGGGGCGTCTTCAGCATGGGATGAGGGGTACGTCCAAAGAACTTCGCTTTGATGGTATCTTGGACGTCCCGGCTCCACTTGTAGAAAGCATCGCCGAATGCACGGCTGGGTTCAAGCTGGCCCAGAATTCGACCATTCTTGGTGACATATTGCTCGCCGGGGTGCTCCTCGCGCAAACGTTTCATTTCAGACGGGGTTCCACCAGTTTGGTCCTCGGAAAGAGCAGTAGCAGTCCACTTCCCGCTCGGGCCACGACGCCCCAAGACCGCGCGAGAGTCGCCGGTAACGGCAACCTTGAGATCTTTAGACTGAGAATCGTAGAAACTGAGAAGAGCACATGATCCTGAAAGAGCAGGGGCAAGGAGCTCGGCGGCAACTCGTCGTGACTTCGACTTCATGACCTCCTTAACGCTCTCGTGTACGATGTCATTGTCTAGGCGGACAAAGCCTTTCTTGATAGCGGCGTCAATGGCTTCGGAGGTGGGCACAAGACGTGATGGATCGGCAGAGGCCGCTTTGTAGGTAGTGTTCAATTCGCGGGCCACGTATGAGATCAAAACGTTTCGCAATTTGGCGGATGTTGTCCAGCCCCTGATCAAGAATGTAGTCAGTGCTGGCATAATTCAGTCTTTAGGTTTGAAAAACGTACGAGTGACCATCAAAGACTCCCCAGAACATCCAGTCACTGCTCGGTTCGCCATTGCTGACAGCCGCCACAGATGCTGGGATCTCAACAATCTTCTCCGCATGGTCGTCCTCAATAGGCGAGTTGCTGGGAACCTGTACCACGTCGTACCGAACAACGCCCTTGCCCCGATTTACCAGATATGACTCCTCGTATTTTCTGAGTTTCTGCGTTGCTTGCTCCGGTGTCAACATCTCCAAAACTTGGCGATCTGAATCGTCTGTATTCTTGGCGAGAGGCTGGTCTCCCGAGAGTGTCGCGGTATAGAATTGATCGCCACTGACTAGCAATGCACGGCGCGTAGACTCGACAGGACCCTCGGCGTAGGCGGAGTTGATGGCACCCGAGGCGAATCCCCGGATCTGGGTAGCTGCTAATTTAACTGTGTCACCCTGATAAGCATACCATGCCCCGGAGGCAACGACGGTTGAGATAACGGCGAGGGAAAGGTTTCGGCGGTGCATGGATGTCGAAGAGGCTACTGGACTGTTGGATGAGCGTCTGCCACCTGAATATGGCCGAATACCTCGCAACTGGTTGAAGGCCGAAGAGCACGGCCGCTTAGCGGCAATGTTCCATAGTGGCGCACGCCGAGCAGTACGGCCAGCTTGAACAGTCACCCGACGCATGATTTTGGCAATGTATACCTAGATGGAACAGTAACTCTTATCGCCAAGTGCCAGGAAAACTTCTGAACGGCTCAGAGGTCGTATGTAGAGATCTGAACTTATCGAGGAACTGAGCCCTTCAATGGATGTCACGTGTAGGGGATCTCGCAAGACGCGCTAGACTACGTTAGTATGTGTCGTCATACCCCGCGATGTGTTACTTTTCGGCGCGAACTTTTTTGGCTTCTTTTTGTCTCCCCACGAGGCTCAATTAGCTCTAGCTGTCGCTAGCAGTATTGCTCAAAATGTCATCGCGAGCGATCCGTAAGCTGCAGAAGCTTCGTGAACAAGAACAGCAGCAAGATTCCGAGCACCAAAATGAGTCAAGTGAAGATGAAGCCCCGCGCCCCGCGAAACCGAAGTTCAACGCCTTTGACCTATTGAATACTGGGGATGAAGATGAGGATAGGGTGGATGAGGAGGAAGAAGAAGAGGAGGAGGAGACATCACATGTGGACCATCAAATACGATCCAGAGAGTCTGAGCCCACTTCAACAAAGCCGAAGAAGGGTAACAAAAAGAAGAAGAAGAAGAAGGCCGCCAAAGCGTCTGGACCAGCAGATGCCCAGCCGATGAAATCAAACGACGTAGAGCTTGATGAGATTGATATAGCATTGAAGGAGCTCTCTACCAGTGGGCACCCGTCTAACGGGGCAGGTCTCTCGACTACTGAACACAATCGCAACGCCTCTTTCCCCCACACCACGAACGAACTACTGGGCGTCGAACCCAAATTTCTCAATGCAACGAATGAGATGCGTCGACTGTTTGGAAACGTTGTTCTAGAAAACTTCGATCAAGCAGCGGACAACGGAGCTGGCCGCCGTCGGGATCGCAATCGACAGATGATCGACCTTGCGCAGGCCTTGTCGGGAAAATACAGTCCAGCCAGCAGGGGTCAAAGTTTGGCGGGAGCGACGCAACGACGCAATGTTCTTATGCAGGGCAAAGATGAATGGCCTCGTGCCCCAAGTGGAGGTCTAGGTATGGAGACCGTAGAAAAGCTTCCCTCAGGGGAAACTCTCTACCGGTTGGTGCATAATACAGCCTATCAAGATGTCCAAAGACAATTTGACCTTTGCGTCGAATCAATGGATCCACAGAGAATGATCGGGCACCTACAATACAACCCATATCATATTTCTACCCTTCTTCAGGTGTCGGAGATTGCCAAGCATCAGGGCGATCATGCTGTGGCCGCGGATTTGATGGAAAGAGCACTTTTTAACGTGGGTCGTTCAGCTCACTCTTCGTTCGCCACTCGCCTCGGGGAAGGGCTCGCCAGATTTGATTTCATACATGCCGCGAATCGAGAACTCTGGCTCGTCGGATGGAGGTACATTACCAACTTGACCATGAAGGGCACATGGAGAACCGCCTATGAATGGGCCAAGCTGTTGCTCAGTCTGGATGACAACGATCCTTATTGCATGAAGCTGCTCGTTGACCATCTCGCTCTCCGAGGCAGGGAGTATACACACTTTGTGCAGCTCTGCACCCAGACGCGTTTTAGTCGCGACTGGGCCAATCTTCCGAACATACAGTGCTCGCTGGTGATGGCATATCTCCGGTTAAACAGGCCCCAAGAAAGCCGGCGACAACTGCAGCTCGCCATGTCCCGCTACCCGTGGGTTTTCAGCAGGCTGGCACAGGAGCTCGATATCCAACATGTATCCAAATCCATCTGGGGCAAGATGCCTCCCACCGTCTCCCATCAACTGCTTACTGAACTCTACATCGACCGTGCGAAGGACCTTTGGAACACCCCCGAGGCTATTTCTCTCATTATGGAAGTGGCAGATTCTCTCTCTGGCGAAGAGTCCACTGCATCCCCAGAGATCACTCTGGACGTCGCTCGACATGTAGTATTATCTGATATCAAGGCTGCAATTACCTGTCTGCCACCCCAATTTGTGACTGGTCGACTGTCCTCCTCCGATCCTCTTCCACCCTACGAGTCTGAAGCCTACCAGCAGCAGTCTGAACCACCCCCTGTTTATGCAGCTCCTCTTGGAAGAGGTGATGGTTGGATGCAGGATCTTCTCGCTCAATTTAACCGCAACGACCCTGATCCCAACATTCCAGTCGATGAGGAGGAGCCAGCTGAGTTTCAGGATGAATTTGAGCAAAGAGAGAACTTCGACATCCCGCAATCGCGTCCACCACTGAGAGACCCAGCGGCTCTTGAGGGATGGCTGATACGCGAGGGGTTGCAGACCCTTCGCATCTTCTTCAGGCAGTATGGAGTCGACCGGGGTAACTGGAGCGAAGTGGCCGAAGACCTCGAACCTTTCACGAACTATCTGGATGCATTGGAACGCCTTCCAGAGACAACACGTCAACGATTGCTCCACGGGCCCATCAGGGCCTCTCTGGGTGACCTTGCGGTCAGCATGATTGAAGAGGAGTAAAATTGGCTCCATGTGGACTTTGGTTTTGACTGCCCACGGATAGCTTGCAGGAAGTACATAAGAAGCCTGTGGGTTATCACATGTACAATATTTTCAATATACTGCTAGCAATACTACGAACGCAACCTGTATGTTGCGAAGTCTATTTCAGTTCGATCGTGTATGCGTATAAGACCTGGTTGCTCTAGTGGCTCAATAAAGACGTGAGCTACTCCGTACAGAATTATGCATGGAGTCTATGTTGACGATCGTGCCAGTTGGGGTTCTGGTGTCTTCTGTGATATTTCAAAAAGTGTGCAACGATCTAATATGAGCAAGTGTGGCCGAGTGGTTAAGGCGCTGTGTTTAGGTACTTGATCGCAAGATCATGATTACATATTCCGCAGTCTTCAGGGGCGCGAGTTCGAATCTCGCCGCTTGCATTATTCTTTTTTGCTCTTAACCTCAAGAGTATCTCTTTCGCTAACTATTGTTCGGTTTTTTTGACGCTGCTATCTCTACGCAGGTTTATTTTGTTATCCACTGCTCCCATAGACACTTGGTCACGGATTGCATGCGCGTTACTAGGTACCTTACAGACATTCCGGTATGCCGTGGGAAGCTTCAGCACAAATGTACTCCATCCGAACCCCGTACCTGATAGGCTGATACTACCTGCTGGTTCTTATATTCTCTTATATTCTTCCCCAGCCTCGAAGCCATGTCGAAACTCGGGGGTCGGGTATAACCTAAGACCTTGTAACCTAGATAACGTTAGTATCCGAATCCTTATCACTGGTGTACATAGGGAAATATATATAGAAGGTACCCTGTAACTCCACATCGGTCGCTCGGGAGTATGTACATCTGTACAAACAGGTTCTCAATATGCAAAGCAGCAATCAGCAAGTGACATAGCCCCACATGTATGCTGCATCCATTACCGGATGACCATGAAAAGGGACGCCCATAGAAGTCTTTAGGGCTTTGCAGATGTGCGTCATTCATGGCGGGCCCGGTCGCTCTGACAGGCTGAGTCATACCATAGCATTGAATGGGTTGGATATGGACAACCAGCCAGAGTGCTTCACATTCTTTAATCAACTCAAAGGAATTGACATGGATAGAGGTATCCTTGACTTGATAAGCCAAAGTACACGTGTTTAAGCTACTTATCCCTTTTTTATTGTGTATGAACAGCCTCAAAGTGTGGTCGAGAGGCCACAGCGGAACCGGAACCCTGGAGTAGATTGTGTCATAGCTTATCTCCCGCGCAATTTTCTTTCACTCCAACACACGTCCATTGCCCAGCATGGAACACAGCCCTATACCCCTAACAGCCCGAGAGGCTGCCTCTGGTCTCCTGGGCTCAATCTCTATGACATGTTGGTTTTTTCTTCTGGTAAGTTCCCCACCGGCTGCAAAGTGAAAGCGCGGGCGCAGTACACCAGACTCGGACCCTGGACTCTCAACAGATAGGCACGTTAGCTAACAGTCTTTCCTTCAAAGGTCCCCCAGCTGATAGAGAACTACCGCAATGGCAACGCAGAAGCTATATCTCTCCTTTTCGTCTTCGTCTGGTTCATAGGCGACATCGCAAACCTCGCGGGCGGCCTGCTAGCCGGGCTGGTGCCCGTGATAATTGCAATTGCAGTATACTTTTGCATTGCAGATGGCGTGCTGATTGCCCAGTGCCTTTACTTCAAAGCGCGTAATTCGCGCCGCGAGCCTCTCCTCCGCCGACGCTCGTCCACCGAGACACCGGATCCAACTACTCCGCTCCTGGGTCGGCGCTTCAGTGACCCACTCGGATCTTCGCAGTCGCGGCGCCGGTCGTCGGGCTCCCAGCGTGGCTACCAAGCTGGTGGCAGGCGGGAGAGCGAGGTCGAGGATACCCTAGCCAAGATCGTCGAGGAGAACGACTATGGCCGCAAGGCGTGGGCCAAGAACATCACCAGCGTTCTCGGTATCTTCCTTATTGGGATGGCGGGCTGGGCAGTGGCTTGGCGGACGGGGATGTGGGAGCCAGCGCCTTTGGAAAATAACCATGGTACCGAGGAGGCTACTGGGGGCTTGGTGCTGGGATACGTCAGTGCTGTGTGTTATCTGGGGTAAGTCTATATTTTGGATGGGCCTGACGAGTAGCCATTGACTTCTATCTCAGAGCGAGATTGCCTCAGATTTACAAGAACTACAGCGAGAAGTCTTGCGAAGGTAACTCATTCTTCGGTGTATATGCGGGGTCGGTATTGACATTTACCCAGGATTGTCCCTTTTGTTTTTCATTCTCTCTTTGCTTGGGAACTTGACCTACGGTGCAGGGGTGAGTGATGTTAGAAGTGCCTCGGCAGTCGCAAGTGGGCTAACTGCGTGTAAACAGATTCTTTGCCATTCAACAGAGAAAGATTATTTCCTCACCAATCTTCCATGGCTGATTGGATCGCTGGGCACCATGGTGGAAGATGTGGTCATCTTCATCCAATTCCGGATTTACGCTGTTCAAGACCCTAGTCTTTCAGCGATTTCATAAACCCGGTCCGATTGTTGCCCGAATTGCTCGGTTGGTAGGAAATGACATTGGCCCCTGTTCGCATACCATCAAATGCGAACGTCGGTCCCAAGTTCAAGCCTATAGTGGTCAAAATCATGGGGATGCTTGCTGATAGTGCTGGACACCGGAAAAAAACCCAGGAAGCGCATGACCGTTTGTTTTGGGAGTGCCACGATGAGTGCGGCTACTGTAAATGTCATTTAAAGTCACTATATGAATAAATGAATATTAGCGATGCGTTATGCGAGAGAACGACACCAGCATGGCTGTGAATGGCAGCGATGTATCTCAGATAAGCCTGATAATCATGCACGTAATTCGAACCGAGGAGGGACTGCTTGCCCACAGGGGCGAGGCGATGAACCGTCTAACCAGTGTAAGAATAATAAATAAATAAATCATGCACGTAAGCTTCACAGATATTGATCCGGTGATAGCTAAGGAACAACACTGTCGAGAACAGCTATGTATAAGCTGGCAATCAACGAGAGGTGGTTACTAGCCCGGGATTTGGTAACATCAAGATCGAGATCAGCGCCGGCGATCAGCCCTACTGTCCTACATCACTACGTCACATAACCTACGTGAACCACATTGTTAATCAGACGGCATTCGTTGGTTCGTGGTCGCATGACGGAAACAACATGAGAACCGAGCAACCTAAACTAGTTGACCCACGTAGAGGGCGAGAAAACGGATACATCTACTCGCCAGACCAAGGCAGAACCCTGACCATGACAGATCAAGAAGTGGGCCAAACGTCTTTCTTCAATTCCCCTATAGTCCAGGAAGCAACAGAAGTTTCGGAGTCGCAGCAGTATCCGATCGAATCTACCTCGGGTCACATTGTGCCGCAGAGGTACACCGAGCACCCAGTCTCCATTGAATGTCCTTGTCCGTTTGAATTTTGCTAATTTTCTTTTTTTCTTCCCCGGGTTCTAGGTCGTAGCGGGGGTCGTGGAGTATCGAGTACAATGAAGAATCGTCGAGGGAACCGCAATGCGGCAGTAGGAAAAGAGGTGCGGGAGAGAGAAAAAAGGAAACGAGTTCAAATTCGGTATGGAGATAAGACGCTTAGTCGAAGAGACCGAAGCCCATGTCCTCATCGGACTCCTCCTTATCTGCGGCGAGGATTAGTATTGGTTGTCACAAACAATATATCAAGGCAACACTTACCCTCCTCCTTCTCCTCAGCCTTCTCCTCAGCGGGAGCGGCGGCACCAGCGGCAGCACCGGCGGGGGCAGCGGAAGCGGGGCCAGCGGAACCGACGTTGGTCAGGAGCTCCTTGATGTCCTTACCCTCGAGGGCCTGTAGTTGAGAATGGGTTAGTTTTCGGATATTGAAGATGTCGCGCGCGACAATTTGGGTCGATTCGATATCGGCATAGGTGGTAGGATAGGGTTAGGTATTTACCCGGGCGAAGATGGAGGCCCAGATGGGCTCAACCTCCTGGATCTTGGCGGCACCGAGGATGGTCTGGATCTTGTCGGCCTATATGAAGATTAAGGTCAGTCACAAATTTCGCACAATAGTTCTTGAATGTATGTGGATGTGCCGCTGCTTCGCATTCCTCCCAAAAAAACTCAGGTGCGCACAGAAGATCAATCTTCAAGTGCGATCTTCAAATTTCCACAAGTGACGAAGACGAAGGAATTTCGATACGTACGGAAACCTCAAGGCCGTCATCGGCCAAGATGAGGGCGGCGTAAGAGCAGGCGAGCTCGGCGGTAGACATGTCGACGGGTGGTGTTGACCGGACTGGGTGTCTTGAAGAGAGTTGCGGATGGGAAAGAAGAAGAGAGGAGAACGCCAATGATAGACACCCGAACAGGGCAAACGCGCCGTGTGTGGGAAAAAGCCCTCGCTTAGGGCTTGGACTAATCGGGACTAGTCATTTCCCCTTCTCGTGACTTCCCGCTAACCCGTAAACGGAGCTAGTCCCGGATGACATAATATTCCTATTTGGGATTTGGAGCGGGCCCGTGCTGCAGTATCTCGCTATCAATCAATCCATTGACTGACATCACTTTCCGGTGGGGTTAAACCGCATGATCGTTCGCGTTTCTCTTGATCACCAAATTAACTCATTTCTTTGACTCCCCTCGATTTGACCTGTCCTATTCCGAACCTTCTTATATCATCGTACCCTGACCATGGAGTCCCCCGCTATCCCGGTCCCGCTGGACCCGCGGGAGCAGCCCATCCTCGAACGACTGCTCCGAACCCGCGACGCCTTGCTCCTCATCAAACAGGACAAGTCTTCATACGTCAAGTCCCGCGATGTTCTACCGCTTTACGAAGAAGTGATCGAAGAAGTGGAGAAGCTCAATGTAGCACGCAAAGGGCAAGAGCGACGCTCGGCACATAATCGCTGTGAGTCTAGAGTAGATAGCGCGCTGCACTTGGAGATGACTGACATTCGACGGCAGTGGATTATGTTTTGGATGACTGCTTCCAGTTGATATCTTTGCTATTTTTGACAGTTGGAAGGAATAACGAAGCTCCCGCAGTGTGAGACAATACATTTGCCCCTCCATCATTTGACCTGGACTGACGTTTTATCAGCTACTCTCTGGCAACAACTATCCAGGTATTACACCTCTAGTTTGCCTGAAGCTAGTTGTGCTAGCTTTGCGATCGATCACTGACTCTTCTCTGCAGCGCTTACTCGACCACCTTGAAGAGGCTGGATTCTACAGCTCGAAAGATTTGAACTCAATCACCAAAACATTAGAGTCTACACGGGCAACCCTTGAGCGTGGCCGTGATACCTACTCACCGGCGCTTCTCACGCTCTTAGAGAGTCGACTGGAACAATGTGAACAGTTACTGGTGAAATTGCAGAAAGGTCTTGCAGGGTTGGCCCCTCCATTGGCGCAGACACACGAGACACTGGTCTCGATTTTGCGATCAACATCCGCCGTGAACACTCGATCAAAGGTTTGCAATATGGAACTCATGAAGTCTGGTCATGCCCAACTAATCCCGCATCGTTTATAGTTCTCGGCCTCGGAAGTCAATGGCCTCCGGGAGCAACTGAAGAAGATTGAAAAGACACAGAAGGATGGTAACTTCGTGGATGCGGAGGGGAATATTCTTGCAGGACAGGAGGATGTCAAGTCTTTGATTCACAGATGTTGGCGGTGGACCGACCTTGTCCTTGAGCGGTAGGTTCTGCCCCATCAATGGGGCGACTGGATGTGTGCTGATCTGAATACAGAGAGGGCAAAATCGACGAGCGATTCCGTGAACAATATGAACGACTGTTGGAGATTCGCAATCAACTGGATCGTTTGTCTGTAACACAAGCTTGGTCGCTGCGCGAGACCGACCTCTTTGGGTATCAACGGAAGTTAGATCGACTCGACGAGGCACGGATTAATGGAAACTTTGTCGATGCCGGGGGTCAACCAGCAGACCTGCATGCGCAGCGAGTAAGAATTCTTTGTGGGGTATCATCTGGTGAACCAAGCTAATATGCGCCTAGACTCTGCTATACCTCATTCGCCGCAGTTATGCATACATTTACGCACTTTTGATCTCATCAGAACCTGTCTCAGAAGCTCTTCTTCCCGTTTACAATCAACTCCAAACGCTTCGCCGATGCTTGATTGAAGTGAAGGAGTCAGGAGGTGTCGCAAATTCTCGCGAACTCTACCCATACAGCATGAAGGTATATTTCCCTCCACAAACTTCCTCGCATAGAAGCTGACTGAGACAGCTCAATTCCATTGACAACATGCGAGTTGATGGGAAATTCTACGTCGGTCCAGATATCCCAGAGGGCCAGGGCAGTGTCAACAATCTGCTGGCTGAATGCTACGATTTGGTCTGGGAACTGCGTGCCGCAGTGGTTGACGAGGATACAGAGTCTTGAAACATTTCATTCGAGTAGACCATTTCTTTCTTTCTTTTTTTCCAACCCATGTGTTATGTTTACCCTGATCTTTGTGCATTTGCGCCAATCCTTCTAACATCTGGCCATGGGGTATTCGCATACATTAGTCCTCGATTCTATGATCGGACTTATGTTCTAGTTACCTCCCAGTGTTTATGTTATAATAGGCGTTTGAGATGGCCATATGACATTGGCACCCATCCTGGGATTAGGTGTACTTTGGTGTCTTCTGGTGGTTTACTCGAGCTTTAAGAAATCCCACAGTCAAGGAACCTTATGTTACTGTCTGCCTAATTCCAAGGTTAGTCCAGATGGCTTCTGGCTTCTGATGGTGAAAAGACGCCCAGCTGGGTGAAGCCCTAAGTGTGAGGTGTCTATATAGCCTTCTCCTCAGACAGCCGAATAGTAGCCTCGGGCTCAGCTGATAGCACCATCAAGCTTTGGGATACTACGACAGGAAAAGAGCCACGGCACCTCGAAGGACATTCCCATCTCGTCTATTCGGTGGCCTTCTCCCCAGATGGTCAACTGCTGGCCTCGGGCTCGAGTGATAAAACCATCAAACTCTGGGATACTCAGACGGGTAGAAACATACGGGTTCTAGAAGGCCGTTCGTTTTGGGTCTTCTTTGGCAATGAGAACCTAATATGGCTTCCTCTTGAGTATCGCAAGTTCAACAGTTGTGCTATGACGGATAACACTCTTGTCCTTGGATATGCCGATGGGAGGGTTTTTAGGTCATTATTGGTTGCTGCACATATTGACCCTTCGTTGTACTTTCAGGTTAGTGTACCTATTCTTGACCATTTCTATTATATATTCAATAACCTATATGTGCTCTTTTTGTGCGCTTTGGACTGTTGTGACCTAACCTATGGATGTTGATACCTTTAGTTTCAGGTTTGGTGATAATCATTCTGATTTTGGTCCCTGGTCGTCCTCTCGAGTGTATTATGTATACCTATCGCCATGCATGGGAATTATATTGAAGATGGACTGTTTGAGAAAATTGCCGTCCTCTCGCTGCCCGGCCTTGCAATGGGGTGTCCATGATCCGGGGGGTTCGCGGGTTGGCTTGGTTGGCTTTGCCTCACCGTGATCTTTTACATTGACCAATAGCCGCAAATTGAACCGGCACATTCTGCTATTTTCTTTACTGTGTAAATTCAACTCATGATATCTTCCGGTGAAGCACGGACATGGCTGGTGGCGACTGGCGAGATTTGATTACCCCACATTTTCTTATCATCAACCCATTTGGGAGAAGATCGGCATCGAAAATCGAAATCTCCCTAGACTTGTTGCCCTCTTACGATCTTCAGTCACGTCAAAGATGCCGCCAGATCAGCGTGTGCAGCGAATAGTCCGGATAAGAACCTCTGAACTGTATAGTACATTTAACATTGCCTAATTCCAAGGTTAGGAGCCCGAGCCAACCCTTCGGCGGCAATCGCAATGGCCATCATACCAACAGGAAACTGGACGCAGACGCAGACGCAGCTACTCAATCTTAATAGGCTCAGAGATATTGCCTGCATGAGGAGTTTGTATCAACGGCAACAGCAATACACGCACAGACACAGACACACACACACCCATACACATTACACAGTTCCATGACCTTGTTCATCGTCACGCCGCAAGGCATCCTCGAAGGACTGACCAGGTTACATATAGGTACGGACTAGTTAGTGGCTGGACTAACTAAGTTATGCCATATATCAGACTGGGATACACTGGGATAAGGCCTCCCTAGGCCATGAACAGGAACCTTGGTTTTTGTTGTGGTCCAGTGGACATTATTTCCCTTACCATATTTAACTAGTCCCTAGATATCACACCAACCTAGCAATGTAAAGTCCACAACATCCAGAACGCACAAAAAAGGTACATATCATTGCATAGATAGTAGAAAGCAGTCAAGAATACACTAAGTACAATGAAGAGTCAATATATGCGGCAACCAATAATGAAAACCCTCCCATCAGCATATCCAAGAACAAGAGCGTCATCTGTCATAGCAGAACATGTGAACTTGCGATACTCAAAAGGAAGCCATATTAGTTTTTCATTCCTAAAAGCGACCCACCCATTCGTGATAGTAACTTGGGGGTGTGGCTTGTATGACGTTTGACCGGCGACTGACGTATCTGAATCTGAATGGTAATCAGGGGCCCGTAGCTGCTTGCCAGTCGTAGTATTCCAGACCTTGATAGTGTAATCGGAAGAGCCCGAGGCCACTATTTGGCTGTCTGGGGAAAAGGCTACCTGATCGACCGAACCGGAATGGCCTTCGAGGGTCCGTATCTCTCTGCCCGTCTCAGTATTCCAGAGCTTGATAGTTTTATCATTCGAGCCCGAGGCCAGCAGCTGGCTATCTGGGGAGAAGGCGACCGAGTTGACGAAATCAAGATGGCCTTTAAGAGCCCGTAGCTCTTTGCCAGTCGTAGTATCCCAGACCTTGATAGATATATCGGAAGAGACCGAGGCCACTGTTTGGTTGTCTGGAGAAAAGGCTACATGACGGACCTGACCGGAATGGCCTTCAAGGGTCCGTATCTCTCTGCCCGTCTCAGTATTCCAGAGCTTGATAGTTTTATCATTCGAGCCCGAGGCCAGCAGCTGGCTATCTGGGGAGAAGGCCACAGAAATGACGAACTGGGAATGGCCTTCGAGGGTCCGTATCTTCTTACCCGTTGTAGCATCCCAAAGCTTAATGTTAGTATCGTCAGACCCTGAGGAGGCCACTAATTTGTTGTCTGGCGAGAAGGCAACAGAACGGACACCAAAGAGATGGCCTTCAAGGGTCCGTATTTCTTTGCCAGTTGTAGCATCCCAGAGCTTGATAGTGTTATCAGCCGAGCCCGAGGCCACTAATTTGTTGTCTGGGGAGAAAGCCACAGAATTGACGTAACCCGAATGTCCTTTGACGGTCCGCGGCTCTTGGACCGCCTTTGGATCCCAGAGCTTGATATTGTTATCGGCCGAGCCTGAGACCACTATTTGATTGTCTGGGGAGAAGGCCACCGAATGGACCGACCAGGAATGGCCTTCGAGGGTCCGTATCTCTTCGCCCGTCTGAGCATTCCAGAGTTTGACAGTCTTATCATCCGAGCCTGAGGCCACTAGCTGGCTGTCTGGGGAGAAGGCCACCGAATGGACCGACCAGGAATGGCCTTCGAGGGTCCGTATCTCTTCGCCCGTCTGAGCATTCCAGAGTTTGACAGTCTTATCAGCCGAGCCCGAGGCCATTATTCGGCTGTCGGGGGAGAAGGCCACAGAGTGGACCGCCCCGGAATGACCTTCGAGGGTCCGTATCTCTTCGCCCGTCTGAATATCCCATATCGTGATAGTCCAATTACCGGACGAGGCCACTGTTCGGCTGTCTGGAGAGAATGTCACAGATCGGATCCATGTAGTATGGCCCTCGAGAACCCGTACGTTTCTACCCGTCTGAGTATCCCAGAGTTTGATAGTTTCATCACTCGAGCCCGAGGCCAGCAGTTGACTATCTGGGGAGAAGGCCACCGAGTGGACGAAACGGGAATGGCCTTTGAGGTGTCGTAGCTCTTTGCCTGTCGTAGTATCCCAAAGCTTGATGGTGCCATCCTCTGAGCCCGAGGCTACTATTTGGCTGTCAGGCGAGAAAGCTATAGAATAAATCGGGTAGGAATGGCCTTTGAGAGTCCGTATCTCTTCGCCCGTCTGAGAATGCCAGAGTTTGACAGTTTTATCATCTGAGCCTGAGGCCACAATTTGGTTATCTGGGGAGAAGGCCACAGACCAGACCCGGTCGGAGTGGCCCTCGAGGGTCCGTAGCTCTGCACTCCATCTCGGTTCCACTTGGGGAAGAATGTGTATCTCCTTGGGTCGTTTGTCTTCAAATCTCCTCCTGATAATGCTCTCCGTCGGTGAGAATATCAGCGCGGAGCAGTACAGTTGAAGTGGAGCATCGTCGGCCATTTGCAAATGTTTCAAGGTAAAACGCTTTGCATCGTGTAGTAGTTCGGACAGTCTGGGATCCTGGTGGTCCTAAAATCACTCAGTATGAATGATCGCATGAATCTTTTATGCCGAGACTCACCTGAAAGATTGACAGCACCGTATCCAAAGCATGAATTGACTCGCTCAAGACTCCCATTAAACTCATTGCCTCCAGCCAGTGAAGGAAATGTTCCTCTAAAAATGACCGAACGTCATTTCCGTAGGCGTTCCTGTCCTTGCTTTGCTCGAGATGATGTCCCCAATAGCGACAGGCGTACTGCAGCTCTGGTGGAAGGCACTGCTTGATGGTTTCACTCTGGATAGCAGACCGGGTTATTCCATAGCTTGGTAGATCACAAAGGTTCTGTTTCAAGGAGCCCATGATGCGAAAGCATCGATGGACTAGCTTCTTGTGTCCTTCTCGTTCCTCAACCCGAAAGGGACTGTCGGCATGGAGAAGAAAGTCTCGAAATGAAAGATGCAGGATTTTGACAGGCACGTCTTGATCAGGTGGATCTTGACGTGAAAAACTGAGAACAGAGCGAAAAGGCCTCAGTGTATATTTGATAGACCTCGTCTCCAGGCCGGTTACCTTGGACAGTGCACTTATCGAAAGCGGGTCAGCAAGAAGAACGATGACTCCGATTAAGTCATGGAACGCTTGCATGAACTCTTGCATGTCCTTCTCCCGAGTGAGTTCTTTCAAAGGCTGTTTCAAGATTGGCAAATATATTTGGTGCATGGTCGAGCTAGATGTTTTCTCCATATCCTCCAAAAATTCAGCAAGGCGCTCATCAGGCGGAAATGGCCCCGTCCCAACAAAACGGCAAATTGTAGCTGCGAAGATGAACAAAGGCACTGATATCGCAACAAGCTTATCGATAGTGTGTTCTCCAGGCCAAGTTGTTTCAAGGCTCCTATCCTCTTGGATTTTCTTCAATCGGCTGATCAAGAAAATCTTTATGTCACCCGCCGTAATCTCAAGAGGAATTTCGTGCAGAGCCATATGTCGGCGATCTTTTTCCTGCCACTCCTTGAAATAGTTTTCTGTCAAGTCAGGCCTGCTGGTCAGGAAAAACCGCAACCGCAATGGCCCAGCCTGCGTGACTTGTGGTAGGAGCTGAAGTAGATCTCTGATGTCCTTTTCGTGTTCACACTCATCCAGTGCGTCAATGACAATTACCAAAGTTCGGGCTCCTCCACTGAACTGATCCGGTTTCAGGCCGAGAAGGGGCTCTTGCAAAAGCTTTTCGAATTGCACTTTCAGTGACTTATCTGAGATGCTTCCGTCATCCTGAACCGCGCTTACGATGCCGCGTATCAATCGGGGTTCACTGGCCACAAGTTGCTTTGCAATGGTGGTAAACAGTCGTTTTCCCTTCGCGCGATCGCCCGCATCTCTCTTGAAGAAAAAGCTTGCCCCGAGGATACCGCTCTCTTTGAATGATGCGGCCACTGTCCTTGATATGGTGGACTTGCCGGTGCCAGCCATTCCATGCAACCAAAAGACGCATTGGCCCTCAGGAGATGTTGCCCACTCCGTGACTTGTTCAAGAAGCTCAATTCTGGTATCGGGTAGACACCTGCCTTCGGATTTATCCCATACGTCATCGTTCTCCTGATAGGCGTCAAAGCAAGCGTCGTCCAGGCTAACTAGCTTCGAAAGGACACTGTCGTCTCCCAATTTTCGAAGAGACAACAGAACTTCGTCGATCTTAGACAGCGTTTCTTCAGCCTTTTTTTTGAAATTGAGGTAGTGATCCATAGCAAGGTACCACTGCAGAGTGTGCTCCTGTTGGTCGACAGAGGATTGAAAGTCCTTGAGTGACTGAACCGTCTTCGGTAAAAAACAGTCCACTATCTTCCTTCCTTCGCCAGCATTCTGAGCACTCCATACATCTACCGTATAGAGCAAGATCGCTCTATAAATTCCAATTATGGCATTTCTCACTTCAGGACTCCTTTTGGAGTCGCTAGCGAGATAGAATTCTCTTTCCACAAAGGCGCCTCGAGCTAATGTCTTGGCCAAATACTCTGAAGATTCAAACAGAGCGGTTAGAGAGTCTTGATAATTGCGCGCCATCTGTTTTAGTTGGATGATTAGTCCTCGCTCATCTGATACACAAGTATCGCGACTAATGACGTACCGTCAGTCCTAGTGACACGATTGCCCAAGCGCTCGATGCACAGTGAGTAGGGTCGACAGATACAAACGAGGTGATGATTTCGTTGAAGGACATTGCAGCACTGATAATATCCTTTGAAACCTCACGAAGGTTTATGGTCTTCCCATTCCACTTGGCAATCTCCAGGCTCCTATTTGTGTATGTGTATTCTTTATAATGTTCCTTGGTCCTTTCGACAACTGCATCAACAACATCTGTACCTGCGTGTGGAGTACCACTGCTGTTGGATTTACCAGGGACATTTACTGTCGAAAGAACATGCTTTTGGGTTTCGTCCAGCTGATCATACGCAGCTTGCCACAGGCCTTGCACTTCGGTTTTGAGAACGACCACCTGATCCACGCATGCTTTCTCAGATTTTGTTGTTACATCTTTGAACTCAGAGACATCTTGTTGGACCGTTGCGTCTTGAGTACGTAACTTCCGAGATCTGAAAGGATGTTTCATCCAGTCTCTTGCATGTTCGGATTGTCGACGGATCCTCAATCTTGTACTGCTCATTCTTTCGTATAACCGTGTCTTTTTGGGATGACTGTAAACCTCCGACCAAGAGGCAGGGATATAGTGCTGCCCTGTGACTGGCTCAGACGTGGTGACACGAGTGAACTTCCGTATATGGCGGGCGAGGCAGATGCAGACAAAGGTTTTGTATGACAAGGAGGAGAGGTATAGGGAAACTAGATATAATTTCAAAGTGACTTTGATGGAGATCAAATTGTTGAGATGGAGACCAGGAAGGAAGCGAAGAGAGTTGGATTTCTATCCTACGAACTGAGGGACTAAATAGCAAACCATGTGGGCGTTCTGCCGCTCCACACCGACTCCAGCACAAAGCAGGAGTCCAAACACAAATCGAATGAAAATGGAATCTCCGGTCCCATGTATCACTTACTCATTTGACCCGGGTGCGCTCAACTACATACGATTGGACCAAATTGCCAAAATGGACCTAGCTGTTTACAAGAAAAGAAGCTAATGGCGCATAACTGATTGTTATTATTGGTCTCTGTTGATCAGCTAGCTTTGGTTAGTGCCTTTTTGTCCAGCCGCAGCAATGTTAGCGCCTGCAGGCTGGCCCACTAGGCCTGCGTTATGTTTCATGCTCTGTGTGAGGCGGGCAAACAAATGGATAGGTGTGATTGTTGGGCATGGAGCGCCAGTGGCTAGTTAGTAGACGTATCCAGTCACTCTATGCAGGTAGTCATGTCTGTGCCACGTTTTTCCCGCCTTATCCGCCTCCAGTATTTAGCCAAGACCGTCGTGGCTTTCCGTGCCCTTGCAGTCCGTTTACTTACACAATTGGATTATGCCTATAATGGCCCCGTTATAGTATGTATGTACTACGTTCCGTCATTGGCAAAGTCTGTCGAACTCGACGTTCGTGTCTTAGCCCTTCTATGGCCTATAAATCCGATTCTATTTTGTTTGCTATTTTCAGTGTTAGCGACGGGTGTAGTATCTCTATTCATCTATCAGCATGAGCTTGCATTGTATGGAACGATTTCCGCAAGGCTTTTTCCCTCGATGTTCATTAGGCCCTTCTAGAGCTATGCCATGTCTGAGTGCCTGGGCCGAGTGGCGTCTTTTTGTCACGCACCTTTCTGTCTAATTGCGTCGTGTACTGGGATGTGAAGTACCTATGGCCATTCTTGACAGCTCGTGCATGGCCACGTCACATTGCGGCATTGCCCCTGTTGCGTTTTATCCGAAGATCGCGCGACTTGTACAATAACTTTCATTGGCGTACTGAATAACTGGCTGCGTCCCGTAACTACCTGAGCCTGTTAAGAAAAGGAAGTGAATAGCTACCCTCGGTACAAGAGACTGGTCATATGTGACCCCTGTATTATCGACCAGATCACTTTCTGAACCCAACTTTACCCGCCGCCCGGCCCGCCCCACCCACCCGGGCCGCCAACGCTAATTATGTGGGGGTGTACGAGTCTCATCGAAACCTACGGTTACCTACAGTAGCCCTACATGAGCACACTGCACACATGTCTTATCCCGTGGGGCCTTCCCAGCCATCTCTAAGTCTCTAACCGCGGAACTCATTCCATGCGCAATAATAGACTAATAGTGTTGAAGTTGATTGGATGCTGTATGAGCGAAGGGGCAAGTGAGACAAGATTTCCCAGGAATTGTAGCTCTGGGCCTTGAAGAGTCGCAATTGAAGCGATCTGACGAGGCCTCCAATCAAATCTCTGACCTGAAATCCTACGCTAGTTTTTCCGATCGCTGACTAGGTATTTATCCCGCCTGGATCAAGTACCATACGCAGTACAGGCTCTTTCCTGGCATACTAATAGCCGGAAGAATAATGTTCCAGACCGATGCGTTCCAAGTTTTGCCAAGCATGGCATCTACGCAGTAGACAACAAATACCGTCTTGCCGCAGCAAGATAGAGAACTTTAAAGCTTCGCACGTTAGTGTTCTTGAACTGAAATTATGGAGCGTAGTAGCATTGCTCAGCAGCGAAGGATGTCTGCGAAAATGCTACGGCATCTCGCGATCGTGGTTCCAGCTCATGAAGAATTCTGAATAATCTCAAGCGGCATGTTGACGGGCCCCTTCTCCTTATGGCCTCGAGGCTTCTTCCAACAGTTTGATATTATTGTAGTAGAACCCGGGCTAGAGCACGGACCCAGATGAACATCAGGTTGCTGAATAGGTGGAAAGCAATATCAGGTAGTTAACAGGTTCTTAGACTAGAGGCCTGAGGCAGCGGGGTCAGAGCCCGGCTGCCTTAGGCCTCCAATGGGGCAAGGGAACGTCCTACGCTAAGACTGGGTTCCATGTACATGATCCTGTTCCTCAGAAGTTTCCTTTACAGACCGACCGGTTCATAACCAATTTACCACGTTCCTCGCCCCGACATGTAGGCTTCACGTGGATTGGAGCACATGGCGGGTGGCGAGAGATATTGATTACCCCACATTTTCTTATCATCTTCAACCCAGTTGGGAGAAGATCGGCACCGGGATCCCCCTAAAATTGTTGCCCTCTTGCGATCTTCAGATCACGTCAAAGATGCCGCCAGATCGACGTGTGCAGCGAATAGTCCGGGTAAGAACTGGTTGCTTAACCTGCAGACGCCGCAAGAAGAAGTGCGATGAGACACATCCGATATGTGCTGGCTGTCGGCGCAATGAGCTGGATTGCCGGTGGCCCGCACCCGTACCTGCCAGCAGGGGCCCTGATCATGACCAGGATGCTCCAGTATCTACGACAGAAGGAAGACAACCGAGTTTTTCAGAAGCTCTCGAACAGCTCGATGAAATGGCAATGCCAGAAGGTCTCTTGACGCAACGGGAGCCGTCAATCTCATCCAGTGCCGGGCAATCCGTGACCGCTGACGACCATCCCGAAGACTCTCTGCTGCATATTGAGCCCTGTACACAGCGCCGAGTGTCAACAGCTACTCAGTCCACCGTCAACGCTGATGCCCTCGTAGCCTCATTCTCGGCGGGAAATGTGCTGCCCCGCAGCCTGTCTCTCCTGCCTGGCTATGACTCCGAGTCTTATCAACTTCTCAGTCATTACCTTGCTACAACAGCCGACTGTATGGCAAATGGATCAACACCTATCAACCCTTTTCTTGTGCAGATTGTTCCTTTAGCCTTTTCTAGTGACTTATTATTACAACTTGTCATCACTCAAAGCGCTGCTCACCGCGCATTCCGATCACGGGATGAGTCCGACACAATTGCCCACAATCACTATACAAAGGCTCTCCAGCATTTTCGCCGGGGAGTAACGGACTTTATCGATGGGAAGGAATCGAATCCTCTCATGTTGTTAGTGGGGGCACTTCTAATGTGCTTTACGGAGGTAAATGATCTCAGTAACAAAAACTTCTACAATTATCTGACAGGAACAGACAGCAAAGGGTGACATGAACGGCACAATATTCGACCACTTATCCGCCGCAAACTCGCTGCTTGTCAAGTTGCTTGCCCAGAGCGACTCTGCAGTTCCACGAGATTTGAAAGATTTCGTCATCGAATACTATACCTATACTGCGACCGTCAGTATGATTTCAATAGATGCGCGCTTTAGCGGACAGCTCTTCCTCAATCTGGATCTCGAGCAACGGTCGCGCGAACTACTTCGCACCCAATACGTGGGGAATCTTTGCGGTTGCTGGCTGGAACTGTTGCTGCTGATCCCTTGCATTTTCGACCTCGGTCGACAGTGGAGTATGGATGATACGCAGGCAGTCATTCCGACCGCCGATGATATTGCCATGTTTGCCTCCCTCCAAGCCCAGGTTTTGCGCTGGTCGCCTTATCCCAGTGTCGGGCCGGAGGTTCATTTGGCTGGGCTGATCTTCCAGCAGGCCATCCTAATCTATCTATACACGTCACTGGGGGGATTCCAATACAGTCGGGATGGGATGTATAGAGGCTTAGTGGAAACTGGGGTGACAGAAGCCATGTCATACTTGGGTGAGCTGTCGCCCAGTGCGCGAATCAATTCGGGACTCTGTTGGCCGATCGCTGTGGTGGGCTCGTGCCTTCTTGATACTGAACAGCAAGATTGCCTACGAAAACGATTGATATCCATGACCGAGACTTTTGGCCTTGGAAATATGCATCGGACACTTCTTCTACTCGAGGCAATGTGGCAATTACCTGCTTCTGATGCAGGACCGTGGAACATCTGTCGTGCGATGCAGCAAAACCAAATATGGATCTCATTTGCGTGATCTTGATCGTCATGTTGTTTCTTATATTATGTACAAATTAGTGAATTGGCCATCTGTTCATGCAGCCAAATTCTTTGGCGCCTCCGTGGCCGGACCCTCAGGCGTAACATATGCCTTTGTCAGGCCACCGTCGACGACAAAGTCAGTGGCATTCACAAAGCTGCTCTCGTCGCTAGCAAGGAAGATGACCGCATGGGCCTGCTCAACCGCCTCGCCAAAGCGTCCGGTAGGGAAATGCACCTCTCGACGGAAGCGCTTCTCCTTGTCATCACCGAGCCAATCCTGCAAGAGAGGCGTGCTATGTGCATGTCAGTTCTGTCAAAAGCTAGCCAAGAAAGGGGTAGGAAAGCAAAGAGAATACATACTTGAGAGGTGCGGGACAAAGCGAGTTGAATCGGAATCCCTCACGGGCATGAACAATACCCAACTCCCTCGTCATCGCCAACACAGCACCCTTGCTAGCGGTGTACGCCAACTGAGGCGTCGCAGCCCCAACCAACGCAACCATACTAGCAGTGTTGATCACACTCGCACGCTTCTTCCCATGTCTCCGGAATGCGCGCACGGCATGCTTCGACCCGTACCACACACCCTTGACATTAATATTCATAGTGCGGTCCCAGATGTCCTCGGGGCACTCCTCTGAATCCCCGTCCTTGGGATGCATGATTCCAGCATTGTTGAAGATGATGTCCAGACCACCCCAGGAATCGAGGTGAGCCACTGCTGCTTCGACCTGGGATTCGTTTGATACGTCGACGGCTTTTGTTTCGACTTTCCCTGTGCGGGCTGAAGCGGGGACAATGCTGTTCACTTTGGATAGGGCTTTGCTGAGACCTTCGTCGCTGATGTCGGCCATGAGGACCGAGGCGCCTTCGCGGAGCATGAGAATTGTGGTTTCGAGGCCAATGCCGCTGGGATTTGTTAGTTGTGTTGCCATGATAGATGGGATGGAGATAGCTACCCAGCTGCGCCGGTGACGATGGCGTTCTTGCCTTCCAGACGGCCGACCATTGTGATGTTGTCGATACTTTGATAGAATAGCCTTGGGAGATATTGATAGGATGAAGCGAGTTGTTTACTACAACACTTGGGTTTGAATATGACGAGGAACAAAATCTGTAGCGGATAGTCTCCTGATGGTCAATTTATAACGCAGTTCCCAATCCCCATTTTCGAACCCACATTATCCTCACATGATGAAATAGACCGAATCAAACACGCCAACGAGCCAGACTCCTTTTTTTCCCTAGTCTATCTCGATCCACCCGCGGTCTCAGTTCTGAGCTCTATCGCGCTCCAACGCCGCCATCCGACGGTGAGCTCAAGTCGCTGCGGGGCATGAGGGGTAGCTGTTAGGTAAATCAGCAGATGGAATCTCCAGCCAATCCACAGTGCCTGAACGGGGCATCTTGGGCGGGGTCTCGGGGTTAAGACAGCGCGGTCCGGGACCGCGCTCCGGTGGGGCTTAGTTACGGGGCTGTTGGATACCATGACCTAAAGTTTGGGATATCTTGAGGTGAACGATCAATTGGCAGTATGAAGACATGCAAAGATTCTTTATTGACGTTTATGACTGGAACATGGTCATAAAGTTAAAGGAGAAATGATCAATACATAAGCCCGTAGTTGGAGGGAAAGATACGTGGTGGTTTAAAGCCATACAACAAGATAGTATATTCCCTCTAGTTACTTATAGAAAGGTCTGTACCTACGTGCTCACGATGAGCCATCCTTGATGTGGTAACTCTTCAGCTTGACGAATCCATCGTAGCCCCGTGGGCCAAGAGTGCATCCCAAGCCCGATGTCTTCCAGCCCGTCCATGCAAGGTCCTGATGTTCGTTAGCCTCGTATCAACAACGATTTCTATTAGAGAAAGAGCAATAACTTACCGGGCTGGGATAGTCGCAGCGATTGATAAACACAGTACCGGCTTCAATGCGATCAATCAACTCTTCCCCGCGAGTGATGTCCTTTGTCCAAACGCTTGCAGTCAGACCGTAGTCACTGTCGTTCATCAGCGTAACTGCTTCATCGTCACCAGAAACCTTCATGATTGGCATCACGGGACCAAATGTCTCCTCTTTCATGGTAGCCATGGTGTGGTTCACATTGATCAAAACGACAGGAGCGACAAAGTTGCCTTTCTGTGTCTGAGGGTTGCTAGCCACATCGAAGGTGGGATTTGAGGGCGTAGCATCAACAGCTCCTTTAGCAAGTGCATCCTTGACATGCGAGCTGATCTTCTCCACAGCCTGCGATGAGATGACAGGACCGGTTGTTGTGTTTTGATCAAGCGGATCACCGAGTTTATACCTGTCTCAACGTTAACAAGCCCATCTTTAATTTTGAGCATATCCAATTGGGAACTCACGATTTCAGCTCTTCCTGCACAGCGCGAACGAAGTCCTCATAAATCCGTTCATGCACGTAAACCCGCTCAACGGAGCAGCAACTTTGTCCCGAGTTGAAAACAGCTCCGTCCACAAGCTGCTCTGCGACATGTTTCACGTCCGCGTCTGCACGCACATATGCGGGATCATTCCCGCCGAGCTCGAGGTGAACGGGCTTGATATGACGGGCCGTTGCCTCTCTGAGCCTAATACCTCCTGCGGTCGATCCTGTAAATGACACGGACTGGATCTCGGGAATCTGTGCCACTTGGTCCAGAACATCCAGATTTCCAATGTGGATAACCTGGAGAACCTGGGGTGGAAGTCCTGCCTCGGTGAATATATCGAGCAATCTATTTCCAAACAGTGGTGTTTGCGGCGAAGGTCGCAGGATAACACTGTTACCAGCAAGAAGCGCTGGGACAAGAGCATTGACAGTCGTGAGGTAAGGATACTAGTTAGAGTGTAAATAAGCGACAAACTGGAGAGATCTTGAACAATTGCTTGACTCACGTTCCAAGCACCTGCAATAAGCACCGGTCCCACGGGAACTCGCTTGACCATTCGTCGGAATCCGGATTCGGGTCTACCAGGGAGATCGGACAAGCTCTCTTCGGCGATGTCCATCAGGTACTCGGCGCGAACACGCATGGTGTTGATTTCGGATGCGCAGTACCGGATGGGTCGACCCATTTGGGCCGTGAGCTCCTTAGCTAGCTCATCGCGGCGATGCTCAATGATGTCAAGTGCTCGCTTCACAATGCTTTTTCTATCCTCTAGGGAGGTTGTTCTGTAGGACTCAAAGGCTTGCTTTGAGGCCGCAGCGACTTTGACAGCTTCTTCGAGCGAAGTTCCGGGCTGGTCAAAGATGACCGCGTGCGTTGAAGGGCAGATAGTGCGAATTTGGTTTGACATGGTGTGCGTTAGTATACCAGTGCGGATGAGGGTGTGAGTGGGTTACTCCAGGGTGGGAGAGGTGGGTTTTATAGCGCGGAGCCGGTGCCGCGGTTGCAGATCCGACTCATATCTCCGTTCATTATCGGGTGCTAGACTTTATTTACTATTTTTTTCTTGGATATCTTGGAATGCTACTTTAATTCCATACTTAGGATGAGTCTCTAATTCTTCGCATCTAGTATGAATCTCGCCATCACCCTCGCTATCAACCGCCCATCATGAGAATCACCGACTCGAGATGAACCGTCATTGTACAGCTCATCGGAAAAGATCCCAATCTCATGTCTGGCTTTTAACAAACATGACATAATTCCCTCATTGTACTCTGGGTGCCCCTGCACTGACAGAAGTCGCTTTGGCAAGTAAAGGCCCTGAATTCCGCATCTCGGACTTTCAGCGAGATTCACGCAACCATCTGGGGGAGTATCGAAGACAATATCTCGGTGCATTTGTTGGATGCTCTGTAGTCTGTCAGAATCTCCTCAATGAGTCTATATGGAAATCTCTTGACTCACCAGTGTATCCTTCCCAAACAATTCCTTTCCGGCCTCGGTCAGAGTGAGCTTTTCGACAGAGACCTCCCATCCAAGCTCGTTTCTGCCTACTCGTGCTCCAAGCGCCCGCGCCAGAATCTGGTGTCCGAAGCAGACTCCAACCACCGGTTTCTTGTATGTTACGACGGTCTCCCGGACTTTGTTGGTGAGATCGCGGATCCATTGATCATCGGCCCAGGCGTCGTGCTCTAGAAAGCAGATTTAGTTGTATGCTTGAGAAGCTGAAGTGTATATAACATACTGCTTCCAGTTAACAGCAAGGCGTCAACTTCTGTCAAATCAGGAAATTCACGGTCTACCGCGTTGTGTTCACTGAACTCCACCACAATTCGCCCGGACTTCTTCTCCGTTAAATCCAGGTCTTCGAAGCCTTGACGCAGAAGGTCTTGGAACATCGTAAAGTAATCGCCATAATTTTGAAGAACGGGTTGAATAGGCGTGTCACACACGAGGATGGCGATGTGAAGGCGAATATCGGTCATTTCGAGGACTACTTGCGCTTCAGATCCACGTTGACCAAGATGATCAAATAAATTCAACGATGCGACCAAGTTCAATTGTCATATTTTGTGCCAATTGCTCAATTAACATGCGCGGCCAGGCGCGCTGTATACATCAGACATTGTTGTACCCCCAAGCAGGGCCCCACAGCGCGGACCGCGGAGCAACTCCGCCGCGCGAATATCCGACGGTCGATAAGCGCCATACTTTTGACATATCCAGCAGGTAAACTGAAACAGACTGCGCGCTATCCTCTGTACCGCGCGGGAATATCTCCCACTGGGGGCCTGGGGATTAACGTTGACCACAAGCTAAATCCGCATCCAGAACGGGCCCCTATCCACACGATCGTATAAAGCTGCTGCAGCCAGTAGGACAGTATTGGGCGCAAGTTTATTTGTTTTTTGAAGGCCAACCCATACTACTGCAACCGACGCTTCTGAGAGAATGATAACCACTATGATCACTGTTGAATCACTCCCCAAGCTTCTCGCTGAGGACATCAAGGTCAAAGTCGCCGGTATCGACAGCGATGGCGTACTTCGAGGAAAAGTCATGGCAAAGGAGAAGTTCCTTGGAATTGCCGAGAAAGGATTTGGGTTCAGCTCTGCCCTCTTCGGCTGGGATATGCACGACATGCTATGGACAACGGACGCACGGGTTGCTCCCCCAGAGTCAGGATACGCAGACTTCCTGGCTATTCCCGATCTGAACTCATTTCGCCGTTTGCCATGGGAAGAGAATATCCCATTCTTCCTAGTGCGATTCCTTGACAACACACGTGCGGTTTCAGCCGATGGGAGGAGTATGTTGAGGAGTCTGTGTGATAAGCTTGAGGGGGAGGGAATTCATGCTTTAGCTGGAGGTAAGTCTCACTAACAAAAAATGAAGAGCCGTCGATAACGTTAGACAGTTGAACTCGAATTCATGAATTTCCAAACTCCATCAGAAGATGGTTACGGCAGTACAGGATCCCAGCATCCCAACCTTGCTACCTTCTTGGAGAAGAATGCTCCCAGTGCACTACGGCCAATCACTGCTGGCATGTTCTGCTATAGCTCAACACGACCGGTTGCCAACAAGAAGTATTTCTATGATATTTTCAATACCAGTGCTCAGATCAACTGCGGCATCGAAGGATGGCATACTGAGGGCGGGCCCGGTGTGTATGAAGCAGTATGTCACTTTCCTCTGGTCACTGAGAGCGCTTCTAATGTCTTATACAGGCTCTCAAAGTTTCAGAAATTAGCGAGATGGCAGACAAAGTAGCAATGTTCAAGTGAGTCTCACACGCCACCATCGCTACCCGCAGCTAACAAGACGACAGACTCTTGACCAAATCACTGGGAGTTGACCACGGCATCACACCATGCTTTATGGCCAAGCCCATGCAAGGCATGCCAGGCAGCTCCGGACACATTCACATCTCACTGGCTGACAAGGATGGGAATAACCTATTTGCCAGAGAGACAGCAGAGGCAAACCCTCAATGGTCAGACATCGCCCATCTCTCAGATACAGGCCGTCAGTTCCTTGCGGGGCTTCTTGAAGCTCTGCCAGATATCATGCCCTTATTTGCTCCCACCGTGAACTCATATAAGCGTCTCGTTGAGAATTACTGGGCACCGGTGCATATCAGCTGGGGTCTCGAGGACCGGATTGCTTCCATTCGTCTTATCACGCCGCCAGTCTGCAAGGCTGGGGCCACGAGATTCGAGGTTCGCATCCCCGGAGCTGATCTTCATCCGCACTATGCCTTGAGTGTCATTCTTGCCGCTGGCTGGAGGGGAGTGCAGAAAAAGCTTGAGATCAAAGTTCCGCCGATGTCAGCACGCAAGCCTGGAGACCGTCCGGAGCTTCTGCCGAATACCCTGGACAAGGCTTTGGATCGGTTCTCGGCGCCTGGCAGTATTGCGCGGGAAGTCCTCAGTTCTGAATTTGTGGACTTCTTCACCGCGACGCGACAGCATGAATTGGGTCTTTGGAGGGAGGCTGTCACCGATTGGTGAGTCTGATGGTCATCAAGTCTATGACAACATGGCTAACCTGATTATAGGGAGTTGAAACGATACATTGAGATTGTGTAACGAAGTTGTGTATTAACAGTGCTCGCTCCATAGCAATTTAATGCAGTTTCGCTTGGGCCTTCCATTTCATCTGCTCCTCGGAAGCATACGATCGTCCGTAAGGATCATTTTCAAAGTGACCGATCAGCACTCTCAATTCACCCCATATAAACATCCGGCCACGGGTTATCCTCTTCGATGAATGCATGTTGGATCTTCATGTCGTCGCCATCCTGCATATTCGCCCAGAGAGTCCATAGCGCATATGTCCAGCATTTCATCCACCCGGGGAAAGTATCATACTGATCGATATCCGGGAATGCTTCAAGAACCTTCACATATCGTAGGGGCTCATGGAAATTCTCTGTTTCAATTTCCGCCACAGTTGCACCTTTCAGCGTTTGTAGAGATTCTTCATCAATGACAATGCACATTCGAAACTTGGTCCATTTATCTCGCTTACCTTGCGCATCCACCCATGTCTCAAAATGAGTGCGAATTTTGTCCAGAGATGCTCCTTGGAATTGTGCAGGGTCTTCCATAATTGTCGATCGATACTTAGGCCAATCTTCGGATACATAGTTTTGAGGACGATCAGCGCCAACGTCTACAAATTGCTCTTTAATACAGGCCTCGATGAACCTGATACTGTCCGGGAAAAAAGCATCTGATTCGGCAGAGTAGGTCGTGCGATAGATGACATATCCCCAGTCTGGATAAATAGAAAGTCTGCCATGGAGTTCTTCCATATTCGCAACTGGTTTAGGATAGAGTGTAGTCCATGCAAGTGTTTTCAAACGGATTTGGTGGTTTCGCGAAGGAGGAGGGTGTGAGGAAGGGAAATTCTGAGTCCGGACGTGTTTGTCCCGGGGTGTTTGCCTTGTTATACTAAGGATGTCTACGCCAAGGCCACTAAAGCCAAAGATTAGATTTGCTAAGGGCAAAGTTCTGAGCCCCCCAGCATGATCGTGGGTTGTGAAGGTATACACAGTACACACTCCGTAGGTCATGAACAAGGTCCCCTTCTCCCCTCCTATTCGGGTCATAGATAAGAAGAATGCGCTAAGGTTTTTAAGTTCTAGGCCGCCCACGTGATGATCGGCAGAATCACCGGTCGTCCGGGGGGTTGATAGCCACCCTCGAGATCCTACTTCTGTGTACATAGTCAATTAATTTGACAGGCTGTTCGCAAAGCCAGGATGGCTTCGAACCTTCCCCTCCCTATTCCGCCGCGCACCCCCACTCCGCCACTGGATGATCAACATGCCCATATCAGCTCAGGGATACCCATCGATCGCGATGCCCTATCGCCATTGAGATCTGCCTTTCCAAAGGGTGTCATGGATGCCGAAAGCAGAGACACGCTTAGCCCCACAAAATCATCTTTCAACCTAGCAACCTCACCGGAAGATGCAGAGACACCAATTGATAATGCCACGGGCGACAAGGCCCCAGGGCCGTTCAATTTCAGTACCACCGTGATGGCGAAGAGCCCAGTAGTCAAGTCGGTGAGTTGGACAAGCGAAAAGGTGGAGGATTATCGTTGGCTGTAGTGCTAATCTATCGCAATTTCAGAATATGGGACAACGTCGGGGCCACAAGTACAAGCACAGTAGTATCTCGCACCAGATCTTCCTCGAGCCTCCTCCGCGCGCACCGCTTGCACTTCCAAATTCCCTGCCGATACCGACATTCAAAGAGTATAGATCTAGCATGTCGAAGGATCAAAAGACTCGCTTTTGGTGGAGTCTTTGCCACATGTTCGTTGCGGCATATACACTCTGGACCGCACATGGGTCTCTGGCTATGACAGCATTATCACATTTGATTCTATTCGACTCACTCGGTGCTCTGCTATGTGTTGCAGTTGATGTACTGGGGAATTTCGAAGTCTGGAAAAGATCCAGTATCCGCCACCCCTTCGGCCTTGAACGCGCAGAAGTTCTAGCTGGGTTTGCGATGGCCGTCCTCCTCTTGTTCATGGGAATGGACCTTATCTCTCACAACCTGCAACACTTCCTGGAGAAGGCTGGCCACGAGCCCCATCACTCGCATGATCATGGCCGGGTTTCCCTGGGTGAAGTGGATGTGACTGCCGTCCTTGCTATTTCGTCGACGCTTGTGTCGGCAATTGGGCTCAAGAACCATGCTCGCATTGGGAAGGCTATGCGCTTTGGATATATTCAATCCCTTCCATCGGTGTTGAGCAACCCGTCTCACTTCCTCACGCTCTCCTGCTCTACGCTGCTGTTGCTTTTGCCTCTGGTTTCAATCCGCATCTATGACTGGCTTGATAAGCTTTTGTCGGGGACCATTGCATTCTCCATGTGCTTCCTGGGGACGCGATTGGTGAAGACTCTGGGCTCCATGCTTCTCATGTCCTACTCCGGCCAGGGAGTGTCCGATGTCATCAAGGACATCGAAGCCGATCCTGCTGTGTTTGGCATTGATGACGCTCGATTCTGGCAGGTACACTATGGGCTTTGCATGGCCAATCTGAAGCTCCGAGTGACTGGGTCAGACGAGAATCTCATCCGGCTGCGGGAGAAGATATCCAGCCTGATTCGTAACAGGTTGGGTGGTGGATATGGCACAGGCGGCCAAAGATGGGAGGTATCTCTTCAATTCACGATTGAGCGTACATGATTTCTATGAATTTATTCTTTGAATGGCTGATGTCTAGTTGACTCAGTTTTGCACATGTCTTATCTCTTTTCCTGGATACCCTCTGTACATTATGATTGTCCATAGCTTTCAATCCAGCTGCTTCCAAGACTGACACGAACCTAATGGGCAGACATTAACGAAACGCAAGCCTCATCCATATACTTGCTCCATACATTCCCCACAACATATCCATATCCATACAAAGAAACCGAGCACGCCAGTAGACCCTCAGCGTCGACCCCGGAACACAAAAGAAGCCCCAACCACCGCAACACACATGACAAAACCCAAAAACATGAAAGCAGCATCCGCAGTAGCAGAAGTACACCTGGGCTTCAACTGACCCTTCGTATACGCGCAACGAACAAAGTCCTCACTATTGAGCTTGATGCACCCACCATTGAGCAAGACATTATCCCAAGTGGTATAGTAATCCGAACAGCTCGTGCCGCGTAGGCGAACAGCATAAACCTGAAGCCACCGGTCCGTCAGTAACAACTCAATATCTGTCAATGTAGGAATACTGTGTCAAAACGTACAATACCACCAGCCAACAAGGCGAGACCCGAAACACCATCAAGAACCATCGTGACGAGCCCGTCTAAAGAATCGACGAATAGAGCTGCGATACCGACTATCGCTGCTAGGATGCCGAATCCGCCTGTGAAGGCTGCATAGCCTGTTTCTGCGGGCACGGAGCCGACTTCTTGTCCTTTGGCTAGCTTTACTGAGAGGGCGAGGACGATAATGGTGAAGATGAGCTGGGTGGTTGGTTAGATGAGGTGGGTAAATGGTTTGAGAGTATGGTTTACTTACTTGGAAGACTCGGAGGCCTGCTGTTATGAACTGCATTATGCAAGACTGGCTTGTTTGAGGCGTTGGGGATGTTGCGAAAGAAAAAAGAAAGTGCTGGGACAACCAAGTCCTCAGGGGTGAGAGGTACTACATATCCTGCATTGTGCTCTGTGACCTTGACTCACAGCCTAGGGAACATAGCCTTAGATCGACACCTAGGTGCATGGTTGAGCTGTAAATTGGGGCCAAACTGACAGGGGTGGCTCGGGTTAGGGCTTTGTTTATTGGAGTATCCGGGCCGGGGGCCAGCGCTAGCTGCTACAAGCAACAAAAGGAGGCGGAGTCTACCAAGGAGGGATGCAGCTAATTCGACAGGGAAATTTCATAGTTGTGACTTGTCTGCCCATGTTTCTTCTTTTCTGACACTTTGCATAAACGGGGGCGAGGCTGATTGATTGCCCTCGAAATGTCTACTCGAGGACATTCATGAGAATATACTTTCTCTCATCGGTAGGCCCTCCACATGTGACCGACGGCAGCCCTAACTCATGGAATCATATATAAACAAATCCTACCTTAGGTGACTTGAAAGAAAAGAGTGATAAGGGGGCCGTGTAAGGTAGAATAGATCTTCCATTGGGAATACGTCCACTCCAACCTATACAACCTAGCCATCAAATGGCCATTTCTAAGAATATTAGGAAGAGTCAAGAGAGTACTACTTGACATATTGCAATCGCTCTTGTATAACATCCGATTACAACCCAAGAGATACACAATAACACCGTTTAACCGTTCATTAAAAAGTAAATGCGACAAAAGAAATTCCAAACATTAAACGAACGTATGTATCCATCCCCACCCTTCAACCTTGCCAACCAATGCCCCCAAAATCCCACCGCAACATCTAATTTACAGTCTAAGGGTAACCCTCACACTCAAGCTTGAAAGAAATATAACCCGGCTCAAGGATATCCGGCAAGCACTCTCCGTCAGTGAGAGGGCTGTGATCGAACGACTGGAAGTGCACGGGCTGTCCAGAGCAGCCATCGTTGTTCCAGATAGTCACGCCGGAGCAGAAGAAAGCGTCCTTGGTGTCCAGGCGCGCGCGGAAGGAGTAGTTGTCGATGCTCCAGTCGCGGTTGACGGTGGTCTTGTCGCAGGTCACCGGGGTGGCGGTCACGCTGGCGGAGAACTTGGGCTGGCCGGTGGCTGGGAGGCCGACGTCGCACTTCTCCCAGGAGAGGAAGTCGACGCTGGCGACGGGGAGACCGGCGTAGGCGGTCATGGCGAAGGTTGCTGCTGTGGCAAGGGTCTGGGTTTATGGTCAGTGGTCTGGACTATGGTAACATGATGGGTTGGTGGGTGATATTACCTTGGAGAAATGCATCTTGGCTAAGGATTGTGGGTTATGGGGTCAAGTAACGAGTGGACTGGGTAGAATTAAAGAGTGTACCGGGTGATTTGGAATAGTCGAGCGAAGTGCGCAGTCTGCCATTTATGTAGGAGCTCCCTGGGGGGCGGGTAAACATAGTCTCCTTGCCAAAACATTACCCTTTTGGGTTTGTGGAATGTAGGATTGGGTATTTATCAAGAGTGAAGTGTGGTTGGAATGTTGTGGAGAGAAACCGTTTTGGCTGGTAAATGTTGATCCCTCCGAAGAATGGAGCAATCAAGGGCATTTCTTTCGCCCAAAGGACCTTTTCTGCTCAAAGCTTTGATGCGCCCTGGCATACTCTCTGGTGGTTGACCAAAGCCTCCCAGGTCAGTCTAAGGGATAGGATTGAAGTGAAGACTTCAATACTGCGTATATCATTTCCAGTGTCCAATCCATATATGAGCTCGACCCTTTCAACGATCATACTCGACCTCCACCACAAGAAATTCTCCGATGTGTCTCTCCATTCCCTCCCATCCACCAACTTGAAGAACTCAGACTCAAGATCAGAACCAGTAGCACACCGCAGCAGGAGTAGGATCTTTCACAAAACATGCGAACACTGTAACACTGCTATCCGCAATGTGCCAAAATAGCCCAGCCCTTTAATTGTGGGCATCTCTTCAGGACAGAAATGAGGAGATCTTCAAGGCGCCAAGCGTAGTGGGAAAAGAGGCTCACGAGATTTATATCTTGGCATTGGGCTTGGCTCAACAGCTCAGATAACCTGTCATCCATGTTCATTGATGGAGAGAGAATCCTCGGCTGTTGTATAAAGATGATACAGATCTGCCTAATGCCTATATTCTCCTCTCCTATACCATAAACCTCCATCAAGTTCAACATCAAAATATCGCCATACAATTAGGCGGACTCGACACTCCCCTCTTACAATTCAACGGACTACTCGAAACAAAGAAGCTCCAACGCCCCAACCTCCGACAAGTATCCGCCAACTCATCCAAATCAAACATCTCCCCAATCGGCACTCCCCACCCAGCCAGCAAATAATGATGCAAATCAAACTCCGGCTGCAACGCCGGATAAACCTCAAAGCTAACCGCATCAGAGGCAACAGCCGCAAAATGATTATCCCAAATGAACCTTAGCACTCGCTCACTCTGCTCAATCCCCGCATGCATCGGCGTCGACTGCTGACTATACGCCACACGTTGCTGCTCTGACATCCCCTCCCAAGTCGCAGGTAAGCCAACGCGCAGGAAAAAGATATCGCCCTTTTGGAAAGTGATGTTGCATTCGCGTGCGATCTCCAGCACCTCGTCGAGCGAGATCATCTGTCGGCTTAGCGCGTTGATGCTAATACCTTTCTTTGCTGCGTACGAGACGTAGTCGATTAGCACGCCGCGGCCGGCGATGCCTTTCTTAGCCCAGAAGCCGATGCCGATGCGTGGGGAGGTCTCGTCGAGGATCTCGGCGGATGTGGTGCCGCCGTAGAAGAGGCGGAGGGATTGGTCTGCACCTGGGGCTGGCGCGTTGTGGTGGCGGAAGCCGTCCCATTGCGAGGATTGTTGGGGGTTGAAGTGGTATTCGTCGTCGAAGGCGACGCCCTCAGCGACCCATTTGACTTTGTGCTCGAATGGTTTGCGGTTGAAGCCTAAGTGCGGAGCGTAAGCTATGTACGCTCTTGTATCGAGTACCTGTCTCTTCTGTCTTACCTGGTGGGCTTAGTTTCTCCATATCCCAGTTCAGGCAGACTCGGTCGCCGGTCTGGATTTCTGTTCGTGCGGCTTGTGCTACTACCTCTGGCGTTAAGAGACGGAGCATTCCTAGTCCTTCTTCTTCGCTCCCGGCGGCTCCAGGCCAGAACCGCTGCTTGTCTGGGAGATCATCGAATGTTTCTGGAAGATTGGGGATGCCAGACATGGTTAGGGAACGTAGTGTGGGTGTTAGAGAGATAGCTGAAGCACCTCAACCTATAAATACTTGGACAGCTATGGATCCACCCCGCTCGGAGCAAGTCCGGGGGTTCCTGACGTGGCAATGACCCGGCGGGGAGCTCATATCCGATTACTCCAAATCAAGTCGATAGAATTGTATAGCCAGCGCTCAACTATAAACCAGATTCGGAAAAAATAGATAAAAGCCTGGAGCATCCTCATTTCCTGCCTCAATGCCATCCCACTACGTGTTCATGAAGTCATGTAAACAGTAAAGCTCATGAAGTATGCATATAGAACGGTACAAAGTAAAGTACAGGGCGATCGCAAAGCACAGAAAGCAACCATTTACATATCGTCCAAGTCATCATCAGCACTTGAGCCACCCTTCTTCATATCCGACATCTCATACTCCTCCTTTCGGCTCGAGCCAGCCCGCTCTCCAGCCGACATAGCAATGGCTTGGCGGCCAGTGTCCGATGCCTCAAGGAACTCGCGCAAGCGGCGCTTGCCTTCATGAAGGGCTTGCTGAGAGGCAGCCTCGGTCATCTTGAGCATTGGACCCCACAGGTTGAGCTGATAGGTGATATATGCGCCAATGGCACACACAAAGAGGAGGAAGAAGTAAGCGGGGTTGCGCAGAACTGGGAAACATGTTAGCAGGGATGCAAAGAACAGTATAAAAGAGGTAGACACTTACCGGCCCAAATCTCGTTCCAGCCCAGGGCCAGCAACAGACCGTAGAAATACAAGGGAACCTGGGTGATACCACCAATGGCACTCCGCTTAGCCTCGACGTAGACGCCGTCGGCGGCCTTCTTGAATCGTACGGTGAGCTCTTGGCGCTTGGAATCGCTGAGGATTGTCATTTCTTCCTCCAAGCTCTTGCCCTCGTGCTCATCCACACCGCCGATTGGCGCCAAGTCCTCCTCGTCTTCAGGGGTCGCCGTGCTGGGCGTGTGTCCAATCCATCGGTCAAGCGGCGGAGGGGCAGTGGTCCTCTCCAAGCGGAAACGTGACAAAAGAGGAATAACAGCCAGGGTAGATTCCCGAGCACGGGTATAGATGCCCTCGATATCATCGGTGGGGCGCCAGATGCGGGGCACACCAGCCTCGTCATAGCGGAACTTGTCTTCGAAGTTCTCCCGAAGCTTGAGGAGCAAGTTGCCCTCGATCATCTCCTCCTCGATCTTGGCGCGGAGAACGCTCCAAGACTTGCGGCGCAGGCGCCAAAGGCCAACATCGACTTCATCAATACTAGCGTCGAAGCTGCTCGCACGGTCCGTGAACCTCCGTTCAGCATCAAGAACGGTTTCTTCAAACAAGTTCCAGATCCGATCCCAGAATTCCTTCTCGGCAGGCTTATCCCCGTCCTCGGGAGCGCCACCACCAGCTCTACCCGAGCCAAGGGCATTGAATTCAAGACCTACTGATTCCCCAAGGCGAGAATGAACCCACCGCTCGACGCGGGTGGCCAAACGTCTCATTTCATCGTGGCGTAGTCGGGCACTGGCCTCAGCCAACTCTTTCTGGTAAAGAGAAAGCTCCTGCGTGTAGTTGCTCCAGGGAGCTCCTTCCACTGATGTCGAGCGGGCGACTTCCTCGAACTTCTCCAAGGAAGACTGAGCTTCCTTGGTTACGATTTCGGCGAATTCGTAGTTACCGCCCCTCTTCTGACCATCCTTCACAGCAGCACTGACTGCATCGCTGAATTCGCGGATTCCCGACTTATGGGCTGCTGACAGCTGGCCGTGGAACAGCGCCTTGAGGCGAGTGTCGACCTTGCCCATGAGCTCAGCGCTTTTACGTTGATAGACACCTTTGTGGTATCGGCTGGCCTCGGTCTCGAAGTTCTTCAAGGTCTTCATGCGCGCAGCGCGCATGGCCACACCCAGTCCTCCAAGTACCTCAGGCGCACCGAGACGCACTGCCTCGGCCTGCTTATCTTCAAATGCGACGATCGCCTCGTCGAAGCCAATCATCACTTCGCGCAAGATTTCGTCACAACGGAATTGTGCAAGCAACTCTTGCTGCGTGGGCAAATCCAAGTCTTTGTTATTGACAATTTGGTCCCAAATCCCCTCCGCATAATGTGAAAACCCATCGGCTGGGATGCGGCGATGGTACTCAGGAAGGAAGACTCCTTCTTCAGAGAACTCACCCTTGAGCGCATCTCTCCGTGGGTCCCGGTGTCCTTCGCGGAAACGTAGGCCGAGCTTCTTTGCCTCTGTCACGAACTGTTCGGGCTGATAACCCTTGTGGGGAAGTCCATAAAATTGGAAATCAAAGTAGTCGTGAATCGTTGACTTCTCCAAGCCAGCAGGCTTCGATATCGTATCCCACAGACGGGAGAGGTCTTCCAGTAGTGTTTTCTGCAAGTTCTTGAGTGGCGTGGTACCGATGAAATCGCGGATGACGAAGAATAGGAGAGACCGGTGGGTAGTGCTGTACAGAAGTTAATACTTGAGGCGCATATCACGAGGGACGATGATGGTACATACTGCTTGTCTTTCAAGAACAATTGCAAGTTGACCTCAAAGACAGTCTTCAGCAATCCCATGTTGGCTCCCTGGTACAATCCAACCTGGTGTTCCCAGATGTTGACAATGAGGACCTCACTCGTTGCAAGCGCAAAGAGGGCACTCTTGCGCTCGAAGTCCTGGTCCTCACCTCTCTCGCGCCCGTCGGTTCCCTCCACATCCATAACCAAGATGTTATCCGCCATGCGCTCCGCTGCACCAGCCTCACCCTGTCTCTTGTTCTTCGACAACCAGATACCTTTGGTTGTTTGTCTCCTCTCCAACTCCGACATTACGGAGAACTCGGTACCAAACAGCTGGTTAAGCAGAGTGGACTTTCCGGTGGATTGCGATCCGAACACGGAGATGAGATGGTAGTTGAAACCCGCGGGCGTGACATTCTCAAGCGACAGGTACTTGGACAGGTTGGGACTATAGCAATACAATCAGCATCCAGAGTCTCATAACCAAGGTCGCAGTGGCCGGGCGCATGCGGGAGATCTATGCGAAGAAGATGGTCGTACTTGAACTCCTTGTTCTCGTCAATCACCTGCACTCCGTGTTCGTAGGAGGTAGCATCGCCTTCACCTCCGATCGAAGCAAAGTGGCCATTTGACATGACTGATGGTGCAGTTGGGCTCCTTTCTAACCCTGAGGGGCGTGAGTCGGCCATGTTCGTATGCTCTGTGTAGGTGTATGTGGTGGCGGGCGGGATGTAGAGGTGGCAAGAGCAAGTTGAAAGAGGGAAGATAGGACAAAGAGTCTATGGCACCATGAAGAAGTTGGAAACAAGCAGCAGATCAATCGAATGATGACTTTGCAAGTTATCCGGATCACAGGGTCATTTCACGGGGGTTCTGAGATGGTCCGAGGTCGATGTTGGGGAAAACAAGTCATTACATAAACCCCTTAGCTGCGGCAACGTCACTTCTAGACCACTGTGGATTTTCCCTTTATCGAGCTACGATCAGATATCGAAGAATATTACGAGCCATTCACTTTTCTAGTTGATGGTAATATTACAGGAGAACTGATGCTATTTTCCCCAGTTTATGATTTTATCCTGGCCATCATTTCCCGCTGTCTGGCAGCAGATCCAGTGCTTCATCCGCAGTCATGCGATCAGATCAACCGACAACCCTACTAGCCCGTTCATAGCTGGCAGAAGGGGTGCAGGTGCTGGCTCAAGGGAGTGCTCGATAGCAGTGCACTCATGCTTGAGCCTTGAAAGCTTAGATTATATGACCGAAGTCGGGGAATCCTCTTCGATCAACAATCAATCATGCATCTGTTCGTGTGTGTTGAACAGGTAGCCTCCTATGGATGTAGATCGCATATTTGGAATGTAGGGGAGATTGGTTATTGCCTCTAATTATATACAGTGGAAATATGAATACAGCGCCCGCATGTCTGCAGTCAACATCAAAAGGCTATACATTCATGACGGTGGCACATAACCAGACCAGTTCAGATTCCAGCCCTGATCAAGGCCAAGGTCGACAATGGGGTTCGAGCCGTTCGGCCACATATACTGGCCGAAATCATCGAACAACCCACTAAATGCATTCACCTCTAACCCGGCCAGCGGATTCGTTGCTGCTTCGCTCCTCGGAAGCCACGATTCGTCAGGATACCCAGCCATGGTAGGTGTGAAGCCACCGCCATCCAAAGCAGCAGTGCTCGTAGTCGCACTTTCGGGATCAGACATGGGCGGTGTATAGAGTTGGCTCGAGCATTGCCCTGAGCAAGTAGCTTCCGTCCCCGGCGCGTCTGGTGCTGCTGCTGTGTATTCCTTGTTTTTGGGGCCACCCTTCACCTTGGAAAATTTGGTGCCGGCACCCACCGTGATGGTACCAAAGTAGGGGATCGTGATTGTGCAGCTACCGGCAGAATTGAAGTCGCGCTGGGAATCCTTGGAATCGAAGATCGCGCCGAGAATGTTTGCAGACTCGGCGGCAACGGAGCCTCCTGGTTCTGCTGCCGCCCGGCGCAGGGTCTCCACTATCTTCTCTACAAGACCCCAGTCTTGCTCGTCCTGCTCTTTGCTGTGATCTGGTGTTACGTCTGAATAGCCCTGTAGGTGGAGTATCAAGAGAAGGCCCAGCGTGAAGGCCAGGAAGTCGATCATTTTGCACAGATACGGCTTGGCCGTGGACCGAAGGACCTTGTATAGCATAAGACCCTCTCTTGCCGACTCAATCGCAATCGCATGACAGGGGAGCAATTCGGGCTCATGAGCGGATTTCAGCATCAACGGGAGGTGGAGAAGGGCACGGAGTACTTTGAGCATGAACTGCAAAGGAACTCTTTCTAGATAATGTTCCCATTTCTCATCTTGATGAGGCTCTGCAGCTCGGAAGTGATTTGGCATGGATTTCCAGGCATTTTGCAGCTCTTGGTCCAGTTGTAGCGTTGCTGCGAGAGTCGTCTTGGATGGGTCCTGGTTTCGATCCACCATATGCCCCGATATAATACCAATGCGCATCCAGTACTCATCGGGTGCCGAAAGATCTGAGTTGAAACGCTGCTCCATCTGTGGTAAGAAGAATGAATCGGCAATCCCATAAGGGAGGCCGAGAATCAGACTCAGACACCGATCCGATGTTGCTAGGGAACACCAGATCTTCAGACGCCGCTCGTAGAGCGTGTCACTTGGTCGGCGGACTTTGGTGGACAGATGCATTCCGGCCAAATGGGCGAACTCGATCGCCCGACGAATCACCAGCCAGCCTTTCCGGAGCCGGCCTTCAGCTAAGTGGATTTTGTGGAGTAACATCTGACACTCGATACCAGGCAAGGTAGCTGCAAGGTCATCGTCACGGACAATCAAACGATCCACCGTATCGACGCATCGATCGTAGAACTTCTGAGTGTCAAAGGGCACAGACAAAGCGCCGAAATCGAAGTCAGACCTAGCATGAATCGCGCTAATACACAGACACAAAAGCGCCTTAGCAACTTCGGCGGGAGCCACCAAAGTTCGGCAATTGCGTTCACCAATAGTGATTTTACCGTTATGCCGATCGAACAGCTCCGGGAAATGGTCTTGCCACACAAACCAGTTGACAGACGAGTTGATGATCTTGTTCATATCCTCTATTGGAGGCAGGAGAGTGATCAGCTCTGCACGAACGGCTTCTGCCTTTGGCGAGATGTCCTTGACACCAGCGAATTTATCATTATCTGAGGGATCCTCTTGGCGAGTGATGAGATAGTTGTCGAACAGCTGCAGGACGGGCGCATTTCGAATCTGCTCACTGGAGGGGCCTAATTCGTCTGGCTCGGTAGCCAGTGACCTTGGATATGATTTGATAGTGTCCGCTTGGTCATGTTAGCCACACGATATCAGTCAACACGCATCCAGATACAGTAACGATACTGCCTACATTGATCTGTCTCACGGCGCTCATGAGACGAAGTGCTGGAGTCACTTCGGTCTAATCGTTTCATCAATCCCTCCACTATGTTCTCCAAATGGGTGACTCGCTCGCGGAGGCTGTATGGCCGCTCCACCAATTGGGGGCTTTGTCGGTTGCCGGATAATGGAGGAGTAATGACTATATGTTCTTGGTCGACGCATTTCGTGCCTCTGGATCGGCATTCATTGCAATATCCAGGACGATCAGGATTGACTGTACATCTTATCTTGCGTCGCCGACCTATAACCGAACACAGTTAGCACAAGCTTCACTAATCGCCGACGTTCCGCTCATACATTCTGTGCAGCTCTTGGTCCCTTTCCTCATCCTCTTCCGCGCTGGTTCTTGATCGGCCCAGGAGTCCATAGCGTGTAGAGCAAAGATCCCAAGTCGAGATCCTCTATTGCTGCGTTTTACTCTAGTGAAGCGGACAGGCGATTGTTTCTTGTGGGCCGCGCAGTAAGTGACAAGGCTCTTGGGTGAGAATTATCTTCATCTAGAGCAATACAATAGAGGAAGGAAAAGGAAAACCAACAGCTGTTAGGTGTAGCATTTGAGATCCCACGTAATCTTGGAACACGATCGAAGTGCAGGGTCAAATCACTGTCAGTTCTCATACTTCGTAGATCTTCGTCCGTCAAGTTCGGCCGAAATGGCGCGGTCGAAATTTCGTCCGGGCCAATGAACCAATCAGGTATCACCATTTGCCCACCCGTACGTAAACTCTAAGTGGCCTTATTCTAGAAGGCGGCGTACTCCGTAACTACTTCTCGTGGGTTTAGCACTTGGCTGTCTTGCCTATTGTTATGCACATCGACTTGAATTTGAACTGAAATTATATGCGAGCCTAGGAGATTGGTTTTAATACGTTTCACGAGAGTGGAGAAATAAAAGAAGATCCAACTACATCTCCAAGACAGTAGAGGTACATGGACAAAGATTCAAGCGAAAACTCCGGTAAAACCCCCGGACCCTCGTGCTGATCGATGATTCCCGCGTTGTGGAATAAAACATGCCAAAACAAACAAGATGTAAAAGGAAAGGAGTTCATAATACAAGGACCAGGCAGTCTAGCCGCCTGGCCGTAGGTGAGAGCAGTCCAATTACTCGACAACACGAGTGATCAAACCAGTGGCAACAGTGCGGCCACCCTCACGGATGTTGAAACGCTGACCGGGCTCGGCAGCGACGGGGTGGTGGGTCTTGAGGATCATCTCAACGTTGTCACCGGGCTGGACGCGGCGGGCCATATCGCCATCGGGGAAGCTGAGATCACCAGCCTCATCTAGGGCACAGTTAGCATCACATATATTGGTTTGACACCAGAGCAGATCGGGAAATATTGAACTTACCGGCAGTGCGGATGTAGACCTGGGGACGGTAGTTGGCGCCAAAGCCAGTTCGGCGACCACCCTCGGCCTCAGTCAGGACATACATGGAGACGAGGAACTTGTTGTTGGCCTTGGTGCTGTTGGGGGCAGCAACGACCATACCGCGGCGAATATCTTCGCGGCGGACACCGCGGAGGAGCAGACCGGAGTTATCACCAGCACGGGACTCATCACATGACTTCTTGAAGGTCTCAATGTCGGTGACCTTAGTCTTGATGGGGGTACCGGAGTCTGTGGCACCGACAATCTCGACCTCAGTATCCTTCTTCAGGAGACCACGCTCGACACGGCCAGAGACGACAGTACCACGGCCAGGGATGGAGAAGACCTCCTCAACGGACATGAGGAAAGGCTTGTCCAAGTCGCGCTCGGGGGTGGGAATCCATGTGTCGACGGCCTTCATGAGCTTCTCAATCTGCTCAGTGCCGATGTCGGGACGGCGGTCCTCGAGGGCGCAAAGGGCAGAGCCGAAAACAATAGGAGTCTCCTCGCCCTCGAAACCGTAAGAAGAAAGCAACTCACGCATCTCGAGCTCGACGAGCTCAAGCATCTCGGGGTCTTCGACGGCGTCGACCTTGTTGACGAAGACAACGATCTTCTGAACACCGACCTGACGGGCAAGCAGCAAGTGCTCACGGGTCTGGGGCCTATTGTGTAATTCGCGTTAGCACACTTCCGGATTGACTTTCTGAGCTTGAGCCATACATCTGACCATCAGAGGCAGCAACGACCACGATGGCACCGTCCATGTTGGCGGCACCAGTAATCATGTTCTTAATATAATCGGCGTGACCGGGGCAGTCGACGTGGGCGTAGTGACGGTCCTCGGTCGCGAACTCAATGTGGGCAGTCGAGATGGTAATACCACGCTTGCGCTCCTCAGGGGCCTTGTCAATGGAGGCATAGTCAAGGAAGTTGGCGAGACCCTTGGAGGCCTGGTACTTGGTAATAGCGGCAGTCAAAGTGGTCTACAGCGTGGGTTAGATGTAATGTTCGGATGGCGGAGATGTCGGAAGAAGTCGCGAATAGCTCACCTTGCCGTGATCGACGTGACCAATGGTACCTGGAGAAGAAATGTTAGCTTTGGAACAAATAAAGAGCCAGATATACTATGCAATGACTTACCGATGTTGACGTGGGGCTTGTTACGCTCGAAAGCAGTAGCCAATCCACGGCCAGCCACCTTGTTGCTGAAGACATGGTGAACGGGGTTGACGGCAGTCGGACGCAGCAGGGAGGACCGGCTGGTGCGCGCCAAAAGGTTCAATGAACGGGAGATGCTCGACATCTTGGTTCAATCGAAACGAAAACGATGGAACAAGGACGAAAAGAAAGTCTTGAAAGATGGAGTAAGGATGAGAGAGGAGGAGCCCAGATCAACACCAAATTTTTTGCTAACATGGCTTCCGGGGCACCGATTCAGGGACGCTTAGTCATCAGCCAATCACAGGCCTTGAATTGCGGAGGTTTATGGTGGACAGGAATCTCGAACTTGCGGACACTTTGTCTACCGTCTTACCGCATATATGGTACGCGTTGCCTATATTGCTAGCATGTGTCTCGGTTGGTATCTAAAGCAAGTTCTTGTAGCCTAGCTCTCCAAGGCTACTTGGAGGGTTGGGCGGTGATAACACCTGGAGGTCGGACCAAGAGGTAGTTATATGGCGTATTAGAACCGATACGTTCTTTTGAATTGTTGAAAAAAACTACCTAGGAAATTACTGCACAAGGCTGTCAGACTTATGCTGTTCTGTACAGTTTGGCGTCAATTAATGTACATATACCCACCGCTCTCCATCAGGTGGCCTTCTGCGCAGTAATCTTGAGTTGCTTCCCCGGTTCTCCTTCCATTGCCTTGGTCTGAGTACCACCTGCTTCTCTGATCGTATCCAACACACTCTGGATGACCTGTTTGATCTCATCTACCGTAGGGTTGCGCTTGCGCTTCTTAGTGGTCAATAGAATTTCGACCCTCCGGCCTTTGTCCAAAAAGGTCGAAAGCTGTTTCAGGCGATGCGACAGGTCGTGGGCATCAATGGCCCAGTTCAGCTCCATTTGCTTGACTATAACTTTGGTTGCGCGGGCTGACTTTGCTTTGGCCTTCTCATGTGCTCGGTATTCTTTCTTATTCAAGATCTTGCAGACTGGCGGTTCGTCACGGGTCCCTTCTTGCACCTGGAGAAGGAAAAATGTCTCGTGGTCGAATGATTCAAGGACATCCTCTAGTCTCGTTGGAGGGTCAAGGTTGCCTTCGTCGTTCACAACTTGGATAAATGGTCCACGAATAGCTCCGTTTATTGGTGGGGTTTCAACAGGCGGTCGGTATTCTCGTAGCGCTCGGGGCCGGGATTGTTGGAAGAAGCGAGACTGGATGCCATTGTGGAGAGGGTTGAATGAAAGAAGACCAACTCTTGAAATGCGAATTGGTGCGATGAAGATCCGGCGTAGAGCCTGTGCTGAGGAAATCAGAGTGCGAGTGTGGTTCATGCTGGTGGCTGGTAGCACGGAGTGCAACGGAGGCCGTATACAAATGGCAAGCTCTCTAGGGGAGAAAACTTTTATATGTGCACTGTACTCGACAATGAGAATTGCAGCTTGGTATGAGCTGAGCACTGAAGCGCGGCTAAACATGGGGAAGAGGTTAAGAGGTTAAATGCCACTCGGTACAAACAAGACAAACATTCTTAGGTTGCAAACAGCCCTGGGCGGTAACATGGAAGCGTACAGTCGGAGTCTTTATGCACATTGTAAAGTCGTCTTTCATGATTTTCTTCATGTGGTTCCTTCTCTAACAACAGTCGGGAGGACTGTCGAGGACAAAGCAAACACGATAGATTATGTAGTAATTTCTAAAAACCAAGGTACCTCAAAACCGAGTCGTTGTGAATTGTAATGGCCCTAAAAGCGTGCCGTAGCCCAGGGTCGCAGTACAATCCGAACGCCACATCTACGCCACACTCCGGAAACCCTGTCTCCTTTCTCTCCTGTCAATTTTATCTCTTTGACACCCATCCACTTCTCTTTCCTCTTCTTGTTGGTTTGGTGTTTTTGGAGGATCTTGGGATCGATGGTTGCTTCCTCGTATTCTTCTTCATCATAACCCCGTCCGGTCGTTCATCCACGCGCCAGCGATAAACGCCACTTGTCACTGCAGTTCATATTTCGACTGCTGGTCGAATGTCGTCTGGAGTTGACATCCAAAATAGTAACGGCAAATCATATTCAATCACTCGTCACCGCTCCGTCTCCGGTAGTGACAGTTCTGGGGTCCCGCGGTCAATTGAGTCCAGTCCGGCCACCAACAAACAAACCGGCAACATGCCACAGACACAGAGATCGCGGTACTTGAAGACGGGGGTGATCATTGCCCTCATTTTCATGGTCGTGTTATGGCTCTCCCCATCTAAGCCAAGTGTGTCAAGTTATACCAAACGTTTGTGGTCCTTTAGCCCACGCTATCGCTTTACGGAACTGATTATTTGGCAGAGCAACCATCTTCAAACAGTGCCACGTCAGCTTCGGCAAAGTGCACGAAGCCATTCGATTCATCCAAGCCTCTTATCCAGTATGCTCTCATGATTGATGCCGGCAGCACCGGGTCTCGGATTCATGTATATCGATTCAACAACTGCGGCTCTACTCCGGAACTCGAGAACGAGGTATTCGAACAAACGAAGCCAAAGGAGGGAGGCTCCGGCCTCAGCTCTTACGGGGAGGATGCTACGGGTGCCGCCCAGAGTCTCGATCCTCTCATGGAGGTTGCGTTAAAATCAGTACCCGAGGAGTACAGGTCGTGCTCTCCGCTTGCCGTCAAAGCTACGGCTGGGCTCCGTCTTCTGGGCCCCGAAAAGAGCGAAAAGATTTTGGAAGCCGTCCGACACCGCCTGGAGACTGTTTATCCCTTCCCTGTGGTTTCCAAGGAGAAGGGTGGCGTCCAGATTATGGATGGTTCAGACGAGGGTGTTTATGCTTGGATTACGACCAACTACCTGCTGGGCAAGATCGGTGGCCCAGATGAGACTCCCACAGCCGCTATCTTCGACTTGGGTGGGGGTTCCACGCAGATTGTTTTCGAGCCTACCTTCGAGCAGAGCAAGGCTGGTGGTATGCCGGAGCATCTTGCCGCCGGTGACCACAAGTACGAGCTCAAGTTCGGTGGTCGTGAGTTCGACTTGTACCAGCACTCCCATCTCGGCTATGGTCTCATGTCTGCCCGAGAGGCCATGAACACCGCAGTCGTAGAGGCAATGCTGGCTCGCAGCCCCGACGACCTGACCTGGGTCAAGCAGCCCATCTCCAACCCCTGCATTGGCCCTGGAATGCAGAAGGAAGTCACCCTCAAGTTCCCCGCTGATCACCCTCTGGGACCTACTGTCAAAGTCCTGATGGTCGGCCCCAAGGACAAGTCAATGGCCCCTCAGTGCCGTGCTATCGCGGAGAAGATTTTGAACAAGAACGGCGAGTGCAAGCTTGCGCCCTGCTCTTTCAACGGCGTCCACCAGCCTTCTCTTGCGAAGACCTTTGCCCGGGAAGACGTGTACATCTTCTCTTACTTCTACGACCGCACAGCTCCTCTTGGCATGCCAGAATCTTTCACCCTGGATGAGCTTCACCAGCTTACTTCCACTGTCTGTGCCGGTGAGAGCGAATGGAAGCCCTTTGAGGGCGTCGGTAAGGCGCTGGAGGAGCTCCGTGACCGTCCGGATTGGTGCATGGATCTCAGCTTCATGATGAGTCTGCTACACACTGGTTACGAGATGCCCCTGTCCCGTGAGGTCAAGATTGCCAAGAAAATCAAGAACAACGAATTGGGTTGGTGTCTTGGTGCAAGGTTAGTTCACTCGGTTCTGTCTCTTTTGTCTAAACAGTACACTGACCTGCTACAGCTTGCCTCTTCTGAGCCAGGAATCTGGCTGGACATGTCGCATCAAGGAAGTCGTCTAACCGACGAGACGACGAGACGCAAAATTAGCGGTTTTTAATATTGTCATTCTGTCATAGTGTCCGGTGGGTTCATGCATATAGAGGTCGGCCGGATGTCTGTGTTTTGTTTTACCAATTTCTTTGCCATATCTTTTATCTAGACTTGATCTGTGACGAGCTGCATATTAGGGAATAGGGATGTATCAACGTTTGATGTGCATGCAAAAGATTTCAAGTCACTTCTGTAATGAAGCAAAGTATAGACCACTAGACGCTAAATAACAATGCGCAGCCCACGAGGTGCAAGTAGAATGTGATGTCAGCCAGAGTGAATTGTCATGATCGAGTCGCCCTTCCGCAAACTCTCACACATGATTGCTACTCAGCCATCTCCTGAATAGAGGGCTTATTCGTCTCCGATTTCTTGCCCTTACCTCCCATAAGTTTGCCAATGATATCCGAGTCCATCATATCTTGGGACTTCTCTCCAGTGCCAGCGGCACTGTCAGGTTCTTCGTCACTTTCTTCCCCGCTGGATGAATCGCCCTCGCGCTTCTCTTCTAGAACACCGAGACCCAGATCCTATAACTCATTAGCGACACCCACTTGACACCATTGACTCGATACTGCATACCATCTCAATATACTGTCCCCCACTCTCATCCGCATTATCAAGAACCAGATCTGCGGCCTTCCCAGCAGCAATCTGTCTCTCCAAATCCTCGTTTGCATCTTTCATCTTCGGCAAGAAAGCGTTGAGCCGTGACATCAGCCCCGAACTGCCATTGATGCGATGTATGCGCGGTTTCGGGCGGCCGCCGATGTGAGGTAGTGAGGAGGAGGAAGAATCGGCGGCATGACCGTGCAATTTTGATTGTTCGACGCCACTCCTTTCTTGATCGGAGTGCTCTTCGTCTTCGCTTTCACTGTCGCTTTCGTCCTCTGAAGAGGAGCCTGAAGAGGAGGTTGGGTCGGAATCGGAGGGTTGGTCGGAGGTTGTGCGTTGTTGGCGAGACGTGGTGCGGTCTGTGAGGTCCATGGTATTCGGAGAGATACCGGTAGCAGCAGCAGCTCTTGTTGTTGATTTTGGCATGGTTATGTGTTCGGTGCTGTGTTGCTAGGAGTTGCAGAGACTTTTCAGTGACGTTGAGGTGATCGGGGGTTGGAAGAGCTTTGGAGAATGGAAGGTGGGTCTAAGGATGCAAGAAAGACTCCCAACATGTAATGTTCTGGGATTTTCGTCTGTGTATTTGGAGGAGTAAAATGTATCGAGTCTGGATCGAGATCGGGCGATTTCAACTTTTTTGGGTGGATTACTGATAACGGATAAGCTTATCGCCTTATCAAGGCATGGGATCTTGGCATGGATATCAACATGGGAGTTTTGAATACTACTAGTGGAGGAAGTAACTATCAAGTAAGACTCGTAGATATTAAGTAAAGTCAAAAGATCCTCATTTCTCTAATCATACATGGGGGTATTACAGGATCAGATAAGAAAAGACACCTGCGTGAGCATTATCGGCTCCCGTTCCTTATGCGGCTACGACTGCGACTTCGTCGTCGATGTCGACTAGGACTCCTTCGTCGGGTACGGCTTCTCCGACGACTAGGGCTTCGTCGACGAGGCGGACGATCATCAGTATCCTTCCCTTCGCGCTCTTTCTCCTTGCCCTCCTTTGCTTTACTCTCCACATCTCCTTCTTTGGCCGGAGTCATATCCTTATCCCGTTCAGATGCTGGTTTGTAGCGGTGCATATCAGACAATCGGGGTCGCTGGTCTCGATCTGGGGATCGCACCCGGCGTCGGGGTGACTTGCTCCGGTTACTAGTGGCGGGCACGTAGCGGTCAATGTCGAGTGTAGGTGTAGGCGACCGACGCCGAGACCGAGATCGCCTCCGCACAGATCGAGACCTAGATCGCCTTCGCGTAGATCGAGAACCTGATCGTGGCCGATCCCTAACCCGAGGACGCGAGCGGGAGCGGCTGCGTGAACGCCGGCGTATGGGTGAGCGAGAGGGTCGGGTGCGCCGAGGGCGATATTGCTCATATGCTCGGGTGCGGCTGCGGTTGCGGTCTTTCGACCGCGATCGGTCTCGCACTCTGTCCCTGTCCCGACCAATACTGCGGCTGCGACGGCCTGGTCTATAGCTTCCACCGCCTCGGTCGTCCCGGAAGTCGCGGTAACCACGACGTGCCTCCATATCAGGATCGCGAGATCTCACAGAAGTGTCCCGTGACCGATCGCGCCGGCGATCTGTGGCATTACGGGAAATGCGTCGTCGACGTGAGCGACTGCGGCTTCGATCCCGCGCCGAATATTGCGACCGATCATGGCGGTCTGCAATTGAGCCACGTCTTGCCTCGGAGTCGCGGGAGGGGCTGACTGCCCTAGTGGAATACCTCGAACCATTCACGCCCTTGCCTAGCGCTGATGTTGACCCTGGCAGTTTCACTCCGTTTTCAATAGCCTCAGCCTCCTCGAAGTCAAACTCAGGCTTCTGCCGAGCTTTGGCTGCAAGTTCTTCGCCTTCTTTCAAGAGCATTTGTAAAGCAGCCTCCTCCAGTGACTTCTCATCAACCGGAGGCGCTGGCACAGGCGTGGGGGCATCGGAAGCGGATGATTTGTCGTGTTTGGAATCTCGAGGCCAAGGAGACAAGCCACGATCAGACCGGTAGCCCGGAGAGCGATCGCGGTAGCGGTCTCTATCCCTAGTTCGGCTGCGGTCACGATCCCAGCCTCGATATCGCTCCCTATCTTCTCTCCTTCGTCGTTCGTATCTCTCCTCACGTTCTCGTTCTCGCTGTTCATCAAGGGCCCGTTGCTCTTCACGCTGGCGTTCACGCTCAGCGCGTCGCTGTTCATCGATTTCCTTTCTCCGGGCTCGCTCTTCCTCTTCCTTCTGGCGCTCAAGCTCGCGCTTCTTTTTGCGTTCTTCATCCTTGATACGCTTTTCCTCTTCCTCGGCCTCCCTTTGCTTGCGCTCCTCTTCGCGCCACACTTTCTCTCGCTCCTCCCGCCGAACGCGAACGTGTGCTTCATAATCAGCATCAGTTTTGTTTCCGAGCTCGAGTTCGCGAGCAGCGACTTCCTCTCCCACATCCTGGCGTCGTATATCACGAACAGACTCGAGGATAAAGTCCAAGTGTTTGGATGCTAGCTGGTCGATAGATTGCTCCACACTTTTGTAGACATCCCCACGGTCGACGGCACCCTCAATCAGTGTGGCAGCTTTTCCCCTCTCACGGGAGAGTAATGCAGGCTCTCGATCGATCTCTGATTCTGCAAGTGCGATCAACTTGTTGGTAAAATCGGCGCGAGGTTCCTGTTCGAATAACATTTAGCATCGGTATATGGAAGCACGCAAAGTGAGCTCGCAGTCGCTGTTTTAGATATCTGCATACCCCATCGTTAAAGTCGGCCCATATCTGCTTGCGCACGCTATCGAAGCCGCCCTTCTTTTTGAACGCATGTAGGAGTCTGTCGATAACAGCATGCTGTGCGGCAGACAGTGGCAGATCGTCGGCCTTGTACTTCTTCTGCTTCACACTCTGGATGTCGACCGGTAGTTTTGCGGTGGACTGGACATCCTCCGTAGCTAGAGGATTATCCATTGTCGCATCAGAAGCCATGATGACACAACTGAACGTGGAACAAGAGAGATTCTGGCTAAGTCGCGCGACTGATAAGCGATAACAGGTGCGACCGGAGAAAACGTTGTTCCGTGATTTGGAACTCCGGCCCGTTGATTTGCTTCAACCTCAGTCTCTCCTGGGCTATTGCGACGGCAACATTCAACCCCGCCTTTATCACTCCAGTCGCTGTGGTGTTGAACTACCTATTCCACCCGTCTATCTCTTCGATTACGATTGTCGGATCCCCACCCACCGGCACTTGAATCACGACCACAACCCCGCGCCCGACCGCAATCATGGTTCACAAAGTGCTCTTCTGGAGCGGCTTCGGTACGTGACATATCTATATTTGTCCTCCAATTCATTCACATAAGCCTGCTACATTAGTAGCATGGCTGATTGATTTATTTCCATGGCCATTGTAGCTAATATGCGTTGATACAAACAGGCATTGCCGTCCGCCTCTGGCAACTCGGTATCGAGATGCGTCCTATCCTCGCCAAGGAGTCCCTCTGGGTCTACCCTCTTTTCGCCGGTGTCGGTGGAAGCTTCGGCTACTGGATGCAGGGAGTTGAGAGCAGGCAATTGAAGATGCTGGCACAGCGCCGCGAGGCCATTCTGGAGAAGCGTCGGAGACGGGATGAGAAGGCTGAGGGTGGTATTCTGGCTGCTTCATCATAAAGCAAACAGCTATGATGATTGAGATGGCCCATTGCGTGCATGCGTTTTTCTATTTTTGTACCAAAATTCAACCGGTTTGATATCAGCATTCGGGTCTCAGCGTCTAGTTGACAATCCTTGCCATGGATGCATCGGCATTCTTATCTCTTTGACAAATTCTTCGAAATTCCACTAGGAATAGAATCTTCAATTGACTATCTTGTTCCTCATCTCAAGGAGTATGAGTTCCGGGGTGCATAGTAAATCGTTCCCAAGGTTAATAGAGGCTCCGGATGTCATCCATGCCTGAGGCGTCATGAGTCAGCGGGGACTCAGGAGTCGGCGCCCGGCGGGTAGGTCCCCCGGGGTCGAGTACATCATCAACTCCGCCCCCCGGAGTCAAGTACCTCTACTACGCTCGTCATTCATTTCTTCTTTTCAGTTCGCTCCGTGTGACTTAGTATTGGGGTTTTGCTGGCTCTCTTTAGGCCTTTCGCTTCTTTTTATCGTCATGCTTACCGTCTGTGTTTAAAAAGAGTCTTATGCCGAGACCCCGTGGCATATAGGGATAATGGATAACCGCGGATCCTTCTTCTTCTTCCTGCTGGTTTTCTACTTTCTCCTTAGCTCTCAGTCTCGACCTCCGTTAATCGATGAAGATCGAGCACGGCAGCGTGAGCTGGACCATGAGCGACAGGTCCTCCGACTTATGAACGGGTCGAAATATGGCGACTTCGACCCGCCCGCTAAACGATGGCTTCCGTTTGAAGGCTTGAGGAGCAACGATAGCTATGCCTGGGATCTTTTTCCGCAGGTCAAAGGCTTGGCCCGTCATCAGTTACAATCAGCTCTCTCAAATGCCGGGTTGAATACTCCAGAAGGTCTAGAAGACCCCGCCTTGTCGCCTATGCTGAATTTGACGAAACTCCTACTTCCGGTATATCGTAACTCGACTGGAATGCTTCGGGGAGACTGGGTTCGGCAAACCGAAGGGACTCATCGCCGTGAACCTTTGAATGTAACGGCGATCGCTGAAGAACACGAATACTTCACCCATGAATTTAGCAACAATATCACTGGTAATGGGGGCACCTTTTACTTCAATCTTGGGGAGGGAGTCGGCGAAGAGCTTCAGATCGGCGACGGACTTGCTCGAGAGATACATGCGAGTTTGACAGTCGACGGCGATGACTTCTGGGGAAGCACCTGGTACCTCTCGTTGTTTGGCATACACTTTCCAGACACCGGAAGTATAGTCTTGACTACTTCTAGTGAGAAATATGGCGGCCTTCTGTCATTGCCACATTTCATGCTATCAGGGGACACTTACGAACTGTCCCATGAGCTTCTTATGAAGTCGCTCTCGGACACCATCTCAGGAAAGCAGAATGAGTCCCCGACACTGTTTCCCTGGTCGTCCTTGGCAGGAAAAGAGCATATGGAATCCCCTGCGCCTCAATGTGAACATATTGTCTACTTGCAGCAACATCCCGTCATGATCGGGGACTCCGTTGCCGACCGCTTGTTGCTGGAACGTATGGAGCAAGAGCTCAGATATCCCATGGGAGCGCCAATTCCAGATCCTCCCCTTATGGTCATGTCCGCCGTTGTCTTTTCCCCAGACTGCGGGTATATACTTCACACAAAAGGGACCCCCGACTTCCCTCCTTCTGATTCACTCTACGTGACTGGGCCCAAGTATGAGGAGTACAGTAAATACGCAGCTCGTCTCATTTTCGTGGTTTCCGGTGTCTTCGTTGCACAGATCTCCCTGCTTTTGCGACAGATCAAAGAAGCTTCGACTCCTTCTACCCGAAGTCGGATCAGCTTCTATACCATCGCATTGATGGCGCTTGGCGATGCATTTGTTCTATCGTTCATTGTTTTAGAGCTGTACATGGCAGTATCCTTCCTGGTTCTGACTACGGCATCATTCCTGGCGGTCTTGTCAGTGTGTTACATTGGAATGAAATTTATGATGGAAATATGGGCAGTGCAAGAACCAGAAAGGCGCGAGCAGGATCGTCCACCCAATACATCGACCCCTACCCCCCGCCCTGAATCTCTACCCTTGCCTGCCACTACTCCGGCAGTGCGAGATTCGGGGGCTACTCCGATTATCCTACCACCTGACCAAGATGCGCCTGACGAAGAGATGGATGAACCGCCTCCACCCACCCGGACCACTCCACCAACTGCAAGGCAAATACGCAGTGACGTGGGAACAATGTATGCACGATTTTATCTTGCCCTGTTCAGCATGCTCATTCTATCGGTCTGGGCTCTGCTTCTGCCAAGACGCCTGGGTTCTATCTACACCCGCTTTTTGGCAGCAGTCTACCTTTCCTTCTGGATCCCGCAGATCTACCGCAACGTGATGCGGAATTGTCGCAAGGCACTTCGATGGGACTTTGTTGCTGGTCAGAGTATTCTCCGGCTCTTCCCGTTCTTGTACTTTCTCACTGCCCGTGGCAATGTCTTGTACATCCGCCCTGACTATACGAGTGCATTCATCATGACTGGATGGGTATGGCTCCAAGCCTGGGTTCTGGTAGGCCAGGACGTGCTTGGACCACGCTTCTTTGTGCCCCGTGGCTGGGCGCCGCACGCATACGATTACCATCCCATGTTGCGCGATTTGTCTGGAACGGACGAGGACCTCGAAGGTGGTGGTGTTTTGTCTATTGCTTCGTTGCGGGGCGACGAGCGAGATCTGGTCAGTGACTCCAAGGATGACGACAAGCAACGGAAGGACCGCAAAAAGGCCGTGTTCGACTGTGCTATTTGCATGCAAGATATCGAGGTGCCAGTTCTTCCAGCGTCCTCCGCTGCAGGAAGTAGCGTCACTGATGGGGCATCAAGTATCTTGAGTCGGCGTTTGTATATGGTTACTCCTTGCCGACATATCTTCCACACTGCCTGTCTGGAAAGCTGGATGAGGCTTCGTCTTCAGTGTCCGATTTGCCGTGATTCCATCCCTCCTGTATAGGGTTCTTGCAATGCTTTCATACATGACTTTATGCTCCTGTACACATACTGCATTACACTGTCGAGTGTCCTGTGATTTAGTTCGAAATACAAATTCGCACAGATAGATCAGTCACCAGATCCCAATGAAGAACGCAGAATTGGACTGTTTGCAGGCTTGGAATAAAAAATGTTGAACAGTATATCAATCCGATCAAGGATTGACGAGTCTAAACGCTTTAGTTGAATAAATCGGTCACCATTGGGCATAAATGATAAATATAACATGACAGTCAAAGAAAAAGGAAAGTCCACCACTTCCAGAGCGAGAAGGCATTTGTACTACCTCTCATTCGCGCCAGTCTACACACCATATATCTAAGCATCAATGGTCTCCTTGTAGGCAGCCTCGTCGAGGAGCTGCTCGAGCTCAGCAACATCGGCAACCTCAATCTCAGCAATCCAGCCCTCACCCTCGGGGCTCTCGTTGATGGTCTTAGCCTTATCCTCGAGAACGGCGTTACCGCGGATGATCTTGCCAGCGACAGGCGAGAGGACATCGGAAGCGGACTTGACGGACTCGACAGCTCCAACAGGCTCTCCAGCAGAGACCTCAAGGTCTTCCTCGGGGAGCTCGACGTAGACAACATCACCCAGAGAGTGGGCAGCGTAATCGGTGATGCCGATCTTGGCTGGTTCAGGGAATATACGTCAGTTCAGGGCACTACTTTGCTAAGCACCGTAACATGTCCGGCACGTCGGTCCAACAGGTCGACGGCGGGTTTATAGCAATGCTTCGGAGTAATGATGCACTAACCGGTCTTTCCACCTTCGGCCAACTCAATCCATTCGTGTGACTCGGTGTACTTCTTCAGCTGGGCTAGAATTGTATGCGCCGTCAGTAAATTGTGACATCATAGAGCTCCGGGGAGCATGGTTGAGACAACGTGAAGCTTCAATTGCTGTCGCAATGACTTCGAAAGCACTATGCGCAGCATTGAAGAGCATTTGGGGGTTTCATGACACTCACAGAGGGGGCTCTGGGAGAAGCTCCTTGTTCCCCGCGGGAAACGGAAAGCAGGTGTAGCCTTGCAGACGGGAGCAATAGGCTTCTGGGCGAGGACCCGGGAAGCGAGGGGGCGGATAGCGCGAGCGACGGAGGACATTTTGGAGGTATGTATGGGAGGAATTGGGGATGGGAAGTGGAATGGGGGGAGTGGAGAGGTTTAAGTAGAAGGGAAAGAAAGGTGATGCGCTTCTCCGGCGGGATTTCGTCGACGCATTTCCCCGATAACGAAATGCCAAGATTGCGATAAGAAGGACGCTAACCTCGTCGGATTTTGCTGGCTTCACTTTGATCACGTTTCTGTCTTTACGCGCCCACCCCCCCCTCGATGCCATGTTGTATGAGCTGATTGCCATTGTATGTATTCTGTTGGATTGAACCTAATGGTTCTCGAAAAATATCTCTGAAATTTGCTAACGCGCTCGACTGACAGGTCCGCCCGGGCAGCCTCAACGAGGTGCGAGAGTACGTCTGAATCGATACCATCGCCACGGTCTCTATCGTCCGGATCTGTCGAGTGCTAATATATCTCTCTGCTTCAGAATCGCCCGTAACGCCGGTACCCAGGTCATCCGCTCCGGCGGCGTCGTCCGCGGCTTCACCAACTGGGGCGCTTTCCGTCTACCCAAGGTCACCACGAAACATCAAGCCCGATACAGCGAGGGTCACCATTTCATCATGCGCTTTGATTCTTCCGGCTCTGTTCAGTCGTCTATTCGCCGTACTCTTGGACTCGATCCCCGTATGATCAATTTCGCTGTGATCAAACTCGGTGACAAACTCGAGGAGATCAAGGATATCGATGGCAAAGTCCAGTGGAACAACGTTTCCACCATTGCCGATCAGATCAAATCTTCATCAGTGAGGGAATAGATGGAGATTTGATCAGTCGGAATCGAATTTAGGAGCTTGGATTTGCATTTCAGCATTTTTCTCTTTTTTTTTCTTTTGTTTGTATTATTATGGCACGGGCATTGGGAACTGCCACTCGAACATGCCAGCAAAATCGGCGCATGAATGTACAAATACCAGTTTGTTCTACAAGTTTGTCTTAGGGTTACTACAATTCGCGTGCTCTTCAGGGTTCATTCCTTGGTCTCATAGGATGGACGGTAGGGGCGAGTACGTGTCGTGTACTGTGTACTCACTACACCTACTCCCTCTCATAAGGAAGAGTTATACACAGTATATGCAACTTGATCTGCTCGGGCATATCGCTCTATTACAGCATTCGAACACCTCCGGCCAATGTATGTATAAGATAGGGCACTTAGAGATAGGAATGCACCGGAACGTATCTCTTTCGCCCGCCCATTGTCGAATGCTGAACTCCTTCGACATCCTCCCGCTAGATCCATGGATGAGAATATCCACGCAGAAGGATTCCACCGACGATATGGTCATTGAACACATTCTATATAGCCCAGTGCCCTAGTCACGGGTGAGCTCCAACAAGCCGAGGTACCGACCGGCCCCGTCTTAGTCCGGGGTACCCCGATCACCAATACTTCTGATCCATTGCAGTCAAACTCACTCTACACACAGTTCAGTCTTTACAGGTTCAAGTTTCGTGTTAGAAGAGCTTCCGCGCAAAGGCCGTGGCGTCGAAACCCCCACTTCGACCTGTCAACCACATTTGCGGGGGGAGGTCATCCACAACACAAGCCACCCAAACACGCGCAAAGTCAGGAACCTACCTTGCAAAGCCTTTAGCCTGTATACTCAAGCAAGAAAGGAAACAGCCAATCTCCCGCTCTTCTGCACCATGGCCTCACATCGCGAAGTCGTAATAAACGATGACGAGCCGACATCCCCACGAGCATTCATTGAGCTGATGGCCCTGGAGAGACTCGAAGACACCACACTCTCGCACCCAGACACACCAGAGCCAGAAAAAATCCAGCGCTTCCGCTCACTAGCAAAACCATACAACCCGGGCCACGGATCGCGCGCATTCGGCGGACATGTCTACGCGCAATCCGCATACGCAGCGTCCAAGACCGTCGCCAAAGGCTTCGTAATCCACGTACGATTACCCCCACCTCCACCCAAGTGGAAATCGCTGACACAAAGCAGGACATGACAGGCTCATTCATCCGAGGCGGAAAACCTTACACGCCATACGTGTACACAGTGCGACACATCCGCGACGGATTCATGTACAGCACGCGGTCCGTCGACGCGCGACAAGCAGGCAAGATCTGCTTCTCATGCATCTGCTCCTTCAAGCGCGACGAGAAGCAGCGTCTCTTCGAGCACCAGCCTGCATCAGCGCAGAAACGCTTCGCCTCGATTCTCTCCGCAAGACGACCGGAAGAGCAGCCCGTCAGTCCGAGCGTGGATGCGGAATGGTGGATTGAGAATATCCGTCAGGGGAATATCCCCGAACACACCTTCCCCGGTCTGGATGTGCGGAAGACCGATATGATGGGTTATAATAGCACGCAGGACGTTAAGAGTCATCCGGAGAAATATCGCCAGCTGACGCAGTACCGGCTTCTTGGGTCGCCGGATGAGGACCCTAAGGCGACGTTGGAGCAGATTCGGGAGAGGGAGGAGGCGGGGGAATATGATAATTTGTATGCGTGTGCGCATATGTATTCCAGTGATAAGAATTCGCTGCTTTTGATCCCGCGGGCGTTGGGGATCGGTCATTGGTCTGATATGGCGAGTCTTACGCTTACGGTTGTTGTTCATCATCATGCTGAGGCTTTGCGGATGATTGACTGGGAGAGTGTTCGTGATGGTGGTGTTGGGGTCGATGGGGATCTGCCTATGAAGTGGTTTGTCCAAGAGGGTTGGACTCCGAGGGCTGCGGAGAATCGGGCGATGCATGAGAGTTATCTTTGGAGTCCTGATGGGACTTTGTTGGGGACTTCCTTCCAGGATAGTATGTTCCGGTTGAAGAAGGCGAAGTTGTGATATAGAGGTTCCTTGTATATAATTCATAGACTTGATGTTCTTACAACAAGAAGCTATTCGCACTTCCAACGCACTTCCAACGCACTTCCAACGCACTTCCAACGCACTTCCAACGCACTTCCAATGGATGATAGATAAGAAAATATGCAATTAGGAAGAAATTGGTCATACAGCGCTCATAAGAGCAAGGGTATTATAATACAACGCTAAAACAAAACATCAATCAAATGTCCTCCCCGGATATATTCGCATGCTTGAAATACTTCATCCCAATCCAAGCAACAACAACCCAAACCCAAGACATAACAGCCGTGAGAATGATAAGCGCCGGATAATACCCAACAATCGGCAAGGTCGGATCATCCTCCAGCTCAGGCGGAGCATAAGGCGTCTCCCCAACATCCCAAGCCCAACTCCAGACCCCAAAGCAGCTCCCAATCCCCACAACAAACACCAGCCACGTCACAATCAGTATAATCCACCCCCACCACTCCGTCTCTGAGTAATCCACGTCCACCTCGGGACTACTTTTCATCTCAACCGGATGTGTGACCAGCGGGGAGGACTTGTGTCGGTGGACGGGGATATACGCCGGCTCGGGCTGCGCCTGCAGCGGGTAGAAGGATGAGCCTGTGCCGGCAGCTGTGGAATTGGACCCCGAGCGGAGACGCGGAAAAGAAACGAGGTCTTCATCGTCGGTGGCTGGGTCTTGGGTGCGGAGGTTGTGCTGTGCGACGCCCTGACGGCGGCGGTTAATTGAGGGTCGGGTGGATTTCTGGGTTGTCGCATGGAACCACGTCGGTTGTTGTTCGAGGCCGCTGTTGTCGTAGAATGTATCGGACTCGCGCGTTGGATGTTGCGTAGGTCCATCATCGGAGGCATTATCGGAGGGAGGGTGATATTCGGATTCGACAGAGTCATGTAGGTTTGCAGCGGGGAGTCGGGGCTCTGCGCGGAGAGCTTCGAGAGCTTCGGCCGCTTTGACCGTGGCTCTCTTGTCGCGGGACTCGAGTCTGGTACCTAGTAATGCGGTTTTGCGGAGAGAGCCGCGGCGACGCCGGGTTCGGTGCTGTGCAATGGCAGCTGACATCGCTCGACTGCTGGTTGTTCCCCCTTTGCTTGTGCTGTGCGGAATGCGAGCATGTTGGTCTCGGTCTTCGTCGTCGTGCGCCATCTCTGGACGGTGTCGGTCGGCGTGTGCTGCTTGATTTAGGCGGAGGAAAGAAAGTCTCGAGAGGAGGGAGCCGGAAAGGCTTCGTTGGTGGCCGCTGCTTCCGCTGCCGGATCGCGCGCGAGGTGTCAGTTCATGGTCTGCGAAGTCCGCGGTCCTCTCGTTATCGTCCATTGGCGCGAGTGGAACCGGAAGTGGGACACCAGGCGGGTCGATCCACTTGCTGTAGTGACTCTCGTAGGCTGTGGCAGTGTGTATCTGTGATCTTTAAGGGATGAGTTTGTTCACATTGTAAAAAGTATACTTTTGTATGGGGAGAAGTGGCCGTAAATGACCTAGTGTGTTGTGGCCTGCAACATAAGGCATCAACAATTCAGCCACTGCTTCAAAAACACAACAGTTGAGGCAGCTGCAGAGTTGGATTACCTCTTGATTTGGTGAAACGAGAAGCGTACATGGAGTACAATGGAAGTAAATAAGGTCGACCTCAGGTCCATGGATGGAGGAATAACTCATCGGAACCCCTATAGACTGCGAGGATATATGATTACTGGGTACAAGCCTTCATAGAATCATACCTATGCGACAGTCTCTTTTGTACATCATGCACCATACATATGGAAAGACAACGAATATGAGAAAGGTCATTTATGACCGAGTCCGACGAAATAGAAACCACACAAGGCAGCAAGAATGGAAATTGGAATCTAGGCTAGAACGCCAGCAGGGTAAATACTCGAAAGAGAGTGCACGCTTTGGGAAAAGTCATCACAGCATATACGGATACTCGTGGGACACTGCCCATGACCAAGTCAACCGAGAAACCCACGGCAAATCCATGAAAACGCATCTTGTCGCTGGAAATGAGTATCAAACAAGGTATAACAAAGCCTAAGAAGACAAGAAGCAAGATCGATACAACATGTGTACTCGAGGAATCACACAACTAGCAAGAGAAGAGAGATAAACAAGATGCCAAAAGCCCGTATATGGAGCAGGCGAAGAGTAGGGAGGTCGCTTTTATTTGGGGCGTGAAAGAGCAAAAGTCCAAGGAACCCTTGATTGCAAGGCACGCTTAGAAAGGGGAAGAAAATGAAAGCAATGAAGCTAGAAGCCAAAAATAACTAACCGAATCAACACAGTGGACTTGGGGTATGGGTGCGCAACACACAAATTCCATTTCAGACAAAAGCAACTGCTCGCTTGAAAATCCACTCAATCGGAATCAAAGAAAGAAAATATCAACGGTGGTGGGGAATTGTAGACGGTGCTATAGAAAGAAACACAGAAGGAATGTGAATATAACTTGAGTCGGCAGACAAGAAGCCGGCAATGTCGTGGCACCAAACCGACCAGGGACTGTCACGAGGAACTGAGCTACGCCTGGTAGCCTCCATTGAAGTTGGACTGGTCCCAGTTGCCAGCAGGGGACATGGGCTGGCCACGGCCGTAGCCGCCGCCATTACCTGCCTGGGCGTAGCCCTGGCCAGCCATGGCAGGTCCATTGAAGTTATTAGCTTGTTGATCCCAGCCTCGACCAGCAGGGGCAGGACCTATTAGATCAATAAGCGAATGAACAGAGGGAGGGATAGTCATCAATGCTAGACATACCTTGGTTCATGGGGTTCGCGGGACCACCATACTGAGGGGAAGAAACCAGCAGGGCTGGCGTTGAAGGGGGCTGCATTGGCCTGGGGAGTGAAGGCGTCGAATTGGCCAGTTGGAGGGCGATCCTTACCCCACTGTTGACGTTAGTTGATGTTGTGAAAACCAGGAATGCCAAAAAAGATCTAGCAACGACTTACGCTACACTTCAGAGGACGACCGTTGACATTGTACCCATTCAATTGGCAGATCGCGGAAGCAGCATTTTCATGAGTGTCCATCTTCACAAATGCAAAACCACGATCGGCCTGGAGGCGAGTCTCAAGGACATAACCAAAGTTCTGGAACAGGGGAACCAAGTCATTCTGAGTGGTGTAAGGAGTGAGATTGCCCACGTAGCAAGTAGTCTGCCACTGAGGGGTCTGCTGGGCGACCATATCATAGCTCTGAAGGCCGTGGGTAGGGAAGTGGTGGTGACCGAAAGGAGTGGTAGGCGTCATACCCATGGCAACCAGGGCCTGCTGCTGTGAGATCGAAGGCTGACCCTTCTGGTTCGCCCAGTTGCAGCGGATCGCACGAGAGCCGAGCCATTCACCATCCATTGCGTTCAGCGCCTTGTCGGCCTCTGCGCGGTCACGGAAGGCAACAAAGCCGTATCCGCGGGAGCGGCCAGTCTTCATATCCCACATCACACGTGCTTCGGAAACAGAACCGAAGGCAGAGAATGCCTGGGTTAGCACCTCGTCATTGACTTCGTTGCTCAAATCGCCGACGAAGATATGGAAGTGGTTAGAAGTATCCTCCTTGTTGGTGCTGTTGGACTGGTAGGCCCAGTTGACACGAATTTCCTAGGCTAATTAGATACAGTCGCCATATGAAGAAACGCAAGGAGCCCTACCGATTGGTGGATTCTGCGGCCATTTAGAGTCTGCATGGCTCTCTCAGCCGCACCTGGGTCATCAAACTCGACAAATCCGTAGTTGTGTCCCTTGGTGGTGAATTGACCCTGGGTTGTGACGACTTGTCAGTCATGGACATTCAATCTAGACTGATAGCCTCCTCTAAACCCTAAGTCGGGGTAGGACGCCATAGCGGGTTTAGAGTTCACTACCAACGACCCAAGGGGAGGCTTATACACATGCAAGGGGTGCCTGTCAGGGGAACTCACATTCTTGTCGGGAATGATCTTCACGCTGACCACGTGGCCGGTTGTTTCGAAAATTTGCTTGAGGATGTCCTCAGTGACCCTCGGATCCAGTCCACCCACGTACAGTGCTCTCTTGTTAGGCTCGGGAGCCGCTCGGCGGACGAACCCACCAGCACTTGTAGGGGACATCATGGCGACGCCGGACATAGGAGAGCCCACGGCGGTGGGGATTGGGTTGGTATTCTGGGGAATAATCACGGGAGGGCGCGGGGGCGGCGGCATGTGGGACTGGCCCTGGCCGTTGCCTTGAGAAGCATCGTACTGTTGGTTTTGGTTTCCGACCGCGGGCTGTGGCGCGGAAGGGAGGGACGACGGAGTCGAGACTGGAGCGTTTTCAGCCATTATAATTGTTCGGGAGGATAACGATATAGCCGTAAGGGGATCAGTGGAAGCGATTGATGCGGACGTCGAAGAGGTTAAGTATCAGACTGGAGAAGTCCAGTAGTGTTGAGAAATCTGTCAAATTCGGAATTTGAGACAATGTTGGGCGTCGCTTGAAGGCCACAACGACAAATAAGACGGTATAATATACGTATAAAAGGGCGCGGGGCGAGATGGGAAGAAGTCCAATAAACAAGACCCTAAAGTGTTGGAAACAAAGAGTAGGTGTAAACAGTGCTGATAACACGAGACACCGAAAGGGAACCGGATGGTTTTTCGATCGAGCTGTTTCCGATGGGCTAGCTAGACAGATGTTTCTGTAACTTGATAAAGCTGATGTCGGAGATGGCGATACAAAGCGCTTGCGAAGTTGCGAGGTTGGGGAATAGCCAACAAAAGCTTTAAAAGCTCAAAGAAAACCAAAGCATGCAAGTCCCTAGGGGACGGGAAACCCAAACAGGAAAAGGAAAAAGAAAAAGAAAAAGGGAAAGGAAACGAGAAACAAGTTGAGGATAGGAAAAAAAGAAAGAAGCAACAGAACAGCAAAGTAAAGGGAGGAAGAAGTTAAAGCGCTAGAGAGGTGGGGGGAAGACACCTTACCCCAAAGGGTTTAGCCACTTCGCTCGCTACTTCGCGCGTGTACAACATTCAATCTTGCAAAGTACCACCACTTCTGTCTCAGCTGCCCCCCAATAGCTTGTTTCGTATTTTCTATGTCTGGAAATCATTTGGAAGCTCATTACTCTTTGAGTCCTCATTCTCCATCATGGCTAGCTATTCAAGCTATTCGAACCCGGAGTCGCTCACCGAGCTCTCAACCATAATAGAGCGGACAGTAAGCGCTGACCCTAGAACATACGATCTCTTGGCGTCTCTAACAGCTTCTAGCTCATTGATACGGGTCGTTTGTTCCGGAAATCTGGCTCGATGCCATCGAGAACTCACCTGCAGCGATCCCTTCCTTTGTATCATGACAGTTTCCAAAATGCCCTGGATAACCTATCAGAGCAAATTGTGAGTGTCTACCCTGCAACGGCATCTCAACTCGGCTTTAATCTTTACTTTTTATCCGTTTTTTCGTTTCACTTTGCTCATCATTCTGACGGTTTACAGTTCATTGCAAAAGCCTTCCTAGAAAGGGATTATGAGGCTCTTAAGGCTACTAGCGCCACACCGCAGCCCGTCAAAGATGCGGAAATGAGCGGTGTGAGCCATCCGGTCAAACTAGAAAACCAGCCGACCCCGGCGGAACCTGTCCAGATGGACACAGAGCTGGACCCCGTGCCGAAATCGGAAGAGGCTGTGCCTGCGAGTCTACCAACTCCCACACAGGTCAAACCCGAAGCTAAATCGGGTGAGGATGTAGAAGTCAAAAACGTATCCAACAACAATGCTGCCCCCGATCAGTCATTCCCGGGGACTCATGAAGATCTCACATTTGATTCAGTCCTCAACGACGCTGGCGGAACAAATGACTTTGGCCTCAGTTTGGACTTCAACGACGATGATATGGGCAATCAAGCTTTCCTATCAGGGTCGAATTTTACCGCTGCTGGCACTTCTGGAGGTGCCGACAAGCCGAACACGGCCCAGCCGACGACAAACACGGCGGTTCCTGCTGGGGGTGATGCATTCGACATGGAGTTAGGAAAGGCAGAAGGGGATGATGGGACTTTCCCGGGACAGAGTACCCAGGGGGAAGACTTTATGGGCCCTGCCGAATCCAATTTCGACGACTTATTCATGGATACTGATAATTTTGGGGAGAATGGCGGGGACTTCAATCAGCTGGAGGGAGATACCTTGATGAACGTGAACGAGCTGGATGATAATTGGTTCAACTGATAAAAAATGGAGGAAAGCGACTCAGATTCGCAGCAATACACATCTTGAAGTCCAAATAAAGGCCCTCCCCAGTGGAGAACCCGCAGGGAAATCTTATCCTTTGATCTGCATGTGTTCGCATTCGGCACTAGCGTCTAGGCATAGATCTCTCTGCCCACAAGTGGATATGACATAGGGTCAGATCAGATTGACTAAAGCATAGATCTCGGTCTTAGATGGAACTTCATCTTTTGTTGCTCCAGCTCAAGGCTCTTGACTGGGTATGTGTTATGGAACAGGATGAGACCCAGTATGCAGTAGCATCCCTTCTAAGTAGTAAGCGCTCTCTGAATCAGCATAAAAAATTGATTCAACGGTCTAAACTTGGTGGAAGATCAATGTTTGGAACTTTGAAACAGCCTCGGCTGAAGTCTGATACTCCGCGAAGCTTAGAAGCACTCTGAAGCCGATCCACGGTAAGACAACATGCGACCAAGGCTCCACTTGACAAATTTCACCGAGCACAGCCCTTCCAGTGGTGACATACAGACCTCATTATGCAAATTTTTTTACCCACTCGATATGCATAACTATCTTAAGCCTCAAAAGGTGGTACCAGCACGAAGAACACTACGCACGTAGTTTACACAGTGTGAAGGAATCGCAGTGACGTAGCTAGATCGGCGTAGCTCGTGGAGAAATCAGGGCAACAAAGTTACGCTCAGGGCGATCTCCCCGGAAAGGAAATAAGTGTCAGTACGGGGGATTGCTCTTTCCGAGATTAGCTCTAGCCTCAGCCTCTGCCCTATGATACGCTGTGGAGCTGGAGAAAGAACGACGGAGTCTGGCCAGAAAGTGGCTGATTAATGAGGTCATTGCCATTTGCACGGACCCGCTTTCCTTACTCCGTACAGTCTCTCACTGACAGTGAAGAGGAAAGATGCAGGGTTGCACATGTTAACCTGTCGTCATGCCAATAGTATTGAATAGTTTGACGTGTCTATAGCATTAGATTGATGTTCATATGATGGTGACGGCCCTCCTCGCCGGGGTCTCCCTTCCGACCATGTACAGATCCCTCTCCTAGTACTCCGTACCTTAGGCAGATTCCCGAGACGAGGCATCCTGATCCATTGCAATGTGATATGAGATTTGGAGTAGAATCGTTGTAGGAAGAATTTACGGTCAAGGTCTGGAGGTAGCGGCAGTTACCAGAAAACATAGTTGCAGCACGAGACTCTAGTGAGACTGCGAAATGGTCGATGTAGAGGAGTGCGTAACACTTGACCCTCACATGAGATGCCTTGATCCCCGCAGGGCGCAGGCTAACTTAGGTAAGACTTAGTCTAGTTCTAGATCGGGGAATCCGCACGACTACTACGTACCCGTAAATTGGGGTGTTGTAGAATGCCGCGAAGCCGTGAAGCCGTGAAGCCGTGGGAGTCGATGAGTAGATATAAAGGGGGGGCCGTGAGATCCGAGGCTTTTACTCACTTTTACGCAGGAGATAATTGTATATGGAATTTTTCTCCACTGGCAATGCCGAAGTAACCCGGTTGACCGGTGGAAGAAATAAAAAAAAAAAGATGAGGCGGGATCGCCGGATATGAATCCCTCAGGTCTCGGAGGCGTTTCCACTGTCAACTTATCATCGAAGTTGGAGTTCTAAGAACAAAACTTTTCACTTTTTGGGTTTTTCTGGCACAATTTCCCGTGGATCCGAATTCCTAGATCTGGTGATTTATACTTAGGCTTCAAATCACCTCGTATATACCTCCGTATCCTCCTCAATCTCAAATCATCAACGCCACATTACGCTCTGCCAGCGAAGAGTCTACAATATACAGATCAAGGAAAAGAAAAAAAAAAGAAAAAGAAGGAACCACATTTCCGTTCTAATTCAACCAATCCCATATTCAGAACCGAAGATCTGCAACGATGATCCGAGTGGAGGACTTATGAAGTCAGCATCCCCAAGAATTCCATTCTCCTACATATCAGTACTCCCTTGCGTGGATTCAAGGGATCAGAAACACTGAGTCTCACAAGATCTACGATCTTAGGTATGTTAAGAGCCTGTGCTACTCGTCCTACTCGTCCCCTTGTCCCGTTTTTGTCTTCCCATTTGAGTGGTTGTATTGTTGCCCAATCTGGAGAAAGAAGAGACAGAGAGCCGTTGGACAGACACAATTGGGAGACAATACAATATGCGAGATCAGAACAAACAGAATCTATTGCCATGATGGGAGCTAACGTCCTCCCTCTTCCGGCGCAGTTATCCTCGCGGTCGCCCTCTAGTAACCCCGCCCCGCACTCCGAGTTCACTGGACCTCAATCGCTGGGCACATCGATTTCCAATCTTATCACGCGAGCAGCTCGTCGCCAGCCTGTGTGTATAGAGAATCCCCAACCAGAGCAATTCCCGACCAGACGGCGGAACTCGATCTTAGGAAAGCTGGCGGGTCCACGTGAAAACGCGAAGCGATTCCTTCGACTGCGGTCGTCCGGAGTCCAGGCGCCTTTGAAACGTCCATTGCAACCTCCAGCGACGCGTAGTGTCCGGCCAGTTTCGGAAATAATTCTGTCGCCGACTGCGCCGACTGCGCTGACATCGGTACACTTGGAGGAAGAGATGCGATCGGAATCCTCATCTACCGAGGTGCTGGCTCATCCAGTACATGAGCACCTCCTTCCATCACCCGAAGCGACCATCCCCTTTGCTCCGTTGCGCAATGAGAAAATCATAGCAACTGGGAGTGGCATTTCTGTCGGCATTGCCCTCACAGAACCGGTTCTTTTCTTGCAGGGCTACGATCACCAGGACCCGAGCAGTAAGAAGTCAGCCATTCTGCGGGGACAAATACATCTGAAAGTCACAAAATGTGTCAAGATCAAGAAGATCTCGGTCTGTTTCCGCGGCCATGCCCAGACCGACTGGCCTGATGGTATGACAATATGCCCTCATAGGACTACCCTCCCAACATCAGCTGATATCCTCCAGGAATTCCACCAAAAAAGATTCATTTCCATGACAAAAAGGATTTATTCACCCATGGTGTAGTATACTTTAATCACGGGGATACCGCGCTCATGCAGAATGACTACGGCGCCCATTATTACCAGCATGCGAAACCCATATCATCCGTCCCAGGCAAAGAAGGGGTCACGATGACCACCCGAGAACTTTTTTCGAATCGCAATTTCGCTACACTCGCCCCGCCCACCAGTCGAGAAACCAAGCGCCTATCTCTGCAAACCAATCGTGGCCATTCGCGCAGCTTCAGCAAGAATGAACCCCCGACCACCCAACCCCAGCCCCAACGCAACTACCGCATGTTTCCCGTTGGCGATTATCTATATAGTTTCGAGTTCCCGATCGATGGCTCCTTGCCAGAGACAATCAAGACCGATCTGGGGTCTGTGAAGTATGACCTGGAAGCAATGGTCGAACGAGCAGGCGCATTTCGTCCCAACCTTCTCGGCACTTTGGAGATACCCGTTATTCGTACCCCGGCCGAGGGCTCACTAGAACAAGTCGAGCCGATCGCCATTTCACGCAATTGGGAGGACCAGCTTCATTATGATATCGTCATCTCGGGGAAGTCATTCCCCCTGGGCTCGCAGATCCCAATCGCATTCAAGTTGACACCACTCGCGAAGGTGGAGTGCCACCGAATCAAAGTCTATGTGACGGAGAACATTCAGCATTGGACGGCCGACAAGAGCGTGCACAGATTGCAACCAGCGAAAAAGGTGTTGCTATTCGAGAAACGGGCCGATTCTAACAGCGTAAGCACATATCCTGGTAGCTCCATGCGTGTCACCGCAGGCGGAGGGATTGACTGGGACCACCGCGCTGCCGCCGCAAGAGGGGAGGAAATTGTCGACCGCACTCGCACAAATCTACTTGGCAACCTGTCGAATGATTCTGGTGTCGGTCCAACTGAGATGGAGTTCAATGTGCAGCTGCCGAGTTGCCACGAGATGAAGGGTCGGGATGAGGGTCAGCGGCTACACTTCGACACCACATATGAAAATATCCAGATCAACCACTGGATTAAAGTATGTCATACACCCTTGTCCTTCGTGTCATGCATATACTAACCGAATTCCGCAGATCGTTCTCCGTCTATCCAAGGTCGATGAACGAGATACCACAAAACGAAGACACTTTGAAATCTCCATCGACTCGCCATTCCACATCTTATCCTGCAAGGCCACTCAGGCCAACATCTATCTCCCAGCCTACACCACCCCCGCCGAAGAACCAGTACCGCCCGCCCAAGAATTCGAATGCGGATGCCCAGGCGCACCCCTCGCGCCCCGAGACCAAGCCATTGCCTTGGCGTCAGGCGATCGCGAAGACAGCAATCCCGCCCTTACGAGTTCAGGTCGGCGCGGCTCAACTGGCCACGCTTTCTCGCGCAGCTTCACCAACGGCTCTGGCGGCCTCGCCCGGCCTCCACAAGCGCACCTCGCAACCCCACCGGACGAGCGCAACCCCACCCCGCCTCGCCCCATGCATCTTCTCCGCGCACCCTCATACGCCCCTCCTGCCTTCGAGGACGTCCCCCCGCGCCGCCTCTGGTCACACCGCCCCCAGAGTACGACACCATCGTCGGGGAAGACCGCGAGGCCGTTCTTGAGGATTATTTCTCCCGTTTATCATTCTATGAAGAAAATGAGGACGACATCCGTGGTAGCGGCCGCGTGGATGTACCCTTAACTCCGGGTGGGCGCATAAATCGCAGTATGGATGTGCCTCGGGAGTGGGTGCGAATCGAAGACTATTTCCAGTGAGACCGATTATGTTCGGGTCCTGCATATTGGAATCTGCTATGATGTCTGATGTCTGATTGATGAATTTACGCAACTGTTCATATCGGAATTGGTGTCGGGGGACATGTTTTTCAGCGATGCTAGATTTTGAATCTGAGCTCGGGTCTTCTTGTTTTTCTCCGTGGGGAGTCATATTTGGATTGGGATTTCATTCTGCTTACCAGCACTTTGATTGTGATCGTTTGCAAAGGACTGACCGTTGTGTACTTTTTCATTTGGTGTTGATACTTCATTTCCTGCGTTGATGGGGACAAAAGGCGGAATAGGCCATCTAGTCAGATAATGTACATCGATGCATGTCGTAGCATTGCACTATGATCACCGGCTTTGAGAGGTTCCTCAGTAGCGTGATCCATGTCCTTAGTGTCGTATGTATCAATGAAGATCTGATCAGCCTGCACCTGCAGTCTACTGCGTATGGATGCCCAGATAAGGATCGATGTGTCAGCGATAAGCAGCGCATCGAACTGCCTGAAACGCCTTAGCTCTTCCCCACACTTGTCTTAGACTCCAACTGCTTTCTCTCCCTCTTGTTCTCCTCTTCCTTTCGTGGCGTCTTTGAAGCATCTGCAGTACCTTGCCCAACTTGCCAAGGCCTGTCAAGTTACAGCCCTACTCCCAGTCGATTCTGCAGCTTCCTCTAGCGTACCTCGGCACCATCACACGAGCTACGCTGATTGGTCTAGATATTTCCTATTATTTCAGGTGAGTGAACCCATAATGCCATTTTCTAGAAGTCCTGGGTGATTAGCCCATGTCCGACATAAGGAATGAATTCTGACTATATCAGTGAATATATTCGTGCACAACTTCGGGAACAGCTTTCTCAAACACTCCAACATCGCGGGGCGTAACACGGCTTCCCGTGTCTGCATTCGAACCTCCCTGCATCTGGATCCTGGAGCATCATCTTTCATAAAGCCTACCTATCCTACGAAAGCTCCCACCATGGCCATCCAAGTCGTACCTCTCACCGAGGCAGATATTCCCGGTGCTATCGAGGTAATCCAGCAAGCATTTGCAGACGATCCCTATTTCAAATGGGTCTTTGATGCGTCCAAGGTATGTCAAACGATACCTCCCTAGAAAAACAGCGAAAAAGAAAAAGAAAGAACCCACCGAGATACCATTTTACAACAAATCTAACATACATCTCCCTCGTAACGCGGTCTACCAGACTGGCAGTTACGTCTCCGGAGAACTAAATTCCGCATAGTTCAACAAGCAAAGAAACTCCGATTCACTCACAGCACGCTGCAACTGGGGCATCAAGAATGCTCTCTTCCACGTCGCAAAAGAAACCCAAGACCCAGATACACAATCCCAAACCCCCACGCCAATCCTTGGCGTATCCTGCTGGCTAGCGCCACATCCACCCACGCAACCAGAAAGCTGGTACTCCTGGTTCCAGTCGTGGACACTATCATTCAACCAGCTGCTCAACAACATTCGATACCTCGGACGCGGGGGGCTGCGCACAAACCGGTACTGGATTTGGAAACAGCGACAGGCTGAAGCGCAGGCTGCTATTTGGGATGATCCGCGCGGATACTATTTCTGTAATATTGTTGCTGTTAGCCCGGAGGCGCAGGGTAAGGGGGTTGGGAGGTTGTTGTTTGAGGCTGTTACGAAGAGGGCCGATGAGGAGGGTGTTAAGTGTTATCTGGAGAGCTCGAAGAGTGTGCCTAATGTTGCCATCTATGAGAAGATGGGCTTCCATATGAGCAAGGAGATGGAGTGTCGGGATGGGGCAGATGCTTGCATGGTATGTGTTGTGGTCTCGGGATTGGAATGATTGTTTGGGCGCGTTGCTAACTTTTGCTGTTAGTTGTATTGCATGGTCCGTGACCCCAGGTCGGAGTGATTTCTGTTTGTTCCAGGGCTGTTTGCTTCGGTTTTATGGCTGGTTCCATTGAATGTACGAGGTTACCTTACTCTGCTCGTGGCTTAGGCAGGTTACGAGTATGTATGATAAACATAAATTGGACTGCGATGAATACCTTAGGCTCGGGTTCCTTTCTCTCGTGGTTCTAGATGTGAATTGGGTCTGGAGGTTATGGACCGCAAGGCTGGGAGCCTGATGTACTGTACATAGAAAGTACCCCGGCCGTAGTCATTAGTTCCATCCAAGGGTATAGCAGGGAAACCTTATTGCCCGCGCAGCTATCCATGCCCATCCCTTCATAGTTCATACTAAGCACCGCTGCCCGTTGATGCTTAGTCTTTTAAGCGTTCCTGGGCAGCTTGGCGTGGCTGTGGCGGAGCCTTGCATATCGGGGCGGAATGAGATTGGACTTACCCGGTCTGATCGGTCCACGGGCAGTACATAGAGATCTTGATGAAGATGAGCAAATTGATAACATTCTGTACAATATATAGACAAGACTAGGTATGAATTCACATGGATATCTCATAAACACCGATAAACCTCGCCAAACCCTTATGGCTTAGGCCATCCATCAATATTCCCAAACCACCGCGACCGGTAGATTTCATCACCAATATTGATCTTCCGCCGTTTGCCATTTTCAACCAGACTGGTATGGAAACCACGGAACTTAGTCCACAAGGACTGCACGTAGATGAAACTGCCATCGGGAGCAAGATTGAAACTCTTCAAATCCGACTGCGGCAGCTCCTCATACTCCCCGGCTTTATTATAACCATGACGATCATCGGTCGTACACTCGAATCCTTTCATGTATTTCTCCGTGACGTTTTCATAGTGCTCCGTGAACGTGCCAGTTTCGATATCGAACGCATGAAGCCCGCGATCTTCAGACACCAGGAACTTCCGTTCATTAGGGACAGGTACCAGGTCATGCAACCCAGCCCACCAGGGATATCCGGCACCCCATTCGGTGAAAATATCGTAGTATTCGTCCAGTTTATAGATGTAGCGATCATCCTTCTGCAGCAGACCCGTATCGTTATTCCAAGGATATCCAATAATCGTCCCGTATGCAGGGACCGGGTCGGTACCATCCGCGGCGGCATCCGTTCCAGCTGCCCACAGCATCTGGCCCTGTTCGTCCCAGATCAAGCCGTGGATAGCGCGCAGGCCGGTGATGTTTTGCAAAATTGGCGGATTGGCCATGAGAGGGTTGGCGGCGCTGGCATTGTAGACAAGGATACCGTCCCAGGGGTGTTGGCGGGTTGTGCCGACGGCGAGACGATCGCCGGGCAAGGGTTCGAGGGTGTGCGCGTTCCAGAGGAAGTCATTCCGTCTGCAGAGGGTGAAAGTGAGGAGTTTGTCGGTTTCGGGGTTTTCGGGAGTGTGGTTGATGACGACGACGAGGTCGCTGTAGACAGCACCGACGCTGGTACCGTTGTTCATGTATTTGACCTCGGTGGCATCGTTGGCTTTGGCGTAGAGACACTTGTGCACATCCGCCGGTAATTCCTGCTTGACATCCGCGCGTGTGAAACTCCAGTCTACGACCCCGTGGCGGTCATGGATTTTGATGAGAGGGGGCGCCCGTACAGCCCCGTGATAATTGAGCCCCAGGGCTGGTTGATGGGTCGGAGACGGTCTTGCGGTTGGATCGGTGGGATGTAGTAGTCGGCGAAGCCTTCGAAAAGGAGGGGAATCCATCCCAGATACCCACTTAGCATGATGGATGGGGTGTAGGCCGACTGCCAGCGCTTGCTTTCAGAGGGGTTTGAAGTCCCAATCTGACAGCCCTGGGGGTTTCGCGCGCTTCGCTCGAGTTGTCGCTAAGTGGGGAATGAAAGGGGGCCATCGTTGGGTTCCACTCTCGACACGAGGCAATCAGGTTTTCAGCCGCCAATTTTAGCTTCTTGGGCTCTTGGCGACTGTTCCTTTCTGATCAACGTCTCTGAATCTGTCAGTTTCGTTAGATTGATTGAGTTCATTGCAGAAAAGCGCCATGCGAAATTTGTTTACGCAGTAATCTATGGTCGCTGCTCTCTAGGGGGAAAGTGATCACGTGGGCATTCACCAATTCTCCGACTCTCCGACAGTGCCCTCGTATTAATCTTCATCTCCGTCGCTCATTCTTTTTCATTGGACGTCTCCTAATACACATGAGCGGGCTGGAGATAATATGACATAAGGCAAGGAAGGCACGTTTATGAGTCTCAAACCCGCGTCTGGAGGATGGACAGACATCTGTACCCCAGAGTCGTTCAGTTCACATCGTGACATCGAGGAATGGAGTACGGTACCTATGATACAATATTTGAAAATAAACAAAGGGGTATGAGAAAATCATTCCATTCAGGACTAGCATTATTTTATTCTCAAGCCCCAGAGAGGAGAAAAGAGAGAAGAAGAGAGAAGAAGAGAGAGAGGAAGAGAGAGGAAGAGAGAGGAAGAGAGAGAAGAGAGAGAAGAGAGAGAGAGAGAGAGCTTCGTCCAACCAGGTCCCCCGGAAGCTGCTTGGACAAAGCGAAGGTGTCTTTGCTGGATGACTCGAGCTGGTGAAGATGACCACAAGGGTAAGGAGCCGTGAAGTGTGCTCAAACCAGCGGAGTGGGTGTCGTACTGTCGTCCACAAGAGGTTGTTTGGAAGGTGGAATCGCCGACAAACTGGGAGTGACGGATGTTGATCACAGACCAGCCCTGAAAGAGGTTGTTGTCTTGTCTTCTTTTTTTTTTCTAAAAGGGGGAATGGGAGCCCGGCCTGTGGACTCGTCAGTGCTGTTGTCTTAAGGGGAACATTGAATTGACTTACACGGGCAGTATCCCAATAAAGATTTCGACGCATTTTGTAGAAGCATGGGCTTCTACTCAGCAGAGACGACTGTGGGACTTGGAGGTTGTCCCAATCAGCCGTTGTTCTTCGTCGCTTCCATCCGGCCTCGGGGAGGTTGTAGTTGTAGTTGTTGTAGTTGTTGTAGTTGTTGTCTTTGTTTTTTTTTGTTTTTTGGTGTTTTTGGATGTTGAGGTTTTTGGATTTTTTTTTTTGTTGTCTTGGGCCGGCAGCGTACTGTGTACTTGTCAGTGCTGTCCAGTACCTCAATCTCCGAACTCAGCCACCATCAGAAAGCTTCCGAGGACGCATGAGACGGGCTCTACCTACACAGCTTGTATCAGCAAACTGAGATGACTGTGGGACGCCCCAGAAGGACCAAACAACGCTCCGAAGAGAACTGATCCTTCTAGATTGTCCCAACCAGCCATCCAGTTCACTGACACAGGTCCAACACACCGTCAACGCATCTAGACTTTACGTCGTCGATGACGGCGGTTGGACCGCTGTGTAGGAGCGCCGCTATCTTGCGAACCCGTACCACAGTCTTCAGGGGGATCAATGCCCACTTCCATCGTCCATGGGCAAGGGAGACGGAGAAAGAGGACCACTGTGCAGTTCCTGCTCTGCCAGAGGAGCAGGAAGGACCGGAGCCGAAGCCGGTAAAGGCGTCGAGCTCGAAGACGCCGCGAGAGGTGTACCCCGAGCGGAAGAGGCTGGAACAGTAGGCCTGGGAACCGCCTGTTCAAGTTCCTTCGCGCTCGCCTCGAGTAATCTCTCTTTGTAGCGACGTCTTTTCGCTTGCGACGGTCGGTTCCTTCTCTTCCTCACCTGGGGGGAACCGTCACCTTCGATTTCCGCACCGTTCGCACTCAGAGCCCCACCCGAAGGCGAGGCTTCCTCATGCTCGGGTGCATCATCCATCTCAGGTGCGTTCCAGGGATACTGACAGAGCAGTGTGCCATCGTATGTCTTGGTGGTATCGCAGGTCGACTTCCTGTCCAGTGCCTGCTCACCCCCCACAGAGATCCGGTGAACCCAGATCCCCCCAGAGTGAGGGAGAACGGACACGTGAGACACGAAGTCGAGACGACTGTTCGCGGCCAAGACCCAAGCAAGAGTTTCGTCCTGGATATCCATCGCGCCGGCGATCAGAAAATCCAACTCGTGGTACAAAGTTGGATCTTCCTCGGCTACAAACTGCACACGTGCAATTTGCGGTTGGCCCTCAAGATAAGCCAGTGTCCACTCAGCCAAGGCCCGGACACCAAAGGAAACAAGTCGCCGTGTGTTAGCAATCAAGGCCATGGGACCTTGGAGAAAACACCAGACAACGAGACACAGCAGGGGAACAAACAGACCTTGCCCGGGTCCTGATTCAAGCGTGTGGATGTCGACAACTTCTTCGGGAACAGAAGTTGTTACTCCGACGCTACACCAGACCAACCCCGGGATGGGTACCATGGAATCAGTTGGAAACCAGGACGGCATGGTAACCGTTTCGAGACTGATTTCCAAGTAATCTGTGGTGTTTGCATACCCATGATCGTCCGCGGCACTCACAACGGCAGTATCACCAGCGTGAGTATTACCGGAGTGAGAACGCTGGGACATGAGTGTCCCCAGCGCCACAGACGACCCAAGAATCCAATGTCAGCTGGAAAGCACCAGACAGACGCTGCCGGAACGACATCTCTGGAACAGTGAACCCCGGAATGGGGCGCCACTGGCTCCAGAGAGTCATACCCAAGAAGATCCCTAGGAAAGGGATCAACAGCTTTTTTTTTTTTTTTTTGTTTTTCTAGAGAGGGAAGGTCAAGACATTAGTATATACTTCACACACCTCAAACGAAGGAGTAAGCGTAAGGTGAGGTAGGGTAAGGTGAGGTAGGGTAAGGTGAGGTAGGGTAAGGTGAGGTAGGGTAAGGTGAGGTAGGGTAAGGTGAGGTAGGGTAAGGTGAGGTAGGGTAAGGTGAGGTAGGGTAAGGTGAGGTAGGGTAAGGTGAGGTAGGGTAAGGTGAGGGTGCTCTGATGTGGGGGACATAATTTGAAGGGATAGGTTGGAAGTTGGTGAGAAGATGCGAGCGAGGAAGAAGCAAGTCACAGCTGGAAAAGCTGTGAGTAGAATCAGAGTGGTAACTTGAGGAGAGAGAAGAAGAAGAAGAGAAGAGGAAGAAGATGGAAAAGGATGGGGATTATATAGACATCAGGATCTCCCAAAAGGGAAGGGACCAGAAGGCAGCAACTCAGAACAATAGCAAACATCTCTCTCATTGTTCGTTTGATGTGGGTTCACTTGCCTACTTCCTGAAATGGCAGTAGCGAGGTATCTGTCCACATGACGAGTCCTTTCACACTGCTCCAGAGGCTCATGGGTATCAGGTTCTTCGCCTACAGATACAGCTACTTGTGCCTCAGTCGAACTAGGTTGTCCTCTGGCCTGATTAATCTTATATCTGCCTATGCACATTGTAGATTAACAGTGGTTACAGACATTGTATTTAGTAGGAGATTTTGAGGCTATAGTCAATGCGACACAGACAGCCCCAGCTAGTCAATCCATGACCATCACTACAAGCTGGTCCCACATAGGCTGTGTACTACTGTTCTCATCTTTGAGAGGCTCGCAAGCGTTTATCATGGCTCCTTGTGTCATATCCTCGATCTGTTGCCAAAGGCGTTGACGAATCACCCTACGCTTTATTGAAAAGGCTAGAAGATCCCACTATGTCGATTGCATCGGCCACGGGCACTTCTCTTCATGGCAACCCAGGGTAGAATGAACGCAGGCTGTGATTTCTACGTAAACTGGCTCGACTGATCTCGCAGCCTAAAATCTTTCATGCCGGCTAACACAATAGACAATGTAAGGGTACAACAGGTCGTTGTATGTCGAAATCAAAATATGCGGACGCTTTTGCACAAGAAGTGCATGAACCCCCAAACCACACTGGCTTCAAGGCTTTGTGCGATCCTCGCTCGATGGCATGCGTGCGGTTTTGTCCTCCCCGGTCTTGCCAGCCATCGTCTTCTCGTCGCGTGCGGATACCACAATATCAGTTTTGTTTGGCGACTGGGCGCGAAAGAGGAGCCAGCCTCCTCCGATAACACCAAGGATGCTCAGAATAGCTTGATTACGGGCCCTAAAAGCGTTTTCACCATTTGTAAGTCACATATATACAAATGTACATTGGTCACCTCAATTTGAGTGAGGTGGGCTAGGCAAGTATCGGACAACATACCGAGTTGTTCTCACACGCGCGTTGCTGGCGGGAATAGGCATTGTGGATGAGTTGAGCGTAGGCGGACTTATATTTGGAATTAGGAGGGTGAGCACAGGATATCAGAGAGTGGAAAATGAATAGAAATGAATCAAATGATCAGTTCTATTGGACAAGTCGCCAGCAGAAGTCAGTATATAACCTGGCTGTTACATGCCCGTGATGACCTCATTCTGACCATGCAAGCTCTCCTCTTGTTGACGGCACTCCAGTTGACTCATCCCATCGGAAGAACCTTGGAAATGGACGTCTCTTCAGTTCCCATGGAAAGAGGAAACGTAAAATTCTAGTTAACGTAATTACAAGCGAGTCGTCAACCGAAGCGAGTAGTCAATCTCCAAACCACATAGTAAAAGAGGTAAATTACAACACAGTAACTCAACAACGGTGGCCTCTACGGACCGATTGCTATAGCATGTCATCCTTTAGGTCATAACTAGCATCTATAGGGAGTTTGAGGAAAGTCCAATGCTTGTGTTATATCGATATCTCGATTTTGGGAACGTATTTTTCCGTAATGTTTGGTATCACCATGATATACCTTTCTAGTTTAAATTGATATAGAATGCTAGTTGCCCTTATCAATGGCTATCGTGAAATAAGGACATGAAATGAACTCGTGGTTGTTGAGATATTATAAACGTAGGATATATCGCATTTACTATGTGTTTTTGGGGTTGACGACTCGCTTGTGAATTACGTTAACTAATTATTAGAGATAACTACCGTCAATGAACAGTAGACTCACTCGGACTGTAGACTCACTCGGACTGGAATTTCTCTATCCTGCTGCCTGAACTGAGCATTGCATGGTACGTACTGCTTCCTGGGGAGATTTCTCTCAAGAAACGAAGAATCCCTCTTACCTATCTACTGCAGCATCTCCCTCTGCCTCAATACACATCCATCAATGAATTTCTGCGGTAGCGCAGAGAATCTCGAGTCTTTTGTAGACAAGATTCCGGTAGCCGTATGCAGATATGCAGAGCTGAATTGACCCCAAAGCTTTTTCTCCACTTCAGACTCCGACAGTGGTCGTGGATAGTATGGATCATTCTCAAAAAAAGCTGAAACAAGCTGAGAAACCAACTGCTCTGGATACTCCCAGCCAATACGGTCTTCCCACGTAGTACATAAATTGAAGTCAAGCACCCAGATGCGGGTCACGCAACGCTTGAAGTTGACAGATATTTTGGATTCCAGATCTGTTTGTGATGGCATTGCCGCTAGGATCTTCCGAGTCAGACCTAGCGAGCGCGAGATATCATGAGTGTAGCCTGTCTCAGCTTCGCTCCCCAGAACAAATTCCACGTCATAGGCATCCACATTAGCAGACCAGTGAATAGTAGCCAATGCCTCCGCTATTGCTCGCGCATAGTCATAGACTGGAAGTCCGAGCTCAATCATCTGATCAAGACAAAGGTTGAAGTTTCGTAACGTGAAGTTTGCCGGGGGCGGGTGGCCAGTAGGACGCCGACGACCAAGGTAAATTCTGGCAAGACAATCACGGTTGGTGTCCTGGGAGCTTGCAACATCGCGGAATGAAACTGGACAATATGTGTCAATGAGCGCCTGGCGAGCTACCTTGGGCAGCGGTAAAATCCGTTCGGTGAGTAGACACATCGCGGGAAGTGGAAATGTCACATGGGCATCCGGGAAAAGCGGCAAATGCGTCTCCCACCACTCAGAATTGTCCCTGTGGACATATGAGAAGATTTGGGGTACTCTGACCGCAATATCGGGCTGTTGTTCAAACGCTTGGAAGACGGCGAAGTGTGCTTTGAGGTCTGACCACAAGGCCTCTTCGAATGATGGTCTCGAAACCTTCACGGCATATCCTCGGCCCGGTCTCTCGAATATGATTCCGCACTGCCCAAAGCCGATTGTTCGGAATCCAACGAGATTTGTCTGCTGTGCCATGTTGTTCATCGCGAACGAAGACATTGTTGAGACCTGCGATGTCAGAGACAACACCCTGGTGAGGACATCGTGAGCTGTTGTGTTTTCGAGTTGCAGTTCATGTTCGACGTCTTCGTTGCGCTGTGCATCGAGTTTCGCAGAGAGCTGGTTGGTGAGTTCAGTGCGTGAGGGGGTGCTGGTTGATGACAGGCGTGATGCGTTCAAATCATCCATGATGTGCTGAGCGATCGCGGCTTGGTCTCCGGATTTACAAAGCAGAGACGGAGGAAAAGAAAAACAACCTGCTATTGTCGAGAAATAAAGAAAAGAGGAAGAAAATTAAGAGACAACCGGACATCTATCTACACAGTACCCCAGACATTGGGCGACAGACTCTCCGACACCTGATTAGGTGAGAGGCGCAATGCTGTTGACTCATTGGTTGCGTGTTCGCTGGTCATTAGCGTTCATGAAATTCAGGTGCCTAGGTGCGCTGCAGCCTGCCGAAGAAGAGAAGAGGAGATCGCGACGGGAGGGATTGGGAAATTCCCATCCAGTAATAGGCAGCAGAATACCTACCTAAAGGAAGGAGGGCCCGAGGGGTGCCCTGGGATATAAATAGCGTTCCTTAAACATGACGATCCTACGGAGTAGACCTTCACCTAACCGGTTCGGTTACCCACGGCTCGGCGGGATCTCAGAGGCCTAATGCCGCGGCTCGGCCTCGGGCTCGGGCCGTTCCGATCCGACGTGACCATGTTGTCACCAGCCTACATTCAGTAGAATCAATACTAGGAGCTTTTTCGACAACATTTCATCAACACTAGCGCTCAGAGGGAGATTCAGCGTTGTCTTCGGGGTCGGTTCAGGCCAAGGACACAGTACCTACCACACCTTAAATCTTCTATGTGGTTGTCGTCTCATCCGCTGCTCCTCTGCTTACTTTCTTTGGTGATTGTGGCGCGACCAAACCAACATTCTCGCGAGTCAATTGTGGCATTTTGGGAATTCAATCAATTGCCTATACTTTTACTATGAAACTTCGAGCATAATGACCTATGCATTACTTCTCAGTTAGTCTGATTCTTTGTTTTCAGCATATCTATCAAAATGGAACTTGGGTGACAATTTAAGACTCAAGGGCAGCAGGAGGACCAAGCACAGATGAAGAAACAGGAGCAGAAGGAGACACGAGAGCAGGAATAGCAGCGGGTGATGGAGGAGCCGGAGGCGCAAGCACAGGGCCAGAAAGCACGTGAATAGGCTTGATATCAAACCGGATTTGTAGGCTAGAAGATACACACCAGCTCCAAATACCGACAACGCGATGTGTACCTCTCGGCCAAACACCCAAAACAATGCAAGCCACACTCTTTCCCAGCGACGAGCCCATAGTCTCTGAAAACTCCTTCATGCCTCGTTGCCAGAGTATTGTATCTGACAATCCCAGTTGCCCTTCTGTCGGCAGCCGAAGTCCCCAATTAGGATAGATCGACTCCTTGATCAAGCGTCCAGTGGATTTGTTGATAATATTTTCAAAGACGATGAATCTGAGAGTGTCGATGAGATAGTGATGTTTGTAAACAGCCAGAGCAACTTCGGACCAGTAGAACCATGTGTCAGACTCTACAGTACCGGATACACGGGAGAGGAGTAGAGTTGGACAGAGGTGTGCGGGGTAAAGCAAGGACACCACACTTCTCAAAGGAAAATAGAATAGTACTATAGTTGGAATCGAGTATCCGACCGATAGTACAGAGAAAGGTAATATTGCGAGTGAAAGATAGTATCCAATTGCAATAGTAGATGTGACGTTGAAAGAGAGTATTCAAGTGTTTTTACAGCTATGTAATGACAGGCTGCTTTATAGGCAAATCAGTAGACCGGATAAAGGATGTGAGCAGACATCCTATTTGATGAAAGCAGGAGTGCTGGAACTGGTGCAACCAGTAAGCAGGGGGGAGTCATGTGACCTAGCATTCGTTCACGCGTCTAAGGGGTATCCCACGACGCTGGCATTCTTAGCAATAACAACGTCGAACACTACACAAGATTACACCGAGCAGGAGCCTCCACGAGAGTAGGCCCTCTGCCCAGTAATCGCCGTAGTCTTCGACGTTTCGCACACTAGCAATATTGCCGTGTAGAACCAACACTGATCCTGCTCGGTGTAATCTTGTGTAGTTAGTGTTCGATGTTGTTATTGCTAAGAATGCCAGCGTTGTGGGATACCCCTTAGACGCGTGAACGAATGCTAGGTCACATGACTCCCCCTGCTTACTTGTTGCACCAGTTCCAACATTCAGATTCAATCGGATAAATCGGAAAAGTCGCTTCATCCAGTAGTACTGTCGAGCAGCATGACTCAGAGCTAACAGCTCTGCTTCAGTGGTGGAGGTTGTGAACGTATCCATGTTAATCTGAACATGCCTTTCACATAAGGGATCTCTTGGAGCAACGACATGAAATGAAACGCAGCGGCGAACTTACACAATTCATTGGCATCCGCATCACTCGCGACCGCGAAACCAGACGAACATGGATCAGCCAGGGTGCCTACATTGAGAAAATCGCTGCGAAACCAACCTCGATCGCGAGTGATGCGGATGCCAATGAATTGTGTAAGTTCGCCGCTGCGTTTCATTTCATGTCGTTGCTCCAAGAGATCCCTTATGTGAAAGGCATGTTCAGATTAACATGAATCAGCCAGGGTGCCTACATTGAGAAAATCGCTGCGAAATTCAACCTCCTCGATCGACGAACACCTTACATTCCCTTGCCATCTGATCTCTCGCAGGTTACTTGCCCTGCAGAGTCCCCCTCTGATCCGAAGTTGGTCCATCTCTACCAACAGAAATGCGGATCCACCCTTTTTCCAGCTATCTGGACCAGACCTGACACTGCATTTGCAAACCAAGTTCTGGCCCGTTCCCCCACTCGTTGCACTGAGGCTCACCTCAAAGCCGTCGACCACCTTATCTCCTACCTTTATGGGACAAAGGACCTTGCTATCTGCTTCGATGGAAGGAAGCAGACTGTGGCCTTCACTGGTGCGTCGGATGCGAGCTTTGCTGATAACCCAGATCGCAAGAGTTCAGAGGCATTTATCTTCTCCTTGTTTGGAGGACCAGTGGAGTGGAGAGCTCGCAAGCAGCGCACGATCACAACCTCCACCACTGAAGCAGAGCTGTTAGCTCTGAGTCATGCTGCTCGACCGTACTACTGGATGAAGCGACTTTTCCGATTTATTCATTTGAATCTGAACCATCCTGAGATTTTGTACTGTGACAACAAGCAGACTGTTGACATTCTCGTGAGCGAGAATTCCATCTTTCAGACCAAACTTCGCCATGTTGACATTCACCAACTCTGGATACGACAAGAGGTAAGCGACGTCAAGTCCAATGGATCAATACCAACGACATGCCCGCCGATGGACTGACAAAGACGCTCACTAGGGCCAAGCATGATGTTTTTATTCGTCAACTTGGAATGGAACAAGTCCCGAGCTCCTAGAGGCTAGAATCTAGATAGGACCTCCCAGTAGATAGATGTTTGCACATTACTTCCAATTGATTAATGATCATTGATCATCATGAAGATATACTGTGTATCATATTGAATAGCTCGCACAACGTATCAAGGTACAGGTCAACACGGTAGGTATGTACGTCTACATTTTTACCCCGTACCCCGTACTTCGAGGTCACATATGTCACGACTCACCGGCGCCATCTTTCTCCGCCCCTCCGATCTGGATCACCCCACATTTCCTCTATAAATCCCCCGATCTGACAGCTACTCACTCTTCCATCCACAACCATTTCTCTGCTTCAGCCTCTGCCTCAATTCTCCCAAGTCCCAATTACATACAACTATCTCCTCATCAAGATGCCTATCATCACACTCACAAGGTATGCTAATCATTCCCCACCTGCTGAAGAAGGTACCAATCTCTATCAGCGTGGCCGAGTTTATGGACAAGGTCCTTGGATCGGAGGAACCTGCCATCGTGGACTGTTTCGCAGAATGGTGTGGGCCATGCAAGGCGATCGCGCCCAAGGTCGAGCAGTGGAGTGAGGAATACCCGCAAGTCAAGTTCTACAAAGTCGACGTGGACCAGGTTCCCGATCTCTCGGCTGAACTCGGCGTGAGAGCTATGCCTACTTTCATGCTGTTCAAGGGTGGCCAGAAAATTACGGAGGTTGTGGGTGCTTCTCCTCGTGCCATTGAGCAGGGAATCCAGTCTCTTCTCTGAGAAATGATGTTGTCACTCCGGGACCCCATTGACGTTGAGCTCCCTAAACCTGTCAAACTCTCAGTATTTCGTGATGGCAGGTCAATAAATCCCTTAAATTTATTCTTGAGTGTTAGAGAAACCCACAATCTTTGACAGGCGTAGTGAGTGGCGTCATGGATTCGGGTATAAAGATAAATCAAAATGGAAGGCGCGATATAGCAAGCTCTATAAGCTTTTACTCCCAGATATCCTATTTTAAAGGAAGAATGATTCCGCTGATTGTGGCAGACGATGAACGGAAGGACTTCAAGAGGGGCTGGATTTCCCACCGGAAATCCTCGTGCGTAATGCTGTCCCTTTCCTTGGCTTCATCAAGTCCATCGCGGACACATCGCAGGTACTCGAGCTCACTCTCCATGACCCCGAGTTGGCATCGAGAATTTCGGATGCGGTCGACTCGACCGACATTTTCGAGAGGCAGGATGTTGCACTCGCGGACCTTTGCCGGTAGTCCGCATCGCTTGGCGGAAGGAAGGTGCCATAGGAGATGGTACAGCTGCGGGGCTCACCACAGGCTCGGCAGGCTGTTCTGGCGTCGACATGGTTACAGGATGATGAAGTGGTGGCTGGGCTGGAAGAAAGAAAAGGATAGGCGGACGAAAAGTAGGGCACAGTGATGGAAAAGGGATGAAGGAGACGTGAAGTAAGATGGTAGACTGATGGAAAAGGGATGAAGAAACGTGAAGGATGGTAAACTGATGGAAGGTGCCAAGCTGGAGTATAAAGAAAGCAACTAAGCCCAATTCGGATGTGACATGGCAGAGCCGCGAAATGTCCTGTTCCTGGGCGTGACTTCTGCCCAAGCAATTTTACGGAGTAGTCATTTCCCGGTCCTGCATGTGATGTTGACAGCTCGACTGCACACCTGTTCCCCTCGTTTCCGCTGGTGACCAAAACGAGGCCAAAATGGCTCCCGTCGGGCCATAATAATGAACTTCATCTCCAACCAGTAGCTACAACAGACAGCCTTTAGGATTCACATCTTCTTCCGTGTATGTCTTATCGAATGTACATATCTGCATCATACATGCGTATAGAGATGGGGCTACGATCTGCAATTAAATGGCACAATAACGTTCTTGCCGCACCTACGTAGGAATTTCGCACAATGGCGGGAGTCATCGAGTTTGAGGATCCATTCGACCTTAAGTCAGCCTGGTATCCCTAGGCATCATTCACTGCCTTCGCGCGTTAAGGTATCTATACTATTTTGTGATCACCGATCTTGGATTCTTATCCTCGGCAATAACAAGATTTGAACTGGATTACGTCGCTCAATGGTAGAGGGAGAAAGTCAAAGCAGTAGTCACTCCTTGATCTGGCACGATACTCATAAATCAGCGGAATGACTCGGAATCGATGTGGCAAACGCATAACTCATAACTACAATGGAGTACGAGGTCGGGAGCCAACTCGGTGGAAGATCGCCCTGTTAGAATAACATGTGATAATCCGGTGATGGTTCTCATTCCGATCACAAGTATGCAACATTGAATGGCTCAGAATTGTCCCGCTCGTTGATGCCGTCCGATAGGTTTCAGGCGGGCGGGCAGAGATTGATTGTCTGATGAAGGTTGTTGCCACGTGAGACTCGAACTGATGAGCCAAACGCAATCACGGGTGTATAGGTCAATGCATTTGGCATGCTATTAGGTTTGAAAACGCTGTCGTATCATATGTCCCCAAGGACCCATCGAGTCTCGTCACTGAATTGTTCAGGATGGTGGGCGATAAATTTGGTATACCTATCCTTCGGGTGTAACTGTGAACTGTCTATCGTAATGTTTATCTGAGGAATAGAACTTACCTGTGAATATGTACGATATTGCTTTGTTTTCTAGGTGGCATTGAAACAGTAGTTTTGCTGGTACGGCTTTTGGTTCGACATGAAAGCTGCGGACTTCTGGCACCTCGGTTTTTGTGTAGTTTGATCTAGAAGAGCAAATAACCTGGCACTAGAAAATAATGTAGACTGGAACAATAACCCTAAAGAGGGACGAATGCGATTCCATGCCATATTGTAATTACGGGAGTATGGGGAGCCATGTCAGGCGCGGCCTGAAGTCTCAGTAGCCTCGTTTTTTTACGATGTTTGGCACTGGAGACGGTGGAGCTTCCGCAGATATGGAGCCTTGGTCACGCCGGCTTGGTGCCGGCGTCTCTCCGATCTTCTTCAATTTGCATTTATTTTGGTATTTTCCGAGGACTATGGTCGAAGCATAAGGAACTTTGGAAGAGAGTTCAACTTTGAGTTATCTGAAACACGTGGCAGCCAATCCCGGGCCCCCCCCTGATTTTCACGGGCATATTGACTACCTCGGGATCAGATGCAATCTTGCAATGATCGACATAACATCTTAAAATCCACCATAAAACCCACTTTTTGCCTCCCACTTCGCCTAATTATACTATGTGGGCACCAATAAGCAAGTCAGGTGCCTTGCTATGATCTCAGATTTACCATCCCCGTTCTCTGGAGAATGGAGATGAATAATCGCCAAAAACAGTAAGAGCAGCGAGCCCATGACATGATGCTTTTGATCTCCACTTCGGCCCCAACGACTTTCTTTTTTGTTACCTTCCAGAATTTGCTTCATATGACTGGAGCATGTATATAAGACTCACCATGCCCAAGGGAAAGGCATTCTCTGTCGATGTTTTGCCTATACGGTATACCTTGTGATGACGAAGGGTATGAATGAGAGTTCAATTCCTTCTACCTAAGACAACAAGACTAGAGAGGAAAGAAAAGAGAAGAAGAGAGGAGAAAAAAGGGGTAAAGAACAATACAGCCGAGATCCTCCTATTACGTGATACGTCCCTTCCTCCTAGTCCTCGTTCTATGTGCTGTCGTCACATACCTCTCAATTCTCTTCACAATGGCCGCCCCAATGCGCAACCCAAAGGACTCGATGACCTCAACGTGGCGCACCGGGGATCGCTCAGCGTGGACCGTCGGCCACTGGCTTTTAGAATTCCTGAATGTACACCATGTTGAACTAGACCAAGAAGTCCCGATTCACCAGAAGACCGACAAAGTCCCCTATGCTCCAGAACTCCAATTCCACCTTTGGATCATCATCCACGCCAGCATCCCCCTGATCATCCACCAACTCTACATCACCATTTTCGGCCCACCTCCTACCTTCCTCGTCTACATCTTCTACAGCCAAGCCCTGGAATTCATAGCTGTGCACGAGACTCACGTCCTCCGCCGGATGGGCCACACGATTGGCTTCTTTGATGGCGACAAGCACGCCCGGGACGGTGTGCCAGATGTCGGCGTCAAGAAAACAGTGGGATCCCTCCTCGCGGTGTTTATTCTGCGTCCCATGTATACCGTCTTTTTCGCCTATCGCCGCGACGAAGGCCCTACATCCATCCGCTGGGGCTGGCTAGTCTTCGAGACAGGGATGTACGCGGTCGTCCTAGATTTCTGGTACTACCTCATGCATCGCTCTGCCCATGAAACGGACTTACTGTGGAAATTCCACCGCACACACCACCTCACGAAACATCCGAATCCTCTGTTGACAGCGTATGCCGATAGAGTGCAGGAGTTTTTTGATCTTGTTGGCGCGCCGCTTCTAACATACGGCACCTTGAAGCTGATGGGATTCCCTATGGGGTTCTACGAGTGGTGGATTTGCCAGCAGTATGTGGTGTTTACCGAGGTATTGGGCCACAGTGGGTTGAGGATGATTGCTACCGCGCAAAATCCTTGGACTTGGTTGTTGACTCTGTGTGATATGGAGCTTGTTATTGAGGATCATGATCTTCATCATCGCAAGGGTTGGAAGAATAGTCATAATTATGGGAAGCAGACGCGTGTGTGGGATCGCTTGTTCAATACGGATATCCCGAGGCTGGAGGGGCACCAGGGTAATATTGACTACGTCAATACGGCGAAGCTGCCATTGTTCTAATAGCGATGTGTGCTAATAGCGAGTGTCTTGAGGTCGTTTTGGATGTGCGCATGTTTCTTTTGATTTTCTTTTGTCGAGATATCCTTTGTCTAGATAGATAGACAGCTCTGTTTCTATTGTTTATTCAAAGTGTTTTTCTATCTTAAGCTTTCCATCGAGACTTTTCTGCTTGACCCAAGCCGCCAAGCCACCATGAATTAACCGTCGAGCTGTCATGAATCTTCATCGGGTTCCTCCCTTGCTTTGCCTCCTTCGTTCTCGCCCTTACAACCTGCTTCTGCAGCTGTATGCGAGCCACTCCTTGCTAACCCTGGAATCCCCCTACCGGAGTTCCCCTGTCGGAATTCCCTTCGGACTTACTGGTCTTGTCTTATTGTTTGTTTACTTACACTTCAGAGCGGGAAAAGGAAAGCTATATAGGATTGCATCCCCTGTGTACATAGTTTTCCTCTTCACGCAACAATTTATGTCTTTCTTGTCTCCTTAGTCTGGACTCCTTGCCTTTCCTGAGCCTTGTCCATCCTTCCTTGTACTACCAGTCCTCTTCATAGCCTTGGTACCTTCCTCGGCATTCCTGCCTTGTATACGATCCGGCCGCAAGCCCAGTTCTCCTTTGCTATCCCCTCACCGCCTGTATACCACTCGGCTCCGGATCGTGACAGTGTAGCGTCCGGGAGGACCAGGCGGGATTGGGGTGGGTTAATGGGGTGTTTTCGGAAATGCGCAAACAGTTCCCCCCAGATTGCCGTGCGGGCAAGCTGTCGGGAAGAAGACGAGGACGAGGGACCTGCCATGGTGTACCTTGACCGGCGTAAGGAAGACGCAACAAAGTGTCACGATCCGGAGCCGAGGAGGACTAGGACAGATCGGGCTGCGGCCGGATCGTTTGCAAGGACAAGATGTGCCAAGGAAGGTACCAAGGCTATGAATAGGTCTGGTAATACAAGGAAGGATGGACAAGGCTCAGGCAAGGCAAGGACTCCAGACTAACAGGAGTAAAATACTAATACCGCATGGTTATAGCTATTAATGACTGGTAAATTTTTTGACTAGTCGCGACTAGTAAGCCGCGTAAACCTGACGAGCCGTTTGCCTGATAGGCCGGCCCAAGCTCTCCAGGATAAACCCAGCCATCCTTCCAACTCCCTTCAGACCAAGCCCCATCAAAATTATCAACCTCATTCGAATCCACCCTCATCTGCCTAACCACATTCCCGCAGTCGTCTAAAAACACATGTAAAACCCCTCCGCCCCACTGAGCCTTCGCGTCCTCAATAAACGCATGAGTCACCACACAAGGAGCGTGATACATCCAGTACGTCTTACACAAATCATCAGAGTTAAAGGACGATTCATTTTCGCGTGTGCCTGCGGTCTGCCCCTCCGCTTCTTCGCGCATTCGTAAGAAATCTGCCAGTGTATTCTCACGCCAGTCGACATCCTCTAACGCCGAATAGTTCGTCACGCGCTCTGGGAATCGCTCAAGAACACGAGCAATATCTGCATTCGCAAATAACCCGACCCCGCATAGCAGCTTATACTTAGAGCAAGCTACATCGGGCCAATGAATTTCTCTCTTTCGCAAATAACCCTTCGTCTTCGAGGACTAGCGAGTCGGGTCCGATAACTTGAGAAATATCCACGTATTCGTTCCAGAGCGTTTGGTGGGCTTCTTCATTTTCCGCGTCGTAGTTCGTGCGGATCCACATGCCCTCGGCACCTGTCCATGATTCGTAGCCGGCGGCATAGCGGCGGAGGGAGTTTGGACGTAGTGGGCGGAGAATAGCATCAATTTGTTGCTGTGTGGGCTGGGCGGGCGCGTACGTCTGCGAGTCCTCTCTAGTGCGGTTGTAGTAGGGCTAAGATTTGGGATTAGAGGATCTATAATGGCATAAGAAGCAATAGAGATGGCAGATAGGAAATAGCAGCGAACTAGTCCCAATACTCAGCCACTGGCAAATGAGGCGTTCGCGACGCTGGTCGGGTAGTTCGTTAAGTGAGTTTGGATAAGGAGTATCCCTTTGTTCCTGGAAAACGTTAATCAACTTGACAGTGCATGGAACATTAGGAGAGAAGGTACACACAAGAAGATAGAGGTCGAGTGGAAGAGCCCCCCCATGCGGGAACTGGGGTCGGTTCTTCAGGCAACCCCTCTGTATAGATATGAGGGGGCATTGTGGCGCGAATTTATGCTGAGGGTAGACCTGAGGACCTGAGGTGGGAGGGATATGCCGTGATGTCACGGGCCGGCCCTGGACCCGGGCACCGGTGGACAAATTCCCGAGATTACGCCAAGGCTTTAGTCAACCCATATACTAGTACGGGTCTACAGAGTACTACGAGCAGTACTTGACTTGATCACGGGTTATTAGTTCGCCAGTTCGCCAGTTGACAGTTCGCCTCGCTAGTTTGAGCATTCGCATTTGTTTTTGTGAAAGTGGAGCTACAGTGGAAATGCACATGTGATGGAATCTAGAGAAGCCAAGGGGAACCAATCTCAAATGAAAGGATGAATTGATTGAGGACTCGAAGGAGACCCCTCTGGAACGAGACACTAGTGCGTCAAAATCGAATAGCTACTTGGCCAAGCTATGCGAAGACAAAGACTCAAGGACTCCGAAAGGTATTTTCATTCCATGGCAATGAGCATACAATAACTTCCTTAAACCGTTGGTCATCTAGTTTTAAACATTGCCTTGGATAAGGTTATGCAGCTCGGCCGTCCCGACTCCCATCCATTCTCCCTAGGCGCAAATGTTCAGGCATCCGAAAGAAGCCGTTCGATGCTTCCAGAAAAGTCAACAGTTCTCTCGCGCCAAGTTCTATCACAACGGTACCACTATGGGTCAATGGTTGTAGCGTATCACCGTGGCTGATATAGTGAGGCGCCTAGGAGTATAGACCAAGACGTCAAACGCACTCATGATCTGGAGACACTAGGCTTTATATCTCAAAGTAGATTCTCTACAGCCTTGTCCATTTCGCACTTTTCTCGACCGCCCATATGTCTTCGTATTCAAAGACGGTCCCGGGGTCCGATCTGGCGCAGGTTTGGCCAGCTGACGCGTGTCAAAATGTCAAGCCCAGGATGTCCATAATCGCTCCTCCAGGTGCCCGTTGATGCGGTTTAATGATGGATCCTTCGAATGATAAATGGTCAGCTGGGAACTCTTGTCTCACTGTGAGCTGGGGGTGGCAGGGCTTGAGCCTCGACTGAGGGGATTTGGTTCGTACATGAAGCAGAGGCCGAAATAATTTACCTAGGGTGATTCTTCGACGCCGTTGGCAACAGATAGGTCGAGGATACCTACACACAGAGAGCTTAGATAAACGCTTGCAAGTCTCTCAAAAGATGAGAACAGTTGTAAACAGCCCATGTGGGACCAGGTTAGACTGGTGTTCATTGATTGACTAGCTTTGGCGCTCTGTGTCGCATTGACTACAACCTCGGAATCTCCTACTGCATACTACACATGTTGCTTCATATAATCTACAATGTACATAGGCGGATACAAGATTAATCAAGCCATATAACAAGTTGAACTCAGGCGAAGGTAGCTGTATCTGTAGGCAAAGAACCCGATTCGTGGCCATACCCATGAGCCCTCTGGGACATTGGGAAAGGACTCGTCATGTGGACAGATCCCTAGCTCCTGTCTTCTTAAGAAGGGCGCAAGTGAACCCACATCATATGAACAATGAGCGCGATGTTTGCTATTGTTCTGAGTTGCCGCCTTCTGGTCCCTTCCCTTTTAGGAGACCCCAATGTCTATATAACCCCATCGATTTCCCTTCGTCTTCGTTCTTCTTCTTGACTCTCCCCAAGTAACCATTTTGATTCTACAGTTGTCACGGCACATCAAGCTGTGACTTGCTACTTTTACCTCGCTTCCATCCACTTCTCCGGTCCCGCCGGCTTTAATAATATTTTCTATTCAAAGTATGCCCCCCACATCAGATCACCCTGCCTCACCGGGCTTACCCTGCCTCACCTTACCCTACCTTCCGCTCCCTTCCATTTACCCTCCTTCGTTTGAGACCTATGTATGAAGTACGTACTAATGCCTTGATCCTCCCTCTTTAGAAAGAAAAATCGATTCAAAAAAATGTTGTTGATCCCCTTCCTAGGGATCTTCTTGGGCATGGCTTTCTAAAGCCAGTGGCTCCCCATTCCGGGGTTCACTGTTCCAGAGATGTCATTCAGGGAGCGTCTGTCTGAAGGTGGCGGTTCCCCCAAGATGAGAAAGAGGAAAAACCGCCCGTCGCAAGCAAAGAGACGTCGCTTCAGAGCGAGACTCGAGGCGAGCAAGATGGAACTTGAACAGGCGCTTCCCAAGCCTACTGTTCCAGCCGCTTCCGCCCAGGGTACACCTCTCGCAGCGTCTTCGAGCTCGACGCCGTTATCAATTTCGGCTCCGGTCTACCTTCCTGCCCATCTGGCGGAGCAGGAGCTGCACAGTGGCCGTCTTTCTCTGGCTCCCTTGCCCATCAAAAAGGACATTGATCCCCCGGAGGACTGCGGTACGGGTTCGCAAGAAAATGATGCTCCTCGACGGCGTGACGTCTAGAGGGCCGATGGTGTGTTGGGCCCGTATCAGTGAACTGGACGGCTGATTGGGACAATCTCGAAGGAACCCCTCTCTTCGGAGAGTTGTTTGGTCATTCTGGGGGGCTGATCCCATACTCTTCTCAAATCAGCCCCTGCTTCCTTTGGGATTAGGTAATTCCAGCTCTGGCGTTAGGCCAAGTTCTTGCTCCAATTGGATGGAGCGCCTGCATAGTCATACGCAACTAGTTAGACTGCAACAGGTTAATTGATTTGATTGATTGAGAATGATGATGATGATGATGATGATGATGATGATGATGATGATGATGATGATGATGATGATTTAAATCATTAGCCCGATCTAGCTCGCTTTACATACATGCTGCTATGCGGGAATGGCGGTCCCAGAGCCTGCTCCTTCGACGACTGAAAAGAAGGCGGGAGTGTATCGCCAGGATACACTTCCCTTCTTGCAGGACTCGATTTATTCGAAATCCCCCGCGCAACCTGGAGTAAATTGCAAACAGTACAAAAGAAAAAAGAAAACGTAAAGAAAGACTGTCCCGTATTCCCCGCGGGCGACGGGCCGTCCCTCCTCTCCTTGCCTCTCTTCATTTTGATTGATTGAGAATATCTCCAACTTCACGCACAGGTTCACTGATTCTTCTCAACTTCAAATTGCGTCCCATTCACATCTGAATATATCTATGGGAATTGGGATGGCACTGGAAGATAACATGTGTATTCGATTGCGAGTATGCTAAATACACTGAGGAGGAGAAAGGGAAAGGAGAGAGGACAACTAGCTATCGGTGGGACAGTGGGAGAAACAGTGGTCAGGTGACAGTAAGGTCACGTGAGCTCTGACAATCTCCAACTCCACACACTGTACACAGGTTCACTGATTCTTCTCAACGAGTCAACTCCACATTGCGCCCCATTGATTCAGTCTTTCACCGAAATCAAGAGCCTATTCACTATTGGCAATCAATTCAGTTCACGACCGAAATCGCAATCATCTGTGGACTGGCACCTAGAAGCCAGTGGCATCCGGCCCCGACGCTGCACGCTTTTTGTAGATCATGGACAAGCCGCCCAAGCATTCTGTTTGAATATGCTCAACCATCCCATCTATAGACCTCATGCGGTATGGGCGCCAGCAGACTTCAAAGTATGTCTCGTTTGCAGTACGGGATTGGTCAATGTTCAGCCATCGTTTTGTTTCATCATCAAACGACCCAAGATGGGGATGTACTACGCTGGGATGGCGGAGAAGAGCAACGCAACCGCGGCATGCGTAAATGAACAGTTGCTTCTGCGCATGAGGGACGATGGGAGCGCAGATAGCGTTGCCATTAGCGATTGAAGAAAGAGCCCAGACGTGTCTGAACTCGCCACTGTACAATTGAGCCGGGGTCAAAGGCTCCAGACGAGCAGCGCGGAATTTATCACAATCGAACTCGGACACGGAAACAGAATTTTGAACAACAGCAAACCTCGGGTCCTGAATACCTGTGCGAATCTGCTGTGCAGCAGTCTTGATGGCTTCGCGGGAACCGTACAACTCCATCGCTCTGGCGAGTGTGCGCCTGATCGGATAAACCCAGCAGCCTAACACGTCCTTGCCGCGGGAACTGTTCACTATGACATCCTCCTCACGCATGCCTATGGCGAAGATCGGTCCAATCTTAGCTATCTCGTCCAAAGGCAGGGCAAAGGCCGCGGTTGTTTGTGCCTTAGTTAGGCACCAATTGGCCGGGAAGTGTTGCATGCACTGCACGCAACAACGAACCATCTCTACAAGCCAGATCGAACAGGCCAGTTGGCCGCATGAGATGCAGTGTTTACTCCGAATTGCCTCTTTCAACTCCCAGACCGCAAAACGCCGGGGGATGCGGGCGAGCCAGAGATCCCTCGGCAATTTGGGGGCCCATTTCTTTATGAATGTCACCGAGCTTCTGGCAACAACGTGACGGGCCATTCGATTAGCCATAGAAAAGTCCATGGCACTGGCAACGTCGAGATGCTCGACTATCTCCAGCAGTATCTCGAGCGGGAAGCGGTTCAAGTTCCCCAAGTCATTCTCGAACCTGATGTCTGGGTCAAGTGGCTTTCCAATCTCAACCGTGCGATCAATAGGCTCCGCGTACTCTGGCGTTGCAGTGATATGGAGAAGCGTGACAGGATCCATGCTCTTGGCCATAGATTTCGCCTTTGCGACAGTGACCGGATCCGAGAGGAATTGCATTGTGATAACTAGACCGGCGTCGAACACACAAGTTTTCGGGGTGGGATGGTTCGGTATGGGATCACTCGGCAAGCGTGTTTCTTCTTGCTTTCGACGAAGGCAAGAGCTAGTACTAATGGCATCAATAGGTCAATACACGTTGAATGTGCCTTGATCTGATCAGGCTTACCTCTGCGTGATATCAACGAATGCGCCGATGGATTTGGTATCGAGTGCGCACGTATGGATGTGGTTTGTGGAATTGTTGATGGACGAATCAACGTCAGAAGACCTAGTACTATCTGGTGAGAATCTGAATCGACTTAACATCCGATCTGATCTGTCTTACCTCTGGCTATTCACGAATGCACCGATGGTGTAGTCAAGGCTCGTTAGGGATCGAAAATCGACGTGATGATAGAGATGGGATGGAGAAGAGTTGGGTAAAGGGTTTCTGGACAGCACGTGCATGGGAATAAACAGCACACAGGGCTCGGCATTGCATCATACACAGGTCTACCAATCGAGGAAGCTTCAAAGCTATACTACTGTCATATGACAGCTGGCGTCACAACACTCTTGTAGAATGATTACAGCGATCGATTGACCACACGGTAGACTGGATATGACACTGCAAGCAACCCGCCCATGCGCCTTAACATACTCTACGACCATTCCATAACGACGATGAGGATGATGATGATAATTCTATTGGCCTAATGCAGCCCAGCTAATGAGTAGTGGCTATGTAGGTGCTTCCTCTAGTGGAAGCAAGAGCGAGCCGAACGCCCGCCCAGAGAAGGATAACCAAATACAAAGAAGGACAATGGCGTTTTGTCAAACAAGCGCGGCTTGCTGCCGCCCTAATACAACTGAACGCCCGTCATAAACAACTCCCACTGTTTACTTCGCTCAGAATACCCACAATTGGAAGTAAAGAAAAAGAAACAAGTTTAGACGAAGCCCCAAGAATAGAGGAAAGGGAGGATCAAGGACAACGACGCCATGTGTCAGGAAGTGAACGTAACAAAATGAATGAAAGAGCCTGAAAGGCAGTGAAAGAGAAAAGACATAAGGAAACGGGTCCTGCGTAGGGCAAGTGACGGGCTGAGTGGACGCCGGTGAAAATGTATGAGATGGGATGAAAGAAAAGAGAGGACTAGAATAACGAGTGAACCTTACATGGGAGTGGGATTAGGTGACGTGCGAATAACAATCCCCTTCATTTATGTGGCATTGGAAGTAGCTGGTATGGAAGATGAGTGACGATGGCACAGGTTGATGGGTACGCATCGGACCATTGATCCTACTAGTCATATATGGTAGTCCCAATATCAGACCAAAGGTACTAGTAGTAGCCAGAGGCAGAGCGCATTGTCTACAGGGGAAAGTCTGGCTGTATTTCTCGAATGGGCTACGCTACCTGAGAAAGTGAGGGATGTGAGTAAAGTTGACAAAGCAAGGTAAATCTCCTTCCTTTCGTTACATGGTATTGCCATCTTTCGAATACCCCCAAGCCCTGTCAAACTCGCTCCAGCCCCCAGGCGGCGCATCCCACATAGCCAATTCACGAACCACTGTGTCGTAGCATCCATCGCTGGGCATAATTCCCTGACAGACATTTCCTCCAACGGCGATGTTGATGAGAATTCTGAACTCACTCATTCTCCTCGTGCCAGACGGCTTCTCAGCCCTCATGATGGGCGTACCATTAATCAACCAGACCAAGCGCCCGCTGCCTGTCGTCTCGTCCTCGTCCCAGATAAAATCGTACCTCACCCCCATCGGCGAGCTAATGTTGGGGATGGGGGTTTCAAGCACACGATGCTTGTTCCAGTCCTCGCCGTTGAAGTGACCCCAGTGCAGACAAGTGTGGTTGATAGCATCGCCGTTCCACGTCTCCATTATGTCGACTTCGCCGTCCTCGGGCCACTTGAAGGGGTCTTTAGGCAGCAGCCAAAAGGCAGGCCAGATACCTCGGGCAACCGGTGCTGTAATTCTGGCAGACAGACAGCCCCGTGGTCGGCTGAGGGTCTGGTGACTCGACAGTCGGGCGCTGGTAAACTTCTGGGCCGGGTCGGGATTGCCGTGGTTGATCAGGGCGCGCACAATCACCGCATCGCCCTGGATTGAATGGAATGAATTTTGCGGGCTGTCGACATAATTCTGCGCCTCATTGTTGCCCCATCCATTTTGGCCCTGTTCGTGATAAAAGTTTGCGGACACCGGTACTTGGGGATGTAGATTGGGTTGCCAGTAGACCTGCGGTTGCGAGTGCTGTTCCTGATAAGCGGCTGGTGGCTTGGTAGAGGTTGGAATAGGCGGAGGGGCACGATTGGTTATTTCATCCCAAGCCTTGTCTGCCTTATGGATGATGTCCTGAAACGCCTGTCTGAATGGCATGTTGAGTATGACCTCGGTATGGATGTTACAGTAGTACAAGTAGGGAAGATGCGTGGAAAACAAAATACCCGAATTAGCAAAGCTGACGTCATTGGTATCAATGTAACCCGAAGTGGAAGTATTTGGTGCCTCAGGCATAAAGCACATGCAAACCATACAAACACTTTCGGGAGCGCAACAAAACTTTAGCATCAAGCACAAAATTTCAAGACGTTGAAGTTCTAATATATGGCCTATCTAGTGTGATAGAATTGAACGTTACTCACATCGTTACTCACATCGTTACTCGTTTCTCTTTCATAACCAATATCAATCCCAACACGTGCCTCGCCTCGCACTATCCCCAAGTATGCCAGAAGCATGCCATGACCATTCCTTCCCTACAACAGAACTCTCCAAAGCAGAGCGCTTCAAAGCCACCCACCTCGCCGCGCGCCATGGCAATTACCACCAATATTACGCTAAGTTTCGGTCGCCCATCGTTCCGGACGAGCGCCTTTCCATCCTCCCGTCAAATATCCTCCGTCGCGCGCGAGTCATAGACCTAGGCTGTAACGCGGGCAAGCTGACCCATGAGGCGATAGCGCATTGCGGCGCGGCCGCCTCAGTCGGCGTTGATATTGACCCGTGGCTGATAGAACAGGCGAAGGCGGCCTACCCGGATGGGCCATGCACATTCGAGCACTTTGACTTCGTGGATGCGTCTGCGTACAAGGGTACCGCGCTGGGCAAATTCGACGTTGTTCTACTGCTCTCTGTGACCAAGTGGGTACATCTCAACAACGGGGACTCCGGGATGTTGAAGCTCTTTGCGCACATACACAGCATATTGAATGACGGGGGATATCTCGTCGTGGAGCCACAGCCTATGAGCAATTATGCGAGAGCTTCGAAAAAGAATAAGGAATTGAGAGAGACGTATAAAACGATCCAGATCAGGCCGCCGTTTGAGGGTGAGCTGAAAGCGCTGGGATTTGAGAGGATACTGCAATTTGAGAGGGATGAGGAGGGATTTGCTAGGCCTGTACATGTATGGAAAAAAGGTAGCATATCATGATCAATGGAGATGGCTTCAGTGAGTCAAGCTGTAATCCCGACAAGTCCCCTCCGGGGCTCGGCAGCCTGCCTGGGGTATCTGAGGAGCCAATCTTCGACACTTGACCCGGCAGATTTATCGCGGATCTATAGATACGGGCCATACAATATCAGGGAGGACTAGATGGTGGGGAAATTATCCTGTATTGCCCTGAGCGTTGTTACTATGGGGCATTGGATAGTCCTTCGAGCTAGAACAGAACACACTTGGACATCCGGACCTCGGGAGCTTCCAGCAATCTTAATCCGTCGGAATCTCAATCCTCGCCCCATTGGAAACTAGCCACCAACGATCCGATTCAACCAGCTTCTCATCCACAAACGGCGAAGGACAATCAAGTCAACTGAAGGATGTATAACAGGGTCTGTGCTGTGCTAAGCCGGAGGATACGCATCAGTCCCATCAATCCGTTTGCAACGATCCAACCCGATTGTTGATCTATCAACAACCTTACAATCAGATCTTACACTTAGGATGCTTGCATCTTCGTCTACTATTTTTGCTGGATCTGGACAAGGTAGGAAGAAGCCTTCGGGCCCGTTTGTGTTCACCGCAGCCATTGTTATGATGATTTGCCGCAATATTAACGGTCTGGTTTCGCGGAGAATATATGACAGCCCCCGATGCTGGATGTTGTTTCAGGTCCAGTCTGATTTGAAGATGACACGGACTAGGCTTTCGTTCATGCTTGTTGAAGGTTATCTCGGTTCATCACGACCCGTGCGTTGACCTATGGGGGACAGATATATTAGAGGTCTGGAAGGGCCGGTCTCTCTCTTTAGTATCAGGTTTTTGTTTCAAATTTCACAGCTCGCACTCTCTGGGCAAATCATTCACATAAGTTCACTACCTACTAGAACTCTGATTCTAAACGTTAGTTCTCTTTGTGTGTCACAAATAGCCAGCAAGTTGACACCTTTTTTATAGTGAACATCACCTCAATCAGCAATATGCTCCTTCTTGTTCTACGAAAGTTCTGGATCCGACGACGAAGATCAGAGCCAGAGCGAGCACCGATGTCCAGAACTACCTCGGAAGAATTCGACCCTCCAGAAAAAGACACGCAGAGGCCGCACATTGCTGTCACTCACACGCCACAATACAATGAGACAGAAATGATCGTCAATCAATTAGCAGCCCTCGCAGCCAGTGTGAGCCATGCATCAAGCAACTACAGCACCCAAAGCACTTCATCTTCAACTTTCGGCCCTAAGTCTGAGTCCCAGATAGCAACACTCAGATCCCAGCATGAAAAACCCGAAGAGGAAGAAGAAGAGGAAGAAGAATCATTCTACCATCTTCGTAGTCTGATAACAGTCTCGTGTCTACCACAGCACACATCAGGCCACGTCTCAACGCTCTCGGTCTCAACACTGGGCTCCAAATCGGGGAGACACACAAGTCAAATGTTTGATGGTAACAGGGCATCTTCAATCCTGAGTTTACATCTTGGTGATTTGCCAAATTTGTCATTTCCCCCAAAGCGCAGTGTCTCGAAAAGATCTTGTCCAAGATATAGTCCTCTGCCACCGCCGTTCGTGCAGAAAAACCTTTCTGTTCGGCCCGAGGTGCGGTTCTAGGCGCTGAGATTGAAAGGATTGTGGTTTCAAAATTTCGAAATATGTTGTCTGGCAGGCTATTCTGTTTGTGATATCCAGGATGGTAATACTGTCTCTCGTCTACTGTATGATATCTGCTTAGCTTCTTTGTCTGCCTGGTATCAATTGCTGAGTTTTCAGTTTGAGAGTGACGAAGTACAAAAGATTTGACAATGCTGTACGATGTCAATGGAATGAATATTGAATATCATGTCAATTCCTTCCTGTTAATGGCATACATTGGATATGTAGGATGTCTCTCTGAGAGACGTTGTCCAGCTGTCGGTGTCCTTTACACCAACTGGCAAACATTCCGGCAACTGGCGAGTGCCAAGTCAACTGGCAAGCCCTCCGCCAACTGGCAAGTCCATATCCCTACGAATTGCCCCAATAATCCCACCATGACATGTGCTGCGTCTGGTCTGATTCTGGCTTTTAACTATATGTCAAAAGGTATCATTTTTCAAGATTGGTTCACAAACTGAGGAATTTCACATGCTGGGCAACTCGCGGTCGCGGCTTCCTCTTAGACACTAAAGAGGGAGGCGCTTATACAGCGGCGTAGAGGCGCCAAGACGGAGTCGAAGGGGCGTCCACGGGTGAACTGTAAGACGCTCTTTTATTCAAACTCCGGGTCCTGTCTTTAGGTATCAATGGTAGGTAGCCTCATTCTCAACAGTTCCTTACATGAATCAACTTAGGCGATCGAGATGGCAAGAATATATCAAAGCCCCTTGGATTTAGTGCTCACTCGAGGTTTTCATGCTACTCCTACTGGTAAGTAAGAGGATCCTTGTGCCCTCAGGGAAAACTGGATAAATATGACAAGAAAAACACAAAATCTCACGTTTGCATAACCTTTACATATAAGTCTTCACAGGAAATTCATGCCTTCAGCTCCTCCGACCACGGATAGTCTTCTGAGGAGTGGTAGTACACACTCAGATACACTCCTGTCCTCTCCGTGTATGCGAATGAAATCCACGAGGTCAATCGGGAAGTCTTACTCAATTCCAGGTTGGGGCTGGTAGCAGTCAGTTAATGAGCCAATCATGTACAAAAAGGGATGGGGTGACATACAAGAAATCTTGGATAACACGCTCCAGATTATTACCATCATCCACGAGGCCAATGTGAACCAAGAATTTTGCCAATCCCCGGATGATACGTTCATCGCTCTCACCATGAACAGGGAAGTAGAACTTGGTCAAGGGCCATGACTCGCCGACTCTCATTTCATAGTTCCACACCATTGGCGTTGGCGTGGCATCCTTCCCATCATCAAAGCCACCAGTAAATGCCCGGTCACCTTCGCTGATGCCAGTCAGAAGCCAGAGTTCGCGCAGGTAGCTCAGTCCCTTTTGCACCACGGGCGTGTTGACCCGGCCACCCAGAGTCCAAATCTCCTCAATCTTAGACCAAACAACACTGTTGTGGGCACTGTAAAGCTTCAGACGGGCTTTGGAATCTTCAGCACAGTCGAAGGACCAGAAGGCAAACTGGCTGTACCCGTCTGTTACTTTCATGTATTCGTTCACTAGGTCAAAGGCAGGGAATGGTCCCAGAGACTCCTTGAGCGGCACCAGGGACTTGTTGATGATGCTGCCGAAATCTTGCTTTGACACCTGCGTCTTCAGCCCGGGGAAGGTATAACCCTTGACAGAGACAGTGTCTGGCTGCAGATCAAAACCAAACGCCGCCTGGGATGTCAGGATGGTTCCGGGTCTTGCCTCGACACCGAGGTCCTGGCTTTCCTGCTCACTCAGGGTGTGCGCCTTCAAGAAGTGATGAAACAACCGTGAGTTGAAGCCAGGCGGACTTAGCTTATCCAGCGTCTCCAGTAGCTCAATAATGGGCTTCTGATTGTAGGGGTCTTCGGGGGTACCGGACGCCTCAGCCACGGGCTCGAGTCCAATGCGCACGACATGACTGGCGGCTGAGTTCTGCTGGTAGTTGATGCTAAATTCCAGGGGCAGTCCACTGCGAGTAATAGCACTGCGGAATGACGCGGGATACGGACCAAGTCGCGGAATAAGAACCTGCGAGTAGAAGAGCAGTGCCTCATACTGTCGTTCCGGGCTGTAGTGGGCGGCTTCCAGGATCTTGGACAGCAGTCGACCGGTCTTGTTCCACCATTCTTGTCCATGGGGAGTGGAAAATAGACAGAATCGGTTCAATAGCGTGTACGGCGCTTTTCCTTCGCCCCAGGTGGGCTTTTGAGTCGTAACGGTCATCTTGAGATAAATATTAGGGTATAGAAGGTATAGCTTTGCTTTCGTGTGCACAAATCGAAAGAAGTTGGAGCTATTACATGCGATAATTTAAGGACTTGCCCAGACTCACCTAGCGTTTGGGCTCCTGGGATTTGCAGCGGCCACACCGTTCTTTTCTTGATGGCGCAGTCCCACTGCGAGATATACCTTGCAGAATGCATCGGGTCCCGCATCTCGCATGTTTGGCATGGAAACCCTTACACTATGCAGCGGGGGTGATCAGCTCCACAACTGGAGATTCCTCATCCAGCATGCATGTTTAGTATAGTCCCTGCGACCAAAGAATATTTAACCGGAGAACAAGTGGCCAGACTCGGCCCACTTGTGAGAACTGTCATCTTGTCGCCTTCAACCTCTTTTCTAAGTCCCAGACATCAAGATGACAATTCAACAGAAAACGATTACTATCTTTGGAGGCACAGGTAGGCTGAACATTGGTCGCGGCCAAATTAGTGATTGATTCCTCTGATTCTTAGTTTTATAGGCAACCAAGGCAATGCCGTGGTGCAATCTCTTCTGGCCCACAAGGACAAAGCATTCCATGTCCGAGTCATAACTCGGGATCCCACCGGTCCAGTAGCACAGGAGCTGGCTGGGCTGGGAGCAGAGCTATACAAAGCCGACGGATTCAACAAAGAACAGATTACAGCCGCCTTTCAGGAGAGCTGGGGCGCATTTATCAACGTCAACTCAGATGAGTCTGTGAGTACATGAGTCATGATATATGAAAACCATTCAACAAATGCTAATACAGAGCTATGTACCAGGGAGAGAGAGAGGCCCTGGATAGTCCCAATTCCTACGACCTGTCTATCTCAATCCTCGACGCAGCTCAAGCCGCAGGAACTGCCCACGTAGTGTACAGTTCCGGGGCGAATGTCAACCGTGCCACCAACGGACGGATTCACATTCCTGGCTTTGACTGTAAGTTGACAGAGACCATGAAGCTTTTGAAGGCACCTGATGACCAATTCGCTTTTATCATACAGGCAAAAGCTATGCAGCAGAGTACGCGCAGCAGCGAGGATACTTCACAACATTTACCCCTCTTCTTCCCGCCTCCTTCATGGAATGCTGGATGGATGAATCTTTCTGCAAGACCTGGGGCGGCTTTCCCTGGTTTGGAGAAGATGGGCATGACAAGAACGGAGTTGTTCTATCAGCCCCTCCTTATGGTGGAGATGGGCGCATGCCTTGGGTGAGCCTGCAGGATGATTTCGGAGACATTGTCCATGGAATTTTCCTCAATCCTACTCAGTATCATCATCGGCCTGTACAGGCCATTAGTGGGATGATTCGCTATGAGGATTTGGCTAAAGCGTTTACCAAGGGTAAGTCATGCGATGTTTCCCCCTTACTTGTGCTGTGTCGTTTCTCTGACGCTCTACAGCAACGGGCAAACCCGTTGGTTACCAGCCTATGGAATCATGGAGAGACATTCCTCAGGACGGTAGCCACCTTCGGGATGAATGCCAGCTGATGTTCTTTTACATGCAATTCTGCGGTGGGCGGTGGTTCGCAGAGCATGTTAGCGATGACACCGACGCGAAAAAATGCAAAGCAGCTGGTATGGAGGCTAGGGGACTGAATGGTAAAGGTTTGGCTTGCTTTGAAAATTGGTTCCGACGAGCGGCTACACAACGAGTCTAGTTTTGATGCATTTTGAAAGGCCACCGTCTAGAAATGAGAGATAGTCACCACCAGTACTAGCTAGATACATGAAATTCAAGCCGTGAAGGATAAGTAGACACTCTCACTTCTAATTTAAGCTAATTTAAGCCAAAAGCATTCCACCATTTGATTCCAGCACCGAGCCGGTGACATACGAATCCTTCATTAGGTAGATGTACGCCTGAGCGACCTGTTCCGGAGCACCCGCCGAGTCAACAAGCGACTTCTCTTTAGCAAGCTTAATCGCCTGGTCGTAGAAAGGTCCCAGAATGTCCTTCACCACATCTGTCATGATTGCCCCCGGGGCGACAACATTGACCCGCAAAGGTCGCAAATCAATAGCCAGGCCCTTCATCAAAGACTCCACCGCACCACAGTGCGCCGCAATAACAGACCAGCCCTCATCAGGCTTGCGTGCATGAGCCCCACTAGTCAGTGTCATGGAGCTGGCAGTGGTCCGATCCATGAAGGAAGGCAGATACTTGGCGAAAAGCATCGGAGCTATCAGACGGATAGCCGTCGTGCGTTGGAGGCGTTCGGCGGTCACCTTGGACAAGGGTGGCGGAACTGTCATGTCGGCTGCAGTGATGACGAGGTGATGCAGTTTGCCCGGGCCAGCTGCTAGTTGTAATATTTCCTGCACGCTGCTATCGGCTTTCGTGGAGTCACCCAAGTCTCGGGCTAGACCCTGGAGGCGATCGCCCTGGGCTTGGGTTGGATAGCTTGCAGCGAGCTGGGATAGGGCTTTGGCCAACTTGGGCTCATGCTGTCCGACTATTGTTACTATGGCGCCGTGTTCGAGGGCGGCTTCGGCAACGGCATAGCCAATTCCTGAGGTGCCGCCGACGATCAGGACTCGCTTGTCCTGGAGCTGGCCGGTGTACTTGGTTGCACTTGGAGCTGAGGATCCCGTCATGATGGTGAATGAGATTGTAGAATATGAAAATAGTCGTGATGGCTTCAGAGGCTATATTTGGAGAAGGACAGGGTCGCCAGTGAAGAATATCAGATCAAGGCACGTTGGGCCATTCGGATAACTTCATCGAGCGGTGAAAACGTGTCCAGCCAGCTGCATCCACTTCGATTATTAGCTGGAATATAGGTGACTATTGATTTTTGATTTTGCATCGCATCTAGATCGATAGTTCACTGCAGGTCTACACCGCTACGTGCTAATTCTTCCAAGCTCGTTAAATATCTCAGCTGCATGCCCTAATGTGCACATGTGGGGTTCAGCTCCACTACTCTCAGCTCACACATCGTCGTGTATCGTCGTGTATCGTCGTGTACTGTCGAGACTACGTCTACTTCTGCTTTTGTTTCCCCACAGACACCAATGGAAAATAGGCAGAATGGCAGAAACTAGACAGGTATGCTTGATATTTCGATCGAGAGGAATCTGGACGTTGCGTAGGTTGTGTTGGAATAATAGTAGTGAGTCAGCAAACTGGCGAGTCCACTCTCCAGCCAACTGGCAAGCCCTCAGCCAACTGGCGAGGCTATCCCTACGAATTTTCCAACCAATTACACTGCGACTTGTGCAGCGTCCGATCTTGTGTTTAACCCTATGGGAAAGGTAAGAGGTAGTTATCAATTTTCCAAGGTTGGCTATAACTTGTTGATCCCACAACTTAATTCACGCCTCCTCTTCCCGTCTGTCCTCCACTAGCTGTGCCCCGAGTGTACATTTTCTAAACCCCATGATTGCTGAAGCTTGTCCAACTTCCCAGCATCAATCAGACCGGAAGATTGGAGGATAGAGATATATTGTCGAATAGCCCGGTAGGAACTTTCGAGCGACCCAGCTATCCATCCATGATGGGTACTGCACGCCTCCCCCACCAGAAACATTCGACCATCCGCAGCTGGCTGCACCAATGCCGGGTAGAAAGCACGGAATTGGCCTGGTCCAAAGTAAGCAAAAGCTCCTGCGCTGTCCGGGTCTCCGCCCCAGTGATGACCATGAATATCCTCGAACTCGTGATCGAGAAGCCGGCGCGTGCGTTCATACCCACAGGCCATTCCAGTGCTCCGATCGAGACAATGTTGATGGAGCGAGGCTAGGTTGTCCAACACTAACTGCTTTAGATGCCGTCGTGCCGATTTAGATCCACAGTTGAGAAGCGAGCCCATCTGGTGGGCATCTTGCCCCCAGGTGTAGGAGCATAGGAGAACGGTACTATCATCAGAGGGGTAGACACAGGTTCGTATGGGCAAATCCGTCGTCGCCTGACCCCCTTTGATACCGCACACGGTTTTCCACCAGGCAGTTCGAAAGCGAACGGCGATTTTGGTCGAGTCGTCGTAGTGCACGCTCTGTACAGCTGCTCGCTGTTGAGCACTGAGGATCTCGGGCCCTAATTGCATACGTCGTAGGCAAGGTAATGTGGCGGTCGAGAACACGGCTGAATATTGCCGTGGCTTGTCTTCTCCGTCGACGTGGACGGACATTGGATAGTCGCAATTGTTGGGGTCCTGCATAATAGACTTCACCCGATGTTCGAGCAAAGGTCGATGCGACAGTCGCGCGGCCATTGTATGGATGACCTGAGAGGTCCCTCCGGCGACACGGTACCATTCGGGCGAGGAGCCTGTTGCGGTAGGGTAATCGAAGTCCATAGCGTCAAGGACAGCCTCCGTGAATGCTCTGTCATAGAGACCTGAAGCACTGCCATTGCGAGGTCAGATGATGTGAGGGCGAGAGAGAGTGATTCCCGGGCGTAGACGACTTACCTGCACACGGTCTCCAAGTACCACACGGAGCTGAGATCGAGTTTCCTGGGTGAGAGGTGTCACAGAGGATACTTTATGAGCTTGGGCTTCCATCATATGAACCTACATCTCCTGGGTTAGATACTCCCGCATCGTTAGATTGTCAAACTTCATAAGATGTTCGAATCCAGCGGAGAAATCCTTCGCCAACCGAGCGATAAAGGGTTCAAAGGCTCTTTGGAGAATAGCATTCGGATTTTGGGAGGCAACTCTATGCGATGAATATTCGTTAACTCCGACTATTATGAAGACGGGACAACAAACTCGTATGGACGTACTCATCAGATACAATGCCTCCTTGCGAAGCACCAAGCAGAAAGCAATTCTGGCCGGTTTCGGGGATATTATTCGACTGCAACGTGAGTCCGTTGTAAAACCGAGGACATTCGGGGCTGTCATACGTATAAGACACGAGGGTAGCATCACAACGGGAGAATAGGTCAAATGTGCGCGCTAATGGGGGAATCTTTTCACTCTCTCAGCGTCCAAACTTATGAGTTATGGGGGTTTGTTGGCTCACGTTGGGAAACCTCATCGCCCCGACATCGTAGTAGCTTCCTCTCCTGTCACCAAAATGGTGAGTATAAACACGGCCACCAATGCGGTCTCGAGACTCCAAGATATCGTAACTCAATCCAGGAATGCCTAGGTCATCTAGGATCATGGCCAGGTATAGACCGGAGACTCCAGCTCCAATGATACAGATTCGAAGTGGAAGAGCATCGCCACATACTACAGAGCCACCCCGATGGTTTTGACCTCCTGCGTTGCAGGGATTGGCTAAGCATTTCTTAGGCGCCTCTATTTGAGTCCATTCAGCTCTCACAACGTTATCGGACGCCTGTGCTTGCACATGATTTAACCATCTGGCACGAAGAGACAATCGCGACAAGTTGGGCGGAAGACTGATCTCCCATTTTTGGAAAATCTTCGATGGGAAATGTATTGTTGAAAGCGAATCAACGCCCAAAGTACACTTGGAGAGACGGCGACGGAAAGCCACAGAAAACCAGCCTCCCTTTTCGTCGTTCGTCATGATCCGGATGTTTTTCTCACACTTTGACAGGCGGGTTTCGGTTGTCGGAAGAAAGTGTTCCATGATAGTAGTTCACATCTTGTACAGCATAGCAAGGGACGAATTGCATCATCCTGTGGTTACATGCATGGCATCGATGCGGAACAGCTCAATGCCACCGATTCGGAGGATGATCCCCCTTGTGAATTAAGGCGAAAGCATGGCTTAGCTGAAGGACCCGATTGTCAGCGAGCTTGGGTTCCCCGATATACATACGTCCTATCAGATTATTGACATTATATCCATATTGGGAGTCCATACTTATCGAATAATATTTTTTTCAGGAGTGGAATTTGTTGATTCGCAAGGGGGAATCCAAGTGCTGAGTGAAGTGAGAAGATGTTTGTCGAAGAATGCTCCTAGAGAGTGGCTTTTGGGTTGCAGATACATGACTGTACTTATTTTCCGGCATTTCGAGTCCGTTCATTCCAGAATATCGCTTCTTCGGGTCTCAACAAATCTTCATCACTGATTCTTCAGTTTCTCACTGTAACCAAAATGGGCAAGGTTACTTCAAGTTCTGGAAGCCCGAATATACGCAGACCGATCAGAAAGATCTTGCGAATAACATTGAGGCATTTCTCAGGTTTCCCGGTGGTAAGCAAGTTTTCAATTATTACCATCGCAGAGCAGAAAAGAGGGGCACGCAGTGCTGGGTCTGCAGTGAGTTCCACCACTCCGCATGAGCCCAGAACAATATGCTGATCTATTTCAGGTAATACAATTTGATCACTGATGTGTTCCAATGAATTGACCGAATATATGCCACCTCTGCCGGTTATCACACACCGAACCTATTGGGCATTCATGGTTCACCATGAGAATATCTCGCCCATCGGGTCAATATCCAAGAAGGCCAAGAAGTGATAGATGTCGACCGTGGCATTGGCGGACCCGCCACGAGCGATAGCCGGTTCACCGATCAATATCAAATTCATCAGGACCTTCAGTTCACCCGGGAAGCCGGACTGGGCTACCAGGTGAACTGTGTCACGATATTTCCTTGCACATACCTCATCTGAACACAACACCTTCGACGTTGGCTATGTCATCGAAGCGAAATGTTACTCACCAAGCCTTGTCGATGGCTAGCGGGAGGTGTTCCAGATCCCCAAGCCCGACGCGACCTTTGGACTGTACGAGGTCGTGATGACGGACAATTATGACGACAAGAACCCCGGCGCATCCACAGGTACGCTTCAGCATCCAGCGAGGAGGCGGTGTTTGCCCACGTGTACTCAGCTGCAGAAGCTATTGCGGCCACCGAGGAGGCTGGGTTTGAGCTGATGGAATACGATGATGTAGCGAGCAGGCTGGACCGGATTCCTTGAGAGAAGCAGCTGTGTGTCCCGCTCGGTGCGAACTATTAGTCCTCGCTTGCCGTGCTGGCCTTCTTCTACTTTGCTCGCAGCTCGTCCTTCGAGTGGGGCAACAGCATAGTGCAGTCACTTGTCGGCAATTCAGAATGCATGGATGTTTTGCAAACTGGCTACGGACCAGGTTGTCACTATCCTTGACAGCACGTAAAAGGGAGGTGAGATGAGAAGGCGCTGAAGCCGGTCGCCAAGATCTGATACGTTCGCTCCGTGGTTTAGTTAAACTCAAATTTTGTTTGGCCTGAACCCTGAGGCTTTCAGAACATGAGTGATCGCACGTGATCCAGATAGCGTGCGAGAGGCGGTGTGCAGACCGAATCTTTTCAATATTAGCAGCTTGGTTAAGGTTCATCATCCATGACAGATCAGTGTAGCTGCCATTGGCTTGCTTATTTTCTAAGATTCATCATACGGAATGACGGGCCAGGGAAATGAAATGGAATGAAGCACCTTTTCATCTGAACGCCAAATCAACTTGGTAACCTACATAAGCATCATACCTCCATTCGACTCTAGCACCGTCCCGGAAACATACGAATCCTTCATCAGATACAAATAAGCCTGAGCCACTTCCTCTGGATTTCCCACAGCTCCCACAGTTGATTTTTCCGCAGCAGCTTTGATACCCTCCTCGAACGCATCACCCAAGATGTCACGCACAACAGTCGTCAACACCGCCCCGGGAGAGACGACATTAACCCGCAGCGGCTTAAGATCAACAGCCAGCCCCTTCATCGCAGCCTCAACAGCTCCACAGTACCCCGTAACCACAGTCCAGCCAGGGTCAGGCTTATGAGTGTGCGCCCCACTCGTCAAGGTCAGCGAGTTTTCCTTTTTACGATCCATGTATACGGGAAGGTGTTTCGCCAGAATCAGCGGCGCCACAAAACGGATCATGCCAAATTTCTGGACGACCTCGGCCGTCAGGTCTGCCAGTAACGGTGGCTGAGTCATCTCAGCTGCCGTGTAGACGACGTGGTTGATTTTGCCGTCGTCGGCGGCCAGTTTGAGGAGCTGCACTAGGTTGGTGTCCAGCATGGACGTATCGGACAGGTTACAGCACATAGAACGTAACCGATTGTTGGCTGTTTGGGTGGGATACGACGTTTGGAGACTGGCCATTGCCCGCTTGAGCTTTGAGGGGTTCGAGCCGGCGATTGTCACAATGGCGTCGTGTTCGAGGGCGCCTTCGGCGACGGCATAACCGATGCCTGAGCTGCCGCCGATAATCAGCACGCGCTTGTCGCTCAGTCGGTCAATGTATCTGGACGTAGGGGGAGCCATTGTGGGTGATTGAGGAAATCAAGGTATTCTGGACTAGATTTGTCGCGGAAAGGATGTTGTGACTACTAAGTTAAATGGTGAATTTACGCTAGTGGCCGGGATCTCTCGATTTGATCGTGCCAGATCGGGTGGCGCTGAGTACTGGGGACTGCCATAGGTGGCGGCTGCATGAGAAGCATGTATGCGGCAAGCATGAAGTCTGCAGTTGATGCAGTGTGAGCAACCAACAGCGGGCTAGCATGAGACATGCGAAGACATATGCAGCTGGTCTGTGCATAACTTCTTCAGGGAAAAGCAAGGGGGACAAAGCCAAGCTTTCATTCTCCACAATTATTTGCAATACTACTACTAATACTAACTAATATTGGAATATAGTGAAACTGGGCCCTTCCGCCGAATAGGATAGTCCCAACCATGCCTGCTTTCCTAGCGGCTTGTGGAGATCTAGATCAGGGCTTGATGGGATTAGCGCAGTTAACCTGCCGTGAGAGTGGAGAGTCCTTACTAGTACGCTTTCAGCGAAGCCATGTAACCCGAAGCATGCTTCGTCAAGCCAAGCCAAGTGAAGAATTGCACAGCAGCCTCAGCAATCTCCACCTCGCTCTTGCCTGTCATGGGGAACCCAATCTGCGGGCGAATGAAAGGTGGAGACTCGAGCAACTCCATCCCGAAAAGTAGCGGGAAGTCAGCCGGGCCGCGCATTCCAGGCGTGAGAGAGAGAATGTCCCAAAGTACCTTCAGAGCTTTGAGCCCATCAGGACTTGACACAGCTCCCCCTAGCGTCCACAGATCACAGATTTGATCCCAGGTCATCTGGGTTTCGGACAAAAAGAGACGGCCAGTGGCTTGCGCTCGAGGCAGCAGATCATAGGATAGGAACATCGGTGAGGTGGTGGCTGCCGTCGACTGCAGATATTTCTCCACAAGTTCCAGGCCCCTCGAGAAGCGCCCTTGCGTGTCGAGCTTGTGCAGAGTGCCCACTAACATCTCCTGCACCGGCGTGTCCGTGGCGATGGACTTGAGCTGTGGGTAGACGTAGAGGTCTGGGAGCACGTCACCGCCACGAAGATTGAGAGCGAGAATGTTCTGAGTCTTGTAGAAAAGACCCTGGACCTCGGACTGCTTAGATGTTTGCAGGACTACCTGTTCCTGTTGGGAAATCATCAGAGCTTCAGCCAATGTGTTGAAGATATCCGAATTGAGCTGGACGCCCTCGGCGATTTGCAGTGTATTGAGCAATTTTCGAATAGCATGGCAATTGAACGGGTCCTGCTGGGTGCCAGCCAAAAAACCAGTAGGCTCAAATGCGAGTCTCACTGACGACTCTTCCACAGTGAATGTCAAGCTCAATTCTAGCTTTCCTGCCCCGGAAAGCAGGGTGTTTCCCTCGGCGCCAATCTTTGGGTCAACGAACTCGCCCAGGGCGGGTGTGACGAGGGCATAGAAGAATATGAGATACTGGTACTGTTGCGCCTCATTATAGGAGCAGAACTGCAACATGTGCTCCAGGATTGGAGCTTTGTTGTGCCACCATTGGGACTGATTGCGGTCTGAAAATGTCAAATATCGACTTAATGATCGGTATGGGCCTTGGACTGACATTGTTTTTGTGCTTTGCCAGTAAATAGGTGGTAATTGTGGTGATGGGAAGAATATCAGTCAGACAAGTGGCATAAATAAGATTGAATTCGAGGTGAAAGGCACTGTTCAGAGCGGTCTATTTATAACCTGCAGCCTAGACACTAGAATAGGTCAATTCCTATGCGCATTAACCTAGGCTTCTGATCAAGTTATCTTTCCCCTGCTATTGTACATCTTGCTATTGTGTATGAATCCTGAGCTGGGGTGACCTCAGAATTCTGATATTGACTACTGGCTGTCCTGAGTACGCCAATATCTAGTAGCTAAGGCGAAAAGCTTCCTCCTGCCTATCCGGTAAGGGCTAGTCTATCAAAACCTACGGAGTGGTTGGGAATATATTAGCAATCGATAGTTGCAAATATACCAAAGTTAGCCCCCTTATCTTCACTTCCATTTGCACCTCTCACAACCTAAAGCCTCCTGTCTGTTTTACCTAGCAAGCTGTATCTCAACATATCCAGTTATCCTCATCTTGCTGCTGCTGTGAGTCCCACTTCAGGTGCACGCCCTATGGGCATAGGAACCTTACGGATTTCCTCCGCAAGTCCCGAAAACTCACTGCGGGCATGTGCCTCAGCATCATGACCATAGACCCATTCCTCAAGGGGCACAGTAGCTATCTTTGTCTCGTCTTCTTCGAAGGCATCCCAGTCCCGCTGGCGCCAGGCCTCGTTGTTTTGATCGCTCATGAGCTGAATAGCAACAGCGCGTGGATATCTATAACAATAATCTGGATTAGCCAGAGACAGCACAACAAATCACTACGAACTGGATGTTATACCGGATCTTCTCTGCCACTCGCAATGCCAGTGGAACTTGGCTTTTGCCAGCGAGTCGCAAACAAACGGCAATCACCGCCGCATCCTCGATTCCCTGTGAGGCACCTTGGCCAGCTGCAGGCGAAAGTGGATGTGCAGCATCACCAGCTAAGATAATTCGACCTCCATGGGAGGTCCAAGTCGGTAAGGGCTCACGCTCGAAGAGTGGATAGTTGATGAACTTGTTTTCGGGCGTGTGACGGATCACCGACAATAAACGATCTCCAACCGCCCACTTTTTCATGAGATCAGTCACTTCCTGTGGATTGGATGGTGAAGTCCAGGAGTCTAGCAATGGACGAGTGTCCTAACATATTTGATCAGCGCAGAACCACAAGTGACAGCGTCATACGCACGGTGTGGATACAGAACCAAGTGACTTCCTTGCCACGATTTGAGGTTTGCAGGGCTATCTGCGCTCCATTCACAAAGAACACGTCAAATCGATCTTCGGCTTCGCTGGTCTCAATAATCCAGCGCGCCTCAGGGTCTGCCGCTATCTTCTCACCGTCAATCAGAGCACGAAACGCCGCATACCCAGATGGTCGGGTGGCCAGATTCTCTCCAGTGATGGCGAGACGTCGCTTACTGTGTACACCATCACAGCAGATGACACAATCCGCTGATATCCGCTCATTATCAACTACCACGCCAGCCTGAGTATCTGTCTCCCAGGTGTCGGTCACGTCCTGGCCGAGATATAGCTTGACGCCAATCCGCTGTGCATGGTTGTACATGGTCTGGAGCAGCTGAGCGCGAGGGATCAGATAGTTGATCTCTTTACACACTTCTGACAGATCTTGTTGTAGAATTTTCCTGCCTTGACCGTTGTATATATTGATTACTTTGGCGGTGTTACGCCACGGACTGAGTTCGTCGCGAACGGTGCCATTGCCCCAGCGTCCGATGATTCGTGATCCGTTACTTCCGATTCCAACGCAGTCACCTAGAGAAGATAGTTAGTAGGGCCAAGAGATGCACCGATGAAGAGGGCCCCCTTTACCAACAGGCTTCAGGATGTCTGTCTTTTCATATGCTGTGACCGAGTAGCCTTTCTCCCGGCACTCGATGGCCGTGGCTAAACCAGCAATCCCCAAGCCAACAACGATTACATGTATACCATCTTCTTTTATTGTAGCCATAGCGAGTTTGGGGGAGGTAAGGTACGCGATAGCTGAGGAAGAAAAGAGAAACAAGGACTTCCAGGTAGAGAATCACGAAAACACCGGTTGTAGCCCAAATTGTATTTGAGGGGATGAAGTAAATATCCTATTACTATTTAATGCCATCTTCAGCAGGATTACACGCACTCCAACCTACATAGCATATCTAACGCGCCAAGTGCACAAGCTGCATCCCCTACACAGACCCTTGCTTGCTGTTCTCAGAGAGGGCGTCCGCCACATTCTCATCCCCGCCATTCTTCCTCACCGACAACTGTTCCAGTCTGATCAAGCCAAAGATCGACAGTGCAGCAATTGCTGTTGCTACATAGAATGTCTCTGTAACAGCGGCATTGTACGCACGGACGATCTGGGGCAAAACATTGGAGGGAAACAGTTTGTCCAAACCCGCCGCGCCGGAATGAACAACAGCATTCGGATCTACCGTCGGAGCAAACTGGGCGACATGAACAAGCAGTCGATTTTGGAAAACTGTCTGTCCAATGGCGACTATCACCGCCGAGCTCAGATTCTGGGCGAAAGTGATGACAGCCGTAGCCACAGGAATGTCAGATCTCGGCAGCGCGGTTTGCACGGCAATGAATGGTAACTGGAATCCCAATCCAAGCCCCAGGCCACACATAGCCTGATATCCAATCCATTTGCCGGAGCCGGATTCTACTTCAAGTGTAGTGCACAGGCCTGCGCCAACAGTTGAAACGATCATGCCGGCTACCATGATCGGATGGTAGTATCCGATAACACTCACGAATATCGAGCCCAATGTCATACAGACAATGAGTCCAACGATGATTGGTAAAATCATGATGCCTGACTTCATGGGCGAGGCGCCCTTGACGGCTTGGAACCATATAGGGAACTGTGCATGTCAGCGCAATGTCCTCAAGTGAGAATTGCATGGGACTTACATAGTAGAGGACTACAATGAAGGATCCCATGATGCACACCATATACCAAGCAGAGCTCCAAACATTCCGGTTGCCGATTATGCGCGGAGGGACCGAAGCTTGCTCTTTCTTGTAAAACTGAATAGCTATCCAAGATGCCGTCGCCAGGCCGAAAACAACGAATAGGACAATAATGCGCGCGTTACCCCAATTGTACTTGGCTCCGCCCCACTGAAGTCCCAGAAGCAGACAAAAGATGGCCGGGAAGAAAATGAGCAGGCTGGGGATATCGAGTCCACGTATCTTATTCCATCGACTTTGGTACCTCTCAGGGGGGCCATCTGGGGGGTAATGAAGAAACATAGAATGATGACAGCCGTGACCGCGCCCAGTGGTAGATTGATATAAAAACACCATCGCCAAGTAAGATGCTCCGTAAAGGCACCGCCGATTCTAAAACCAGTTTGATTAGTGACGTTCAACGTGTTGGAATGGTGCTTGACGTACAAAGGCCCAACAACCGATGCAATACCGCCCATGCCCCCGAGGATGCCAGTAAAAAGCGGGCGTCGCTGGAGCGGCACGCTCTCGCTGATTATCAATATAGCACCAGGCAAGACTCCTCCAGCACCTAGTCCAGCAATGGCTCTACCCACGATGAGGGCGACTGAGGAGGGCGCGGCACCGCAAATCACTGACCCGACTTCAAAAAACCCGAGTGCCACGATGAATGTCCATTTCATCGAGTAATACGTGTAGATCTTGCCGAAGAGTAGGACGACTGAACAGTTGGTGAAGAAGTAGATGCTTGAGTACCATCCAAGATCCTGAAGCGAATCGAAGTTCCGTGTGATTTCTGGGATAGCATTGGAGATGATTGTATTGTCCTGTTGGCATTAGGAAGAGTGTCTCTCGAAGAAGATATAGAGGCGCATACCAGAGCCACACAGAAAACCGCGAGGGCATTACCGAGCATCAAGAGTCCCAACTTCCATGGAGCGATCTGGAAGCGCTTTTCATCTTCTGTTGGACTTCCCGGGGTGTTTGTTGTCGCATGTTCGAGTTGGGCGTCGGGTGTTTTGTCGTTCATCTTCTGGTAGTTTTCGTTGAAGGCGTCCATGACCAGACTTGTTCCAGCTTTGTAGTCCATCTACCGCGGATGTTGAGCACTCACAGGGCAAGAAATGCAAGGGGAAATCTATATATCAATAATTTCCGGAGAATAGATCTGGATCGTCCGGCATGTCCTCAGTATGTATGTGAATCATTCGGCGGGCAAGGGGGGGGGGGTGTAAGGAATGTATGCATGTAAGTCTCATGCAAGTGCATAAAATGAGGTTGATGATGTACATAGTGATTTTGTATACAATATGACAACATACCTAACGGCATTTCTGTCTCTGGCCTGCCAATTAACTTGTCTCGCACAAGGAGAGGAGGAAGAAAAGGAAAGGAGAGAGAGCTATCAAACATGTGACTTCTACAAACCCTACATGCAAGTCATCTTCGTCGAGTCAAAGCCTTCAGTGTCCAAATCTAGTCCCCGTCTAAACAGAGGTACTAACTACTAGGTAAGGTAGGTAGAAAAAAAGAGCAAATAAACCTAAGGAAAGGCAGAAACGACAAAGACATATTATATTGTAAACGTATATCGAACCATAGGTAAAGAGAACATCTCATGGAACATCTAACCAATCTATGTAATAAAACATAAAACCCGAACCATCACCAGTCTGATACACAGCTTCAAGATTGAATCTCTAGACCAGTGCCATATTCCCCAGCCCAGTGGTGCGAGAGAATAGGATGTCCTTCCCATAGCTCGCTAACATATCCGTGTCACCTATACCAAGCGACAAGAGATACTGCGCATTGCGAAGTAAAGTCATCCACAAGACACTACGTCCCGCATGCCAAACAGACGCCTTGACCGCTTGCGGATGACCCAGAGCGCCGCCCGTCGCACGCACGAAATCCCAGACAGGCCATAGCGGATGTCGCTCACGCTGAGTTTGCAGCTGCGCATTGACTCGATCCAGCCATTCCGCGTCAGACAATGAGACCAACGGCCGGACCAGGCCAGTGGCTTGGCTGATAGCACGCCAGAATTCGTGCGCCAGAAGTCCATCTTCGATGGTAGTCAGAGCTAGCGTGGCACGATCGGTCGGAGGATGGAGTGTCTCGGCGATGACAACGGTCGCCACCCAGTCCACAGGCGCTAGGTAGACCCAGCCATTCATTGCTGCCTCTGAGCCATTGAAACCGCCAACCGCCACAGCTGCTGCAACTGTGCGCCAGAGGACGTCATCTGCGTTCGGGGCGCCATCTACTGAGGGCCCGATCATGAGGCCAGGACGGACGATAGCGATGCGGCTATCGCGACCTTGGGAGTACCGGTGGAGCAGGAGCTCGGAGACTGCTTTTGTCTGCGCGTAGCCGCCGTCTTCGTCTGAGGCGTCGGCCTCGGATGCGGCCAAGGTTTCAACATCGGATAGGACTGCCTCGCCCGGTCGAAGTGTAGAGACGTAGGTGAATTGAATGGGCTGTCCCGGCGCCTGAGCTATCGCGGTCAATAGCTCAAAGGTACTCTGCACATTGGCTGGCTGCAGCGAGGAGTAGGGATACACCCAGTGCACTATGGCGCCGTTGTGAATGATGGAGTCAAAGTCGCCGTGGCTTAGATGCGCCCACTGCGCATCCGAAAGGCCTAACTGCGGCTGGGCGAGGTCACCACGCCAGACCTTGATGATTCGGCGGTACTCATCGCGCCACCATTGTCCACGACGAGCAGAACTTACCAGCCGAGCAAGGGCCTCACCTGCGCTTGGGGCCCGCACAAGTACGGTCACCGATTCCACGTCAGCTGTTGTCACCAACTGCTGTAGGATACGTGAGCCTAAGAACCCTGTCGCTCCGGTGAGGAATACACGTCGGCCAGGTGTAGGTTTCTGACGGCAAGCCATGGTATTTTGGTTCTCGCTGCGTGGCAACTGGTCAATACGGGCGCTTAGCCGCTGATAGTCCTTCCGCCAGTCTGGCACAGCCACAGCGTCTCCTGAATCTGGTATTGTACCCCCAGCTTCGATCATAGCGGCAATTTGGCGGACAGTGAGTGCAGCTTGGAAGAGTACAGTCACAGGGATCCGCACACCGTACTTCCGGGAGATCTGACTAGCGAATGCAATCATGCGGATAGAGTCTACCCCAAGTTGTGTTGGTCGGACATTGCGGCCGCGAATTGAACGTTCGAGAGGACCCAGGGAATGTTGAACACACATGTCTTCTAGCCATTGGCTGAGCTCAATAGCCACGGTCTCCCCTGCGTCCAATATCGGGCAATCTTGCTCACTCACACCAATGCTCCCAAGTCGATGCAGCTCTTTGCTACTCAGAGAAGCAGCTGCACCGAGCACAGCAGAGCGATCGAACTTGCCCGAGGTCGTTAATGGGAAGAATGCCAGCTGTAAAAACAAAGTAGGTACCATGATGGAGGGTCCTTGAGCATGTAAATTTGCTTGAACAACACGAGCGACCTGCTGAACCTCTGGGTCAGGCACACAGAAAATATTGTCAGAGGTCGGTGTGGATTGATCTCGCTGTGGAGCGACGAAGGCAACTAGCATGGGATTGCTGTTTGGTTCTTGGGGGCGGACCACCGACGCTAATAGAGTAGCCGGAGCTGGCCAGGCCTGCTGCAGTCTCTGTTCAACGGCATTGAGGTCCAGCCGCTGTCCACGGAGCTTCGTCTCAGGCCCGCGTCGACCGAGGAAAGTCACTGTGCCATCATCGTTGTAGCGGCCCAAGTCTCCAGTGCGGTACAAGCGCGTGGATGACTCGGCAGATGTGTCCCATGGGGCGGAGTCCAGGAAGACAGGGTTGCTGCGCTCGGGATCATCGAGATAGCAGCGACCCACGATGGGACCCTTGATGACTATCTCCCCAACGCTGCCTATAGGCATCAGACGCCGGGGGTTTTACCCAGTCAATGAGCACGAAACGACACCCCATACCTGCTCCTATATTGCGGACGTCGGGCGCCTCGGCATTGATGGGCTGGGCAGACGCTCCCGTGCAGCATTCAGTTGGTCCGTAGCCGCACAGTAGCTGCACGCGTTGTGCCCACCAAGACGCCTGAGATGGCTGGAGGGACTCACCAACGGCCACCAACGTGCGCAAGCTAGGTAAAGAGACACCTTCCAGCAGGCGTAACAGCGATGGGGTGAGTACCAACCAGGTAGCACGGAATTGTTTCGCGGCTGCCACAATCTCATGACGACTGTCATGGTCAGTAGGTATGCAAACACATGCGCCTGCTGTCAACGTAGTCAGGATCTCGACGGCGAAGGAATCAAAGGCATATGATGACAGGTGGAGGACGCGGGATTCAGCCGAAATGGCCAACTTCTCCTGTTGTGCAATAGCAGCTGCGGCAAACTGGCGTTGCTCGATGACAACGGCTTTGGGGTTACCAGTGGAGCCGGAGGTGAAGACGATGTATGCGATCTCACTCTTATGGTTGGACCGACAAAGAGATGAACGACTACCTGTGGCTGGAGCTGACAATAAACGTCCATTCTCCATGAGAATAACTTTGGGCCCCAGTCCTTGTGCAAATTTAGGAGTGGAGGCATCAGTCAAGACCGCCACGGCTTTGACACGAGTACACATGTGCTCTCGCTTCGACAAGGGCTGTTCAGGGTCTAACATGACAAATGGCCGCCCCGCCTGCAGAGCCGCGAGCATGGCAACAGGAACCCATCGAGAGCGCCCAAAGCAAAGGGCCAACGTGCCTGTGACTGGGAGCTGCACTGCGAGTGCCCCGGCGTGGCGCTCGAGCTCAGCATAAGTCAAGGTACCATCCCAGGCATCCACAGCGATGGTATCAGGTGCCTGGGCAGCACGGTACTGTATGAGGGCTGCCACGTCAGCGTCCACGGATTGTGGAGCCCCGATTTGCCAAGATTGAAGCTCCATTACATCTGATGGAGACAGAAGGTCAACTTCTCCAAGAAGCTTGTCGGGATCATCATACCCGCGAAGAAGCAAGTGGCGTAACTGCTCCGTCAGCCTAACTGCCTGCCTCCGTGAGACCAACGCCTCATCGACCAGGAGCTCCACCGTCCATTTGGCCCTCGCAGGTGTCACGATGAGAGCCAGCGCCCAACCTGGGACCCCTTGTGCCGTGCCTGGGTGACTCATTATTGTCCCAAAGGTAGGAGAGATAGTGTTCTCAGGATCAGCCTGCACAACCAGGAGACTGCGCAGCTTGCCCGCCACGGCAGCCTCGGGACCTAAGCGCGCAATATGCTGCAAGCCTGTGTGCTGAAAGGGCTGCAAAGCTTCCATTTCTTCTTCTATCTGCGACCACGCATTGCGGATAGATTGTCTATTGTCAACCACGATGCGGACCGGGACTGTCGCGATTGTAGGTCCAGCAGTCATGGCCACTCCTGAAAGTTGTCTCTCACGTCCACTGCGAACGGATCCGAATACAACATCTGAAGAATTACTGTACGCCCCAAGAAGCTGGGCCCATGCAAGTTGAATCTGTGCAGAGGGACTCGCCTCAGCAGTGGATGGAGGACCAGTAATCTCGAGTTTGACAGTGGTTGTGGTGCGTGGGGTATAGTCAAGAGACGGGTACTCAGGGTATGTGATAGGCGGGACATCAGCTAGCTTCTGGCGCCAGAAGCTCTCAACCTCAGTTCGGTCGACGGAATTATGGAGATGATGAACGAAGCTGGAGAACGGCGCGAGCTTGTCGGCTTGCGAAAAGCCCTGTACCATATGCTCTAGCCGTCGAAGAAGTAAACTCCATGTCCAGCCATCGTAGATAGCATGATGCAGCGCTATAGTCAGCCAAGAGGGCCCTGCACCGTCAATTACACTCATGCTCAGAAGGGGTTGTCCGAACGTCATCTCGGAGCTCGCATCTCGGCCGAGGAAGGCCTCCATCGATGCATCTGCGGTCCACAGCAAGTGTTGGGTAGGACGCACCACAACCTGGAAAAGTTGCCCCGTGTCATTTTGTACCAGTCGCGTCCGTAGGATAGGCACCTCCTCCACCAGCCTGTCCCAGCTGTTGCGAAGGGCATCCAATGACTCGGGAGATGGGGGTGAAAAGACAAAACGGTCAACATACGCGCCATCTGCACGTCCGGTAGTGATAGCTATCAGCGCTTCTTGCAGTGGGGTACAGGGATAGATATCCTCAATCTCTCCCGGTTGAAGGTGACATTGCTTCGCCGCAAAGTCGAGCAGCACATCCCGGCCAGACGAAGGCAATAGTGAAAATGGCGCTGGTCCGTCTGAATTATTCTGTGACGTCGGGCGCAGTCCATCAATGAGTTCGCTGACTGTCCAATTTGCTCTGAGCAGGTCTGTCCGCGGCACTGTCTTTCCATGCTCGGCCAGCAATCTCATCAGCCGTATGGCGGATACCGAGTCTCCTCCCAGTTGGCGAAATGGCGTATGACGATCAACCAGAGAAGCATCAATACCAAGGACGGAGGCAATGAGGGCTACTAACTGGCTCTCCTCGTTTGTTTGTGGTGGAGAGGGCTTTGAGGCTGTCGGTGATGTCCCGCGAGTGGATTGAGCGGGGTTACTTGTGGTTGGTGGGGCTAATGTGGAGCGCCCCTGTAGCCACGCAACAATCGCCGCAGGAGACTGCTGGGCCATAGAGCCTCGAAGGCGTTTCTTGTCGACTTTTCCCGTTGGCCCCAACGGAAGAGCTGTCAAAGGAACCACAAAACTGGGCACCATAAATCTGGGGAGAGCGTCATTGAGATGAGACTGTAGATCCGTAGCGGCTCGACGGCACTCTGCGACGTCCTGAATGGGGCCTATTCCGTTTGCCTTCAGCTCAGCTCCATGGGCTGTCTCCACAAAGGCAATGACTACCGGATCACAGCGTCCAAGCCGACCAGGCAGAGGGATGGCCTCGACTGCAACAGCCTTTTGTTCCTGGTACTTGCGGATGGTGGCCTCGATTGAATCAAGATCGACACGCTGGCCCTGCACCTTGACCATGGTATCGCGACGGGCCACATACCGCACTGATCCATCGGGGTTATACTGCACTAGATCACCTGTGCGGAAGAAACGTCCATACACAGGGAAGGGGAATGACGCGCGCCATGCTGGAGGTGCAATCATTGCCTGACTCGTGCGCTCCGGATCATTGAGGTACCCCTGGGCCACGATCTCGCCTTCGATAAGAACTTCACCCACTGTGCCAAGCGCGGCCAGTCGATCTGGGTCGTCCGGGCGCGAGATCCACAGACGACAACCAGCACCACGACCGAACGTGCCAGGAATCCAGTGGTCAGGGTGAATGGCGCAGCCTCCAGCACCGGCCGTCTCTGCGGGGCCCCACAGGTCGAACAAGCGGGCATGGGGGTGCCATTGCTGAACGAGATCAGCGGGAACATTCTCGCCGCCTAGCACGATAGTCTTGAGTGGTAGTTCCCCAGGCTCGTAGGTACGCAACAAACTGGGGGTGAAAAAAGCCCAGCTCGCTTTGTGCTGGCGGATGAATGACGGTAACGACTCGAGACGCTGTTTCTCTGATGGGACACATAGACAGCCCCCATGTGCCAGCGCGTACCAAGTCTCGATGACACTCATATCGAAGGCATAGGAGGAAAATTGTAGAATGCGAGTCTGTGGAATGGCGCCGACCGCGCGGCCGTGGTATGTCGTCGAAGTTGCGATGGCCTGGTGGGTGAGCAGAACGCCTTTAGGGGTGCCAGTGCTACCAGATGTGAATATCACCGCTGCAAGGTCCTCGGGATGTACTTCAACGGCGTGCAGGCTGTCAGTTCCCGTAGAAGCCATCTCAGAAATGGCGTCAGGCATGATCAGTACGGGAGCCGACTGGTGATGGAGTCGAGAAGCTTGAGAGTGCGACGTAAGTATGCAAGGCGCTGCCGTTTGTTCAAGGATCTTGGATACGTAGGCATCGGGATGGCTGGTGCAGACAGTCACGGCGGCAGCACCGGCATGGTAGACTCCTAGCACACCAACGACCATCCACTTGGACTTCTCGAGGAGCAGAGGGACCATAGATCCCTTGGTGACGCCATTCTGGTGCAGGAGGCGGGCAACCTGACGGGAGAGTTTGTCTAATTCTGCATAGCTGAAGTCACCATCCCAGGCGGATACAGCTGGAGCTGATGGCGTTTCCTGTGCTTGAGCGGCCACCCTCCGGTGCAGGCAATCAGCAATCAAGGGGAATGAGGGGGTATTCCAGGATATAATGGCTTGCCGGTCGAGGTCAGTGATGGTATCGAGATGAGAAATGGCTTTGTTTGTCCTTTCACCTGGACTTTGCATCAAAATTTGTCGTGAGAGGTCCGAAAGCTGATGAAGCAAGCGCCGCGCAGCTTGAGGGTCTACATAAGCTGTCGAGTACTGTAGCCGAAAGACTATCTGGGCGCCTAGACGCTGAAATATCCCAAGTCGAAGAACCTCGCCCTCAGCCAAGTCATCAATGTCGTCGATTGAATCTTTATGTCCAGACAAAATATCAGATGAAAAGTCACACAGGACACGCATCGACACCCAAGTGTCTGGCAGAATTGGTGGGTTATGGTCATCGAAAGCCCCTTTGCTTATTATTCTTTGCATGTGAGAGACATTTTGTAGTGAGTCTGCAATGAGACTATCTGGGCCGACGTTCATCTGCAACGGGTAGTCTTTCGAGACTGAGGCATGGACTCCAGTCGGCCGTGCCCAAAGGTCGATGCTGGTGGATCCTTGATATTCTGCGAGCAGAATAGCCCAACTGAGAATGAATATATGAGAAACAGTTTCATCTTGAATATCCGGAAATGTGATTGAGAGATCCTCTGTGGGCGTGGTTTTCTTGGACGTCGCGGATGTTGCAGCGGAACTGCAGGGACGGTGGAATGGATTGGGGGCTCCAATACGGAGCCACGAAGATGAGAATTGCTCCAGTATCTTCCCCATTGTACAAGGAAGGATGCAAGCGTAGCGACAGTACAAAGGCGCACACAATAGTCAAGAGGTACCCTTCAGATAAATAACACTCCGAGGCATGAATAGCATTGTGGGTCCATATGCATGGTGCATTCCAACACTAACACTATCGATGGTGCGATGTGCAGAAGCCAATCGGGAGTCCCTTGCAGGAGGCTAACCATCCATCTGCATTCTCACTGCATATTTGTCATATGCTTGGAATAGAAATGCGGGAGATTGTGGCAAGCTGAACCTGCAGTTTCGCCCTTACTGATCGGCGCTGCAGCACGAATTGACAACATGGCAGAGGACTTCCAATAACACCCCTCACGTTGAGCTGCTAGTGAGCTTATATCTTGTTTCTGCAAGCATCGAGTCTCAAGCCTTGGGACTCCGTGGGAACTTGACTCTCTGCCGTTGTCAACCCATTCGGAAAATGCAGTGGTCCTACGCGCTATACACGGTTGTCATTGCTTTTATACTGCGAAAGACGGTGTTTGACACCTCGGTGGCATGTCGCTGTGGCCCAGGTGACCCCTGCTGGCCGTCACAGGAGCAGTGGTGGGAATTGAACACAACCGTCGGAGGGCATCTCCAACCGCTGCGACCGGTTGGCCATTCTTGTGTTGGACCGGACGCCTCGTCCGAGGCATGTGAGAAAATCCAAGCCAACTTCCACGATACAGCATGGCGTGTCTTGAATCCTGGTAGGTACGAAACATGGTAGTCGATTAGGCCAAGGGCTGACCAGCAACAGCAACGATGCAGGTAGTGGACTGGGAGCATTCGAGGTCAAAACAGCAAAGCTGTCCAGTGCCGGTTGAAGGTATCAATCCCAGTGGCTCTTGTGATCAGGGGCGTGTAGCTCTCTATTCGGTGACCGTGAGTTCGGTGGATCAGGTTCAGTCGGTTGTGCGATTCGCCACGGACCATCGGCTGCGGCTGTCTATCCGCAACACTGGCCATGATTTGGCCGGTCGTTCCACTGCCTCGGAGTCCTTGCAGATCCATACTGCAGGGCTCAAGGGCATTCAGCACGTTGCTGATTTCCATCCCACAGGTCCTGATGGCTCAGATATGGAGTCACAAGGGCCTGCTGTTACTGTGGGCGCGGGAGTCCTCACAGGAGAGCTCTACGCAGCAGGAGCCGCATCGGGCTATACTGTTGTGGGAGGCAGCTGCAGTACTGTCGGTGTGGCAGGTGGCTGGATGCAAGGCGGAGGATATGGAATTCTTAGTCCTCTGTACGGGCTTGGTGTAGACAACGTACTGCAATTCAGTATGGTCACTGCAACAGTAAGTGGCCCTCGTCTTTTCTCGAATCTCACATGTTGAGACAGAAGCGACAAAGCATTGACGTCTTTTCAGGGAGAACTGGTGATCGCAAACCCATATCAAAACCAGGACCTCTTCTGGGCCGTCCGCGGTGGAGGTGGCGGGTCATTTGGTGTTGTTACCAGTGTGACCTTCCGAACTCACCCGGATCCTCCGGTCACCACTGCGCGTCTGATAGTACAAAGCGAATCTGGGCCAGACGCAGGCTTCTGGAACGCAGTTCAGGAGGTATTATCCATGGTGCCATATTGGGCGGACCGGGGTATTGCGTCCCTGGGCTTTGCACTTCCAATTGGACCTGGATCTGGCTCCATGCTGTCGATCGAGTTGTATGGAGTCAATCAGACAACTGAAACTCTCCTAACAGATCTCCCACAGCGTCTACGCAACGCTGGGAGCTCAGTTCACGATGAAGTGGAACAGGTTCCGCGCCTCTCAAGTTACCTGAACGTCACTCGCGGGCTCGAAATGGCTGGAGTAAGCATCCTGCTCACCTCACGCTTGGTATCAAAGGGCTTGCTGGGATCCGTGGAAGGGTCGCATCGAATTGTGGACACTCTGTCGCGGCTGACCTTCGGTCCTGGTGATATGATTAGCCTCGAGGGCATGATGAGTCCAAAAGCACACAAAACGGACACACCACTACATCCATCATGGAAGTCTGCGGTGATGTCCCTCACTGTTGCTAGGGGCATGTCGCGTGATCCTGACTGGAGTCGCTATCAAGCTGTTGAGACTGAATTACAACAAGTCGTCGGTCCAGCTCTTGAGGCGTTGGAGGATGGGAATATGGGCAGCTACGGCGGGGTTCCCTTCGCCTCCGAGTCCAATACTGCGCAGCTGTTCTGGGGCTCTAATTACCCCCGTCTGCTGAGTATCAAACGCCAATGGGATCCTTCTGATCTCTTCCTTACTCGACTGGGGGTGGCCAGCAAGGACTGGGACGAGGCTGGAAAGTGTCCGATCAGATCATGGCATCGGGTTATTCTATCGCAGGCGATTGAAAAGGTTTGGACTTTGGTTAAATGATATTTGTGTGCTGTCAACGGATAGATGCATATTTGTGTACGGCAGTCTGCCCATAACTAGATCATGCCCCGCCAGTGCTAGTCTAGTCCCGTGATTAGAGTCCTTTTTCTGCCGCAAATGACACACTCACCCCATCTAACTCCGCACTTGGCGCGTATACGCGTAAGCAAAGCGCGTTCTAGTTTCCTGAGGAAGTTACCAGGATCAGCTCCCAGGCTCGACTGCATTATGAGACAGGTAATTTACCTAGTTATTTTATTGTGCGAAATGCCGACATTAGCGAGGCTGCGAGGGACTAGCGTCGGCTCAGGGAGGGGTAAATTGAATTCCCCTACCCTAAATGGCCATCTTTCTTCTTTACCTATATCTCTCTAACCAGTTATTCAGCATCATCAACATCATTAATATGCCTATTCGATACTCCTTAATGACCCAATCTAGTGACGTCTCAACCTCCCCGGCGCGCGCTACGCAATTCCACCCATGTCGATACCCACCGTCTCGTGCAATGTCAGAGGCACCCTCTTCCGGGCTCTCTGGTTATACAAATCACCGTCGGCAGGATTCTATCCATGGATCCGCCTATTAGGCGATGCAGTCGTATACACCCAATCATTGTCGACGGCAACTTGTTACCGCAGGCCAAGGGAAGGCTCATACAATATCACAACACCGCCGGAGAACAAGGGATCGGCTTACCCAGCCACCTCCACGGCAGCATCTGGTTGTGTCTCCTTTGGATCCAGTCCAAAGGTAAGAAGCTACAAGTGGTCACCAAAGTGAGGCATCCTCTCCGGCTTCGTATGATCCTTGGGTTCGAAGATTGCGATCTACATGATTTACTTCTGCAATCGAAAGTAAGTCTTTCGATCTAATGCACAGGATAATGATATCCTTGTTCTCGCCACTGATGCGAAGGGAAAGACCCCAACCTTACTCTGAGAGTTTAGACTACAGTCATGATGTCGAGGAACTCTGTAACGAGCTTCTTTTGGCAAGACAAGCAAGGACAGTCATATCTTGGTTATTCTTGAAAGAGAAAATTCGTTACACTGGTCCTCCATATCCTGACAGTAGTCCAAATTCTCAGAGAGTAAGGTTGGGGTCTTGCCAGTGGCGGGAAGAAGGATATAATTATTCTGTGCTTCGTATCGAAAGACTTTCTTTGGAGTCGCAGGAAGTACATCATGTAGATCGTGTCATCGGTCCCTCTATAGTCGTCAAACTTGAAATTTGTTTGACCCAACGACCCCCCATGACCTGCCCATCCACGAGACCACATCTTAGAACCCCTCCCCAGAATGCAAATCGCTCCCCGACTATCGCGGAGTAAACTTGTAGAGTAGGAGCAGATCGTCGGGGTGTGAAGCATAGTCACCTACTGTAGTTAACTGTCGGCACTCATCTCCAAGCAATAGCATCCTGGTCTTTGCATGGATTGGGTCATCGGATCTTCCACTTGGCTATGTGAGTGAGATTGCGTCGAATCGGATCCCAGCATTCTTATTAGAACTGATATATATCGCCCCGGCAAGGCATTTATGTAGCTAGTTTGACATGTAGGTATCAGGCGGGGTAGACGCGCACGCGCACATAGATTGCGGAGTGGCAAACCTCTCATTCTCACACGACGTAGTGTATTTCAAGATTCAAAGCCGATCATTCTCGGCAACGATGCCATGATCTGCGAATTCCAAATTGAATGCAGGGAACATATAGACGGGCTCATCTCCGTGCTCCGTGCTGGAGAATACAATTGACAAGTGGTCGTGATCGGAGCACTCGGAGCCGCACAACCCTGAAACGTGACGTTTCAACTATCTAACCCAGCCTGGTATAACTGACAAAATGCCGGGCTATGTCACTGCCGATCGGGCCCCTCTAGTATTCATCATTGTTCTCGACGTCGAGGTCACGTATCTCGGGCAGGACCCTCTTGCGGAAGGTGGATAGTCACCGGCAGTGGCTGCGGAACTCCACCGGATAACCAGATTTACCAGACGCATCCATAAGTTGTGCTGGATGATAGTACCTTTTCCTTTTCGGATTTATCGGGACTGTTACACATACTTGCCTCGTTTCGGCACGTGCTACAGTTGATATTGCGAGGAGGGTATGTCTGTGTATAGGCTCGTTACCAGTTCTCTCTCACCTGAAGTGTAAAGTGGAATCGTGGAGTCGCAGATTTGAGCGAACAAGCGCCGAATTAGGGTTTTAAGTGGGTAATGGAATAGATGTCGGTGTTTCAGAAGTACAATCTACACCAATCTGCAAAATCACCCCAAATGTTACCCGCTTGACGCGAACAAACGTCCTGTGTGCTGGACTCGCTTCCCGAAACCACTATTGTGCTTTAGGGGCATGCACCAGACCTAACTTGAGATAGTGGAAGGAAACAATATCATACGGCACGACAATGAGGACAAAATCAAATAAAGAGAAAAAGAAGCGTCAGTCCCCACCGGAGAAAAAATTACGCAGTAGATTAATGTTTCTTCAAAAACAAACGTGCCAATCAGAAGGACGATTCAGCGACAACATATGGCCCGTCGTATCAACGAATCGCATGATTTCCAGGTCTAATGGATTTTCGTCGCCACACTCAGAGCTTGAAGAACGAATAGGATGACAACAAGTATGCGCAATCTCTCTGAAGGATGAGACCAGGAAAAGATAAGGTCTGCAGGGGCCATGTGCCTTAATTTTACTGTCAGGGACAGAGCATTAACTTCAGCATTTCAAAAAGAACTGAAGCAAAAGGAAAAAGCGCCCAAGTACGGGATACCCCGGCTTAGCTTCTACAGATCATTATCCGTGCCACTTCCCCGATGCAGCCGCCGGCATAGAGTCGATAATCTTCAGGGGTGGGCATAAGAAAGACTTGGCTTTCGGCAGACGTACTTGTGGTTCTCCAAACATATTAATGTCGCCTAATATGTTTCCAATAAGTACTCGACACGGCACACAAGCTCATTTTCAAGCCTAATGGCTACGCTAAATTCTATCTATAATCTCTGTCATACGGAAACCGCACAATAGTTTTAGTACCCTCACCACTCCGTAAATTGAACAGGATGCGTGATGAAGGACCAATCCGGGCTCCGCCCTCACAAAACCAGAAACTTAAATTCTCGGGCCATTTTCGGGAAATCTCGAACTAGCGTATCTGGAAGAGAAAGTTTGAATGCATGTGCGAGGCGGACTGAGCACCGCTCCGGGTTCTTCAATGGGATTCTTTGAATTCAACTTAGATGGTTGAAACGATCAGGAACTAGTCACTAGTGTTCCAGACAATGGCAGAGTTAATGTTCGCACTTCCCAATCCATGGATCCATGGGCGTGACTCCCGGTGGACCACGGTCCCTGTTTCCGACCATCTACCTGCCGAGGATCCACCACCTCGGGTTCCTCGGGTATCAGAGGACAAGCCCTAAATTGCCTGTCCGAGGCTGTACCGGGCGCTTTCACTTGACGTTTGAATCCAGCTGTCCCTACAATGGGTACATGTGGCATGCGGTTGTAATTTTACGGAGTATTTGGGCCCGAGATCGACCAACGGGGTTCAACACAAGAGCCAATTAAGTTTAGCCGGTTAAACAGAGGTTGGACATTAGATCATATCATGGTTGCAAATACTATATGAATGAGGAAATCGGTTCTGAGAGCAATAACTTAAAACGGTCAGATGCTGTTTATATTATTTGCACGGGCAGGGTAGAAAGACACTAAGTGAATCACGCCGTTAACTAAAGCCCTGCTCCGTGCTTAGATCGGTGATCCCGGAGCGCACGGAGATTTGGAGATTGCGTGGAATTGCAGGAATACGCCTTGGCCTTTCCTCGCTAGCGCTGGTAGTCTGTAGATTGTATATTGATTGGATTGATATCAACAAATAGCAAAAACGTGTATTCTATCCTTCATATTTTTGGGTCGGTCTGTCGCGCAAAGCGCAAACGCACGGGCTCGATCGGAGGATGTCCGCCGTTGTGAGCGAACCTGCCGGAGATGCACAAAGGGAGTGGTGTGGTAGATAGTGCTCGAGCTCCAGGACTACGTAAGAGGTACTGGATTCAATGGTGAGTTTGGAGATCTAGGTATCAGCCAAGTCGCTTGGATGTCCGTTGCATTTATTGGTTGTTTTTTCTTTAGGTATCTCCTTTTTCCGCGTTGAGTTGGGGCTACCCCCTCCCCTTTCTCCCCTGGCCTAGGCATGGCGGAACGGTGGAAGATAGAACAACCACGTCGTGCATATGGTCCTTGAAGACCTAGACTGAATGAATCCAATTATCTAGCCTTATATATTGGGTCCGGACGTTGTTGGGAGCCAGTTAGAGAAGTCGCAGAAAGGATATCCGTTCCGTATGCATTAAGCATTGTAATAAGCATGTGATGATGATGATGACATCGTATGTTCAAAAAAGGTTATGCGGCAATTGTATTTTTCCTCCACTATCTTCTGAAGGGAGAGAGGCCCGCAGGACTCTGATAACAATCGACAACACATAGCTCCAGCTATTTCAAGCGAACCATAGGGCTGGGCACAATCTCGGGAATTGGGGGAATCAATACCCCAAACTCAGAATGTTCACTGATCTAAAACTCCATGGAACCCAAATATTGAAACAAAGAAACCCCAAAGAAGACAATTGACAGAATACAATGAAACCGGGTAACAAAGACGCTTTCCAAAAGCCAATAGAATCAAAACAAAGTAACCCAATACTCCAGAGTATCGGTAAATGCACAACTCCGATGCAAAGTTTAAATCGGCGCCGTCTACCCCCTTCACCTACTCCAGAGAGTCGGAATTGTGAATTTTCGATCATGGTCACATAAATGATTTGGAATGTTCTTCAGAGAACCGCGGTTTCCCTGAGGAGGGTCGGCTGTACCCGAATAGTTCCTGCGATGGAGTGGTTCCACGCCAAGAACCACGGGCAGGAGGAAGCGGGAGAAATTTTGGAGAAAGTTCTTATCCGATTTTCAGACGTGATTTTCTTTTTCCCTTTTTTTTCTCGTTCTCTTATCGAATACCCCGAGGGCCGACAGTGTCGAAGGAGAGAGAGAAAAGGTAGGGAGACAATCACCGAGGAGCCGCGCATAGTAAACATTTGCCCACCACCACGATGAAGCGGTCATGTGGACCATCACGGCAGGTGTTATTGTCCTTTGTTCCCTCCGTTTCGGTGCGGAGGAAGTGGGCAGCGGGATTGGAGCAGGTGGAGTATATGTAGAAGTTTTTGTAAAAGTTGCACATTGCGATCCCACCCGGGGGAAGTGGTGGTTGAGGCGGTTGTGAAGTTGGCCAGCTGTGATGGGAATGGAATATTGAATTATAGCCGAGAGAGGTAGAAATGGGACCGAGATTGTGTGACAGATTGAACTGCAATGGATGGGACGTGAGATTTCATGAAGATGTTGAACGTGTTGAGTAAACAGAAGTATAGATGGAGGCTCGAGAAAATAGAAGAGGATGTGATGACGCTTAAGAGTGAGGTGGTAACCAGATCAAATAGGATAGAAATAGGGAAAAAGATAAAACGCGGAAAATAAATTGAAAGCGCAATGGAGACACTCAGATGTTCCCAGGTGGGAAATTTTACTTTCATAATTCCACTTCGAAGGAGCTGGGTAAACATGCAGTATACAGACAGTACTGCACGGCATCTTTTTCCTCCCCACCATCTCTAACACGATTTCCCCTAAAAATCCTTGTCAAGAAAGCGGGTCTTGCATAAAGGACTTTAAACCGGGGGACCGTTGAGGCCGAGGGTATAAATTTTAAGTCTCTTTTCCCCTATTATTCTAGTTTCGATTTTTTCATATAATCCTTGTTAATTTGCGGAAAGCTTGCGAGGGGTCCATAACCCGGCATAAACACTTCGGGTACATAGATGGGAGATCGACACGGTTCCTCGCAGCCGTTGATGCTTCTTCAATTCACACGTGGCGCTAGTCGGGATCTTCATGCATGAGACAATTTACCATCGGCAGTCTCTTGAATCCCGTGTGAGGACATAAGCTCACTTTGCCAAACACAACATTGGCAATTGGCATTACTGGTTTCTTTTTGTCCAGTCAGGCTGGAGTATTTACTCGGTGGAAAGTCCGATGACAAGGATCGTGAGATGATGCACACAAGATTGGGTCGAGAACGAAACCGGAGAAAGTACGCGTTAGGCAGTCGGAGCGACCGATATCTAGACTCCAATCAAGCCGAGGGAATTTTCCCAGGAAAATCAATTTTCAGAGGAGAAGAGAGCTTCGCGTCTGGACCCTGTGCTACTGCGTACATCCTCAACGGTCAGCTTAGGTGGATAAGGTGATCTCCACCCAGCTCAGACATCGAACAGATGAAATTTGTGGCTGATCCTACATCATGAGCGGAACAGGCTATAAGTCTGAGTATCAGGCCATGAGAGCATGAAAGGAAGGCTTCGGAAAAGTTGATTTAAGTTATATAGACTTATTCTGGGTACGAAGCGGGCGAATCAGGGTCGCTCAAGGTAGTAGCGCCCGGTGGTGGCAGAAGACTAAGGCCCGGAGACAACTTTGGAAAATCTCCGATTGTGATTTAGCAGAAACGGCCTTTGTTTCACCGGTTGTGAGATCCGAGTTGTATACTATGTATGCTCGCGAAAATCGAAAGAAGTGAAAATTGCCGAAGTTCAGAGTCTCTTCGTACTTTGAGGCACTCCGGGATTGAATCCATACCACAAGTCATAGGAATTGAGCCCAGATGCTCTGGGCATATTTGCATTCTGTTCATCCTTGCATTCTGTTCCTTCCACGAAGCCGGCTCCCGGTCATCAGGCCATACACCTCGTACGCCTCGTACTCGTGCTCATCTGTTAATCATTCGAATACATACCTGTAACTATCAAATCGCCTGTATGGGAGTACCCCGAGCTTGTTGTACTGTCAGTGGCAAAAATACGTCTTTGCTGCATGGAAGGATTCTATAAATATGCCAAAACCGGGCAGCCCCTCATGCAGGATGGCGTAGTTGATGTGCTAGGTACTAATAGTTAAGGTGTTCCCAACTGGGTAGCTAGCCCGGCAAAGGATTCAGATGATCTGACTAAACTTAAAGGAACAGATCTACGTAACACAGCTCCATCAGGAGACCCTGGGTTGACACAACCCCAGTGGCAAAACAGGTGATGGTGCGACAATGCCCCAGTCGGAGCTCAAGTGGGGATAACCTTGAGGTCGTCGATCCACAGGGCAAATCCCAATCAATAGACAAGTTTCCAGTACAACTGCGTTTGTTATTTGCGGTACGTTATCGGGACTGCTGAGGCAACCAAGAAGATAAAAAGCTGAAGTGAAGGAATAGGTAGAAGGGGCGACTCTTAGAAGTTAGGTCTCTATTCGACGATATTGGTGTCGAGGTCAACCCAGTACAGTACTAAATCTGCGTTGTATGATCGTCCTGACGTCTACAGATCTTGGGACGGCATCCACCTAATTTCCGACGTTCCAAGGTTAATACCGGTTCGTCCAGATGTCGCCGTGTGGAGACCGGAAACATTTATCCATGGTAGATAAACCTTGGCATCACGCATGCACGGAGTAATGATTTCCGGTACATCCTTGCCGGCACCTAACTAGTCAGACTCTAAATTAGTTAGAACAGCTAGCTGTAGTTATGCGATTGTGCTTAAACGCCATATCACTCCTAATAGAGCCATAGCACCGGCTGCCCGGCATAGCGGCACTCTGTTTTATAGTTCGGCCTAGACCGAACTCGGATCCGAGTCCATGTCACATGAGATCTCTCCCTACGCTATTCCATTATAGGCTAGCGTTCCCGATTGACTTCTGACTGACTAAGCCCTCTGGGGAAATTCCAAAGTTAGAACAACCTTGGGAGAAAAACAAACCTTTATGAGCCTAGCAACAACGCTAACCCACAAAAGGCAACGGAAAAACAGTGCACCCTTTTACCCGATCCCGATCCCGTGACCTTCAAAGTGAAATGTGAGACAGTTCCCCTCGCATCCAAGGATTCACACAGCAGCGATAGCTTCGGCATTGCTATCAGAGGCTATCAATCAGGCGCAACAGTACAGCCGGTGTGCAAACAGAGCCACGCCTTTGTTGAGGACCACAATATCGTCATTTACCCTCCACTGTCAGTCCCACTCCGTTGTTGTGGAGACCACTCTTCCAGACCTTCGTGACTACCCACCTCCAACCGCAACTCAACTGTTTGTCGTCGCACTGCTCAACATTCCAACAAACAAACATCATGGGGTTCGGCCAGTTTGACGCAATATGCGCGAAAGCGCCGGTGCCTTTGTGCTCTTTGGTAGGGCCGGCATCGTCAATCTCCGGTTCCACGGGCATTATATCCAACTGCTATGCGCGGAACATCGAGGTTGCAAATACCATCATATTCGAGGGCGCTGCGTCCTTCATGCACATAATGGCACTCAGCATGACGGTGATCATGATCTTGCATGTTCGGTCCAAGTTTACCGCTGTTGGTTCGTCTGCCTTTTCCCGTTGACGATTGGCGCAAACTGGCTAACTTTGCTTTTCGCAACTGATAGGCCGCAAAGAGATCATTATTTTCTTCTATATCTACCTAGCTCTCACCCTCTTCTCTCTTCTCATTGATGCAGGCGTCGTCCCTCCCGGAAGCGACCCGTTCCCGTATTTCGTGGCTGTCCAGAATGGCTTGACATCTGCGCTATGTACCTGCCTCCTCGTCAATGGGTTCGTAGGCTTCCAACTGTACGAAGATGGCACAGCTCTCTCTGTTTGGCTGATTCGAGTTCCCTCCGCTTTGATGTTCGCTCTATCGTTTGTGATCTCGCTGGCGACTTTCAAGTCATGGGGCTCTATGGGACCACAGAACACGACGGGCTTGTTCGTGGTGTTATACCTATTGAACGCCATTTGCCTCGCTGTGTACTTGGTCATGCAGCTGCTCCTTGTTGCAAATACGCTGGATGACCGCTGGCCGCTGGGACATATCACCTTTGGGGTTTTGGTTTTTATCATCGGTCAGGTCCTCCTGTATCAGTTCAGCGACGTGATTTGCAATAATGTGCAGCACTACCTGGATGGTCTGTTCTTTGCTACCTTCTGTAATCTATTGGCGGTCATGATGGTCTACAAGGTAAGTTCAGCCTTCATGCCTGCGGAGTGGGACTTGCTGACTTTCATAAGTTCTGGGACTCGATTACCAAAGAAGATCTGGAATTTTCAGTTGGCGTCAAGCCAAATACATGGGAGGTTAAGGAGCTGCTGCCTGAGGAAGAACGTCGAACTACGGTCTATCCTGATAATAATTCGGAGTATGCGGGCAGTGTACACCACCACCGGTCTTCGGCATATGGTCACCACAACTACTGATTCTTCTGTTCTTTCTGTTTCTGCCTTCTCTGTTTCTAATTCAGCGCTGTATATGTGATTATTGACTTCATGATATCTTGCTTGTCTTTCTTTTGGTGAAAATTCAAATCATTTCAATCATTTCGAGCGGGTTAAGCATCGTTTGGGCATAGAGATACGTCACATCATTACATACTAGTTTTAAAGAGTTCCAATGACGAGGCGAGCATGGTGCATGTATGCTTTATCCATTCCCGCTTGTCCGGGGCTTCTGATATAGGTAGAGGACTGCACGTCAGCATTTACCCATGGCGATGTATACAGAAAAAGGTTCGTTCCGACCTCGCTCCGCAGGGGTTGCTGATGGTCCAATCATGGAATGCTCGACCCTTTTCCGAAACGAACGGGTATCCTCTCTCCGTATCCACGTTAACGTATGTATATGGTTGACTTGGCGTACCACTGCTCAAGCCAGCGCTAACATCGGTATGAATGGGTTGTGGTTCATCAACCTCGCCGGGGCTCGAGACCCAAGTTTAGAGACAGAATGCGCATGAGGCAACACAGATATATTGTCTTGGCTCAATAAACTACCATCATGCCATCCATCCTGCCCTGTCAGTTACCCAGGTGTAAGTCCATCCGAGAAAATCTCAAATATATTGGAGGCCGCGTCACGCCAATTCAATGTGTGAAAGCTCAGCACAATGATCGTCGATAGTGTGAAACATGTAGGATCAACAATACCGTATTCCCCCACAAAACGAGAGGCCCAAAAGTCGATATCGGACACAAGTCACACAACTGCTCCGAAGGACAGAGGGAAGCGATGAGATTGACGACACCAGGTTCTTGGCATTACGGGTTGGTCAACGCCCGTTGAGGGGTTCCTTGCTTGCGGGAAATAAATCTTGATATCACGGTACATCGTCGGGTTTCTGGGCATCCTATTCGCTGTGTTTTGGCGTGAGCCTGCGCCGCCGAAGTCTAAGTAGGTTCTCTGCCGATCACGGAGGCGCCACAAGGTAGGTAGAGTTCTTGTAGAAAGTTCTAGAGATAATCGAAATTAAGGGGGTAGGGAGAGACCAGGTCTGCGGTCTCAGTCAACGACAATAACGTCGTCACTATCCGTGGAGTCTCCGGTTCGACCTTCTGTGTTCTGGGTTGCATTCGATTGCTTGGTAGGATCTTCCTTGGCTAGTTCTGTGGAAGATTCATACCAACCCTTGTCTATCATTTTGACCAAGGCCACGCATGCTTCGTTGAGCATTGTGAAAAATGCAGGGTTCTGTTTTGACAAAAACATGGTGGTGTGCGCGTCGGTCTCGTCGGTAGCCCGGTCGTTAACAGCCCTGGTCCACAAAAGGCCTGGATTGCTAGAGTCCTGGCCATTTTCCACTTCCTCTGGCAACGTACAAAACGTCCTGTTCTTCGACCGGATGATTTTCTGACTAAACGATGTTTTGCTGGTCGATGTGTTTTGGACCAGACTCGTCGCACCTTTCCCAAGGCATGTGTAGAAATTCAAACACCCAATTCCACGTTCCTCCTTCACATTGGAGAGGTGTGCAATACGTTGGTGCAATTCCGGTGTGCGCGCGAGGCAACCGACAAACTCAAGATGCGATGATACCCATCCAAATCCCTCGGTGAGCTTCTGACGCTGCGTATACATGGCTGCACCGCCAGCGGCAACAGCGCCAGCCGCGCCGGCAAACATAGCATACTTACCCCACCGTTGCCAAGAAGGAGTTGCGGCAGCATCAGGTGTGGAAGGCAAGCTTTTGACCTCCGCTTGCGGAGGTGCAGGATTAGTCTCTTTCGATGCATTGCCCTTCCCGCCATAACCGAATAATCCTGCAACCTCGGATATGGTATTGTAGGCGGTTGTAGCATTGCGGTAGTGCCCTTCTGCACCGTATGACACCACTCCAGGCGCTATTCCCAAAAACGGGGTGTCAAATGCAAGCACCCCTTGGACGTGAGGGAACATAAAAGTTCCAGGCTCCACGATGGTTTCCGTAGCACCCGTGGACTGGGTCTGTATGTCTGAGGTTGGGTTTCGGGGGATGGGCTGCTCATCTGCCAGCAAGCGGAGTACATCCGCTCCAACTATTCCTCCCATTGAGTGACCAATCAAAACAACATGGACTGAGGGATCGACAGTTGGTGATGCAGTTTGGTTGGCGACTTCAAGATCGATCACAACATCTTGCAGCCTGCACAGAAATATTACACTTGATCAGCAGAGCTTCCATTAATACCAGATTGGACCTATGCTCACCAGTCCCGCACTCTCGCTACGCATTTCTTTAGGTCGCCTTTGGTCTCATACTTCGGATAAACAGCCGTGACGACCTCGATTGCAGGCAGTGCTCTGCTGGCGAGGACGCGCAAATGTTCGGGAAACGTGCCAAAGGTATCATCTCCACCCTAAAGTCAGACCTAGTCAGTCAGAGAACCCTTCTAGCTGAGCCGAAATTCCATGCGCCGGGTTTCGAATTTGTGGCGGGAATTCAGCTCTTCAGCGAAAATCACGATACCTTGAAGCCATGAATGAAGACAAGCAACAATGTCTTCCTCATTGTGTAAAGTCCAGACAGCGAGACGCTACTTCATGGATACCTGCAGGGAGCTTTTGTCCAAGCAGAGATGGGATAAAGCCGAAGGTCGTCTCTTAGTTAGCATGTCAGAAGCTGTTGATTTGTTTACGTCATAGGTCACATGATCTGGTCAGGTCTATCATCATCTATGCGATGTGTGAAATTGTACTGTTTACACAGTACAATCACTTCATTTGCAAGGGCAGGCTGGGTACTTTCCATAGACCTACCGTATGTACTACAGTACATACCTAGATAGAGGTTAAGGAACGTACTCCGAATTCTTAATCCTATATTTCGATTTCCACCTTTGCCAATGCTATAAAATATGTTGACATAGCTTCCTGCTACCTAATTATGCTTGCAACCCAACTGATAACTCCAATTTCTTCCTGGTGCCCTGCATAGGTATTGTCTCTTCCCCAACGCCGTAATATGACAATGTTTTCGAGTCTGTGACTGAGTCTTTGACTAGGCTCGGATTCGATTGTCTCGATAACAAATTCAGTGTGACACGGCACATTCAGTAGCATGACCAGGCCGCAGGCCCTCCATGCCACCGCTTGATTTATCAGCCGTATTGCCAGTTGACAAAGGTGCACAAGGCACACAAGGCTCAGTTGCGTCCGACGGGGTAATGGTTGTCCCGGGAGCAGTGCTTACAAGGCCTTTAGAAACTGCAAAACAAGAAGAGCGGTCGTGGTTGAGGTTCTCGCCATAGAATTCATCAAGAATTGGGTGAAGCATCACAGTCTGCTTGTGGATTGTGACAACTGAGTTGGATGGGACTGATACCCAATTGTCTGTAGGTTAAGTCAGCGCCTGGTGTATACACATCTGTGGGGGGAAATGCTCTCACGTCGTTCAAAGGTGATAGGCTCGCTGGCCACGAGGACAATATCGGCGCCCTTGTCATGTCGCTCCATCTTGAAGTGTCCTTTCGTTTCACCCTCCTTCCACTTAGTTCCAGAAGAGAAATATAAGCTGGCCGGCTCATCAGTCTTGCTGCTGATGTACCGAGTGCAGACGACTGTGTGGCCATCTGTCACTGCGAAGTTCAACAGGCTTCGGGTCTCAACATCCGTGACGTTGTACTTCTCGGGAATTTCCTTGACCAGCTCGTTGATTTTGGCAATTGTTTTCATCAGAACGCGTCGTAGAAGGGCCTGTCCGAACCCCTCAGGACCGGGGTCAGAGCTTGGATCTACTCCTTCTTTCTCTAGCAAGTCAAGGAACAGGGCAAATGCCCACTCACTGTCAGTGCCACCCTTCACGCCTAGGTACCACTTGTCGGAAAGCGAGCTTCCAAGCGTACGCTTGATGTAGCCCCACCCACCAATGCCGCCATTGTGCATCCACATCAGGGACTGGTGCTGGAATGGGTGACAATTGTTCTCAGCAAGAGCACCCTCGGTCGTTGCGCGCACATGCGCAAAAATCAAATCAGAGCATGTCTTTGCAGCGAGCCGCTCCAAGTTCTCGCAGTTCCACGCGGGCAGCGTGGAAGTAAATATGCAAGGTTCTGGTCCAAGCTTGGGGTCTGTGTAGAAACCTACGCCAAATCCATCACCATTGACTGGACGCCGATTGTCCTTGAGATTTCATGTTAGAGGGAAACAATATGTTGACTATGTGGGCCAGCTCTGATAGACCCAACGAGAAGGAACCGACGTACAAGTCTCAAACGTGAATCATAAGATTGAGTAAGGATTGAGTGACTTGGCTCGGTGATAAGCTTGCTGAGACGAATCTCATTTTGCCCTTTGTATATCTGATCGATGAGATGAGCTTGGACTGCTATATGGGAAGGGCCTGCCGCCTTACCAAGAATCGACACATATTGAATCTCGGTTGAAAGAACGGATGTTTCTTTCCACAATCGCATTCGAGTATACCAGATTTATTGACAGAGCTATAGCGCCGTAGTCTGGATCAAAGGAGGTATCAATATATTTGTTTTCGTGGGGTTTTGAGTCGGGGCGATTGAAGAGTCACCGACACTTGGTTGGGAATCGGTCAGACGCCCAAACGCCAACACAGAAGGCCTGGAGCCCAATGACAATCTGATTAAGACAGAAAGATCTCGCGTATTAGCAGAAACAATCAATGTTTCATCAGAATCAACAGAAAAGGTCAAGTCACCTCCCTTCCACAGCACGTCATATCACACGTGACTCAAGCTTGTACGGGAGGTGATGCGGCTACTTGCGCAAGTCACGGGGCCTTGATGTCAGTGATCCGACAAGCTTCAAGACCGTCACTTTTTATTCCATCCATATTGAATGCAATCACAACAATAATGAGTGGGAGGATCCTCTCCCATAGACTGGCCCCGCTCTTGCGGAACGGTCATCTAGCTCGTCATATTCACAATGCAGGCTCGAGGACCGGCGGCCTGCTACGCGCAGATGGTGGCGCTGCCCTCAGAGGACGCGCATGGCCAGTGGGCTCGAATTCTATTCACAATGTCCCTGCAGTTCGATCCATCTCGTTCGCACGAATGCTTCCGAAGCTAGCGCTCAAACTTGTCAGAGTCCCGGCTATGTTCGGCGGTGCGACAGTCGCCGGTCTGGCGTATTTCCAATATCAAGCAACTCGTATGTCTCTCGTGAGGTGCTCACTGCAAACAGGCGTTCGAGCTAATTATGGCATTACAGAGGCCGGTAACTATGCGATGGACGTCTTCAAGCAGGCCTCGGAGACCGCGGGCAACACGGCATCGACCCTATTCCAAGGACTGCAAGACATGGCGGATCAGACACAACGCGGGTGGAACAAGACAACCGAAGATATTGAAATGCCTGATTGGTTGCAGAAGGTACTTCGCCTGGACGAAGAGTCCAAGTCTAAAAAGGGTGATTCATCTGGTGGTGATGGAGGCAAAGAGCCGAAACAAAGCCGGGCAGGAACTGCTGCCGCTGCTACTACTGCGGCGTTCGGCTACGATCAGTCAAAGGAGGAGGACTCCCGTCCAGAGAGAGATGCTGCTGCGGATGATCAAATGATGCTTCTCACACGCAAAATGATCGAAATTCGAAATATCCTCCAGACCATCGGCCAGTCTAACACACTTACCCTTCCTTCAATCGTCGTGATCGGGTCCCAATCATCGGGCAAAAGTTCGGTTCTTGAGGCTATCGTCGGCCACGAGTTCTTGCCCAAGGGCTCCAATATGGTAACTCGGCGACCAATCGAGCTCACATTGGTCAACACCCCCAATGCTCAGGCCGAGTATGGCGAATTCCCTGCATTGGGTCTTGGAAAGATCACAGACTTCTCTCAAGTTCAGCGCACACTCACAGATCTGAACCTTGCTGTTCCTGAGAAAGACTGCGTCTCAGACGATCCCATTCAACTCACGATATACTCTCCCAACGTCCCCGATCTATCTTTGATCGACTTGCCAGGGTATATCCAGGTCGCGGGTCACGATCAGCCCCCAGAGCTCAAGCAAAAGATTGCTGATCTTTGCGATAAATACATTCAACCACCAAATGTTATCTTGGCGATCTCAGCCGCTGATGTTGACTTGGCAAACTCAACAGCCCTCCGAGCCAGTCGTCGAGTAGATCCTCGGGGCGAACGGACCATAGGTGTGATCACAAAGATGGACCTTGTCAGTCCGGAACGTGGTCATGATGTCCTTTCCGATAAGAAATACCCTCTTCGACTAGGATACGTGGGTGTTGTCAGCCGAATCCCTCAGACCACAGCTCTCTTCTCCAGGGGCTCTGGAAATGTTACCAGCGCTATCCTCAAGAATGAACAGGCCTACTTCTCTGCACATCCGGCTGAATTCGGTCCTCAGTCCGATGTCTCCGTTGGTGTTTCGACACTACGGAAGACGCTAATGCACGTCCTAGAGCAGACCATGGCATCTAGCCTGTCTGGTACCAAGGACGCGATTAGTCAAGAGCTTGAGGAGGCAACTTACGAGTTCAAAGTTCAATATAATGACAGACCTCTGAGTGCAGAGTCCCACTTGGCTGAGAGCCTTGATGCATTCAAGCACTCCTTCAAGGCGTTTGCTGAAAGCTTTGGTCGACCGCAGGTCCGGGAGATGCTCAAAGCAGAATTGGACCAGCGGGTCATGGACATATTAGCACAGCGTTACTGGAACAAGCCAATCGAGGACTTAGATCCTCCGATGCTGGAGTTGGATCCCCTCAAGGACCTCCCCAAAGCCGACCCCGAGTCGATGTATTGGCACCGGAAGCTTGATGCCTCCACCTCATCATTGACCAAGCTTGGAATTGGCCGCTTAGCAACAACTGTTGTCGCCAATGCTCTCCATAAACATGTGGACTCGCTTCTCGCCAACTCAACGTTCGCCTCCCACCCTGGTGCTCACAAACAGATCACCGATGCATGCACGGGTATTCTGAACGACAGGTTCTTCAGCACCAGCGATCAAGTCGAGAATTGCATCAAGCCCTACAAGTATGAGATTGAAGTTGAGGATTCCGAATGGGCCAAAGGCAGGGACAATGTCGGTAAAGTTCTCAAGGAAGAGCTTAAGGCCTGCGAGTCAGCCCTGAAGCATGTGGAAGATGCCGTTGGCAAGCGAAAACTGAAAGACGTCATTTCGTTCATTGATAGAGTGCGAAAGGGCGACCTGGTCTTAGAGGGTAACGGTGAAGGTGGTGCGGGCGGTTTCAGCGCTGCCTTGCTAGAGAAAGGTTAGTTTCTCTCCTCTCCTCTTCTATTCCTCAAAACTGACATGTGTAATTCTTAGGACGAGAGGGTCTTTTCCTTCGAGACCGAGCGGACATCATCAAGATGCGACTTCTCGCCGTCCGTTCCAAGCAATGCGCAACGCAAAAGAACAAGTACTACTGCCCAGAAGTCTTCCTGGATGTCGTCGCCGACAAGTTGACCTCCACGGCTGTCCTATTCCTCAACGTCGAGCTTTTATCTGAATTCTACTACAATTTCCCCCGCGAGCTGGATTCCAGGCTGGGACGTCACCTTTCCGACGCCGAGGTCGAGCGCTTTGCCCGCGAGGACCCCCGTATCCGCCGTCACCTGGACATCATCCGCAAGAAGGAGCTGTTGGAGATGGCTCTGCAGAAGATCGAGAGCATCCGACAGCTCGACGGCCACGCCCGTAAACCAGGCCGTGCAATCCCTGGAAAAGAGACCCGCAGCCGTTGGAACCTCTTCTAGGGATATGCACCAGGATGATTGTTCTGTTTGCAGTGGCTCCTGTTGTTCATGTTTCTCTTCCCTGTCTGGATTTTCGATACCTTCTCCGCTTGTGCTCTAATCCCCCACTTATCATGTTTAGCCATATTCTCTCATCCTCACTCGCTCTTGTTGAGATGTACATAATCTACCCTAGATCGTCCATGGTTCATCTGGGAGCTTTCGAGCGACCTGACGTGTGTTCTGACGCGCCGGGAAAAACAAACATACTGCCTTAGGCAAAGAATCGCGTACCAGATAACCCTAACACAAAACTCTAGTTTATAGCATTGACTTCTCTCGAAAGCTGTGGGTGGTCAGAACCTTTGAATGCCATAGATAAAGCTCTTTCTGTTGAAGAGTCGAAGAAAATACCTAAGTGTGCATTTTGTGTGTTACCTCGTGGTATCTCAGGCCTTCATCATATGCTTGAGTCATTTCTCTCAATTAAGAGGCTGAACAATCATGGAGAAATTGGAAATCAAGATATGCAGTTATTAAAGCGGAATCGAGTGGTCTAAAGCCAATCTGTAATAGAAAATGAAATAAATTCTGAATCGATTGAGCTACTCAAAGTTTGTTATGTAGGCACAGATCTCCTAAGAGTAGAGGCAAAAGAAGGAAGATAAGGAGGAGGGGATATTTATACCTTTGGCTGAAGTTGAATCAGGTGATGAGTCCTTCCTGAACGAGGAGGAGCGTGTGTTGTGCCTTCCTTGTTTGGAAACGAGTTCTTCTTGGAGGAGAAGGAGCGTGGATGGTTCCTTCCCTTGTCAATGCGGACCACAAATACGTGTACAGAACATGGGGATCACCAGTATTGATTAGGTAGGCAGATAGCAGGCCCAGTAAGAGCTTGACTTGGTGGACTTGTTGAATTGTTGAATCTATGGATGTGATAACTAACTAGAGCAATCATAGTGCGAAAGCTGATCTTTGGCGTAATAAATCAGATCCATTTCACTATGCAAGAACCTACTCAAGACCTAAAAGAGAACTGCACATTGTAAGACTACGTATATCCTCTTCGAATAGACTACGAAGTCAATCGGCTAGTCGATACATATAGGTGGACACTAGGTACAGTCAAAGTCAAGCACACGATCCAGACCTGACAATTGAAGCCGCATTACGGAAGAATATGTAGCATGCAGCATGAACTTCAAGAACGTAGGTAGTCTGCAAATGAAAGTAGAAGGTTTCAATACAATAACAATTCCATGTGTACCTACAACGTACAAACCCAATGGGAAAAAGAAACCGGAAGAATAATACATCACAGCACCAACGAAGGTCATCAGGTAAGAAAGAAAATGTATGTCTATCACGGTCACGGGTGCGAGAAGTATGAATGAGGATGGTAGGTGGACATAAAGGGGGGACATAGGGACATAGCGGGACACAGTAGGGAAAGACTTATGTGTCGAGTTGTTGCGGAGAGGCATAAAGTAGCCTGAAAGGGGAAATGCAGGGTTGCGGGCAATATTACAGACGGTCGTTCACCGGAGAGATTATGTGGTGTTTTCTTTTTTTACTCGCGGGAGACATCACGGCCGAAGAGACGGGCCTTGACCCAGTCGAGGCAGACGAGGACACGGTTGCGAGCTGGGAGGAACAGTTAGTGATCAGTGCTTCTTCTAGGTAGTGTGGTAGTATTGAGTGGGGATTATAACTTACTGCTGAAGCACATGCTCAGGTAGGCACTGCGCCAGAACAGGTAGGTCATGGTACCACCACTGGCGATGTTGCCGCTCAGCCAGCTGATATCGGCCACGGCGCGCTCCTTGCCGATGTAGGCAAGGGAGCCCTGGTGGGAGTACTGGAAGGGACCGATCTGCTTGTTACGGCGGAGCTGCTTCTGGCGCTCGCGGATCTCGTCGAAGATCTGGTTGCGCTCCTCGTCGTTCTTGGCCTGGGACTGGCGCTCGGAAAGGTGGTTGAGTTCCTGCTCGAGAGCCTCGCTCTTGGCCATGGTGTTGAAGAGGCGGCCGAGGAAGGCACCCTCCTGGCTGGCGACCTGGGCGGTGGGGGCGTAGTTGGCGATGGCGCAGTCGCCGACGGCCCAGACGTTGTCGGTGCCGTTCACAACGAGGTATTCGTTGACGGCGAGGCCGCGGCGGGAGTTGGCTTGGGCAGGGAGCTGGGACATGAGGTCGCGGACGACGCCGCGGATGGCGTTACCGGTGGCCCAGACGAGGAGACCGTAGGGGATAGTTTCGAGTTCCTTGGTTCCGTCGGGCTTGGTGACCTCAGCTTGGATGTACTTGTCGGTAACCTTCTTGACCATGGTCTTGGTGCGGATGGAGATCTCCTCCTCCTTGAAGGTCGATTCGGTGTAGTCAATCAGCTGCTTAGAGAACATAGGGAGAACGTTGGGGAGAGCCTCGACGAGGGTGACTTTGAAGTTGTCCTTAATTTCGGGAATCCACTTCTTCAAGTCGTCGTTGAAGAAATCCTGAAGTTCACCGGCGAATTCGACACCAGTGGGGCCACCGCCAACCACAACCATGTGCAGCAGGCGCTTGACCTCATCGTCGGTCTGGTCCTTGAAACATGCAGTCTCGATACAGTCCATAATACGTTTGCGAATGTTCTGGGCGTCACCAACTTCCTTCAGGAAGCAGGAGTTTTCACGAACACCGGGGATACCTGTACGCATCCAGATTAGCATGCAGTACATCAATTGATACGCGAGAGAGGAAAAACCCACCAAAAGTCGCGTTCTCGGCGCCAACACCGATCACAAGCATGTCGAAGGGAATCTCGGTGTGCGAGACATCACCCTTGACTTCGGAATCGTCACTGACGTACACAATGCGCTTCTCGTAATCGATCTTGGTAGCCTCGGCCTCGTAGAACTTCACGCTAGCCTTCTTGTGGCGCAGGATGTTGCGGATAGGCTCCATGATCGAGCGGTGCTCGATCAAACCGGTAGTACATGAGGGCAGCAGGGGAGTGAACAGGAAGTAGTTACGGGGGAGACGACGATGACGTTGTAGTTTTCAGTATCAAGTTTCTTCAACAGGGAGACGGAGCCCCAGCCAGTTCCTAAACGAAAACCATCGCGTTAGCGGGCCACTTCAATTGTGGAGAAAAAGTCCAGTGATCGCGACCGATACATACCAAGAATGACCAGGGTCTTCTTCGATGGGTCGGGCGGGGACTGCTCGGGGGGTTGACGGAGCTCGAAGATGCTGTATGCGACGGTACCGGTGAGACCGATCGCGGAGAGCCAGGTCAATCGCCAGGCCCAACGCAGAGCTCTGAAGCGCTTCTTGGGCTTGGGGGCGGGCGAGGGAGCAGCATCGGCGTAACTGCGACGAGCGACGCGCGACACAGACTGGGAGATCTGAGTGGAGCGAAGGGGCTTCGCGCGAAGGGCGAGCTGCGATGTCGAAATCGACCTGCGCGACATCGATAACAGCTGCATGATGGACGGGGCCATCTTGCGAATTGCTAGCTTAGTGCCAGCCATTGTGAAAGGACACACCAGAGGTAATGAAAATGTGTTGGATAAAGAATCACAAGGGTGAGTCCTAATTTAAGAGGGAAAAAAAAAAGTTTGATAAGCTCCATCGCTGCGTTGCTGTTTCGGGCGAATCGGTGTGGCCGGGCCCAAAGGGGGTGGCCTTGTATCTAGTACTTAGTGGATGGCGTGCTCTGTGTGGTTAACACAGGTACTGTCTACTTAGGCTGTTTCTTTTCTGCCACTTCCACCTTACAACAGACAATCTATTTGCTTCACAGTAGTAAATCACAGTAGTAAAATGGTATGTGTTGCTCCAATTGTTTCTCTATCAATTCCAGCAACAGCCACTGTGTAGTTATTATTGATCTACAAGCTTAATTAGCTGCACAAAAATTGAATAAAAAAATAGGAATAAAAATTGGAGAACTGAGGTGGGGAGAACGATCCCCGGTGAGGAGAGATTAACCGGTGAGGAGAACATTTCCCTACTCACAAACTCGGAGTTGGAGTAAAAAGAAAGAGATGAATCATTGATCTACTGTGTATCTAGTAATTCTCTTTCTCAAGCTGATATCTAACAAAACACTTCCCCTCAACAAGAAACCCTTCCCCCTCAGCTCTACGATCTCCTCCGACTATTAACCGGAAACACCCGCACAGCTATGACGCACTGTTCAAGCTCGCTCATTCTAGTCCCAAGGGAACGTCGACACGCGCCTTAGAACCCTCCGTCACGGTCCTGAGAATCTGGGGAAAGCCCCGAAGCTCCACAACCTTTCGTCACTGTCCGGTTTCACCCATTCTCGACCATATCACCACAGTACACATCCCATGAGGCGTCGGCCAAAGTCGGCCTGTGGCGTCTTTCACGGCTTGATCTGCTTGTGACGTACCCGGTCGGCGGCGGCCGAGCTCCCACGAGGATGTCGATTTGGACAATCTCGCGGACGATTTCTTTCGCTGAAATACCTGTGGCTGCTCTTGGGTGATGACAACAGCTTCGAGGGCAGCGGGGCCAGTGTTCTCTGCCCTGTCAGGATTACACCTTGCGGTGGAGAGATCTACAGTATGGCGAGGAAGCCCGGTGTCTACAGGTGGGTGTGTGGGTGAGATTTCCATAGGTATCCCCAAACCTAGACAATGCAGGATCGGATATCCTCTTGGTGATGTTAGTTGGTACAACCTGTTGCAAAATCAAGACTGGACACTGGTAGCTCTCCATTTCTTGGACAATCACATGCCTGCAGCACAAAATATGCTCATTATTAGGTAGGTTGCATGTGTGTATTGCTGAAGACAACGGAAGGCTGTTCCTCGACTCCGTAGTATTGTCTCAGGGCTGCCATATGACCTTGAGCCAAGAAAGCCATAGGTAGGTATGAATCAAGTTTTATCATCCGATCTGACGAACACTTGGATACTTCCAACGTGCTATGTATACCTATTCGTGGCAGAGGTAATCGACTGTACTATATCCAACCTCACAGCAACATATGTTGTCCATGAGTTGCTC